AAGAAGAAGAAGAAGAAGAAGAAGAAGAAGAAGAAGAAGAAGAAGAAGAAGAAGAAGAAGAAGAAGAAGAGGAGGAGGAGATAGAAGTCTTGGAGCAAGTGCTGGAGGAGCGTGAGAGGAATGGAGGGGTAGAGGAGAGTGATGTTGTGGATGAGGAGGGGGAAGGGAAGGCGCAGATGGTGCAGAGGGTGGGGAGGTCCGGGAGGTGGAGACGGAGGTGGGAACGCATTTGTTTGGTTGATGGGATTCCGGACTTTCGAATAAGAAGATGTTGTTGTTGTGTAAAGTTGACTCACCCAGAAGTCGAGATACAAGATTGAAAGGACTGATTGTTTGTCTAGAGGATCAATGATCGTCTTCGTCAAATGCTTAGACCGCCAATGAAGATATCCTGGCCACAGGAAGATTGAAAGTCGTAGATGTGTAAAAGACAGAAGGAATTATCCACACTACAATCGGTTGTCCTAGTTCTCGAAGTTGGTTGGTGGTGAGCAGAGAATCATCATGTTAGGGTGGATGAGGCGAGTGATATAGCTAACAGTATGAAAGAATTGAGCGACACAAAGAATGCTTTAATTTGAAGTCGACAATGCCTGTTCGCTCTTTCTTCCCTTTCGGGCAGACGTGATTGTAAGAAGAACCACAAAGAATTCATTGTTGTCTCTATTCTTTGGGAAGGCGCGGGGTGTACTCCGGTCATGTAAGCGACATTACGTCGACCACCTACCTTTGACAGACTACGTCCGATCATACAGGTCATTGCTCCAGACAAAAGCACTTCTTGTCATCCGTGCGTTGTGATGCCGATGCTATGCTAGGAAGTGGTCAACAGCAATCTTCTAATGTGAAAGAGAAAACATATCAAGCATCACAATACAAAGACATGATGATATCTTGAAATGTTGATTTGGCGCATGATGAGCGCTTTCCCTGATTGACGGGGAGGTATAAGGAATGACATAAAAGGGGATACAGTAAAAAACCAAGAGGGGTATTTCAGCGCAGTCAAGGGAACGGCGATCATCATGGCGAGGAGCACGAAGATTGTTTCGCGGGTACTGAGTGAGCCAAAATGAAAAGAGAGCTTTGTGGAGAGTATAGGAGGAGTGGAAAAATGTCAAATCGGCTAGTGTATTCGTCAAGCTGCAACGCATTTTGGGGAATCAATTCATTTCGACGCTCAGTAGTGCTCCAGGCCAGACGGCGCGCTCCAAGCCAGAGGGCGTCTGTGCGAAAAAGGACGTGAAATGGTCAAGTGGATTTCGTGAATATTCGAGCGGTTTCTTTACGAGGCCTCGGCCTTGGGCTCCTCGACAGACTCGGCAGTCTTGGATTCCTCGGCCTTGGGGGCGTCAGAGGCAGCAGCGGGCTCGGACTCGTTGCCGTCGGACGAAGTCCAGAGGGTGAGGTTGTCGCGGAGGAGCTGCATGATGAGGGTGCTGTCGCGGTAAGACTCCTCTGAGAGCGAGTCGAGCTCGGCGATGGCGTCGTCGAAGGCCTGCTTGGCAAGGTGGCATGCGCGGTCGGGGCTGTTGAGGATCTCGTAATAGAAGACGGAGAAGTTGAGGGCCAGACCAAGGCGGATAGGGTGGGTAGGAGTGAGCTCGGTCTGGGCGACGTCGGTGGCACTCTGGAGAAGAAGTTGTCAGCGACGATTCAAGGCAGCGATGTGGTGGGAAAGCAATTACCTTGTAGGCCTCGTGGGCAGCAGTGGCAGCAGTCTTGCGCTTGTCGCCAGAGGCGAACTCGGCAAGGTAACGGTGGTAGTCACCCTTCCTGGAAGTTTGTCAGAAAAGTGTCGGAAAGGGTATGATGTAATGTCAACATACATCTTGTGGTAGAAGACCTTGCTCTCGCCGGACTCTGCCTTGGGGATCAAGGAGTCGTCAAGGACGTCAAGAACATCCTGGCAGACCTTCTCGAGCTCGGTCTCAATCTTTTGACGGTAGTCGCGGATGATGGTAACGTGCTTGTCCGAACCCTTCTGCTCCTCCTTCTGCTCGATCGAGGAGATGATGCGCCACGAGGCACGTCTGGTACCGACAACGTTCTTGTAGGCGACGGAGAGGAGGTTACGCTCGTCAACGGTGAGTTCACCACCGATCTGGTTGTGGTTAGTGTTTGAGGGAGCTTAGTCTAGACCGTGCTTGATTTACCTTGGCGACTTCCTGTTATGACGAATTGAATGTCAGCAACTAGAGATGGTGAGAGTTGTATCGTGTGAAAGTGCGAACCTTCATGTAGGTAACCATCTCTGTTGGCCATGGTTAGCATGTAAACACGAGGGTGATGTTTCAGGTTGACGTACCATCGTAACGCTCAGCCTGCTCGCACAGTCTGGCGAGGAAGGTCTTGCTGCGTGGTTGTTAGATGGTCTGCACGGTTGGAATAGATTCCATCGGATAGCCTAGATACCTTTCACGCTGTGAAGGTTGAAAGAAGTCAGCGATCTGTGTCTATCATGGACGTATCGGGCAGCGGGCCGAATGAGGGGGGTCAAGCGGTTTTGTTGGGCTTTGCATTGCTGCGCAGCTTGACGGCACGCGCAGGGGAAGTTGCGACTTACTTCGGTGGCCATTGTGATTGGTATTGTGGGATCAGAGTAGATGTCGGGTGGATTGAGGCGGTGAGGTGTGAGGGCGGCGGTGGATGTCTGCGAGAAAGGTTGAAGCTGCTTGTTTAGAAGTCCCAAGGCGCAGCGGCCGTCCATTGCGCTCTGTCACGTGCACCGACCAGCAAAGCTGCCCTGAGCTTCAGACCATTCAGACCCCTCATCGTCACTTGATCCAAAATAAAATTAACCAGGACTCGCCCACCTTAAACACGACCCTGAGATTGGCCATTTCTTCGAGAATAATCTCCAGATCCTTCTATTTCTGCTCAACCACTACATCATCCCACTCTACAAAGGGGGGTATACTGATGAGTCCGAGTGACTGTGACTGTCTGTTCAAATGTCCTCAAGTTCGCCTCGGCCTTTCGCCAGCCTATGTCCAAACGCCCCGTGTCCGACCTTGACCATGACAAAGGAAAAACCAATGCGTGCCTTGATTAGCACGCTGGAAGTATCGTGTCCCAGCCATGACGTGGGACAGCAAATGAAACAAAAGAGAACGACTCCCTCGCCATTTATGCCGCTACATGAGCAAGCGCCACACACCGAGAATAATAGCGGCAGTACCCGTTGTTACACCCCTAGAATCCGCGTGTTAGCAAGCTCCAATTGCCGTCGGTCCGGTTGGACATGAAACGTACATTAGCCATTGCAATGTCGAGAACTTGACTGCCTCAAGGCGTTCTCTCAATGCCGCGGCTTCTTGTTCGATCCTCGTCTCGGTCTCTTTGATCTTGAGATCCTGCGAGTTCGCTTCCTCCCTGATCCTGCCCTTCTCGAGATTGAGATCCAGTCGCACTGATGCTTGCGTACGCTGAACTTCGTCCCGTAGTCTGGAGTTCAATTTGGCCAGATCATTGGTGAGGCGTTCGTGTGAGGCACGTGTCAAAGAGGATTCGGTAGAGTCGGCCGATAGCAGTTCAGAGCGCAGCTTGGCAAAGTCGACCTTCTGCGTGTATGTTGCCTTCTCTTGGTCTTCACGAAGTACCATGGTTCGTGTGAGGTTTTGGATACTGTGATGTGATCCTGGTCAGCCTGGCGACGTTTTACGGTAGCGGTTGCTCGGTATGTACCTCTCTTCGACAACATCACTCAAGACCTTCATCATGGCCACGGCCTGCTCCTCCGTGAAGCCCTCATCTTGCAACCTCTGGACAAACTTCAGTGTGTCAAAGTGGTGGTCTCTGTTGCGTTGGGTTGTAGCCGAGAAGTGTCTCCTGGGCTGTACTGCTACTTGTCCAAATGCGATGCGACTGATGACAGGAAAACGGTTGGCCCATGAAAGTGCTCTTGCGGTATATTTCCTAGGGGCTGGTCTTTGTGTTGGGGCGTGAATGCGGGCGGCGGAACGGTAAGAGGACTGGGCCTGAGATGACCATGATAGTCTAGGCAATAGGAATCGCGGGATGGATGTCAATGATGCAGCCATTGTCTTGGGATGTTACAGTGTGCGTGGTGTGATTTCCAAGGAGAGACGAAACAAAGGAGAGTTTGTTGTAGCAACGACTTGTGGAGGGGTAGAAGGCCCTGAAACGGGCGAGCACACGTTTCGGCTCGACGAGCCTATGACGCCTTTCCCAACCATCCAACTTTCTACGGGTCAAGCAAGCATTCTGGGACAACCCGACTACAACTCGATGACTTTCTCGAAACGGCTTCGCGTACACTAGGAGTAGCTATGAAAACGCAAAGTACGCCTTTGCTCAGGATTGTGTCTACTGCAGATGCTCCCTCTACATGAACGACTGTCCCAGCTAGAACCCCGTTCGCTATTTGTATAGCCTCAGCGTCCCAAGTTTTGAGTCAAGAGAACAGCTTCTGCTCCCCAAGAGAAGTTGCATGCCGCACAATGTTTGAACGTTGCCTCGAAGTGATTATGGTGTCGTGTTTGAACAATCCATCTCCATGTAGCAAAGCACCTTAGGTCGCGGCCGCCCTACTTTTGACATGTGGTATTGTATTTAGCCGAGGCTTCTTCAACGACAACTTGGCCAGCTTTCCATCTACTCAACACCAATAATTTTGATATCAACCAATTCTCGCAATCAGTCATTCAAACCTTACGAACATGGCTCCTTCCAAGAATCCCTGGGTAGAAACACCCTTGATCGAATCAACCACTCTATCAAAAGCAGCCGGATGGTAAGTCTTCACCCCAAAAGCAAACCACACCCAACACTAAAACCCCAAACCAGCAGAATCTTCCTGAAACTCGAAAACCTCCAACTCTCCGGCTCTTTCAAAGCAAGAGGAATAGGGCACCTCATGCAAACCTCCCTCTCCACCTCCAAAACCCCATCAAGCACCCACTTCTACTCGTCTTCAGGAGGAAATGCCGGACTCGCCGCTGTCCACAGTGCCGTAAGACTAAACCGACCCTGCACAGTAGTAGTCCCATTGACCACAAACCCCATGATGATGGAAAAGATGAAAGCAGCAGGTGCAACAGAAGTTTTGCAATACGGGGCGAGTTGGCAAGAAGCTGATGATTACCTGCGAGACACTGTTATCAAACAAGCAGAAGAGGGCGGAGAAGAATGTGTCTATGTTCCTCCTTTTGATCGTCCGACGATTTGGACGGGGCATTCTTCCCTGATTGATGAGATTGCTGTGCAGTTGTCTGAGCTCACTGGAGAGGACAAGGCAAGGCCGGATGTTTTGGCTTGTTCGGTTGGCGGTGGGGGCTTATTCAACGGTGTTATGGAGGGTGTACAGCGTCACTCCTGGCGCGACACAAGGATCCTTGCTGTAGAGACCAAGGGAGCAGACTCTTTGGCCGAGAGCGTGAAGCAGGGACAACACATCACACTACCTGCCATAACCTCCCAAGCAACCACTTTGGGTGCCAAAAAGGTCTCGGCAAGGACTTTTGAATTGGCCATGCAGAGTGAGCAGGTCAAGACCTTGGTCTTGAGTGATGAGGAAGCTATGATGGGTGCGTGGAGATTGGCAGAGGATGAGAGACTGCTGGTAGAGCTGTCGTGCAGCGTCACCGTTGCATTGTGTTACGGAGATCGATTGGAAAAAGCCTTGGGCAGACGAGTGTCGAAAGACGACAAGGTTGTCATTATCGTTTGCGGTGGCAGCAATGTCACCATAGATATGGTCTCGCAGTGGAAGAAGGACTCGGTGCATGTTGATGCAGCAGAGTAGAGACGACAGGCGTGGTCAATCGTGACCAAGATGCATATCACGCGAGCGTTCAAAAAGCAGATAGATTCAAAATAGACAAAGCGCCCGCGCTGGGTATCATGGATTGAAAAAGTACGCCACTATGCAGTTACTGAAACCGTCCTCCCTATCGTATCGCGTTGCTAACGTCTAAGCAGCTACTTGACCTTGGCTGAGCTGATCCTTCAGATAAGCCCAGTAGTTGGCTCTGATAGGATCGTACTTGGTGGCAAGTAAGTCATAAGCCTTGACAGCCTTCTCGCTCTGCTCCTTCTCGGCAGCATATATCTCAGCCAGTAGGTCAAGTGCATGGCTAGACTTCACAGAGTCTTCGCGTTCAGAGTCCACGCTTGCAAACTCATTGACAAACTCTAGTTGCGATGAGATAGGCATATTGGCGGCAGATATGATACCACGAAGATAGTTCCAAGGCGACTGATTCTGCGGTGCTGTGCGGATAGCTTCCTGAGCGAATCTGTGTTTGTTGTTAGTCGTCGCGACTTGACTCGTTTGCAGCAAAATCACTCACTGGATCTCTCTCTCCACCACAGGCTTATCTTCTGTCTTTGGTGGTTTACTCCCTGACACAAGGAAGAAGCGATGGTTCCAAGCGGAGTTGTTCCTCACATCCTCTTCAATCAACTTTTCCGTAGCTTCCAGCTCTCCCTCGTTCCAAAGCTCGAACCTGCGCACCAGCCATTGTCTGTAACTCCACACGTGGTAGTTCTTCGCGTCCAGCTCGAACATTTGGGAGATGAAGTCTGCTTCACCCTTGCAGGAGTCGAGACGGTCCACGACGAGTTGACGATGATGCCAGATCTGGTAGTTCTTTTGATGGGCAAGGGCGGTCTCATTCAACCATTCCAATTCTTTTGAAAGATCGGAGTTGAGAGCTTTGAGGATTTCGGAGCGGTATAACCTGTATAACAATACGAGTCAGTCAAGGGGGCTTCTCTACTAAGAGGGTCAGATGGAAGGACGAACCAGACGGTGTAGTGTGCAGCGTTCATGTCGATGATGTCTTCGGTCAGGCTTAGTGTTCTCTCGCTCATTTCGTTCTTGGCCATGACTGCGCGGAGGTATGACATTGCTTCCGAGTACTCGTCCGTGTATGCGATCGCAGCGAGAGGGTTTGGGCCACCGTCATCTTGAGGCAGGGGTACGACGTCGTCCCAAGTTGTGTCGTCTGAGTATTTGCCCATATTTGCTGTGTGTCTTGTTGATGTCTGTTGTCAAACGGTGTATTGTGAACGTTGTAACTATTTAGTGGCTGCTCAATCATCAAAAGTCCCAGAGACGGCGTCATTGTTTGAGAACGCCAAGTCTGCATGCATTCGAGAACAATACCAACCAACCCTTTCCGCTCTGGTACTTAGACAAGCATCACATTTCTACGTTTGAGAGGCCAAGTCAGTACTGTGATTATAATGTCGTAATTGTGTTTTTACAGGGAGCTGTTTATAGATAATCATATTCTCCAGAACTTCCAGCCTTCTCTTACACCTCCGTGAACTCCGCCTGTAACTCCGACGAGCTTCTCAACGCCTTCACGACCCTCGACTGCTTCGAACTTCTCTGCGTCTATTTCCTCGCCTCCAAGTTCATCGCTTCCGTTATCGAGTACGGCAGGCCACAGTACGCCAACGCCGTCTCCCCCAAGCGTCGTCTCGTACTTCTCGAAGCCTTCCTTCTCAAGCTCTTTTTCGAGTCTTGCTAGTGTCTCGGCTTGTGAGTTGGCCGTTTCAGCGACTGGCATGTCTTCGCCAATCAAAGGTAAGTCTGGCTTGAGAAGAGTGAAAGCACAACCACCACCACCTGCACCAGTAAGCTTGGTCCACCCAGCTCCCGCTGTGTCGACAAGCTCGCGCAAACGCTCGAGCTTAGGATGCGAGACTCCCAAACTGACCAGAAGACCGTGATTAATCGACACAAGTTCGCCTAGCTGAGTGAGTGCCGAGGGATCTGTAGGGTCAAAGTCTGGGCTTGTGATCAAAGCATATGCGGACTCGGTAACCCCGTCTATGGCGTCTAGAATATGGTTGGCAATTTTTGGGTTTGTCTTCTTCAATCTTGCAACCTTTGCAACCTCTGCGGCAGTGCTCTTTGGTTGTTTCGTATCCACCAGCAGTAATGGTAACTCTGGAAAATTTCGTAAAGGCAGTACCACTGGAGGCTTTGCATAGTCTGCACGCTTGAATAAGACGGCCTTACCGCCTGATGCGACTGTGTTGTCCACTCCTGAGGGATTGCCATGAATGAGCATCTCTCCGACAAAAGACCACTGGTTGATTCTCTCAAGTTGTTTCTCGGCCTCTTCGGGCTGCTGATCAGGATGAGGACCAGAAAGAGCGCGAGCCTGGATTAAAAGGGAAGTAGCTATGCAAACTGAAATGCTGGCGCTGGAACCGAGACCGGCGCCGATGGGTATCGTAGAACGTAAAGTGTAAATGGTGGCAGGCGAAGACTTGTTGCCGAGAGAAAGGAAGAGGTAGAGGAAGGACGATGCCGCGGCCTGGTGTATCTTTTGCTCGTGGAGGGGAATATGAGGAGAGACATTGAGGATGTGTGGCTTCATAGCCTCGACAAGGATGGGGTCGAGCTGGGTGACGAGATCGTAGTAGCGCTTCTTGCGATCGGGATGGGAGAAGGCATCCCAAGGTAGTGTGTCAATGTCCCAAGTGTGATGGAGGTCGATGTCGCGGAAGCGCAAGGTGATAGTGCGACGAGACTTCGAGAGAGTGGTGACGAGCATGTAGGAGCGGAGCGAGATGGCAGCAGCCATAGCAGCCTGTCTAAGGGGTCAGCCATCTGTACACAGTCGAGGGAGTAGTCGCAGATCTATGACCTTTCCGTGAACGACAGCATGTTCGCCGTAAACAATGACCTTTCCGGGGGCAGAAACCATAAACGGAGGGGCCAATGGAGTCGACATCTTGCGTTTGTATGCTGGACGTGGATCACTACGGCGTCGAGTCGGGGAGTCTTCGTCGCTGGATGATGCATTTGCTCTATTGGATCCGTTCGAGTGGCCGTTGGTCATAGTGGTTGATTGAGTTGGTGCGCCATTGCGCAATTCAAGACTTCCGTTGGCCATTGTCATTGTTCATACTCAGTAGTCAAGTGGCATGTTCAAGTCTTTCGAGACAAAGGAGTTTAACTAACTAGGAAATGTCCGTCGACGAATGACAACACGCGCATTGCAATTAATCTCCTTTCCGGCCCTCCCCCACACTCTTCTCAGTCCACTTTTTGCATAAAGCGACCCTTGTCTGCATGAACCTCAAATTGTGCCTGGCAGATTGACCTCGCCCCGCATTCAAATATCGGATCTTCTCTTTCCGAGGCTGCCATGCCTTCCTCGACCATGCATTTTCTCAGATCATGTTTCCTCTGTCTCCCATACCAGCAACTCCTTCATGCTGTCCAGGAGGAGTAGGCACAAACGTGTTTCTGTTGGCAGATCCGAGCATACCTGTGTTGCCATGACCAAAGGCCTGACCGTCTGGGTTGCTCGCTCCATGCATAGCAGCTGGGCTTGTGGGACTAGCAGGGCCAGTATGGCCAGCGTTTCTCGTTTGCATCTCGAACGACGCTCCTGCACCGCTGTGTCTGGCTGAGCCGTGATGGTTCGTGGGTACGCCGGTACTGTCGCTTCTTGTCGCAGGTCCTACAAGACGGCCACGAAGAGGCAGAAGTGCACTGATCAGAAACAGAACACTACATTCATCAGCGACTAGCTCGCGATGGTCAGGGCCTTCGTCACTTACAACTCGATTCCAGCGAACGCGGCAGCAGCAGCTCCGCATGACCACGCTCTTCTGAGTCTGTGGAGGGTTTCGCTGTATGCTGCATAGGCTGCATAGGCTGCGTTGCTGTTGACCTGCTGACTCAGACGACCAGTGTAGTACGTAAGATCTCTAGGTCTAGTGACATCACTGTAAGCAGCAAGTTCGGCCATGATGGCCAGCCAGAACAACGCAAAGAACAGATCGATCAGTACAGCCGAGAGTGGATGCGATGAGAGAACGGGTAGGCGCGGCAGGAAGGCTAGCGGGATGGTGGCCAGAATGGTCAGGATTGCCGCGATCAGAGCGGGTATGTATGCCGGTTGCAACTGTGATGAGTGTGTTAATCGTGGAAACTTCGATGCGCATTCAACGATGAGTCAACTTACGAGTGTGGCAGAGTACACATGGAGAGCGTAGGCGACAAGTCCCAGAATCAAGACGGCGAGCAAGAACTGCACGATGCGCATTGCCTTCGACACAAGACGTCCAGTGCCGGAGCGAGACGATTGCGCGCCATCAGTCTTGTCGGCTCTGCCGAATCTGCTGATTGCTGTCTTGCGGTTTGCTGTGGCAGACTCGGTTGTTGTGAAAATAGGTGCGTCTAGACCAGGCTCTTCGCCGACCTTCTTTCTGGTGAAGATGTCCATCTCTGCGTCGATATGCAGGTGTGATGAGGCTGGAAGCTCGGTAGTCTTGATATTGTGTCTCCGAGAGGGCTGCTGGTGCACTCGCACGTCAAAACTGTTGATCCGGAGGTGAGAGTGGAATGTCGTTTGCAAATCTGCTTATTGGACCACTCGGAATGCAAACACTCACTTACTGCAGCATTCACTCTGAATAAGGCACGTACAAACACAACTACTTTCGCGAACACAATTGTCATTTTACGCTATCTATGCTGCAAGGTTCTATGGTCAACGATGAGCAGCACCGAGCCAGGAAAGATAGCAAACAAAAGCATAGTGACGTTGAGCAATCTTGACGCTTTTGTCGGTCCAACTAAGAATCGAGAACATCCTCGTACCTCGCTAACGACAGTGGCAGCTCCGTGTGCCAGCAAACACCCTTCTCTTTGAGCAAGGACGACGTCCACTCCGCCGCCTGTAACAGGAAGAACATCACATCCCAACAGATGTGTACGGGTATAAGAAGGAAATGAAAGAAAAAAGCTGAAGATGTGCACATGAGGTATGTTATTCCTTGTTGAGCCATCACAGTCCAAGTTCGTTAAAGGCATGTTGTTTGTCATTTGTCATGTTTGAGACGGAGTCTCGCTTTCTCAGCGTGGTTGCTGGAAGCTAAGATGTCCTTTAATGGCTATCAGGTCTTCCTGAAGACGAGATATGCGCAATTCGTATTCGTCCTGCATGCGAGAGAATCGTTGCTCCAGAGCTCTGACGTAGTTCCAAACATCATTGATGCCATCGCCAACGATTTCTCTCATACTGCCACCCGAGCTGTGCCCGTGACTTGATAGGCTCCCAGGGTTTGATCCATGCATCGGTCCGGATTGCATGTTGTTGTGCATTGAATTGTGTGCTGCTGATTGGATTGGCAACCTCATTGAATGTCCAGAAGCGAGTCCAGCCAGTGAGGGAAGCTGAGTGTGTTGCGACATCTGGTGAGGGGCAGGTGGAGTGGCCTGTCCATTGCGCGCATTGTGTGCCTGTTGTATTTGTGTGAGGCTAGGTGATCTGTTACGCATTGCGCTAGTGGCTTCCGCTATACTAAGGCGATGTTGATCCTGTTGATTGGGAGACAGCGGCTTGGGCGAGTGAGAGATGCCGCCCTCTCCGAGCACAACGGTGGGCGTAGAACCGTATGGGTTTAGTGCCATATTGCTTGTCGGGTTCATATTGGTGATTTCCCCCGGAGAAGTTACAGCGTTAGATGATGGCAGGATGTGATGATTTGGGGGACCCATGTTACCCCTATGTGTACGGCTAGCCAGAGGCGGCGGGTAGGTGCTGGAGTGTTGGCGGTAGATGGACCTGTTAGGATCGTGCGAGTCCTCGATATGAGCACGCTTGCGACTAGGTTCGCTCTCTCTTCTCGGGTTATCGTCCTCGTCGTCCATGTCATGGCCATTCTCGCCATTATCGGTGTACTCCATGCCATCCATGCCCTCGTCACCCATTCTGCTGTCATCATCACCTCCGAAGCTGGAGCGGCGACCGGCGCAGCCTCCAGGACCTTTATTGTGTCGTGCCAAGGCATCGCCACGGGCGAAGCGTCTGCCGCATTTGTCGCAGATGTGTGGTCTTTCGCCGGTGTGCAGCTTGGTGTGTCGCTTCAAGTCATGCAGCCTTCTGAAGCGTGATTGACAAGTTTGGCAAACATATGGTTTCTCTTGGCTGTGGGTAAGCAAATGACTTTTGAGGTTGTGATGACGTGTGAAATCAGTCGCACAATACGGACACTTGTGCCGCTTGGTCGACGGAGAGGCTCTCGACTGACCTTCTGCGGCCGCCTCTGCTGCTACGGATGCTGGACCAGGATATGTGAACGATTTGTGCGAAGGATGAGCGCTGGAGGCAGAGTTATATCCCCGGGTGGGCTCTGGATAGTCCATGCTAGTCATTTCTGCAGGCTCCGCGACCATTTGAGTATCCCGGGCGTGCTCGTGGGCAGTTGTCGTCATTGCACCATTGGGTGAAACGGCATCTGAGTCCCCGAAACTTCTGAGGCTAACGGGACTAGGCTGAGATGCCTCGGCGGTTGTCGTTACTGGCACGGTGAGGTGTGTGCTCGGTTTGCGCATCTGACTGGAAGGAGAAAAATTTGGCGAGGCGAGATCAGAGGCTTTGGACATTCCAGGGCCGCTCATAAGGGCATGCAGAGCGGTGGCTGCGGGATTTGCGCTAGTTTGGCTCGATTCGTGACTTTGCTGTTGTTGTTGCAGTCGTCTGGCATCAGCCTGAGCAGCAGCGCCTGTAAGAGGTCTGGGCGAGAAGCGTGCCGGAGATTTGGGTGAGACAGCGGTATAGTCCGGAGCGCGTGGTTTGAACAGGTGGTGGTTGTCTTTCGCAAAGGCAGAATGAGATGCTAAGGTAGGCGTGTGAGGGACTTCAAGAGGAGGAAAGGGTTCGACCTGAGGGCTGTCTGATCTAACTCGTGTGGCCATCGAGGGATACATACATTTGACGAGCCGCAAAGGTATTATTAACAGTCGACTGTGCGCATGTCAGCCACTGCTCGTGGGGACCACGACAGGGAGGAAAAAGGAAAAAGAAAGCAAGCCCCACATACGTAATTTACTAGGTCGCGGTGATATGCGAACGTGTAGAGGGTCTGCGGTGGGATTGAGATGTTGCGCGCCAGGACAAAATCGGTGTTCGCAGTTCTTTGTCGACAGTTCTGGGGCGAGTAGGATAGAAAACAGTCGCGACAGTCAAGCGTCCATGAATTCCAAGACTGTGGCGTAAATAATGGGTTGCGGCCAGAAGCCGGCGAGGTCGCGTATGGCCGGAGCGTTTGATAATTAACAATGCGACGACCTTGTTAGAATCGAGTCTCTCAGCTTGTGCCAGTTATTGCGGCGTGGAAATCAAGAAGAAAGAACGAAGCACTTGGGCTGTCAAGTCGAGGACTGGAAAGCGATCAAGGATGCTCGGACAGCGCGATGGCCCGGCGCGATGGCGCAGCTACTAAAGATGCGCGTGGAGCCGGTACGCTGCTGAGCTGCTGGCTGATGCTGGAGGTTGTGGTGGCTGCTTGTTGGTACGTCAGACGCCTTGCTGTGGCAGAAGAGGAAGAGGCGAAAACAATAGATTTGGTGCAGGTGACGAGCTCAATTGCCATGCCGCGAACAAAACGCGTCTATCGTGGCTGCTGGCCGATCGAGTAGGGAATTGTCGATGGCCACAGAGGCAAACAGAAATCACAAAACTGGCTGTACAGAACCTTGAAAGGCTTGTCAAGGTTCGAGACAGCCCTGATCGAGCTACTCGAATGACGCAGCAAACGCAGCCGCAGATCTTGACAACTTGAACCTCCCTCGCAACAAGAACTTGGCTTTTGGGAACAACGACCTCGCTTTCGTCGGAAGTCCGATTTGAGGCGTGGCTAATTTGCTCGACGATCGTCTGGTCTGTAGTTCTGGCCCCGTTCATCTTGTCCCCAACTCGACCTTCCATGCTCAACCGGTGGCCATCTTGCCTGCATCCAGCAAACTCCTACTTACAGAACTTTGTTGCGCACGCATAGCTGGTGGTGCTAGAGCCTCAAAAGCCTGCAACCGACCCGTCTTTGCTTCAATTCTCCAAACTTCTTTATGTTCGCGCTCGACCTAAACCCCGTCCATGGCTTCTCGCTTGTCGATGCCACCCGCTCGATGCTCATGGTGCTTGGTGCTCGATTCAAAAAGCGGAGACGGATGTGGCTGTGCAAAGTCTTGGGTGCTTGTCAGTAGGTCTGTCTTGATGAGATTCTGATACGTTTGCACGATCAGCGACAAGATGCGCAGTCTGTTCTCCCGACAACTGACTAATGTGATGATATGTGGTTGAACCCCTCGCCGACATGTGTGGCCGGCCTGAATAGATGAAATCGTCGTTTCTTACCAAATCCCAACCTCTCAATCGAGGGGTTCGCGTCTGCGCCTTCTTTCTCATCTACATCGCCGCCATCACTGCGGATCTTCTTGAAGAGATCATCGACGCCGCAGCCTACGATTCCCTTGCACGAAACGCAAGCAAGTGCTTCCAACCGAGCGATGCTCGTGTTGCAGCAAACAAAGCTTCTCGCATGCGCCTACGGGTGCCACACTTGTCCTTCTTTTCGGCTGCTACATGCTGTATCACAGCCATGTTCTACCCGGAATGCGTCACAATGATGACTTGTGGCGCCTCACCGTTCAACTATGGCAGTGCCTTGATCTTGGTCCCTGACTGATCCCTAGCCCTGTCAGCACTTGACACCAGAACCTTCTAAGCGGCTATAGGACTATGCAAGTGCTATCAGCACGCGATTGATTGGTGATTTGAAGCAGCTGGCCTATAATGAGACATTCGTAGCCTGACCACTAAGCGTGACTACAAGATGACAAGTCTCTTGTGCTGGACGCCTGGTTGATCATGTGGAAAAGTAGGCACGAAGACCCCACAGACTCCACAATACTAGAACCCCTTCAACTGTTCAACATCATGTTATCTCCAGTCTGCTACGCAAGCAGTTCAACAACCTTGATTTTGAGCCTCACAGAACGTCCCGCGTGTAACGGAGCGGCCGCCGGCGACTAGTTTGTGCAGGTTCAGCTCAAGAAGGTCGCTAAACATGACCCCGAAACATCTATGATCGATTCGCGCTCAGGAGGCGCAGGAGGTCTTGATCACCACTCTTGCGAACCCTGGTCGATGCGAGAGCGAAGCCAAGCGAGCATTCTACTCCTTGACGAGCCAACGGCGTCCGCGTGCCTGAGGCAACCTCGGTACCCGCTTGAATAGGACCATCTGCGAGTCGCGATTGTCAGATAACAAGGCACAGCTAGCGGGTTAACCAACCACCCATGACGCCGAATGTTTCGCATCGTGATAGAGCAATAATGGCAGTTCGAACTCGTGATGGAATATGACTGCCGGACAGCTTCTGTCGCTACGGATCAGTACGGCTCAGTATGAGCTAAACGGCCATGTTCACGACTGTTTTGCGGCTTTTGCCATGTGGTTCCATATTAAGACATATTTGCGGATTGCCACATTGGGCACGAGCCTGGACTGTCTAGAGAGTGAGAAATGCGTTGGTAGACTAATTAGGTGTTGTTGTAGTTGAATATGTTCGCCTCACACTCGCGAGCAAAGTTAACAGTCGATTGGGGTCTCTCCATTGCACAGATGCTATGCAAGCAATTGTACATCGATATGCTGTGAATACAGGCAAGCTGATCAACTCTGAGTGGTAGTCGACTATTTCAATGTCATCACGCCGCATGCTAACAATAGTATCTCCATGCTCTCTTGTTGTTGGAGTTTCTTGGTGAACACTCTCGTCTCATCACGACCAGTAGTTCGTATTGTTCACATTGAATGCTGCACTAGACGTTGTATTGATGTGGCGAGTGGAGGTGGCTGATGGCTTTGAATTTGATGGACAACGACTAGCTGAACGCTCTGGAGGCGCATGTAGCCATCGCATGCTGTGTATAGCAAGCTTTACCTCCCATCCAATCACCCGTGTATAGGAGGAAGGTTTTGTAACGAGCCGCACGCCTCGTATCTCCAATAGAAATGGTGCGGAGAAGTGCTATGTAACGTTTGCTTGGTGATGGAAGTGGCTTGCGATCACGATAGCCACAACGATTCATCTACCTCGATATGCTTTCCCTGGGCAGATGCGAGTATTGGAAACAACTCAAATGTTTCGAAGCATCGTCCAAAGCGTACCTCTAGGGCTATTCCGGGGTCTTGCGATCGATGGCAGTGGCAAGATGGTAGGGTCGAAGGAGGAAGGAGTGAGACAGGGTGTGAGGAGCAGCGACAGAGTAGATCAAACAACGAATCTGAAGTTCTGGTTCTGGATGAGCCAACTCTTTCCTTCACCAGTCTTGTCCTTGCCCTTTGCACCAGCTTCTTCCTTGTTAGGGACCAGGACCAAGGTGTCTGAGAAGGCGCGCATTGGACCATCCTTGCGCTCGATCAAGCGCACGTAACCGCTGACCTGGACAAGGACACTCATGTTTGCTTCTTGCTCTTTCGGCTTTGCGGTCTGATCCAGAGGAGCGAGGGCTGGGTTCAGGACGTGTGCGTTGATGGACTGGACCTCGAAGAAGGTGAAGGGCATTTGTGTGGTGTAGGAGGATGCGAAGTCGTCGGGGTCCGACAGGACTGTGCCGTTGTAGGAGATTTGTGGAAGCAGTTTTCCAGATGGGAGGACCGTCTTGGGTACATAGTAGGAAGCCAGGGAGCCGCGAGCGCTGGTCAGGGCGACATAATATGCGTCGGTGAAGGTTTCGGCAGCTGCGAAGGTGTCAGAATCAGTGCGCGTTGCCGCATGGATGTAGAGCCTGCATACCGTTGGCCGAGACGCGCGTGAGAGCGTCCTCCCCGAGTGCTGCAGCCATCGTGTGTGTGTGTTGTGGTTGTATGCGCAGACTGTGGATGGATCAAATTATTGTTACTGTCACATGCAAGGGCCGAAGCTTGGGCCGGCTCTCGACGAATGTTGGCGACTGCTTTTATCGAGCGACGCAGACTCTCAATGACGACTCTCACACGCTCCGTCGGCTCGAGGCCATGGCGACCGCAATCCTTGAGCTCACTATGCGCACTTCGCCCGACACGCACACGCTTCATAGCGACGGCTTCGACGACAGATGATACCAAACCCTACTATGTCACAACGCCCATTTTCTACGTCAATGCCGCTCCTCATGCCGGCCATCTATACACCATGGTCCTCGCAGACGTTCTGAAGAGATGGCAGCTGCTCAAGGGAAGGAAGGCAATCCTCTTGACCGGTACCGATGAGCATGGCATGAAGATTCAACAGGCCTCTGCGAAAGCCGGAAGCGACCCAAAGCCCTTCTGCGACAAGGGTGCCGATATCTTCAAGAACCTGGCTGCGAGAGCCGAGCTGAGCAATGATCACTTCATCCGGACTACTGATGCTTCTCACAAGGAAGCCGTAGAGTACGCCTGGCATCTATTGAACGAGAGAGGCTACATTTATCAGTCCAAGCACCAAGGCTGGTATTCTGTGAGCGATGAAACCTTCTATCCAGAATCTCAAGTACATCTGGTCTTGGATCCTCCTACTGGCCGTAAGATCATGGCCTCGATCGAGAGTGGAAAGGAAGTCGAATGGACTTCTGAGGTCAACTACCACTTCCGACTTTCTGCTTTCCGTGATAAGCTTCTAGCATACTATGCCGAGAATCCTGATTGGGTCACTCCTAAGGCGAAGATGAAGGATGTCGTGTCTGCTGTTACTGCCGGTCTCGAGGACCTGTCCATCTCGCGTCCCTCCTCGAGACTCACATGGGGCATCCGTGTTCCAACTGATCCCGAGCAAACAATCTATGTCTGGCTAGATGCTTTGATCAACTATGCCACGGCTGCTGGTTACCCATGGGCTCCTGGCTCCGAGCATACCGGCGGCTGGCCTGCGGATGTACAGATCATTGGTAAAGACATTCTCCGCTTCCATTGTATCTACTGGCCCGCCTTCCTCATGGCACTGGATCTTCCTTTGCCTAAGCGTTTTCTCACGCACGCTCATTGGACCCTCGGTAAGCAAAAGATGGCAAAGAGTACAGGCAATGTTGTGAATCCTTTCTTCGCCCTCGATCGCTTCGGCACTGATACCATGCGATACTACATGATCCACGACGGTGGCATTGACGATGATACCGATTACGATAATTTGTATATCATCGAACGCTACAAGAAAGGTCTTCAAGGAGGTCTCGGAAACCTGGCTTCCAGAATCACGCGCGGGAAGGGATGGGAAGTCAGACGTGCTGTTAAGAGATTCTCTGGCGATCCAAGGTCGAATTCACCGTTTGTCCAGGCGCATGCCCGCAAAGTGGAAATTACAGAGTTTGAAAAATTGGTCCTGGACTTCCCTAAAGACGTAGACAGTCGCATGGAAAGTCTTCGTCCAAATCTTGCCCTCAAGAAGTTGATGAAGAACATCTACGCAGCGAATGCTTTCCTCCAAGCTCAAACTCCGTGGGATATTGCTGCCCGACTCAAGAAAGGAGAGGTAGTGCGCAACACCCAGTCCAATGAAGATGCTGAACGTCAGATGGACTACATCATCTATTTGTGCACTGAGACATTGCGTCTTGCTGGCATCATGCTTCAGCCAGTCATGCCTTCGAAGGCCAAGCAACTGCTCGATATGCTTGGTGTAGCAGAAGACAAGAGGGGCTTTGCTGATGCTCAACTGGGTGCCGATAAGGACTATGGCGCATCCAAAGTGCCGCAGGGCAAAGGCCAAGCAGGCGTCCTCTTTGCGCCGCTGATGAGCGACTCATAGTGGGGGGTCAGAGCATATTCGATCGCAAGCGGTCTGTAAAATAATTGTACCATAGTTCGTAGAGTCATGACAACCGTTCCATCCCAGCCTTCGTCCCCGTGAGCCTTTTATGCTCGTACACAGCCTACTGAGGTGTACGCATGTTGGCCTTGACTCTAGCCAATAGATCCTCCTTGGATGATGAGCTGCTGGCCATGAGATTTCTGCGGTTCAACCATCTTCTCATTTCCTCTTCAGTCCAGTTCTCGGGTTCTGTTGGATGCTTTAACATGTCTGCCGATAAACATTCCATGTCTCTAGACTTACCACCAGTGGGATCAGGCTGCTGAGGGAAGATGTCACTGCCAAAGATGGACCATGCTGCTGATGCGGCGACCAAGCCTGCAAAGCCGAAAAACAGGTTCTATGAGAACTCACATATCAGCATGACTGCTCTCTAGATGTGAGTCGCATGATTCTTGCCTTGGAGTTCAGTGCTCTGTCAAGTTGAGTAGGCATGGTTGTGAAGTTTGCGAGAGGTTGTTATGGTAGTCAGAGAGGGTTATGGAAGCTCAAGTAAAGCACTTAAGTGAAGATTATTGTTCTGTCTGCCTGAACTTCACTATCTAGATGTTGTCCTCTCCAGAGTTGGTCAATAGGGAGGGAGGGGTCAAAGCGTTGCCTCCGCCGCTTCAGTAGAGGTCCTCCAAATCTTGGCGTTCGCTTACAGCCCACAGACAGCTCGCCCATCGACAGCAAGATCTCCAGTTCACGCATAACCACACAAAACACCGTCATCATGCCTTCCCAAGTTACCGACATCAAGGAGTTCATCGAGATCTGCCGCCGCAAGGACGCTTCCTGTGCGTTTTTCCCTACGCCCAAAAGATCGCCTGCTTTTGATGGAGACCAGAATAACTGATTTTCGACTGTTTTAGCTGCTCACGTCAAGAAGACCTCTCCCCAGCAGATCAAGTTCAAGGTCCGCTGCAACCGTTACCTTTACACCCTCGTCCTCAAGGACCAGGACAAGGCCGAGAAGCTGAAGCAGTCCCTTCCCCCAAGTACGCGCCAATCCCCCATCAAATCTCGAATTGCCGCTCAGAAGAGAGAAAAAAAAAGCCAATTGGAGGAGAAGCTACAAACTTACTAACAACAATTTCCACAGGCCTTACCATCTCTGACGTTCCCAAGAAGAACCAGAAGGGCAAGCGCGTCGCCAAGTAAACAGCGGAAAACAAATGTGTCAATAAACAATGTCCACTTCCAATTCGCCAAAGCTATGAGCGCCGAACAAAACGAATAAAACTTCCACGAATTCATCTGATCCAAGTCATCATCAAACCTCCAATTGACCGACCATGCGACAAAGACTTCAGCGCGACACGATGTGAACATGAGCAAAAGCAAGGAAGCTATGGCCGGGCCATAAGAAAGACTGGGAGTTGCAAGAGCATATTGAAAACGGCGTTCACCAAGCATGGAGTGAAAGAGATGAGAAAGCAATGCTGCAAGAAATGTGCATGTCAAGGAACATGAAAGATCCGATCGCAACAAACCGTGCTTGTGTATAGCTGTGTACTCTCCATGTTTCGTCATCCCGACCTGTCATTATTACCTCGAGTAATATTGAATAAGTATGCGCTTTTCGTTGCTTCCTCAATCTCCTCTTTGCACTCTTCCCTCTATCGTCCCTGCTGTACAGCAAACTTGTACTGGTCCTTGCGATCCAGATATACAACCTTTTGACTCAATCCTGCCCGCTCCATCTCCTTTTTGAAGTCATCCAAAGGACTCAGGAAGACATCATAGTCACTGTCGTACGATATCGATCAGCCATTCGTTTCTTCAGCGTCAAGGAACCACAGGAACTCACTCGTAATGTATCGGGATAGTCAGATCAGGGTTGATGAGTCTGACAAGCTCAATGCCTTGCTTTGCATCCATGGTGACCATCAGTAGCGGCAGCTTGGGCGATGGGATCGTGGTGCCACCAAGGTGAATCAACATCAAGTCGATATTCTGACCCTTGTAGCGCTCTGGGATTTCCTTAAGCTCGTCAACCAAGAGTGTGTCACCCGAGATGTAGATACTGGCAGATTCTGTTAGCTGTCTCGCGAACGTCATGGTAACAGATCCAATACTAACCGATATCCGTTCTTGAAGCTGTCAGTGGAGCTGCCATCGCCTTCCTTGTAACCCAACTCTAGCATCCAGCCATTAGTCGGAGGAACAGCACCGAGCAGATCGTTGGCCTTGCTCAACATTCCTTGAGGTACGTGTTTACCAGGCATACCGGTCACCTTGACGGCTGGTACCCTCTTACTGCTTGCCTCATGAGTAGTTCCAGATTTGCGAATATCGACATACATGCTCTGGAAGAAATCCAGATCGTAAACCTGACTGAAAGACTCATCTTCACCTTTCGAGGTCAGATGATCTTTGGCGTGAGGAGTAGTGATGATGGGCAAAGAACGACGAAGCGAGGCTTCGACCTTTTCATCAAAGTGGTCCGCATGGTAATGGGACAGCAGAACTGCATCAATGCGAGGCAGTTCGTGTAGACCTAATGCTGGGTTCGTCTGTCTTGTGCCAGTCACACCAGGTCCGAGATGGACGTGATCTCCAGCATGCAAGAAGTTGGGATCTGTCATGATGCGAACACCTTCCCACTCCCTGTTATAGTCAGTGTTCAAGCTCAAGCAGTCGATGCATACCGTCCTGAACTCACAAGATCGTCGTCGCAGTGCCGACAAAGTACAGACTTGCATTCTCTCCTCCAGCATTAGTAGGATGAAGTTTGGTCTCCTTTGCCTCTGGCAGGCTGCTAGGATAATGTTGATGGTCACGAGTAGGAGCCTCTGCGTGAGAAGGGTCAAGGACCAGATTCTTCGTCATTTTTGAGGTTACTTTGATTGAACTGTTGGTTTGTGATGAGAATTGAGTATTGATATCGAAAGACATGAACGTAGATGAATCTATGGAAGTGGGATACGCGGCAGGAGATGGCTACTACTTCACTCTAGAATAATATCCGATGTCGATATCATCACGTCACAGCTGTCATGCGTGTGCGGGGTGCTGACAATCATCTAGACTCGTTCAGAGAGATGCGGGAGGGTATCGATTCTTCTGAACATTCACTGATCTTTCACTGAGCCATGAACATGGATCTGAGATGGATGCTCCCCGTGTGCAAAAGCATTGTAGCTGTCTCAAGGCACGAAATTACCTAGATCTGGAGCGTTAGCACTGGGATATATCGTTCCAACGACTCCCTACGTCAGGTGTGTCGATAAGAAATGTATCTTGCGTTACTACAGCTCGTTATCGTCCTGCTCTGCTCACTGAGAGTAGATGAACCTAACACACGGTGGGGATGTGATAGCGTTAAGAGCCGCGAAAGTATCGTCGCCGCAATATGCCTGGCGTGACCCTGGCCTACGCGTGAATCGCGTCTCCTCGGGCTTCACGTCTGCCTGAGGTAATTGTCCGTGAATGAGTTGATTTCTGTCGCGACACAAGTGTAAGATTCTTTTGTAAAGTCATGAAGAAGCAAGGAGCTTGAACAGACATGATGTCAATCCGACTCGGAAGAATTACGCCAACTCGGTAATATCCTCTACAAACAAGGGAAATTACATGAAGGTGACGATTAGGCGAAATTGGATGTGGCAGAGACCGCGAGATCAAGCTAACACTCGCCAGCCATCGAATGCTACCGAGATGCAGCAAAGGCAGATGTATCCGATCCTGCTCCTCTGTCGAATCTTGCTGCAGCACTTTTCGAGACAGGACAGTATGCCCAATGTGTGCTTGAGACAGACAATGCTAGTCGGCTCGCTAGCGAAAAGGGCCAGGTAGATGCCGTCTTTACCACCAAACTCGATGTCAGGAAGGTAAAAGCACTTGCCATGTTGGATAGACTTCCGGAGGTTCTGGAGATAACCAATCGATACGAGTCGAATTCAGAGGTGAACGTTCTCGCACTTGCAATCAAAAAGCTACGATATCAAGTTCTTCGGCACTCAATCGAGAAAACACCTGTCTGGAGCAACTACAAAGGATTGAGACCAGAGCGTTTCTCAAAAGTCCGTCCCTTTCACGACCCGTGATTCGAAGCAGCTACTCGACAAATCTCGTCCGCTGAGGAAGTTCTCGCTCAAGTCGTTCAGAGCCGAGCTGACCACGCTGACTTCCATATGGCTTCCTGCTCTCGGCGTCAATCTTCTCAGAGGTAACGACGTACTCTCGGACCACACTTCGATACGCGAGTAATCTGTAACCTTGGCCACATCAACTGGGACATGGGCTTCGAATCCTCATTTATCCTAGTCTTCATCAACATGGACATCGCCACACCATCAGGACCTCGCCCGATCATTCGACTCCGTCTACTTCTGCTCAAAACCGAAGAGCAACTCAAAGACGCACTGCAGCGACCACGCGACGTACGAGAGAAGGGTCTGCACATAGTCACTACCTGGCGATTCGAGACTGAGACTAGGACTGGTCGCTTCTGGATGCGCGAAGATATCATGAGGCAAGTTATGGATAGACGAAATGGCTGGTATGCCTGTATACGGAGAGTTGATAGATGGGATATCGTAGGTCAGCCTGTCAAGGCTTCCAGTGCTGCAGTGAAGGATCTGGCTGTAACTTGGGCTGACTGAGTTGACCATGAATCTGAGAAGACGTCCATAATGGCAGTCACAGATCGCAGCGGGTTCGTCTCTACCGCTTCGATGGAAGGGGCTTTGTTTCTCTCGTCTCCTTGAGACCGGGGTGTCATGATTTCTCTTCCAGGGAAGCCTTCCTTTCGTTGGTGTGCTGGCTGTAAGAGCTTAGCGCTTAGAAGAGATATGATATTTGGTAGTAATATTCCTATGACGCTGCTAGTTGTCTGCTCCAAGTAAAGTCATAAGAGATTGAGTGTTTGCAAGAATCTGTTGGTACATTCGTGAGGTATATGTCGCAAAGCAAACAGAAATACGCCGAGGGTATTGAGGGACATTACAAAACCCTACTTCGAAAATGTAAGAAAGGAGAACTTTTAGTTTTGCAAAACTAGCTTAGTAAGTGGACAGGGTCGAGTTGCTGAACCAGGAAACAGCAGCCTTGACGACTTGCACGTCTTGGTCGACGGAGCCACCACTGACACCAATACCGCCGATAAGGTAGTCGTCTTTGTAGAGAGGAAGACCGCCACCGAAGACGACGAGACCACCGTTAGTCTCCTCGACACCTAGGAATTGATCAGCTCGTGAAACACTTTATATCTGTTTTGAGAGCACAAACCGTAAAGAGCACCCTGAGCAGCAGCGTTCAAATCGGCGGTAGCCATGCCGTTGAATAGAACACTGGTACGAGCCTTCTTAATGCTAATATCGATGCTGCCGGGATAGGCGTTGTCCATGCGGTGGAAAGCAACCAACAAGCCACTAGGGTCGACGATGGCAATATTCTCAGGGATTACAGTGCTGGCCTCTCTGACAGCAGCGGCGATGATGCTCTCAGCTTGGTCGACTGACACAACGTGTCTCTGATTAATGTTGTCAATGCAAATTCCGCAGGATAATGAGGCAGCAGTGATTACCTGTGCGGGAAGGCTTCCGATGCCGTTAGTGGCAGTTTTGTTGCCAGCAGCAAGAGCACCAAGAGACGAGCCCAAGAGTAGGGTGAAAGTCAGGAACGACTTGATGATGGCCATCTTGGAAATTGGTGATGTGTGATGATCAAACAAGAATTCTGAGGTTATGTGTGGTCTCTATTAGAAAGTCGCGTGCTTCGGTATATAGCGATGTGATATAGAGAAAAAGCAATTGGCCGACGCGATGGGAGAAAACGTCTTTTGTAGTCTAACAGTATGGAGCCTTCTCCAATCGCCAAGGCAAAAAGGTGAGTTGTAGTCTGGATCTACCGAATGCTTAGACTGCCTGCCCAGCAGGGGCGGCTATGTTACTCCGAGGGTTAAATTAATATGAGAATGCCCTCGACAGCGATGGTTCCGGAAGATCACTAGTTTCGCAATACCCGCAAGCGAGGATACCTATCCGCGAACCACTATCATCAACATCGATGGTGCTGTGGAGAAAATCCTTCACGTTTCATCCGCGAGTCATGGTATACAAGACCTTCTTTGGTCCTTGGTGGTCCAGGTCGATGTAGTCATCAGGATCAGTGGCGTGGTTGAGTTATGGTCAAGAAGGCTTCTTTGCTTGCTGGAGAAGGTAGCTAAATTGCTTTTGCATGGACCGAGCGTGCCCATGGTGAAGCTCTAATAGATGGGTCTTTGCCAGAAAGGGAGGCGCAAGCGATCCACGTGGATAGTAAGTAGAACGCGCATCCATATTGCGAGTCTGCGATAGAACGACCAATATGCCCTCGAAGTGGCACAGCCATGTTTCGAGCTGAGATGCGACTTTCAGGCTTACGCAGAAATTGGCAATAGTGAAGCACGAGTACACCACGACGTTCAAGATAGTACCTGCCTGAACAAGGCAGGCTCATCGTCACGAAACGACCGAGGAAAGAACGTTGGCCGTGCTTACCGTGATCCGAACCTCTGCCGTCCCTGACCCCGGCACATCCAAATGTTCAGCGGAAGTCCTTTACCCGTTGAGATAATATTGAGTTGCTGCCGATTCCACGTCGAGCGCCTACCAGCGCTGAGACGAAAGACTGAACGAGCTCCCTTCAACCTCGCTTGTGTCATTGAGATGCAATTCGCTCCAACTTCGACCGCAACACGCAAATCAAAGTCTGCGGAGTTTGTGTGCTTTCGTGGCTCCGTGCTCGATGCCCTGAGTGTTGTGCCTGTTAGCCGGGCTTTCCACGGACTGTCCAACAATGACTCTGACGGAGTTGCGAATTTCATGGTTGACCTATTGTTGGTCGGTCGGCAATGACAATTAACCACTCTCCAGGACCAATCATGCACTTCCACGAGTCGTGAAAGAATGAACATTGAGAAAGCCCTATGTGCTTCACGCGGGCTCGTCATAGCGAGACTCTTACCTCCGCCGAGGTGAAGTAGACAGAACGACGTCAACTCCATAGGTTCAGCTGATTATCCTGGGGGTTATATCGTGGTCAGTTATCAAGGTTTGAGATTCAAGTTGCGAGCAAGATTGTGTTTCGGGTCCGTACCTCTTCCGAAAGCCTGTCTCAATCGATTGCAACACAAGTTGGCTGCATGCTACTATCTCGCCGTAACCCATATGCTTGGACAGCTGATGCTTACACTCATGAATTGAATCGGTCTTCGACTGTGCTGCCCTCATTGACGCCCTAGCATGTCAAAACTCAGCACTAACTGAGCAGTAACAATGTCCAGAAGATAATCAGCCCGACAGCGTTGCAAAGACGTTACTCATCTCGTTGCCAACAACGAAGATGCTGTGAATTTGCCCTATCAGACAATCACTGCCTCATCTCGGTTTCCGGAGAGTACAGGCGCATGTGTTATGCGCATGTCCACTCCACATGTCGCCATTGCAAGAGTGTCAATCAGCTCAACCATCTCGTGGATGTCATGATCGTTGTCCAGATCAACACCCCGCCAAAGTCCCCGAAGCCTCGGCAAAGTTGACTGGCTTCAGCTAAGATATCAGAACAAGTAATTAGCTTCCAACTTACAACGGCGACAAAATTTACTCAGAAACCCGATAGATAATCTCGCGCCATGCCAGCTGTATCTATAAACGCACCGGAACATGCCAAACCACAAGATGGTTACTTCAACCTTGGAACCTATAGCCGCAAGATCAGCACCAAGAGCCCGGAGGCTCAGCTCTGGTTCGACCGTGGCTTGATATGGGCGTATGGATTTAATATCAAGGAAGCATCGATCTGCTTCGAGAAGGTCACAAAGCTGGATCCTGGTTGCGCTATGGGGTATTGGGGCATTGCCTACACGAAAGGCCCGTATTATAACAAAGCGTGGCGACTCTTCGATCCGAAAGAACTCCAAGAGGCACTTGTGATTACCTACGAGACTTCACGTAAAGCACTTGAGCTGTCAGACAACGCGACACCTGTCGAAAAAGCTCTCATCAAGGCTATCGTCGCTCGCTATCCCCAAAAGACGAAGACCGACGACTATCAGCCATGGAACGTGGCGTATGTCGATGCCATGAAGGAAGTCTATGAGATCTATAAAGATGATCTCGACGTGGCCTGCCTGTATGCCGAAGCACTCATGGTTTTGACGCCTTGGGCTTTGTGGAACATCCATACAGGAGAACCCGGTCACGGCGCTCGACCTTACGAAGCAAAAGAGGCTTTGGACCACGCTTTCACTCTTCCTGGAGCCTGGGAGCATCCGGCTCTGCTACACTTCTACATTCATCTGATGGAGATGTCCAAGACACCAGAGGTTGCTGTGCAAGCAGCAGATAGTCTGCGTGGCCTTGTACCTGACAGTGGTCACCTCGAACACATGCCATCTCACCTTTACGTCCTTATCGGAGACTACAGGGCTGGTATTGCAGCCAACGCGTCTGCAGTTCGTGCTGACGACGCGTATGTGGCCAAAATGCAAGGCAACGAGATGTACACCTTCTATCGCGCTCACAACTCTCACTCTCTGATCTATGCCGCCTTGCTTTCCGGTAAATCAGAGGTTGCCTTCCAAAACTGTACGTTGATGGAAAACTACCTACCCGAAGAGCTTCTCGCAATCGAATCTCCCAATATGGCGGATTGGCTGGAATCTTTCTTGGGCGTTCGTGCACACTTGCTCGTCAGGTTCGGCCGCTGGGAGGAGATCATCTCGTTGGAGATGCCCAAGAACAAGAAGCTGTACTGTGTGACCACCGCCACCCTCCATTATGCCAAGGGAGTGGCTCACTCTGCACTCGGAAACATTGCTGAAGCTGAGAAGGAGCAGGAGCTCTTCCTAGCTGCTCAGAAACTCGTGCCTGAGAGTAGGTTCGACTTCCCCAACAAGTGCACTGATATTCTCAGAGTGGGCGAGGCCATGTTGGCTGGCGAAATCGAATACCGCAAGGGCAACATCGATCTTGCTTTTGAGCACTTACGAGAGTCGATCAAGCGTGACGACAATCTCGTTTACAGCGAACCTTGGGGATGGATGCAACCCACACGCCATGCATATGCCGCTCTATCACTTGAGCAAGGCCGTGTTGAGCAGGCAGCACAAGCATACGCAGAAGATCTTGGCTTTGTTGCTGACATTCCTCGCGGTCATCAACATCCCAACAACGTTTGGGCATTGGTCGGATACAGAGAGTGCTTGAAGCTGTTGGGACGCGAGGCCGAATACAATCAGCTTGAGCAACCATACCAACTGGCGATCCAGATGGCGGACATACCTGTGACTTCATCCTGCTACTGCAGGGGAATGAGTGAGCAGACAGAGAGCAAGGATACAAAGTGTAATGGCTCCTGCTAACTTTGTCTTAGAGCCGAGAGGTCGTGGATGCGAAAGAAGGCAATCTAGAATATAGCTGAAATGAAAGCTCTCACCACGAAGCACACTTGAAGACGTGACCACCGATCAATATATCTCTCGCTCCACTCTGATCTCCGCAGAAAAAGAAAGCAGAGCTTCCACGGACGAGCAAAACAGAGATGCTCTCACCAGCCAAGACTAGAGGGCAAAAAAGCAGTAGTGCTTATTGCGTCAAAGTCAGGCGGGAATCGAACTAGTGAACTGTGTCTTATACGACAAAAAGACACAACGCCGGCTACCAGGAAAACCCTTCTGTGTCGATTGGCAAAAAGAGGCTTCGAAGGCTCGAAGGCGCCAGTCGTCCTGACCGGGGCACTGGCAACCAGAAGGCTTCTATTCCTCTTCCTACTACAGGCAATGGAACCAGTCGTCCTGATCGGGTCCTTGGCAACTGAAAGCGTGTAACATAATGGTGGCTTGCCGCTTGCGCTAAACAACCATTTTTTCCTTATGATAGGCTGCCAATCAAAGTCGTATATAACCCTTCCAATCACCCTGAGAAGTCTTGACATCTTCTGGCGCGAAGATGTCGATGGATGCTTTCTTGTCAGCCGTCTGGCCTGATATGTGGTCCGGAGAATGTCTTTGAGGCTTGCGCCTCAAAGATCCGCCACCTTGTGTTTCTGCTACTGCGCGTTGTGTCTTGATCTCACTCAAACCCACTTTGATGATTCAGGCGACTGCTAGGGATCAACGACGATGATTTAGAAGAGGTAAAGATGGTATACAACCTAATGTCCCAGCATATCGACATGCGTCTAGAATATCGTATACCCGTTCCATAACAAGAAACCAACATCTACCACAATACTAGCAAGAGCATATCCCAACTTCATCTCAATGACACTCCAGATCCACAGCGTGCCCAGCGGAGGTGCCTGCTTCATAACCGCAAAGTAGTCATACGTGTTGCCCGCATAGATCATATAACAGCCCGAAGAGATAGCAATAGACAGACACAGCAACTGTCTAACTGTTTGATATCGATTTGCCATCTCCGTCTTCATCATGTAGACAATGAGAAACAGAATCGGATACGCAACAGCAGTGCGTTGATAGATAGCCGGCCAGTTGATTTCTTGCGCATATTGGTTATACACCAAGACATCCAAGGTAAAATGAATCATGGCCAAACTTGTCGTCAAGAAAAAGGATTCCCCGACAGGTCCGATGATGACTTCGTCCTCGTCTTTGGCGGGTAAAAGCACTCGTCCATTTTCATCGCGGGCCAGGCCGTCGGAGAGAGACTTTTCGAAAGGCTGGCCAGAGGCCATCATACCTTGAAGGGCGGCAGTACGTTCATCGGCAATTTCTAAGAGGGTTTTGCCTTTTGGACCAGTTCTGTCTGGTTGGGATAATGGGATGTGGCCGGCGGCGTTGATGGTTGATGTGGATGGGTGTTTTCCTGATTCTTTTGCTGCGGCACGGCGCTCCTTGCGATTGCGCGGTTGTTTGTCCTCGTCTGCCATAGTGATAGAAACCTGACAGCTTCTTTCTTCGTTTCTTGAGATCTAGGATATTCGACGTTCTGTGGGATTTCGAGAAATATTATAAAATTTAAGGGTCGTTCTCGAGAGTTGTCGTTCCGGCCCGCGATCGGCACGCTGTGCTTCAACCACCTCGGACCTCCATCTATATTTATCTTTGTACGAACAACCTCAGGCACAGATCCACCAAAGCATCTCAGGATTCTTGGAGCATTTTGGAAACGTTCGTTGTCGATACCGGGAATATGGAGATGCGCGGGCTGTATTTGGCCGCCATACCAATCATCATCTCGATACTTTGGCTCTACACCAGTGTCCTCACCTCTTCATTCCCCATGCTACGGAACAAACGGATATGTCTCTTGATCGCCCATCCAGACGACGAAGCAATGTTTTTTGCTCCCACAGTACTTGCTCTCACCCGCCCCGAACTTGGGAATCACGTCAAGATTCTCTGCTTGAGCTCCGGAGACGCGGATGGCTTGGGTCACATTCGAAAACAAGAATTAGTGAAGAGTGGGTTACTGCTTGGTCTGAGGAACGCAGATGATGTGTTGGTTCTCGACGACGAAAGATTTCCCGACTCAATGATCAAGACTTGGGACAGCAAGGCAATTGCAACTCTACTGGCTTCCACGTTTGCACCGAAAATGGCAAAAATGGGAGCAAAATCTACTCCACAAGCCAACATTGACGTCTTGATCACATTCGACACCACTGGTGTTTCTTCGCATCCGAACCACATTTCTCTCTATCATGGAGGTATTGCTTTCTTGAAGCAAATTATGCAAAAGCATTCTGGCTGGGAGAATCCAATCAAAATGTACACGCTTTCTTCTGTCAATATGGCTAGAAAGTATGCGAGTATTCTGGATGCGCCATTGACAATCGCGAGGACGGCATTCTCGAACAAGGAAGCTGGTGAATTTCCTGCTCCATTGTTGGTTGTTAGTGGTGTGGGGGGATGCAGAAAAGCACAGAAAGCCATGACGGATGCGCATGAGAGTCAGATGAGATGGTTCAGATGGGGATGGATCAGTGTGTCAAGATATATGGTTCTAAACGACTTGAAGAAAGTCAAAGTCGTTTGAGTGGACAGCAAAATGTTACCTTGCTTATGGAGACATCTACACGGCAGTTTCGTATGCTGTGTAATCATGCTGGTGCCATGCAGCCCTATGGTATGATCTTCGAAATGCATGTTACGTTCCGAGACATAACAGGCGGGTTTCTGCATGGAAGACAAAGGCACATGATCTTGCCAGCGCAATATTTCAGAAATCGCTCGCCACGAGGAAAACAAGCAATTGACAAGAAAAGAAGCAACAAAGAAGCAGTGAAACCAGGGCTCCAGTACCTGGTAGAAACCAGGCCAGCACTCAGGGGATCGTGATTGTTTAGTGGTTCAAGCAAGTAGTACCGGAGAGGGGCATCCAAAGGCTGACATATCTGCACGACATCATTTGTACAAACGCCCAAAAAACAATACCTGTCTCCAAGAAATCAAGAATCAAAATGTTCTGCATAGGTAATCAATCACAGCATGCAACTGCCCATTCGACACTTTGCATTTTCTGACCGGTTTGCCTCTTGTAGCTCTTGTAATTGTTCGACGGTTTTGTATGTCATTGTCTCGGCGCGTTTGCTCTATATAGCTTCTTTTCTTTTGTCGAAATCCTCAATAATGTCGTGTTTCGGCTTTGATGCTCTAACTAAATCATACCTGTCACATTGCAAGATCATTTTCGAGCATCTACGCACGAGACACGGGATGTTGTCGCTCATCAAAAAGATCAGTAGTTCGCAACAGACCCGGGCCAGTACTCCCGAGCAGGCAAAGGAGAATGCTGGTGGTGATGACACGAGGCACCAGTCCGAACAGCAAGAGGCTGCTCTCGACGTAGACCCGAGAGATCCTGAGAGGTACTATACCTTCCCTCGCTTCGAGGACGGGTAAGTTCAAATCCCATCTCTTACAACAGACACGATCGATTGTTCGAAAGTCATCGTGCCTCTTTACAGCTGCACGACTAAACAGACATCCAGAGACGAGAGACACGATCCGGGCACCACTCGCGAAGAGCAGCAGCGCGATCCGGGCACCTCAACCGAAGATGACCAAGGCTCCGTCTCTTCAGCAAAGTCCTCCCGCGAGCAGGGATTCCACACCTACACAACCAGAACCACAACCACAGCCACGACACCCACCCGCACACCCACAAAGACACCGACCTCCGTATCTCCCCCTTTCTGGCCCATCTCGCCCGTCCCAAAGAGACTCCGCAGCAATGCAAACTCCCCCAGCCCACCTCTCCTCCAGAGACGCGCTGCAACATCACAATCCCTGTCTCCAGACCTACCTCGTGTACAAGCTCCCAGCAGATCTTCTGCTCAAGTTCATTCGCTACCCTCAAAGTCTCCTGTCACCAAAACCCATTCTTCGCAAGCAGCACGTTCGTTGAGAAGTATTTCGGCCGCTGCATCGGCTAGAGTTGAGTACAAGAAGACTGTGGTGAAGAGTCCGAAGCAGGGAAAGGATGGTCGGAGTCCTGGTGCACAGAAGCAGAAACGTCTTTCTAGCCATTCTCAGGGATCGCCAAAGAGGAATGGTGGAAGAAAAATTAGCGGAGATTGAAAAGGTGCAGCTCGGGCTTCAAGGTTGATGGATGAATTTGCTCCATGCATTGCAACAGCACGAATTATTATTGCGGAGATGAGAAGTTCTCAGATGTACATAACAAAGGGCACTACAAGATAGCTCGGAGAAGGATCTAGAAGTCAATGATAACTTCTTCTCACCCAGAACATGGATACGGTTGAACTTTTGAGATTTCTTTTGCTTCGTGAATGGTGTTTGAGGTATAAACAGAGAAAAAGAGGTATACTAAACCTAAACACTGATGGTCTTGAAAACATTGAATCCATTGCCACCAGTAGCCATGAGGGCACCAGGGATTTGAGGGTGCCAGTGAGACTCCTTGATCTGTTCCATGTAGTGAACGAACAGCAATTGGGGCGGTACATCCTGGACGCCGGCGGTATCACGCGACTCTTCGTCATCGAGCTCAACAGCCAAATCCCAGAGAGTAAGAGTGTTGTCGCCAGAGCAGACGGCGACAATTGAGTCGTCGGTAGGGTGCCAGTCGACGCTGGTGATTTGCTCCTTGTGGAATTTGAACGAGGCGACCGAGTTTGGCTTGGGCGAGGTGGTGACCGAAGGCTTCCATTGGCGCAAATCCCAGACAGCCCACTCACCATCTTCGTGACCTGATGCGAGCAAGTGGGTAGTGTTGCGAGACCAGGAGAGAACGTTGACATCGGTGTTTGCGACCTGGACGCTGAGAGCGGGCTTGCGCGACTTGGAACGAGCGTCCCAGATCTTGACAGTACCGTCTGCAGAACCAGAGGCAAAGACGTTGCGCTCTGAAGGAGACCATTGCAATTCCTCAACGGAGCTGCTGTGACCAGTGAAGGGGGTTGTGTCAGTAACGAAGCCACCACCCTCAGTGCGAGTGGTGGCGAAGATGCGACCATCAATGTCACCAGTCAAGAGCTTGCCTGCGGGGAAAAGTGGTGACCAATCGATAGCGTAACCTTCGGTCTTCTTGTGTGCGCGGATGGTGCTGACAGGCTTATTTTGTTGGGCGGAGATGGTCATGCCAGGGTTGTCGAACGAGGCGAGGTGAGGAGTAACGTCGTGGATGAAGACGTCGCCAGACTCTGTCATGACGGCGCTGAGGGTGGTGGGCGGAGTGGATGATGAGGCTTGCGGGGTTTGGTGGACGCGGATGCGGTTTGTGCATGTGTTCAAGGGGATGTCCTTGGTCTCGAGGATTGGCTCGAGCGATTGTTCCTCCTCGTCATCATCCTCGTCCTCGGACTCTGATTGTTCACCGCGGTCCATACGGCCCAGACTGCTCATCTTCATGACCATGATGCGGTTCTCCTTCTCGCTTCCTCGTGCGGCCTGGGTACCTGCGACGGCGTAGACGGTTTGAGGGTAGGATTTGCGATTGTCGCCCAACTGGTCCTTGACGATGTCGAAAGAAAGACATGGCCATGGAGCTTCCAAGTTGTGCAGCATCTCGTATGTTGAAGTATCCGGGGCCAGTGTCTGTCCAGCTTCGAGCTTGTGTCGTCCAGGAATAAAAGTGTCTTGGTCTACATCCATGGCTGTTTCTTCCAATCAGTACTGCAGTCTGTTTAGTATTATCGAGGGTCACGCACCCTCACGCTCCTCAGCTTCGCGCTCCTCGTCGGGTCTACCGTCAACACCGGCCTCCAGAATTTCATCCTCGCTCTCGAATTCATCTTCAAACTCGTCCTCAAAGTCGAGGTCCTCGGGCTGACCGTCCTGCGGTCTTTGACCCGACTTGAGAGCGCGGATCTCGTCCTCCTCAGACTGGTCTGCTGTACGTTTGCTCATTATGTGTTGTGGATTTGTGGCGGCGATGACAATGTGTTATGGATTGGCTTTTTCACTCAAATTTGGCAACCTGTGTATTAAAAGCGCTTATCGATAAGAGCCGGGAAAGACTGTTTCGGCATGACATCGACGTGCCAAGAGTCGCGATCGTTCGAGCGGCTGAGGTGTGTGTGTGGCTGACGTGCAGCTCACAAGCAAACAAAGGCGCTCATCGCATTCATCCTCCCCCGCTCCTGCCTCATCGCTGCACTCTTTGAAAGACAGACATTCGACCTGGTGTCCTTTGTATCGCGCGCTGGACCGTGTAGCTAGACGACTTGATTGACCGCCTTGCGCTTTGACTGGTAGACGAACAGCTCCAAGGCCTAGTGCCCAATCTTCGATAACCCGCTGCTGTCACAAGCCATCCCTGTGATCTCTACCCGACCTCGACAGAAGTTGCGCCCAAATCTCAGGCCGCCCGCCTAGCAACCTCGCAGCAATTAAACAATGGATTACGCAGACCCTGTTCCGCAGCCGTCTTCGTCGCAAGATGCCTCGTTGGAGGACGCGAGCATGCACACCGTTACTGCCTCATCTGTAAACGCTCTCCCCCATATCCACAACCACAACATCTCCGACTCCGCCGACTCTGCCCGCCGTCCACAAACTTCCTATTCCGACACTGGTTTCGCTTCGAACTATCAATCTCAAGACAACAACAATCCCGACGCCCAACAGCAAGAAGACCAGATGCCGCAATACCCCTCCAGACCGAGCTCTCGTCTGAACCGTCAAAACAGCGACTACAGCGACCAAAATGCCCAACGACAACAGGCCCAGAAGAATGCTAGCGTTGTCATCAAGGTCGGAATGGTTGGAGATGCTCAGATTGGCAAGACTTCCTTGATGGTCAAGTACGTCGAGGGAAGCTGGGACGAGGACTACATTCAGACTCTAGGTATGCACCCAATCCTCACGCCGTCGTTTCATCACATTCACTAACCATCTCCAGGTGTCAATTTCATGGAAAAGACGATTAGCATCCGCAACACAGAAATCACATTTTCCATCTGGGACTTGGGTGGTCAGCGCGAATTTGTCAACATGCTCCCTCTTGTCTGCAACGACGCAGTCGCGATTCTCTTCATGTTCGACTTGACCCGCAAAAGCACACTCAACTCAATCAAAGAGTGGTACCGCCAAGGCAGAGGGTTCAACAAAACTGCCATTCCGTTCCTGGTTGGCACGAAATACGACCATTTTGTCAACTTCCCGCGCGAGGAGCAAGAAGAGATCAGCATGCAGGTGCGCAAATCAGGCAACAGATACAATTTCAAACCAATTCTTACATTCGATAGGCTAAGCGCTTCGCCAAAGCAATGAAGGCAAGTTTGATCTTCAGCAGCACAAGTCACAGCATCAACGTTCAAAAGGTCAGCTTTTCCACTAATCGCATATCCTGGACATCCCGCTAATAATCACCAGATCTTCAAGATTGTGCTATCAAAAGCCTTTGACTTGCGTTGCACGATTCCTGAGATTGAACATGTAGGAGAGCCTCTGCTTCTCTATCAACACGTGGGCTAGATCCTCCGATCAACTCGACCAATTCGCATAAACCAATCCAAACACCGTGTACCCCGCAAACAAAACACACCACATGTCTCACAGACGAGAACATCACATCGACCTTTCTCTTCTTCTCGCGTTTCCTAATCACTTTTTCGGCTGGGCTTTGAGAGAGAGGAATTACACACAGAATATTTGCATAGGATCGGAGAAACAGGGGGTGACTTTCTGGGCCAATGGGGCGGATTTGAAGAGTGTTCTTCGTCTGTTTTTTTGTTTATTCTATTGCATGCTCGATTTTAGCGAAAGAAACCACGGCGTTGTTTGTCTTTTATCGGCGAGAGATTGTTTTTGCATCTCCCGTATACATCAGGTTCTTCTTTACTCATAATATGGGTCTTCTGTTTGCAGAACGTCAGACTGAAACGAGGCTCGTTCATCCACAATAAGATCGTTGACTACCTGCTCTCTCTTCTAAGCGTCGAAGTTCTGTGCTGGAGATCATACTTCCATATGACCAGGTTCAGTGGCGTTGACTTGTCTACTTGGCCGTCTCGTTATGACTCGATAGCATCAATTCAGTCTTTTGATCATCCTGGACCCGCCGCTGCATCGAGCTCGTTTGTCTCTCTTGACCAAATCTCTATAGCCTTCGACGTCCTCATATCCCGTCCGTATAGCTTCGAACCAGCTCCGAGTAGACGTGAGAATGACAGTGAGAATGACAGAGAAACTCCATCTTATCCCCCATACAGTTCCTTGTCGATAGTACGCCACCAGACCCTTAGCCCCACCCGACCTCGTCCGATGCGCACAAGCCACAGAAATGCTCTGTCCCTTTGGCATAACCAACAGGTTTATGCGTCTTCCAAGGCAGCTGGTCAGCCACCCTGATACAGCTAGTACTGTAGTATGCGTCTTAGTCGTATGAGAGGATCCTGCTACCTGAATGTGTTGTTCTTGCGTGTTGCTTTGAAGTTTTCGGGCCTTGTACTTTGGGTCGTTGTGATAACGCTGTCTCGTCATATCAGCTGATTGTTTGCAGCGAGCCTTGCGATAGTCGTCGTCGTGGTTTGTTCTTTGCTTGTAAGAGAGTAGTCGTAGAGATGTTGGCTTCCATGGTGATGTTTTGATGGTGTGGAGAGTATTGCGAGAGTACGCCTTGAGATACGATCCTGGAACGTTCGAATATACAATCACCTTACGGAATCACAGCAAGAGAAAGCGAAACTTGAAGGCCAGAACACAACTCTCTTCATCCGCAGAAAGGGAGATGGACATGAAAATAACGCCGCCCAATGAGTAAAACTGAATATCGCACATCCGCCACTTGTTTTTCGAAAACCATCATTGCAAGAGCAGACTCAGATCTCGCTAGCCATTCTAATCTTTCTTTCCTGTCAGGTGTTTACCCTCGTTCTCGCTATCATCTTCACTCCACCTCTCGTCATCATCATCCTCTCCGCCAACTGCGAATATCGTTTCGCCATCCAAAGATTCTCTCGGCAATGGCGCTGGCTTTGTGGGCTTGGGTGCCGGCAAAGGCGATGCATCACGATTGGCTGCTGAGCTAGACGCATTGTTTCTAGGAGCGTCGTATGCTGGGGGTGCACCTTCAAGGTCCGGGTCATCGAAATCAAGAGACGAGCGCATACTTGCAATCTCGAAGCCTTCATCGTCTTGAGCAATCTACATGTTATGTTAGCAGGAGCAAACTCGTGTAAACATAGCGTGAAACGTACCTCGTCACTCATGGCGAATCTGCGGTTGTTTGCTGTCGGGCGCCAGAGCCAGGCAATAAATGCAACGTCGGCAAGATATACCAGATTGAGCCAACCATCCAAGATAAACCAGCGCGAAGACCAATGCGTAGGCACAAAGTCCTCATCGCTGACACCAGCAAAGGTCCAGCTGTTGACAAAGAAGAAAACGAAGATGACAACGATTGAGCCGAGGATGCACCACCAGAGCTTACGATACATCATTGCCTTGATTGTTTGCTTACGCTCCATCAAGTCCTTCATGGTGGCATTGAGCGAATTAAGCGTCCAGATGTAGAAGGCTGTCAATGTGGCTGCGAGAGGCAGGACTACTAGTAAGACCAGGGGACCAGCGTTCTCAGGCGTCACAGAAAGCGAAGCAATGACATAGACAACACCGAAGATGAAATGAGTAATGGCCAGCCAGCGGACCCAGATCATAGTACGGCCCAGACTAGGCTTTACAACGCCGTAGCCCATGCAGACAATCAGTAGCAAAAAGAAGCTGAAGGAATTTCTGCCTGCGGAGAGGACCGAGACCACGATGAGCAGCGCTTTTGCTCCTGTGCTGAGGCCATGTCTGTTCTGGAAGTCGTAAAAGAGCCAAGTCATGAATATCTCGACGACCAGGAAGACCAGAATGGCTGTTATGTAGTTCTGGACAGGCAGGATGTCGTGGCGGTTCTGGAAGTATAGGAAAGCCCATCCTGCAGACGCAAGAGCGTATACAAGGGTCAGAGCGCCGTAGAAAGGCAGCTTTGCGATTTGAGCAGCTGGCAGCTCACCGTAGCTGTTTCGGAACTCGACCACACCGTTGTAGTTTTCTGCTGTGTAGCCATATGTACCAACGCAGTAATAGCCAGTACGCTTGATAGGATAGTTGATGGCAGGTGGGTTCTTGAGATGTATGGCCTGAGTAATGATCAAACTCTTGCTTTTGCCCGAGTCCTGGGAAAGAATGAATTCGCCCTCCTCCGTGCCGTTGCAGAACTTGGCCTCGATAGCGGTAGCGTCGCAGATATAGGCGCGATCTGAAGTCGTATCGTCCATGAGCTTTCCAACGTAGTCACGGTCCGACCACTCGAACATAACGAGCGAGACGACGGGATCCTGGTCTTCGGGTATGTCTTCTGGCTTGACAAACTTGGTGAGAATGAAGGGGTCTACAGCTCCACCCCAGCCCTTGCGGCTGAACATGCCTGAGCATTGTTGTCGGTTTACCTCCTGCTGGTCCTGAGCAAAGTGTCAGTCACCTTGAACCAAGAATCGACTTGATCGAAGCAGCAGTACATACAATCTTGACTTCATTGCCTTGAACACCTAGTGCTAGCGACGAGAGTAGCACAGCAGTGCATAATTGCGACCACGACCGCATTCTCCCTTAGCTCTTACTTGTTGATCCCAAAGAATCTGGAGTCGATGAGTGTAAACACAAAGCGAAAAATGTGTCTTCCCTGGCTATCGCATCCCCCTCGAAGCTCACACGTCAGCTACAGACGCGTTCCGGCTGCAACTGCTCCGTGCAGATCGGACTTAGCGCCGGGTCGATCTTTGACTTGTGTAAGGCTGTGCATAACTGTGGCGAGGGCTCTGCTGTGGCTAGAACTGATAGGATTGATAGATCAGTGACATCGCTGTGGCTGTGTCTTCGATACTTTTCCAAATGCCATCATCATAGGGTCGACAAGCAGGTTATAATCAAGTTGCGCCGCTGGTCAAATCACAAGCTCCCAGGTTGCTGTTGCGCTGTCCAAACACCACTGTACCTTTCAGCAGTTAATATCACCATCCATCGACTCGTTTTAGTGCGACATTCTTCTGAAGCTCGTCGTTTCCCTCAGCAACCGCCTTGAAGCTTGACGCCCAGTTGCAACTTCCCCTTACCGTCTCAACACGCGCCGTGTTACAACAAGCTCTTGAGACACCATATTCCAAGACTTCTTTGTCTACCAGCATCCATCTCTATCTTTGAGTTGCTACACCAACTTGCCAGTATACAAAATCGGCTTGACTGCTGCGATCGATATAATCCACTTCTATCCAACAACTAAACGCCACACCGAGAAACACCGCAAACATGGCTGCTGCAGTTGGAAAGTACGCCGCCAATAAGATGTTGCGCGGCCAGATGGCAAAGTACCAGAGCAAGAAGCCTTGCGGCGACGAAGTAAGTCAAATCATCCACCATCTATCGATACAGCTTCGACCATTCCGACTTGTCGCAAACAATACATAAACTAACACACTCCTCGCAGGATCCCTTCTTCGTATACATCGACGACCCGCGCAAGCCTGGGAAGCAAAAGAAAGTCAAGAAGACTGTCCCCTCCTACATTCCTGAACACGATGCCGACGTCCTTGCCAAAATGCGCCGTCGCTCCTACAGGATGGACATGGCACTCTTCGAATTCCTCGGTACACGCTTCGGATGGTCTTCCGTCATTGGTATAGTCCCTGCTGCCGGCGACGCCATCGATGCTGGAATCGCTCTCTTGCTTGTCAAAGGCTGCATGAAGGTGAAGGGCGGTCTACCAATGGGTATTCTCATTCAGATGTTGATCAATGTCGCCATTGACTTTGTGATTGGTATCATTCCGTTTATTGGAGATATTGCCGATGCCTACTTCAAGGCAAACACCAAGAACTGCCGATTGTTGGAGAAGCATCTGGATAATCTGTACAAGCCCGATGCTCTCAAGACGGCTAATGGCCGCTCGAGCAGACCGACCCACCCAGCAACCGCCTACGAAGACTTCAGCGACGAAGAAGACGATCGCAGAGCTTTTCTCCAAGAAACCCGTCCTCAGAACAATGGCGCTCAAGATATTCGGCAACCCACAGTTCGCCAACCTGCACCAACCACCAATACTCAAGCGAAGAAATCGGGTGGTTGGTTCAGCTTTGGCGGCGATGGTACCAGAAGAGAGCAGGATCTAGAGAGAGGCGATATCAGTGGCCGTCCAGTCCGTGTGGACAACACAATGGAGACTGGTACTGTGCGCTCTGACCGTCGATGACCTAGATGACTGATTTATTGGCGTCCAGTAACTCTGAGACCTCAAGATCATTCTTAGTCGGGCGTCTTTGAGATGTTCGAGATGGAGCTGTGGCGAGACAGGAGGCTAGACTGGATTACCCTGGAGAGATGATGTTATGGCGTAGTGCGCGGTTTCTTTTTTTCTGTTTTTGTGAGCGAACAGATGTGCCCAGTTTGTTGATAGCGTTGTTAGAGATACCATTGATTGTTATGTTCTTCTTTACGTTGTTCATCGTCATCTCTTTCCTACGTGAGACCCTTGACATGTCGAGAGTCGCCAGGTTGGATGTCTAAAACTACAAGTCACCGCCACAGAGAAAGAGAGAAATTTGGCCCACGAGAATGTGATGTATGATATGCTTCTCTCATTCGAAAGGATACTTTAAATCCCCTTCCATTCTCATTATACAACTACTACCTCTTTCCCATCGACTGCCGAATCATCAAAGAGAGAAAACTGGAATAACAAAAGGCTGTCGTGATACGCTTTGGGATGAAACAACAACAAAAGAAGACGCAAGATGACGAAGCTGTCCATCACTCAAGGCGAAAACATAGGCACGCTCCTCAGACAGCCATAGCACAATGGCGGAGGTGCTTTGCCCTCAGCAACCAGTCCCTGCTCCGTCCTAGGCGTAAGCAGCAGAGGTAAGCCGCAAAGACTGCAACTCGCGTCTCCGGCTCCGACACCTGGGGCTTGTAGCTTTGCAGTCGTTCTAACCACGTTGGCCACAATGCTGGGATAGTTTTTTTCTACGGCGTCAAAGTAGTTGCGCATCAATCCATCGATTGTGCTGTGTTTTGCGCTAACCACTGTTTCCAGTGGTGGCTCGGGAGCGATTAGAGGTGTGAGGGGTGGGTTTGTGTAGGTTGCATAGGCGTTGATTTCCTTCTTTAGCAGATCGCGCATAGGGTAGTAAAAGTCGATGCCGTAGGGCGAAGGGCCGTCGGAGACTAGCCAGGCGAGAGCAAAACCTCTGCCCTTTGCGGTTTCCGCTAGAGTCTTCTCTGCCAGTCTTGTTGTGCTGTCGCCCCAGACGATGGCTTCACAGGTATCTGCTTTTGCGAAATCGACAATGAGTTTGTGGAGGAGGATTGAGAGGACGTCGGCGCGGGCTGTAGCGGTGGGGATGGCTTGGAGGAGTGTCTGTAGGCATTGGAGATTCGTGGTTTCAATGCCGTCGCCGAGAGGGGCTGGTGTGTCGATGCCGTATTGTTTAAGTAGGTCCTGCACGTCTTCCACCTCCATGACTGAGGAGATTGGGATTGATGTGTATGTGTGTGTTGGGTAGCGTTCCTTGACTACATCTAGCTGCGTCGCTGAAGGTCCCTCTGGTACGACAGCGGTCATGTCTACGTGCAGTATTTGCAGGGCAAAGCCAGTACGTCCAGTGTTTTCGATTTGACGTTTGAGTTGCTCATCCAGACAGTGTAGGAGTACCAGCGAGGATACGCCAATGGAGAGGGGGAGCAGTAGGGATCGTTGCTGGCCAGCAGTTGAGAATCTCGTGCGGAACTTTTCCATGCGCTTCACAGCCTTTGTTGCGATGTACTTGCAGAAACAGTCCCTGATGATGGTCAGTATTTTTGCGACCATGAGAGCTACGTCAGTTCTGCTCACCTGCACATGGGTCGTGAGCGAACATTTTCCACAGCATCGTTCGTCTGGCATTGCTTGCAGACACCCAGTCCAGTCTCCTTTGGTACGCTGGTCGGCATCGTTTCGTCGATCGCCTCGTTGCTCGCTCGAAAGTCGTGTGTGTCGATAAGATAAAGTGCTCCTTCAGGGTCCAATGACGATGCGAGTCTTGTTCAGTGAAAATGGTCTCGCGTACAGAATATCAACAGATTAAAAGTCGAAGAGGAGAAGTCGAACTGTTTTGCAAGGGAAGGAAGTGGGAATAGAAAGCACGAGAGCTGAGCTGGGCAAAAGTGTAAAACGAGACAGATGTCGGTCGCTCCGTCCGCACAGTCAAAGTTTGGTGGCATTCCCGCTTCGCCCAAAGACCTCCGCTTTCTCTTGCTTGACTCGGTCGAAAAGCCGTTGGCAAAGAGACCGAGTGGGCGGCTCCCTTCGGACTGACGAGACATGGTATGGAAACTCTGTTTCGAGCCATGTACAAGGGTATCTACCTATATAAGACCTCGATCATCTTTCGCATCCCTCCATCTCGGCAGTTCGCAGTATTGTAAGCATCCAAGCAAATCTATCAACCAGCTCAGCATGCAGGGTCGATAAACAAAGTCCCTCTTCTTCGTCTCCTCCTCCACGGATAACTTTCCGTTCCTGGTGAGCCCTGCCACTGCATGCGAGTCACCATCACCTTCCAATACTGTCACGTCCCCCTCTTCCTCATCGGCGAACCACATCCCAGTCGCACTCGCTCTCCGACTCGCACTCCAGTCTCCTGATCGACACTCACACAATCTCGGAAAGCAGTCATACAACCGTGCTGCCTTTTCCTTTCCCTACCTAACCTCTTCCTTGCCATCCTAACGCTGATCCCTACGAGTAAACACAAGAACAACATTTCCAAAACAAGTGCACTGCGCCCTAGTTTTATTTGCCTTTTCTTGCTTCGCCTACTTCGTGCCTACTTTCTCTTCCCTTAGCTTGGATCGCAAACTCCAAAAGGTAAAATACTTGCTTCCAATTCTTGAGATCAGAGACTCCAAATCTCGACGTTTCTAAGTGGGTTTGTCTGAGATGGTGGTCCCTTGATGACGGTGGTGGCGTCTGTCTTGCTCATCGTTCGCTTCGGCTCTGTCCGGCTGTTTTTGCCATGTGGGAAATCCGTCGGCGCCGGCCAATTCTCTGAGATGAATGTTGTTATCAAACACAACTACTTCGTCTATCAAACGTTCGTGCTTTTGGATGGTGAAGATGGTCGTGTGTGCACAAAGGTAGTCGTCCAGGTGCAAAGAAGGTGACATGAAGTCCCAAAAGACCCTGTGAGATGCCAATTGGACTCCATTGCGACTAATCCTCGAGGCGTCTTGAGTCTTTGCATAAAATTCACAATCGCCTCCTACGAACCTCGAAATCGAGGAGCTACGTCGTTCAATAAACACATCTCCAAGTGTGTTTGAACCCACTCCTTCCCTACAAGCCTCCCTCATGACAACTTCACATGCCAAAAACTCGCTAGACTTGTTTATTGCCTTGCACTCGTCTTTCAAATATACCATCTCTTCCAACATCATCAGTCAGACAAAGGCAGTTTCCCGGAAGAAACATTCCTTGCAACGATGCCACCAATCCTCAAGTCAAGTACCCATGAAGAAGTCCTCCAAGTCATGTCAGTCTCGGACATTACCAGCCAAATAAAGGGTACGGTCGCTTTCGTCTCTTGTTCTCACTGCACACTTTTTCGTCTCGGAAGAGCTTGTGCGAAAAAAGGTTGGTACTGAGATTTGACATTCTATAAAGCAAATGCACAGGCATTGTACCCGAGAGAGAGAAATCTCAAAGTGGTGACCGCAAGATCATCTAATGGCATGATCCATTATTGTGCCGTTGTCGGTGAAGAGGCCGCGGACCCAAGGTACCCAAAGATCATACCCGCTACCAAGGTTGTGCTACAAGGAGATGGTGCTACGGACAGGCGAACTGCCATGATGACCCTGCTCGAGCAGACCGAGAAGAAGGTTGCAAAGGAGGTACTCAAACGATGAAGGTCACATTGCACAACGAGTAGAGTGGCACAGAGTGGTACGTAGAACATGCTTTGGTATTAGAAACTGTCATAAAATATTCCTATAATCGATCACAGACACCACTATTTTATCATGATTGTTGCAATGTCAATCAAGTCAATCAAAGCAAGCCGCCTCCAGGAGCAATGTACATCCATGAGGTGTAGGGGACCCATTGTCCAGTTGGCGAAGGTTGTCCAGCCACAGATGCTGGAGTGATTGAGACCGAAGTGGTGACTGCGGCGACGATTGCTGAACCGGTACCTGCAGAGACAGTGGCGATGGTTGGTGCTTGACCACCATTGAAGAGGTTGAGACCAACTCCGAGAAGGTTGCCCAAGTTGGCACCTGTGGTTGGGATGGCTCCGACGCTGAGACTAATGACTCCTGGAAGAGAAGCTTGAAGGCAGATGAGGTTTGAGCATTGACTGCCACTGACCACAGATGAGACCTGGCTGGCAGCAGCAATGATGGCGTTGAGATTGGTTGTCACGGCAGGTGCAGCAGCTGGTGCATTGCCACCTCCAAGGATCTTGACGCCGACGTTGAGAAGAGAGTCAGCTGAACTTCCGGTTGGAACAGCAGCAAGGTCAAGACCCAAAAGCCCTGGAAGAGATGCCTGCAGACAGACAAGGTTGGTGCAAGTGGCGACAGCTCCGTTGGTTGCAGAGACGACGACACCAGAAACGGGAGATGGCGTGCCTGTAATTGAAGATGGCAAGGCTCCGCCGCCGAGTAGGCCACCAAGAAGACCACCAACAGCTCCACCAACGCCACCGAGGAGACCAGTCACCACTCCGCCAGCTGCATTTCCGACTCCTGATACAACACCACCCAATGGACCTGGAAGCGCGCCGGCAATACCACCAGTCAAGCCAGTGACGAGTGCACCAGCGCCTGCACCAACATTTGAGACAGCTCCACCAAAAGCGGTAGGAAGACTGCTACCAGCGGCCCCAACGTTGGATACCAAGCCTCCGACTCCTGATAGAACACCACCAGCAAGATTGCCGACTCCAGAGACCACGCCACCCAGAGGACCAGGCAGGGCACTTCCGATGCCGCCCAGAATACCAGTAGCAGCAGCACCAACTCCTGAGACGAGACCGCCCGCAGCTCCAGCGACGTTGGGGATGAGACCTCCAGCTCCGGATGCAGGCGTAGCGGCTGCACCACCAAGAAGTCCGCCGACACCAGAGAGAGCGCCGCCAGTAACTCCATTGACTCCTGAGACGATACCACCAAGCGGAGTAGGCAGACCGCTGACAACGCCGCCGAGAGCTCCAGTCACAGCACTGCCGACGCCAGACACGAGTGAGCCGAGAGGGTTGTTTGCACCTGAGGTAACAGGGCCGAGAGGGCGGGGACCGCCTGCAGGGCTGAGAATGCCCGAGCCGTTGGAGTTGCTCAGAGGTAGGCCAGCAGACATGGAGCCGTTGGAACTTGATCGTGACAGTGGAATGAGCGAGGTCAAGAAGCCAGAGCTACCTGAGTTGCCGAGTGGATCGGAAGATTGTGCATTGTTCCCGCCAGACGTTGGAGAGGGAGGCTGGACGTTGCTACCTCCAGCTGGAGATGAGCCTCCTGATGAGGGCGATGAGCCCGATGATGGTGACTGCCCGATACCTGCAGGAGCTACTGGCGGAGCAGCAGCATTGGCGGGCTGGCCAGCTGATGGATGATTGGGAGTTGTAACAGGTTGACCAGCAGATGGTGAAGATGATGAAGAAGGAGGGATGACTGGACCGGGACCTGCTGGGACAGGCACCGGAACATTGAGAGGAGGTGGATTGGGCATGCTTGGATTGAGGACAGATCCAGAGCTGGGCGTTGGTGCCGAGGTGGCAGGTGAATTACCCTTCCCAGAAGAAGTGCTGCTGCTACTGGACTGGAGACAAGATGCAACCAGAGCGGCTTCAGACTGCAATGCAGCAAAGGCAATGTCGATGAGACCACGAAGGACGGTGACATCGCCATTGTAGCGGAAGTCGTTGACGAGGGCATTGACAGTCATGCTAGAGACCTGCTCGTAGGACTGCGTCTGACCAAGGCTCTGTTGAGCGACAGCACTGCTGGCTGCAATGATGCAAGTGCCGGTGGCTAGCTTGATGAAATGCATGATGGCGTCGAGATAGATCGATGAAGCCTTGATGGATGTGGGTATGAGAGCTGGAGACTGATGGAGGATGATGGGAATCTGTGATGGGTTAGCCATTGCAGAATCATCATCCATCGGCCGCGATGGTACCTTTGTGTCAGAGGATTTGATGCAACAGTAAGTAAACAAGGTAAGGTAAAGCAGTAACAAGCTATCGTTGGAAGATGGAATTTTGGTCGATGTTTGGTTAGGATAGAAGACGGAGGACAGAGAAGTCGGCCAGAAGAGTAGACACGACTGATCTCTTCATCGAGGGAAGTCGGGAATCAGGTGCACTTTCCTGTACTTGAGTTGGAAGGACTGGCGACGGCAAATGACGTCCCGAGGGAGTTCCTCACCCGCAAACAACTGAAAATGCATCATGAGGCAAGTGCAATGCAACCAAGCTCTTACATTTCGTAGATTGCAAGATTGCACTAATTCAAGGACCGAACACCAAATTTGTGTATCAACAGCAGCGATCTTCGGATCTTTGAAGTTCCCATGCATCTGCACAATCAAGAAAACGATGATCGAAGGTTGCGTTCAACTATGGGAGAAGCTTGTTATCTCATGTGGACTACAAACTCGTGCAAATCTGTTCCCCATCATCATAAGATACACATGAATCATCCGTCATCAACAAGTCGTCAAGCTACCATGTTAGTCATGACCAGAGGTATCTACTGGTCGGCTGGGTTGGCACGAGCCACGGGCAGGCTTGGATCATTGCGGTAGTCAAGCCAAGTCTGCTTGCCATCTACAGTGCTATGAGCGGCTTCACCGATAGGGTGGCCACCGTGAGGCTTGTACCCTTCATGCTCTGGACCTATGTATTAGCACTTGACCTCGATGCATAGAAGGGGACAATTCTTACCTGCTTCACACGCCACCTCACTGAGCCCATGGCTATGATCATGCGAGCCAGTGAGACCTGATCCAGTGCCAGTGGTACTTGAGCTAGTTAGACCACTGGAGAGACCCGATGATCCGGTGCCGGTAAGGACAGATCCTCCGAGGCTGGATCCACCAAGGGAGCTACCACCATGATCTCTATCTTCGGTAAGGGAAGAGTCGTGAGTGCGGACGGGAAGAGCGTGGGTGTTGCCAGATGTATTAGCAGAGCTGCCATGGCCGGGCTGGTTGTGCCCGAAGCCAGCCATGGCTGCAGTAGCACCAGCGAGAGCTGTGTTGTCGCGGGCGCTAGAGTGACTGCTGGCACCAGGCAGATAGTCTTTTGCCTTCTGAGTAAGGCTCTCGCCAGTTCCAGAAGCACCGCCAGTGCCCCCCGAGGCATATCTGTCATTCTCGGAACGCCCCGAGGTTAGACCTCCAGACGATGAATGAGTTCCCGAGTGCTCAGCCTTGCCAGCCGCAGCGTCCGAGCCCAGACTGGCTGGCAACGAATCGGCACCCTCATTTCTGGTGTTTGAGTCGGTGAAGTCATCGCTGATGCGGTGTCCACCAAGTCCAGGGGCGGTCTTTGAGTTGTACAAGTACTTGTCGGGGTTGGATCCGTGTCCAACGACTGAGCCCAGGGAGCCATCCTTGTCTCGCTTTGAGCCCGTGCCGTATCCAGGTCCATCTTCACGGCTACCCAGACCAGTGCCATGCTTGTTACCGCCACCGACACCAAAGGTCTCGCGGACCTTCTCTGAGACGGGTTTCGAAGATGTGGTGTTCTCGGATGAGCTTGTGTTAGAACGGATACCGGAGCTGGTAGGCCCGCTAGTGAACCCGTTGTTTCCACTGTCACCAGTGAGACCGCTACTGCCGGTCAGACCACTGCCGAGTCCAGTGCTGCTGGTACTCTGGGTATGGCTGAAGGTTGATTGAGAGGTGAGACCCGAGGTAGAATCCTGTACAGAGCTACCAGTAAGAGCTGCGTCACCTTTTGTACATGTTAGCATACTCCACGAAGAAGAGTCCGATAGATAACACATACCGTCCAGGTTACCAGCATCGTATGGCTCACCGGCCTCTCCACGACCAAGCTTTCCCGAGACAGGTTCTACGCCTGACTGAGAAGTACCGGTAGCGACATTCTGAGGAGCCTCGCCGCCTGCAATATGACTAGTCTCGCCTTCCGAGTAGGACCGGTCAGTCTCGTTCGGTAGTCTGGGTGAATGTTTGCCCGCTAGTGTGGTTCGGGTGGCCGTGAAGAGTCAGGCTAGATAGTCTCTCAACATCTGTTGAACAGAAGTGATCTCGACTGCCAATGCAAGCTCTCCCGGTGTTGATACAGAGGGGATCTGTTGAATCGCTTACCTCTGTCCTCTTCAGCGGTACCGCCCAAGCCAACGTAGCTAGCGGCGACAGTTGCTGCATTTCTGAGAGTGTCCATGTTGTTGGTTCTATGTGAAATATGTGGTTTGTTTGATGAAGTGAGAACAATCGTAAATCAGATCAATTGAATAGGAACGTGAAGGAGGAAGTGTGAAGAGTTCAAGTTCAGGTTTCCCATGTCGTTCATGACGAGCGAGCTGTATTTATTATGTCATGGCGCGGGGTGACGATCCGGGGTTGATCTTGTGAAATGCGTGATCGCATCCGCATCCACTTGCTACGGATTGCTCCCCGTTTCGCCTTGCTTATGGGTACGCTGCGGCTCAGATCGAGATGGGTCTTCGCTACATCGAGGTAGTGCATAAAATCAAGTTTCTGGATTCGCACAGAAGGAGACATCATGGCATTGCTTGTTTGCTACTATCTGTACCTCCGCAGAAACAAGCTCAACTGATAAATGCATGATTTACAGAGGATCGATGCAAGGATGCGAGACATGATGTGCATAATGCATGGTAATTTGATCAACTGCCTGAACAGTTGCTATGGTCATGAACAGAGAGTGGGTATAAAGCTAGAAACCATGTTTGTCCAAAAGACGCCAAAACCCTGTAAATACAATCCAGGTCGCTACCAAACGAATGAAATCACTTCTTCTTCCTCGCCTTCATCAGAGCTAGAGGAACGATCTGAGTCTTTCCCTTTGGCTTGATCGGTTTACGACATGCTGGACATGTGCCGTAGTTGTGATCCGAACTGCGCTGACTAGCTATCAAAGCCTGTGTCAAACATTCATGACAGAAGATGTGCCCTGCAAGATATTGTCAGCCTTGTTACATCGACATGAAGAACGAGTAGACGGACCGCAGTGCGTAGCAGTCATGTTGGTGAAATGTTCAAGGCAGATCATGCAGTTCAAGTCTCCTATCCTGCTGACTTTGCTACTCTCTTCCCGTTGTTTAGTGACCAAGGCCTCGCGCTCTTTTGCAAGAATATCGTTGTCAGGGCCCAACTCTTCTATTTCGTCTTCGTCTGTGTCGTCTAACTCTATCGGAGCGGAAGGGTTCAGTCGACGCTTGGTCGCAGATGGTGGCGTCCCGGAAAACGAAGGGCGTGGACGTTTGCGGGGGGCAGTTGAGGAAAGCATTATGTCGGTGTCCTCCTCTTTCATGTGTGGTTGTTCGACAGGGTTCTGGTGGTGTGAGAACGACGGACCACTTCTGAAAGCACCAGCAAGAGATTCGTTGTCGAATCGAGAGGTCGACTGATTGGCGGGTGAAGGGTGTGTGAGAGGATTGGCTATGGAGGGATCGGTCGATTGATTGGTGAACGATGGGCCAGCAACGGTTTGGGGGGACGAGGATACTGCAGGTTGATGTGTAGTATTTGTAGCGGTCGTGTGTGTCTCCGGGTCGATTTCCTGGGGCGACTGAGGTGGTGAATAGAAGAAGTGGCTCGGGATGTAGCCAAAGCTGGATTGCTGAGTCGAGGCAGAGTGGACACGAGGAAGTGGAGGTAGACGGGGAAGAATGGAAGCTCGTGGTAGAAAATCGGCGCCTTCCCTCAGAGCGGCGTGCAGAGAGGCGGATGGGGTAGAAAGCTGTTGCGGTCGGGAATGTCCCGTCGTCGAATGATTCCTTGGTTGTGTATAGCTCGGCAGAGGCAGTCGCGGGTATGAAGACGAAGAGGAAGAGAAGTTGTATGGCGGTGGATAGTAGGCTGGAATGGGTGGATTGGTAGCTTGCTGCTGGGACTGAGAGTCCGACTCGTCGGCGTTCGGATTGTAATTCCAAGGTCTGCGAAGAACAGTGAGCCTGAGGAATTCAAGAAGCAGCAAGTGGTCGCTGGGTCGACGAACAAGAAATTGAAAGAAGGTCCATCAAAGGGCCAGTGATTACTCGATGGATAAGACATTACGGCGTGTGGATAGCGACTGCTGTGTTGGACGACGATCCCTCACGGCACTCCGCACAGGGTCATTGGGGCAGACTATATACTTGATGCGCAATACATGTGGAAGTTTGCTTGGGCTCGTTGCTGATTGATGGAGGTGCCGCTCTACTGCTGCTGGCCGTGTCGCACAAGAAACACCGTTCTAGTTGGTCAGCCGTCAGCCCTGCCTGCCTCGACAGACCAGACCAGACCAGACCAGACCCTAGACGCTCTTGCTGCATTGGGCCACGGATGTTCCAGGTGATCGGAGATGTGGCTGGTGGAAGACAGGTGTGGCTGGGTAAATCAGTGCGCGAGGTCATGATGTCGACTGCACCTGCAACCCGAAGAAAGTTCATACGTCCCCGCCATGGAGCCACTGGAAGTTACTTTTGACTACGCCCTCACATACATGCGCATTCCGTAGTGTACTTCACCAGTCCACCGACCTGGTACTATGGCCGCCAACTCCATGCGGTCGCAGCAAGCTTCGCTGTTGCGCCTGCGCCGTGTCGTCCAGCAGCGCCCGCCATTTCCATGTCCACGACATTACGCCACAGACGTCTCCCACAATGACCAATCCTCGCCTGCCTCGTCCACCAACGCCCGTCGCTCTTCTCTGTCCGTCCCGGCCGAATCGCGTTTCAATGCAATTGGTGTTCAGCAAATCAGTAGCCACATCTATCCTCAAGTCTTTGCTGCTAAAGCTCCACCGGCCCCCGAAGATCTTGTCCGCCTGTCCAAAGACCACTTGAAGCGCCATGATCTCTTGGGAAAGAACACCGACTCGTCTGAGCCTGTTGCCTTTGACATGCCCGAAATACAGGGTCAGACTCTGGACGAGCATTTTTACAAATTAGCCATGGATTCTGCCGAGCCGTACCTAGGCCTCGCAAGAAAGTACTCGACCGCAAATGCACCGCCGCGACCGAGAAAATGGGTCAGACAGAGTGGTTGGACTAAGTACAATCAGGATGGTTCTTCTGAGCCTGTAGAAGCGCCAGAAGAGGAAATGTTGACCTTTGACGTCGAAGTCTTGTGGCACCAGTCATCCTTTGCTGTCATGGCATGCGCCGTCAGTGACAAGTCCTGGTACGCATGGTTGTCGCCTTGGCTACTGGGCGAATCCGAAAGCGACCGTCATCTCATCCCTCTTGGAGACCCTCGAAAACCGCGCATCATTGTCGGCCACAACATCGGTTATGACAGAGCGCGGGTCGCCGAGGAGTACGAGCTCGATCAGTCGCGTAACAACTTCATCGACACCATGTCACTTCACGTTGCGGTCAACGGAATGTGCTCGAGGCAGAGACCTACCTGGAATATGCACCGCAAGAATCGCGAGACAAGAGACAAGATCGCAAATTCGGATGCTGCTGCCGATCTAGCTGTACTCCTGCAAGCAAAGGGGGACGTAGATGAGGAGGAGGAACTCTGGGTTGGTCGTAGTTCTGTCAACTCCTTGCGCGACGTTGCACAGTTTCATTGTGGCATAACTATCGACAAGGCTAAGCGTGAATGGTTCTCCGAACTCGATCGAAAAGGTGTCTGCGAAAAGCTTGATGAGTTGCTTGATTATTGTGCTGCCGATGTGGACATTACTCATCGAGTTTACAAAAAGGTCTTTCCAGCATTTATGGAAACATGTCCTCATCCTGTTAGTTTTGCTGCGCTTCGCCACCTTTCGACTGAAATACTGCCTGTCGACCGAACATGGGATTCATATATTGCAAACGCAGAAGCTACATATCGTAAGCTCTCGGACGCCGTGGAAGAACGACTGCATGCTCTGGCCAGCAAAGCGCTTGATATGAAGTCAGATCCAGAAAAGTATGAGAATGACCCGTGGTTGAGCCAGCTGGACTGGTCAGGTCAAGAGATTCGTATGGTGAAGGGCAAGAAGAAGGGCGAGGAGCCAAGACCTGCTGCACGTCAGAAGAAGCCTGGCATGCCCAACTGGTACAAGGACTTGTTTGCAAAAAATGATGCGCCAATTGGCCTCACAGTACGCACGAGGATATCACCATTATTGCTTCGCCTTGCCTGGGATGGCCATCCGCTAACCTGGTCTGACAAGCATGGATGGACGTATAGAGTACCTTTTGCGGAAGCGGGGAAGTACTCCAAGAGAGGGCTGCAAACATGCGACATGTCTGAAGAGGAAAATCTGAAGTTACGAGACGATCACACCCACGTCTACTACCGTTTACCACACAAGGACGGACCTCAAGCTAGATGTGCAAACCCTCTGGCAAAAGGATATCTACAGTTCTTCGAGAACGGCACACTCTCGTCCGAGTACACTTATGCCAAAGAAGCACTACAAATGAACGCTTCTTGTTCCTACTGGATCAGTGCAAGAGACCGAATCATGTCGCAAATGGTTGTATATCGAGGAGAAGAGAATAAGAAGGATCAGCTTGGGTTCATCTTGCCGCAAATTATTCCCATGGGCACCATCACACGGCGCGCGGTCGAAAACACCTGGCTCACAGCTAGCAATGCGAAGAAGAATCGCGTGGGCTCCGAACTCAAATCTATGGTCAAAGCGCCGCCAGGCTACTGTTTTGTCGGCGCAGATGTGGACTCCCAGGAACTCTGGATTGCTGGACTTGTGGGAGATGCTTCCTTCCAGATTCATGGCGGCAATGCGATCGGCTTCATGAACCTCGAAGGTAGCAAGGCACAAGGCACAGACATGCATTCGCGTACCGCTTCAATCTTGGGCATCTCTCGAAACGACGCCAAAATTTTCAACTACGGTCGTATCTATGGTGCTGGTCTACGCTTCGCCTCTACGCTTCTCCGCCAGTTCAACCCTACGATCAGTGACGCGGATGCAGACAGTACTGCTGATAAGCTGTACAAAACCACCAAGGGTGCAAAGACGACTCGCAAGGTCTTGCGTGATAGACCATTCTGGCGTGGTGGCACAGAGTCCTTCGTCTTCAACAAATTAGAAGACTTTGCCGAGCAAGAGCGACCAAGGACGCCAGTGCTGGGAGCAGGAATCACCGAAGCTCTGATGCGTCGTTTTGTCAGCAAAGGTGGCTTCATGACTTCACGTATCAACTGGGCAATTCAATCCTCAGGAGTCGACTACTTACACCTTCTCATCGTGTCTATGGAGTACCTCTCTCGACGTTACAACATCAACGCTCGTCTGTCCATCACAGTGCACGACGAGATCAGATACTTGGTCAAGGAAGAAGACAAATACCGCGCCGTTATGGCTCTTCAAGTCAGCAACATCTGGACCCGCGCAATGTTCTCCCAGCAAATGGGCATCCACGACCTCCCCCAATCCTGTGCCTACTTTTCCGCCGTTGACGTCGACACTGTTCTCCGCAAGGAAGTAGATATGGATTGTATCACTCCCTCCCACACCACACCCATCCCTGCAGGTGAAAGCCTGGATATCCTACAACTGCTGGCTAAAGGCGATGAAGCATACTTGGACCCAAACATCATCCCAACGGATCCACCCCAACCTCAAAAATTCTCCTATGCGGATCGAGAGCCTGTAATGACAAGTCTGCAACAAGCGGAAGCTCCTGCATACCTACGCGCTCAAACCACAGGCGACGATGCAGAATTACGTCAAATTATCAAAGACCTCCGCTTCCCTTCTTCTTCCCCTCCCTCTGCTTCCTCCTCCTCCTCCTCCTCCTCCTCCTCAACCACAAAACCCAAACCCTCCAACTCTTCCAAAGCCACACCGAGAAAGAAGAAGAACGAGTCAAAAGGAGACCCACATATGCAAAACCCATCTCTTCTAATGGTGGAAGATGAAGATGTACCGTTTGCTAGATATAGTGATCATAGACCTACGACATTTGCGGATTGGAGAGATGGTTCTGTGCATCATAGTTCTGGTGTTTCTGCTGCTGCTGCTGCCGCCACGGGGACGAAGAGTGGAAGTGCAAGTGGGAGGAAGAGTGAGGTCAATGCTGCGGCGGTGAATCGGAATTCTAATTGGTATCCGGGGTTGGTGAGGAAGATTCCTAGTGCTGTTGGGCCTTGATTTTGTTGTGGGCGAGGGGGATGGTGGAGATTTTTGTATACATGTCTTATGGTTTCTTTGGTGTATAGGTGGAGTGGTGGGTGTATTAAAGCATAAGGTGGGAAGGGAAAGAGGTGTTTATTTTGTATATTCTATGACCAATCTTTTCCACTCATCACATCTTCTCTTCTCTGACTGTCCGTCTACTCCTTGGACTGCACGGTCAAGGCAGGACCAAAAAGATCCTCACCCTCTCTAAAACTCTTTTCCCTCGCCAACTTCTTCCTCTCCGCCTTTTCTCCATCCACTTCCCCCAACGCCATACCACCTCTCTTGGTCTCCTCATTCCTCCCCACCAAATCCCTCGTCCCTGGATCCCTCACCTCTTCCAATCTCTGCTCCAATGCATTTCTATCCTCTTTACTCATAATGTCTTTTCTCTGGTCGAAGCTCGCCAACATGTCTGCACATCTTGCGATTGTAGAGACAATGATATCGTGAGCAGCTGCCGTGGCTGGGATCTTCGTACTGAGGTAAAAAGTAAAGAGGATAGGATCACTGAGTTTCAGAGCGGCGAGGTAGATTTGAGGGGGTGTGAAGAGGAAATAGACGTCTGTGAGGAGAGCTGGGGCGTCGAGGGTTATACGCGCTACGGTGTATGCACAATGGGCTCTATTTTCAGCTTCTTTGGGACCTATTTGCTGTGAAGGCTGCCATTGTGTCTTCGAGCCTGAAGGAGGTGGTGGTAGAGCACAGATCTGATTTTGCAGGTCTTGAGGTGTTAGGTTTAGAAAAGGCAAAGGAGCACCATTTCCAGCTGCCATGTTCAAGAGATCCATAAGACAACCTTTTAGCGCGCGAAAAGGTTGTCGTACATCGAGGGTGAAGCGGAGGGCTTGGATGATCTTGTACTCTGGAGCCAAAACGTCTTTGGGATCTGTCTTTATACGTCTTGCGTATTCTGATAGCGACATGTGTACACCTTCCGTCTTACTCGCCAAGAACAAAACACTCTTGTAGATTTCCTTTGGCGGGTATGTGATGACGGAATTTGTGGTGTAGAATCGCTTGAGATATTGTACGGCAGTAGCCTTGACGTTGACATTCCAGTTGAAGAAGTCGGATGTGGCGCGTACTTGTTCGCAGTAGCGCTGCACTAGGCGGAGCTCATCTTGTGCTGAAGGAAGGGATTCGAGAGAAGATTCGGAGAGGTAGGATCGAGCTTGTTGGAAAGCAGCTTCATGAGTGTTTTGGCGGAGTGAGAGGAGAGCGGACTCGCTAAAGGACCAGAGACGGAATTGTGTAGAGGTTCGGTAGATGTCGTCCTCGGTGAGGCTCTGTGCTGGCGGTGCTGCCATGGTGGACTTGTACGTTGTGAACAGCCGAGAGTGTCCAGATATGGTATGACGATATTCCAACTGCTGCAAGTGACTAGGGATCAAAGCGTATGGTGGTAGAAGTGCGTGGTGGGTGGGTGAGGGTGTTGGCGCAAAGGGAGATGAATGTTCAAAGGTCAGGTCTCAGGTCTCAGGTCTCAGGTCTCAGGTCTGCTTTGTTTCAAGATCCCCAGATTCGCGACACTCGGGTCGTCATTGACGCGGGGACAGCGAAGGCCACGACAAGCAGTCCGACGACGTGGCTCCTTCCTCATTTCATTATTACTCTCTGTCCGTCTCTCACTTGCCATATCTATTGTCACATCCTCTCCTGACGTCCTTCGAATCTGTTCCTGCCCAACATGGCAGCCAAGAACACCACCATCAAGCGCATCCGTAAATCCATCCCCGACCCTGCCTCCCACACCAAGTAATCCACCACTAACACGCTCCCACCAGTCAAAGAAGCCGCCGAAATAACCACAAACCCCACCCCAGACTTCCATGCCGCCCCACTCGAAGAAAACCTCTTCGAGTGGCACTTTACAATTCGCGGCCCTCCCCGACCCTCCCCCTTCGCCAACGGAATCTACCACGGCCGCATAATCCTCCCACCCGCCTACCCACTCCGCCCACCCTCATTCCGCTTCCTGACCCCCTCAGGCCGTTTTGAACCAAATCGCGAAATCTGTCTGAGTATCTCGGGCCATCACGAGGAGACTTGGCAGCCGGCATGGGGGATTCGAACGGCATTGGTTGCGATAAGAAGTTTTATGGATACGGATGCCGGGGGCCAGGTCGGGGGTATGAGTGCGCCGGATAATGTGAGGAGGGGTTTGGCGGAGAAGAGTAGAGAGTATTCGTGTGTTGGGTGTGGGAGGAGTGGCTTGGCTGTGCTGGAGGAACAGGAGGAGAGGTGTAAAGAGCTTGGACTCGAGCAGGCGAAAGAAGAGGAGAATGCACTGGTTGGCAAGATTGGCTTGATTGAGCCTAAGAAGGAGAATGCTGCTGAGGAATCCTCTGATGCAGTGGCTGGTGCTTCTCGACCTGTTGAAGCTGTACCTGTTGAAGCGCCACCACCACCTACTGCTCAAGACCTTCAACCTACGCCCACGACTCAACAGGTGCAACAATTACCACCTCAATCTCAGCAGACTCAAACACAACCAGTCCCCGCAACCCAACTCCAACAACCGCTACCACAACCAGCAACTACAACAACAGACGCCTGGATCGACAAAGCCATCATCGGCATAGTCATCGCCCTCGTCCTAATGATCTTACGTCGCGTCGCCTAGATACCCCCTTTATTTTCTCTCATACTCCTCTACTTGTTGCATTAGGCGGTCCTTGGTTTTACTATTCGGATGGAGTGTTTTCTCGCGGGACATGGATAGATGGGGTGGGTCTTGGTGTTTTTGGTAGGGGAGTATAGATATGTTTGATTGGAATCATAGACACTTTATCCTTCTACTTGCTTTTGGTATGGACTGTGAGATCATTGATTGGTTGATGGCGTACGTGTAGTGGTTTTATAACGTTCGCTTGAGAGCATGGCTTGATATCTGACGGGATCGAGTGCTCATTGTGGTGGACGAGTATCGGAAAGAGATATATCAAGGTTTTCTCAGCATTGGCAGGTCTGATTATTACAAGATATGTACACAGAGAGCAGATATATGTAATGTATCTATGTATCGACTCTGAAGGGCAAAAAACCTCTTCGTGATTGCGCAGTGTCGTCGACGATGATCTAGGGCATCGCTAGAGGGATAACCCTGTCAAAATTATGCAGTCATGAGCATATCTTATGCTTTACAGATGTGCAAGGCACAATTGGACATACACAAATCGCCGTCGTATAACCATCAAAACCTCACAAGGACGTCCTCGTAGACCCAAAGGAAATACAAGGTATACACACCATCATCAAAGCCTTTAAGCCATATGTAGGAAAAGCGTGACGTGGAAAGGCAAAGCAAGCTATACATCTACCTCTTCTCCTCAACCACCAGACTTTTCTCTCTAGCAATAAGCAGCCCATCCAGCAAACAGCACCGCCAAATTCCTCTCATCACTAGCCTGTTGGATCAACTCGTTCACCGTAGCAGCAGTACTCAAACTCTTACTCAACTTCTTCTCTACAATCGCCAATGCTCTAGCAGCCTCTCCAGCTTCGTCTTCGGGCTTACTCGCACTTCCCAGTCCATTGCCTCCATCATCGCCATTACGAGTCGGGTCTTGCATTCTGCGGGCTTTGAGAGGGGACACCGTCCATGAGTATAGAGGATCGTAGCGGAGGACGTTCAACAGTGTCATGATGGCGTCCTTTTCCGCGCGGAGGGCGTCCATGCTGAACTCACAGCAGCGGCGGAAGACACCTTCTGTTTTTGTCACGCCCATGCCATCGACGATGTCGCGTGTGAGGCGGAAAGGGACGACTTCGGGGATCGGTAGGACACGGCCGGCTTCAAAGGCGACTCCCAAATCGATATGAATAGCTTCACCACTCTTCTCGTCCAGCAGAATGTTGTGGCAGTGGCGATCACCGAGACCGAGAATCCAACCGAGAATGGATATGGTGGCCGTGCTGCGTGTATAGTTGAGCCGCTTTTGGAACCAATCATCTGGATCTTGGAAGCGCTCGAAGAAAAAGTGACGAAGCACTGGCTGATGTCTAGCCGTTACTTCGCGGTAGACCTTGAGACGCGAGTCTGCTGTCAAGCCTTGTGCGCCACCAATCTTCTCGCGCGCCTTGTTCTGCGTCAGGTCCGAAGGATGATACTTCACATGTGCCGGGACCAAGAACTCGCCCAAAGGCATTGAGTGTGGTACGAATTCGATGATGCCGGATGTCGATGTGAGCGGGAGCACTTTATAGGTGCGTACATGCAGGTTGCGTTGACGAGAAGTCTTGTGAGTCTGCAGCATCTTGCTGACCTCGCCAAATACTTGTTCCATAATGGCGTCTTGTCTGAGATCGTCATTACCACCTTTGAACAGCTGTCTATATTCTTTGCCATCTGTTCCGATTGCAACCATGATCTTGGGAGCGCTCAATCCGTTAGCGATACGAATGTCATCCCTATATCTAGCGACAATTGGGACGGAGGAGTAGTCGCAATCGAGACGAAGCTTAACGGACATGGTTGCTGGCGGCATTTTCCTAGACATCACCGTACTGACCATCTCCTTCGCTTGAGGCACCATGTTGACCGTGATCTTGCCCTTGAACTCCTTCGGATTCATCTTGACCTCCGCAAGCTTGTGATAAGCATTGCTCACCTTGAAACTTCTGCGCATGGTTTCGGCCATTCTCTTGTCGTTGCTCAATTTGGTCGCTATCTCGTGAGCGGCATTGCGTCGTGACAATGCAGCCTGCTCACTTTCTACAACGGATGAATAGCATGTCGTGTATAGGTAGTGCACACCATGGTGAGGATGATCTGTGCAGACTCGGGTGATGAGACTTGCGAGTGATTGTTGGAATATGCTCGAGTCCCTTTGCAGTCGTGATGTCTGCTGGTTCATCAAACCGACAAATTTCCAGCTAGGGACCTCTGGCAGGTTCTTCTGCACAACCGTGTTCGCAATCTCCGAATCAGAGTGTTCCAACCAGAGAGCAAAGAAGCGAACAACAGAAGAGTTGAACTCATCAGAGACCTTAAGAGCTCTCAGATAGTTTTGTAAACTCTGGCGTACAAAGTCGTCCCGGCTGCGTTTCATCCTTTGGAACTCCTCGTCATCGAGTTTGTACCAGGTGTGGACAACTTTCTGCTGCCTCTGGAGGTCCTTTTTTCTTTCCTTGTCTGAAGCAGGGAGTCTCTTGATCAACTCGTCATACTGTTTGAGCTCTCCTAGTTTGCGATCTCGGAGCTTGGCCAGTCGTTGATAGTCTTCCAAGTTACCAGGATCTTGAAGTTGCTGATCACAGAACGAGCCAAATTCATGGTAGACCTTCCCAGTCTCTGAACCAGATGTCGTGTCGTCAAGTTGCTCGATCGCTGGCCTAAGATAGTTTGCAATGACTTCACCTGGCTGCTCTAGGCGTGCGTCCGCAATCTCGTGACCCTTTTTTCAAATTAGTCACACTCGTCGAGAGTGGAAAGTGGTGGAAGACTTACTAATTGGGCCAGCATACCCGGACGGCCGACCTGAATGGATTGCCCTAATAAGTCCGTACGTAGACAAAGCTCCTGCAGCATCTGCACCGACGTCGAGATTTCACCCTGCCTCCATAGCGTGGTCGCAACTTCAAAGTGAGCCGCTGCGTCCATTTTTACGTCAACTTCCTGGCATATTGGTACCAACTGAGAAAGATAAGTCGCCGCGGTGAGAGATTGTTGAATCAAGTCGTTTCTTCTAGCGAATTGAGAGGAGCTGATGACCGACCGAGCCTCGATTGCGCGACAATCTCGAATGTTGACGTGAAGAGCCTCTCTGAGATTTTTGTTTCGACTCAAGAGGCTGAAAAGAGTTTCTCGACAAGATACAATGCTTTGAGCATCGTTGAATCTTTGAGACAGGTTAACATGTATTGGCGTATACTAATGTTCACATCACTTACTGTCCAATATCCCATCTCATTTGTCTCTTCTGCATTCGGTCCCAGAGATTGGTCAGATCAGAAGAACATCTTACCGCGATCAACTCATCAACTTCATTCAAGACAGCAATACCCGATAGTGTGGCGCGTACAGCCGACGCATCAAGACGTGTGTCTCGTAGATGCTGAATTGATGAATTGAAAGCTCGATCCAGATCCAGCTGGACAGACTCAAGATACGTAGCGCTCGCGAGCCCTCTAAACACACTATACAGTGTACCTACAGCCGAGCCTTCTGTTTGGGGAAGATTGAGGTCCCATTGCTCCAACTTGCGAGCAGCATCGAGCATTGTGTCTGTTGTAGCGGTGCTAGGCTGATTGCTGCTTCTACGATTCAAAAGCTCATGGGTCAGGCTACTCAAATTCATAGCACCTGCAGAGCTGATCAAGCCAGATGCGTCTGATTCATCCGCCAGTCCAGACTTTCGCATGGACGCGTCTATGCGAGCGGAGTGCAGCATAAGGCCCTTTATGCCGTCACCTTCATGGTGTACACGCGCAAGCACCGATTCCAACGAGGGTGGTTGTTTGACCCCGTAGAAAGAGTCCGGGTCGTCTACACGGCTGTAGATAGACAACAGCAGCTCATTCGAAGGCGTTTTGGAAGTGCTGAGATTGACGGAAGATCTCCGAGATGGCGGTGTGCAATCTTCTGGAGTTGCTCCGATCTCGCTAAGATACAAGGAAGCTGTCGGCATGTTGCACCCGTCAGCAGCTTTCGCAGCAAGAAGGTAATCGAGCTCGAGCCATTCCAGTCGTTTCAATCTAGTCTTCTCGTTCGGAAGCTTCTGTGTGAGCAGGTACAACAGCGATTCGATCAGAAGACGAGATTTACGACTAGTGCCTGGTTCGAGGTGGTTAAAATGTGCGGAGAAAGACTCCGACAGGTATGTACGGAGAACCGGTTCTTTCTCGACCTCGGAGCTGAGAGCTAGATGGACGATGAAAGGAAAGAGTTCCTGTGAGAGCGCAACATCAGACGCAAAAAGGTTCTCCAATTGGCCGACAAGAGGATTGCCCTTCGCCCATTGGCAAATTGAGACCGTTAGATTCTGGACCCAGGATTCGAATGGCATGTTACGATTGAGCTTTGCTGCGCGCCAGAGATCCTCTCTACGAAGCTTTTGGCTGTCTTTGATCTCTGGAATGTCCTTGTGATAAATTCTGGCTATCGCATCGACGACATGGACTGGTAGGATCCTTTCAAAATCGATCACTCCGTTGTGGTCCTCTTGAGCCATGAAACAATTCGCAATCTTTCTGAGACTTTGCTCCGCAACTCCGACATGTGTTCGATCTTGACTGGAGAGTAAATCGTTGAGCTTCGTCACTATTGCCCGAGTGGAGTGGTTCGTCTCTCCTAGAGTACTGGTAAGATGGGATATGAGGCCACGTGTAGGTCTGATTTGTTCTAGTGACACAGTCGAGGCATAAGCACGGCCTATGACCCGCGCAGCCCATGCGCCGTATTCATTGGCTATAGTGAGTTTCTGGGTAGATTCCCATACCCGACGAGCATACGAAAGTGAGAGCTCATCCGAAGCGAACATGTCGTGTGCTTTGTCCGTCACATGGAAGTGATGACATAAAGTTGAGGTTACTTGTTTACGTTCAATGGGCCCCAGAACGGGTGTAACTGATTCCTCGTCGTCCAAGAGTCCTTTCAGTAAGGTATTGGCCGCTTGACTTACACCCGAAGGCGCTGAGAGCTCTAGATCGCGGCATGACTCAACAAGAGAACAGAAAGCGTTTTGCTGTTGTGGCAACCTCATGGAAGATCGAAACTCGAGTAGATAAGTGACAAGCCAATCATGGAAGGATTGCATCCTCGAGACTGTATTGCGAAACTGGCTCTCCTGAGTGGTCTTGTCTTGCCGAGATATCATGAATTGCTTCAATGACAAAAGAATTAGTAGGCCTGTGCCTGTGAACATCGATATCTCTTGCTTAAGGAAAGACTTTCCACGCTCGAGTAGGTATTGCAGCATACCCATACCATCATCAGAACAGTGTGGATCGATGATGACTGGCTGCAGGGTACGAATCATAGTCTGCAAGGGATAGCCACGAAAGACTTCGTCACCAGCCAGAGCAAGGAATATGCGCAGCTTTCTGACGGTCCGACAGGCCTCAAGTGGTCCGTAAGCAGGGTGCATAGAATCGATGATGGATCTCAGAGTAACGGTGATGTGAGGAACATCCAGGATATCTTTGACGGTTGTGAATGTCTTGTTTCCTGTTCTACGGCATACTCTTTCGAGTTGATCAATGAGATATCTGCCTTTAAAACAAGGTTGCTGAGCTTGTGAAAGATCTGTGTCCAAAGACCCATGCCGCTTCATTGCGGAGAGAGCATCTTTAGCGTAGGCATACTGAGACTTCTTTTCGAACAACTTCTCAGCGACTTCTTCATGATAGATCGAGGTGAATATCTGAGCGATAATATCGGGAAGATTGGACTTCACCGCCGCGTAGTAATCGCCGCTCGTCTTGTAAAAGCCACGAAGGCGAGTTTCGCAGATCGTCGTCACCTGAGATGGATCTTGAGACGATACCTGCCTACCACTGACGTCCCAGGAAATAGCATATGCGAGAGTCTTACTAAAAGTAGACTGCGAGACTTGTGCTTCCGTTAAATCCAGCATTTTTGTTAACCACTGAATCTGGTCGTCCTTCTCGCGCATAAGCAGTTGAGCATATATCTCGTTCATATTGTGTTCCAGTAGCTCGGCCATAGATTTGTACCCGAAAATCTTGAAAGGTATCCTTGACACAGCCTGAGTCTCCAGCCAAACGTACAGTAGCTGTGGCGAGAAGAGTTGAAACACTTCCCTTGCAGACTTCAGCTTCAGCGCATCAGAGATCTTCGCAATACACGTGGCAGCGTAGTCTTCCGCTTCTACGATCATGCCAGCAGTCTCAAATATGTGGAAGATACATTGTCGTCGAAGTGAATGCCAATCAGCGGCCAAATTAGCCGAGATCAGGATTCGAACAGCGAGACCCTCGATCCACAACAAATCGGTAGGCAGACTGGCTTTAAGCTCTTCCAGGATCTCAGCATGGGCAGATAGAGGGAAAAGCCTGAATATTGACGACAAATGTTGAGCGATGAAATGTTTGACATCTAGAGTGCCTTCGCGCATCAAACGAAATAACATTGAACGCACAGTTGGAAGTTTGTCAGTCTGTCCGTAATCTGCGTCAATTTGCAAGATTTGAAGCATTAGCCGAACAATTCGTTTCTGCACGCAGGGTGAAAGCAATTTGGCTTTCAAGGCTGTCACCGTGAACCATTTGTAGATATCGAGACCAAAGGTATAAAAATCTTGGTCAGAGGGGTCTGTCCAGGTGTACACAAAGCTTTCCATAACACCTAGTAGCAAATCCATGTTAGTTTCGGCGCGCTCGAGCTCGTAAGACTGCAGTGTGTTGTCTGCAAAGAACTCGAGGAGTGGCTCGAACTGCTTCGGAGTGAGCTGCACACCATAGCGTGGTAGAGCTGTAAGAAATGGTCCGCTGGCCAGGATCTCTGAAGTGGGCAGCTCTAGTACGTGAGGTATGAGATTTTCTGGTAGATCGTCAACCATGTCATCAGGCCCGATGCAAGAGGACTGCAATAGCATTGCATAAATTGTCACACTTGCTCTCTGCGAGACAATGCTGTACTTGCTCGGAACAACTTTCCGTAGAGGCTGAGTTTCGTTCACAGGAGCAGTGTGAGAAGTCACTTGAGACTCGAAGTCGGTGTCGAAGTCCAGAGTATCGCTTATGTTGTTCCTCTTCACAGAAGCGTCCGATTCTGTCATCTCCCGTCGCTTCTCCACAAGATCCAGTAAAGAGGTCGACAAGTCGGACATGCAGGCATGATGACTGCGGTCTTCCGACATAAATATTTTCGGTTGATGAGCCAAAGGCCTGTGTGCAACAAGGTCAATGAGAGCGTCAACTTTGTCTTGCTCACAACCAGGACTGGAGAGGTCTTTGAACAGAAGAGTCGTAAGGGGTTTGTTAGCAGCACGAAGCTGTTCTGTCCGATGCGTGTTCTTGCCTCTCAAACAGTTTGCGAGGCATCGACCGACTATGATGAGAGTGCTGACCATGCGAACCATATGCCTGTCTAGATATCCTGCACCTTGCTCCTTCATATTGTGCCACTTCTCCACCGCGCTATTCGTCTCAGTCGTACAAAGACCAAGCAGAAGTGCGACAGTGATGCTGCTCATGGAGAAGCCTCTTTCTGGAAATGTGTTAGCCTGATCTGGTTGAACATGTACCACAACCGCCTTGTTCTTCAGTAGCAGGTAATCAAGGAGGTCTTGTGTTTGGCTGTGCAGGATCCACGACTGCGCCACAGGTCCCCAAATCGGCAGGCAAAGCAGAGGCTCCGGTTCCCTCGGAAGTCCTAAGCAAGCGTTTATCAGGTTCATGACGGTGATAACATCGGTAGTGGCGTTTTGAGAGGCGAATATCTTGTCATGGAAGTTACTTGGTGCCCATGTATGAAAGAGCCATGTCAAGATCTGCCCAGACCTCTCACCGAAAGAGGATGTACTTTCGCGTTGAACACCCTCCAAGATGGTTTGGAACAATCCAGCGACCGAGTCATCAAACACTGAGGGCCCATTGATTGAGATATTCGAAAGCATGGAGCTGACGCTTTCGAGTATCATTGTCCGATCAATCAGGTCCGTTTGAATGATGGCGTGGAGAAGATGACATGCCGTTCTACAAGTCTGAGCAGGGTTGACAGCTCTGAGAGTGTAGCGCCAGATAGACTTCCACGCCCCAGTAAGACTCTCTGAAGAGGCTGCAACTTGACCAGCACAACTAGAATCACGTTAGGTTTGATCATTCAAAATCAGATAGGAATTAGATACCTAGCAAGAGCGATGTGGGCCCACGAGACGACATAACTGTTGTCGTCGAGGATGCAAGGAGTCAACTTCTCAACCAGATTACCTAGGACTTCTTCCTCAATATTGGCCGACTGCACAATAAAGCAGATCAATTGTAGTGAGCACACTTTAATCGCTAGATTGGGATCAGAGAGCGTTCTAAGCAACTCGTCCGACCAGTGCGCGACGCGCTGGCGCTTATAAGGACCAGAGCCGGGAGATGTCGACCTGTTGTCGTTTCTCTGGTCATCAGGGTCATCCATGATCGTGAACTGAGCAAGCAGCTTGAGCAAGGTCCAGTTGTGCTCTGTACTCAGTGTGTTCTCACCAAAAGTCTGACCGTCCCGTAAGCTGAATATCTGACCTCTCAAGCCATCAGAGGGCCGATTCAAGGCAAGCTGCAGACTCAGTGAATTGAGCTGCAGTTGATCCTTGAGACTTCTTCTTGTATACTCGGTCTTGAGTGTTTCGACAAGATTGGAAATATCGATAGGGAACAATTCATCCGTATCGTCATGCGACAGGACATCGACGAACGGGTGCAGCAAGACCAGCATGGATAATACTTCATCTTTCATTGCGGAAAGCTTCGTGTTCCATAACATCTTGGTCAATGTAAGGGCATCGCGAGCGAACCTTTTCGTAAACTTGACATCCTCAGTACGCATTTGAAGCAGAACTGTATTTATGACGACCAGTGCATCGATCTGAGGTTTCGACATATGTTGTGAGTTCTGGAGATATTGAGACATCGCAGTGAGAATTCGAGTGCCCTTCTGAAGGAACGGCGCAAATGAAACACTTGTCAAAGAGCGCACAACGTTGACCAAGTCATCCACGGCTTGCCGAGAAAGTACGCCATTATTTGCACTTGCCTGAGAAGGAGCGAAGTGAGAGCGTGATGATCTCGAGCTCAGAATGCTGGATCCCAACCCACTACCTGGATTGCATACCGTCTGAACACTATCCAGACAGAAGTCAAGAATATTGTGCCAGAGATCATAAGATAAATGTTCGACGTGAGGCTCATGTCCGAGCAAGACCGAAAGATTCTTGGCATAGTCGCTCGACAGTATGGTGTCGGGAAGACCGTCTGGGCCGGCAAAGTTATTAAGAATGTGGTCGATGAGGGCCTTGATGGATTTTGAGCGAACGTTGCGCACACCCGCATCTACTGCTACTCGCAATGTAGCAGAGCAATCACTGAGTCGTCCCTCTATAGCAGATACGGTAGATTTCTTACTACCTCCTTTGCAGGCCTTGAGCATAGTGAGTTCTAGAGCGATGGCGTGGAAGAGGGTGTCGTAAATCTTGAAGAGTGCTGAATCTTTGAGATTGTCTATCCTGGAGGTGCCTTGGTTGTGTCTCAATATCTGTCGAAGGCTCATCATAGCCTCTTTTCTCTCCCTGACACCCGGTGAAGAGACGCCATCTATATTGGATTAGATGGGCAGAAGGACAATGGTAGAGGAGACATACCAAGAGCTTCAGCCAGATTCATGTCCGATGCCATTCTGGGCGACGATATTACGTTGACAGCATCAGTTGGGTATTGGCGAGTGATCCGAAAGAATGATCACAAGTAACAACAAAACAACGAGGCACCGAGCTCAGATCCCGGTGTACGCGACTGGCAACTTTTTGGGTAGGCACGATTGCTTCGGACATATGCTTCCTAAACCCGGGTGATGAATTTCAGAGAGTCACTGTGACAGCATTCGGAGAGTTTGTTCTGGTCTTGTCGAAGAAGCCGGATCGTGCCTTTTTGCAAACTTTGACTATATAAGAGGTGCCACGTTAGTCAAGACAAATCGCGCAGTGAAATGTGGAAGATTGAACGCGATTGAACAAGAACGCGGCGCGAACGGGAGAAGTTCGGGGGGAAGCCGAGGTGACGGCGGGTCGAGCTTCTCTCTTGCGCGTGTTGCTGCGCTTGCTCCAGACAAGGACAAACCATTATTCGACCCATCATCGCGTCCAAACGACCGACCACGCGCATAAATTGTGCGCAAATATCTGGAACTGGAAGCCTAGATCACAGTCCTCGTCTGGTGACGAGCAACTATCTCACCAACCATGGACCAAAACGATAGCTTGGCCAGACTCCAAGGTCTCCAGGCCGATCTTGTCGCTTTCTCCGAATCTCGCCTACCTAATGTTGACCGCTTGTGGTCTGAGTTGGAAGATAGCCTTGCCGACTTTCGCAAATTGCTGGACCGTCAGAACAAGAACGACAAAAGTCGACAGGCACTTAAGGCTGGTACGCTTGTAAAACACTCTGTTTGAGGAAACACACGCGCTGACACGTATTTTCAGATACCATCACCGTGGATGAGACTCAGTATGCTATCAATGAAGATTGGCGACAGGAGGTCATCCAAGTCGCAGACGAACTGGATTTGGATGAGCTGGATGCAGCAAAACTGAACCTCCAGTCGGAAAACACAGCGCAAGAGCTTGGGAGACCTACATCAATGGCTGCTATATTCCGCTTCCACGGCCATCGAGAAACCTTGCTCGAATGTCTGCGATTGACTATCCAACAAGCCGTCGATTGCGAGAACAAAGACGACCGCGACAAGTTCGAGGCTTGTGTCGATTACATCACCGAGAAGCCCGACGCAACTTTCTGGCGTAAGTGTGTCGATGCTATGGCCACAGTCGAGCAAAGGTTGCAGAATCTCCAGGACCGCCTGAACCAGATTGCCATGATCGGCCAGACCGCACACGGATACGCATCGGAGACGCTACAGTTCGAGAAGCAGAGTTTGACTAAACAACACGAGTCTCTGGGAGCCATCATCTCGTATTTGGTTAGATTCAAAGTCGGCATTGTGACCGTCGACGATTACCGATACCTTTTGAACAAAGCTGCTCAGCTAGGCAACCCTGACGATGTCACTCTACACTATCTGCCTGCTCTAATTAGCTGTGCTTCTGAACTCGGACCCATCGATAGAGCCGCTAGTCTGAGGGACGCTCGTGGTCTGGACCTATACTTCGCAGACAAGTCTGACAATTCGAAATGGAAGTTGCCTGATTTCCGTGCGGCTGCAAGTGTCTTCTGGCTGGCCGAATACAGCGGTCGATACATCGACAATCCTGTAGGCTCGCCTCTCAGAGGTGTGGACCTTGAAGCCGAGACAGAGGCACGTTCTCAACGCTACTTAGACGCTGTCCGCAATGGCGCTTTCGAGTTCATTCTGTTCATCTGCGCTCAAGTACGAGCGGACCTGTGGCATGACCCAGCAAAGGTCGGACTGGTTACATATCTATTGGCTGGAGCAGAACGTTTCAGAAACGGCCCAATCAAGGCTTCTGACTACTTCCAGGAAATCCTTGCCCAAAATCTGCAGACATTCGTCGAGGCCTTTATCACGAATATGCCTGACACTATTCGTAGACTGAAGTTCGAGGAAGATGAGCAGCGCCGTAATATCAGCATTCGCCAACCCCACGGCATCCCTGAACATGGTCTACATCTCGAGAGATTCCTGGTCATCATTTCGTACGCTTATAAAGGCTTTCCCGAGGCTGCTCAAACGTTCTGGCAAGATCCCGACGGCAACCTTTACGGCTTCCTCCAATGGGCCTCGAAGCGACAATCTACTCCCCGAGCCGCCGCTTTCTGCGAGATGTTCCTGTCTATTTCCGAAGACGCTGAGTGCGCCGAAGCTGCCCACAAATTCCTCATGGACGACGCAACTACAGCGATACACAAGCTTCGCCGTGGAGCTCCCCTGAGTTGGGCGCAAATTTTCAACGAGTTGAGCTTCTATGCTCCCGGTGTCAGCGAGAAGCTCACATCAAATTCATTGCAAGGCGATAGTGCCTTGGCGGGACCCCTCATCGAACCAGAGAGTGAACTCATGCTCGAGTGTTACCTGCGTCTTGTCACGCACATGTGTCGCTCGAGTGTAAGCGCGAGGACCTTTGTATTGTCTCATCCTGTGTTCAATTTACATGAGATTGTACTGAACCTTGCGGTCTCTGGTGTTTCTAACCGTCTGAAAGCCTGCACATTTATGGCTATAGTCGCTAGTTTGACAGACAAGAGCGTCGAGGCTGGATACGCGCTCTGGGACTACGTCGATTCATGGATGTATGATTCGCCCAGCTTAAGGAACTATCTCGGCACAAAGACACCTCAGAATCCTACGGTCGCAAAGGAGGGCCGTTTCCAGTCTTTACTCGAGGGATTCGAGCTGCCGAATGCATTCACCAGACTGATTCAGAGCATGGTCCTGCCTAGTCCGGAGGAGAGTAGTTTGCGCGACATGCTGCCATTCCCAGAGCAACTTGGCGCTGCATATCGCATGCCTGGCATGGAGCCATACATCGACTTCATCATGGGAAGTGTCTTCCAGGAAAGGATGGCTGATCTTCCCGATGTGAACCAGATCTGGGAACTGAGATGTACTTGCCTTGCCTTTATCTCGACATGTCTCTCCACCTTCAACGAAGACCTCGTCATCTTTGCAAACAGCACTAACATACCTGTTGATTCGATCATCTCTACCTCTTCCCTGGCCGCTTACGTTAGATTCCACCCCTTCGCTCGTGTCATGGAGTGGTTGTTCAACGACAAAGTCACGGGTGCACTTTTCGCCGCAGCTCATGAAGATGTTGACACGATCAGCGCCGCCTCTCCAGATTCACCCATGGTTGTCGCTTTGTGTCGAAGTATCGAAGTGATCAACCAAGTCCTGAAGCTCCAGTCCATCTATTTCGATGTTGTTCGACCTATTGTCAAAACTCAATACGTCGGACGTGAAAAGGCCATCGCGAATCCTGCCCTAGCCTCTTTTGAGGACGTCATCTTGAATCATGTCAACATCATTGTCGACCTTGGCCTATACTGCGGAACTGGTCACCAGGAATTGACAATGCTCTCGCTGCAACTTCTACAGAAGTTGGCAACGGCTCGCAAGCTCTCCATCGCTACCGGCACATCTTACGGAGGCAGCCGCGTGCTTGCAGCCTTGCAGCAAGACTTTGACGTTGATCGTATTGCCGCGTCGTTCATCTCCCCTCTTCAACTTGATCCCAGAGAGCTCGAATTAGGAGTAGATGGACCAGGCTTGAGCATTAAGCAGGGCATCCTGGATCTGGTCAACACCTCGCTTGAGACTGCAGCAAATCGTCCGGCTCTAGCACATTGTCTTTTGGGCTTCCGCTGTACCGATAGAATTATCAGTGTTTCACCAAATGGCCTGTTCGATAACGGAGCGTCGTTGTTCCATGCTGTAATGAAGCTCTCCGCAGATACCATTGCACTGCCAGAGGTGAACGAATTCGCGTGGCTTTCCTCGATACGTCGCACGTCCTGTCAGATAATCTCGAGACTCCTCCACTCTTCGCTGACCGAAAGGATTGTTCTGGAGGAGCTTAGGGAGTCTGGCTTCTCAGACGCCGTGGCCATTGTACAGACACCTATCAATGGCGAAAGTCTCTGGGGCAACAGGCTTTGTGCAGACCAAGACTTCCTCATCTCCGACTCCGCCGCTGTCTTCAAGGACTTCCTGACTCAACGCACCATGTTCTTTGAAGAAGCTTCTCTGGACATTCGAGCAACGATCCAGCGCAACGCCCCAACGCAACGTCAGAAGGTGTTATCCTCGTTGCTCGGCATGACTGTCTTGTCTTCCGGCGAACAAGTACAAAACGCATCAATATTCGAGTTGTTCGACTTCATCGACGTCGATATCTCACTGCCCTTCGAGATGGCCGAGAAGATCTTCATCAAAGGACTTGACTTCAGTGCGTGTAGGATGGACAAAACCGACACAGGGACCGTCTACGACCTCGCTCTTGCTAAAGAGCTGTTGCTTCTCCGCGAAGCCGATTTACGCAAGAACGGTCTTCTTTCTGAGCCCGTCGCGCAGCAACAATGCGCTGCAGAGGTCGATGCTGCTATGCTATGCTTGCAATCAGAAAACAATTACGCTTCAATTATGCTCGCTCAGCGCTCGACACTCAATGTATGGGTCAAGCTTGTTTCAATGATGCTTGCACTCGGTGACTTCCAAGCTGCGCCGAAGACTGCTTTGGCATTGCAAGCTCTCCAGATTGTCCTGCCAAAACTGGACAGGACAATCGTGGAGGACTCACCCGTCACGATCCCGCTTGCAAAGCTCACATACACATTGATGCGCGTGCTAGACTCTTCCGCTACAGACAACAACGTGGAAGTAAGTGCAGTGCATGACAGAATCACAGCGGCGTTCCGCACTGCGTTGCGTGGTATCGGTAGTGCTTCTGGCGGCACCGAGCTGCGTGAAACATGCTACCAAACCATCAGACACTTCATCAGATCAGTTTGCAGAACATCATCACCACTTCAACGTCAGACTGCCAAGATCATCGAGCATGGTGGTGAAAGATTGATGGACACAATTTGCGAAGACGTCATGTCGAGCGCAGGCAGTTGTAGAGTCTCTGCTCTAATGGTGTTGGAATCTTGCCTGCAACTGTTTCAAATGGTCAAGTCGCCATACCTAACAAAGGCGGTGACTAAGCTCAACTTCACCTCGGTGCTTGTTGATGGCATCCGTGGTATATCTGGCGAGTTCCAACAGCAGCGTGAAGGACAAGGTGAGCAATGCATGACACGACTGATGATCCAAGCTAACCATATGACAGATATCGCGACTCTTCTCTCATATATCCACACCGCTCTCTCAGTATTGCTGCGCATGTCCCACACCAACGAAGGTGCCGCCGCAATCCTTGAAGCTGGCCTCTTCAGCGCCATTCGCGACTCACAACTCTTCGCGACCGACCCAGACATCGGTCTCGACGTTGACAACGTCGAAGCGCTTGAGAACTTCTACCGTCTGCTTATCTCTATGCTGCGTATCCTCACTTCTTGTGTTGTCAGCAGAGGATCAAGAAACCAGCATGTTCTTGCACAAGCAAGAGCTTTCTTGACAGAGAACAGATCGTGCATGCAAGGTGTTTTCAAGGCTGCTGTTAGAGAAGGCCCGCAGGTTCGCCCAAGCATCAAACAGGCTCTTGAGGACCTGGTGGGTTGCTTCAGTGCGCTGATCCATGCGACGGACTTTGTAGAGGTGAGTTTTGATTCTTGTGCTAGACACGCTTGAATGTTTTTACTGACTTTTGATGCAGAGCGATGAAGTTCCCTTGGCTCAAAGGTCTTTGGGTAACATGTTTACTTAGAATAGCATAGGAACGTGATAAACAGGTGCTTCTACGGAGAAGTTTCTCTCTTGATGACAAAGTGGGTTGGTTATGTAGCATAGCGCAAGGAAAGGGTTTAAATAAATGTATCAAGCGCGAAATCACCAAATGTCCAATTACAAAATGACGAAAAGGCAACCGATATAACTGTCTTCTGACTGCATCCAGTCCTGTAAAGTGTCATTCGCTCTCTATTCCCGCCATCGTGTCTCTGTACTAATTGTTAAAAGAAATAGGTCATGCCAGACCCATATGTAAGAAAACCAATCCGTGGTTGAACACCCACCATGAACCCCCAATGCTCTCGTACCTTACTCCTCGCTCTCCTCGGTAAAAGCCTTGTAAGCCTCTGCATCCATCAAGCCCTCCACCTCTGACACATCCTTGACCTCAATCTTTGCAATCCAACCATCCTGCTCAGGGCTTCTGTTGATCGTACCAGGCTTCTCCTCCAACACAGCGTTGGCCTCCACAATGACACCACTGACCGGAGTCATGATGTCAGAAGCACTCTTTACACTCTCGACACTGCCGATTGTGTCGCCAGAGCTTACTTCGAGGGATGTGGTGGGGAGTTCGACAAAGACTACATCGCCGAGGGCGTTTGCTGCGTAGGTGGATATGCCGATCGTGCCGGTTTTGTTGTCAGGGGAGAGTTCGATCCATTCGTGGTCTTGGGTGTATTTCTTTGCAAAGGCTGAGGGAGAGGGAAAGGAGGGGTCAGTGGGGGTTGTTCTGAGGGTGGGAGTGAGTGTTGCGAATTGCTCACCAGATGATCTAGCGGAGAAGTTGCGACAGAGTTGTGCATTGGGGATGCAGCAGGTGAAGGTGGGCTTCGTGGCAGTAGCCAACGAGCGACGGAAGACTGAGCGAGCGATTGAAGCCATTGTGAGTCTTGTTGCCTTTTGTGCAAAGAGTTGATGCTCAAGTAAAAGAAGACAGCAATGAGCTAATGCCAGATAGTGACGAGAGCGCCAAGAGCTCCGGGGAAGTTCGAATGCGGGAAACGGGAAAAGGGTTCGCGCAAGCAGAGGCAGCCGACATCAAAAGATAAGATAAGATTGAAATTTGTTCCGCCATCCGAGTCGAGACGTCTGTTGCGCGCATACCGAGCGCAAGCAGTCGAGATTCAACAAAGTACATTACACACACTCTTCACACAACACACATAATGCTTTACGAACTCATTGGCGTAGTATGTCCACTCGCTCTACTCTCCCTCTACTCATTTGCGCAGTCAAGCTAATAGTCCTCAAGGTCCGCCCAGGCAACCTAGCCGAAGTTCGCGAGTCCGTCTTCCCTCTCCTCTTACCACCATCCCCCCTTCCTCTCTAACCTCTCCTTCCCCCACAGAATCGCAAAAACAACCGGCAACATCGTCCTAAACGCTGGCGGCGTAGTTCGCGGCATCACAAACTGGGGCGTCTTCCACCTCCCCAAACCCATGAGAAAACACAACGCCACCCACAACACAGGCCACTACTTTGTTGTCCGCTTCGACAGCAGTGCGAGAACACAACACGCCGTGAGAAGAACACTTGGCTTGGATCCGAGAATGTTGAGGTATTCGGTGGTCAAGATGGGAGGCACGTTGGAGGAATTGAGGAGCGTGGTTGGTGAGGTGCAGTGGAAGGCTGATCCTGATGCTGTGCAGAATTGAGACACGGCGAAAGAAGAGAAAAGAAAATCAAAGAGTATGGGCATTTTCTGCAGGGATTACAGGCGTTGGGGGTCGCATTCTTCTTTTTGGGTGTGGGTTCGTCTGGAAAAAAGAGATGAAATGATCATACATCTGACAGACTGTAGAGTCTTTCCTTTTTGCTGAGTAATGCTCCATGAAGCATTTTGTACAAATATCATCTGCTCAAGAATATGAGCTGTAACAAAAAATTGTCACCAACTTACTGCTCCCACCTCTTTGGCTTTTGTTTTAGACATGGTCTCAGTCCTGAAGTCTTGTCTACGTGTCTCAATGTATTAGAACAGTTGGAAGGCATCTGTGTCTGCCCGTGACCTCTCCCTGATATCACATAGACCCTACTATCGCACAAGAATCTTGTCATGTTTCTGAAGTATGAAAAAGAAGTGAATACTGTCGTAGGAGAAGATACCGCCTCGTGTCCCATCGCATGTTATTACAAAAGCTGTCAATTCGTCTCCAAAGTCCCTCTTCTGCCCCGATCCTCCTTACGGAGAACTATCCCATCGACCCTGCTTGGCATTTCTAGCAGTATCGATCTCCTTCTTAAAGTCAGAGTACAACGCCTTGATCTTGCCCTGCTCCTCCATGATATCCACAATCTTGTTGGCATGCTTTCTGCGCTTACGAATGCTCCAACCATCGCGCTTAACGATGAGTTTGGGAGTGTTCCAGCCCGCGCTCTCGAGATATTCCACGACCCATTCGTAGAGATGCCAGCGCCAGTGTTGGAGTGAGTGAGCGGTCTCTGCGTTGCTCATGCAGAATTTGCCGAGGTAGAAGACTGTTTCTTCGGGCAGGATCTGACGGCCTTGGGAATCGTAGTTCACAGGTGCGTTTTCGTCTACACTGCTCTCGGAGCTGGACTCATCGTCTTCGTCAGAGTCATCGTTGGAGTCCTTGCGTGGTGCTACAGGCTCCAGCGAGTTCTTGTCGTAGGGCTTGCCCTCGAACTTTACTTCGTAGGTCGCAGGATGTCCTGATCTGTTGCAAGCATCACACTTGTCACGACCGAAATGATCTGACGATTTTCGATCGAGACGGGCAGACAGGAGATCTGGTCTTGCCTGGAGTGCCAGCGTGAACCGAGCCGTCCATGCTGCAGATTGGAACTTGGAACCTGCCAATCCCTTGACCTCGTCATCGAGCTTCTTGAAGGTCAAATCGTAGATCTCGTCGTCCATCTGGAAGGCGGGGTTGATCTTCTTTTGAACCATCCAGTCGATGGCAAAGCGGAAGAGGTCTTTTGCTTTCATCGAGGCATAGCGAGTGAAGGCGATGGGAACATTGTTTGGGACACCGAGCGGACCGTCATCCTCAATGATAAAACCTTCGTCTTCCTCGTCTTCGGCGAACATTTGTTTGCGGGTAGTCCTGTGAGTCGATGGCTCCGGCAGTTCGTCGTCTTCGTCTTCCTGATCAGAGGTTTGGTCGTAATCATACTCTTCGTCGTTGTGCTGTTCCTCGTCTTCCTCGTCCTCTTCATCCTCATCTTCGACGAGACTGCTCATGGGTGCGCCTCTTCTGGCCTTCAGACGTTCTAGCGCTAGTCGACGAGCATTTTTTTGTGAAGAAGACTTGTTTCTTTGTGAGACGCGAACTTCTGTGTCACTACCACTAGAAGCCAGATCCACCAGATCGTTCTCCAACTCTTGCTTTTCTTCCTCGGTGATTGTGCTCATGGGTGCTGCTTCTTTGCCACGTCGAAGTCGTTTGCGTGACCTTGATGATGGTGGCTCGTCAGACAGATCGCGATCTGAATCGTCTTCTGGTGACGGTGCTCGCTTCTTCGTCGATAACGACCGCTTTCGAGAACCAGTGATGACAACGTCACTGTCGTCGTCTTCGTCGTCGGGAACGAGTGAGAGCGGAGACGAGCTCTGCGCTTGACGTTTGCGTTTGCGGTTCACTGCCGGTGTAGTTGGTAGGTCATCTTCACTGTCGTTATCCGAGATGACTGTAGCTGGTTCCTGTTCGAACTCTTCTTCCACGTCCGGCGTTGGTGACTTCTGCTTCTGTCGTCGCTGCTTCTTCTGTCTCTTCTTCAACATCTTCGGTGGAGGTTGGTCAGACTCGTCGCTTGAATCGGGATTCGCCTGCTGTTGTGTTCCGAAGAAGCCAGCTCTGACTGGCTGTGCGTGGTTGATGGCTCTGGGGCTCGATGGTGTAAGATCAAGCTTCTGCTGTTTCTTGTGACTTTTCCGGCTTGACAGTCTCGGGGTCGGTCTCAGTTCGTCGTCGCTGACTACAGAGGCGCCGAAGGAGTTACCCGGCCCTGTGGCGTCAGGTGTCGGTGGTAGGATCTTGTCAGGAATCTGCGAAGTGTGTGTAGTTGCAAGGGACGAGGCTCCAGGCGCATCATGCACTTTGCGTCTCTTGATGGGGCTGGCTCCCTCGAATCGAACCGTTGCTGCACGGTCGCGAACTGACAGGCTCATGTCTGGTGGAGCGGGCGACGAAGTCGGTAATGGATCAAAGGTCAGCCTCGTCTGTCTTTTGGATGAGCGAGGCATATTGGTGGCGCAAAGAGTGAGCGAACCGAGTGGATCCTGTTTGGCGTGCTTCTTGTCCAAGGGTTGATAAAGATGATCGAGTTTTTAGTCCTGTCCCAGATTTCAATCTTAGCAACACCTGCAATGGTGTATTCCGTCGCCGTGTAACACCGTTATGTGAAAGTTAGTTTCTTGCGAGGCAGAAAGCTGGAAGACGCGATGCGGCCGAGCGTGTTCTCACGCGGTCAGCTGAATCGGGAAAGTTGATTGATTCGTGGCTGCGTCATCGATCAACGACATCACCAATTAGGATGCAAGGATCATTGACAAAATGCTTTCCTTTTTCCAGTCGACAAGGGCGCCCTGGGATGTGGATTGATCTCCTAGACTATCTTGTATAGACTTACGCATGAGCTTTTGGTCCGGTTGCTGGAGGAAAGACATATTCGTATTGGAGCATAGATACATGACATTCAGCACCTCGAGCATATCTGCCAAAGGAAGGAAAACCGGTCATAGAAAATCAGTCATAATGGCAGGTCCTCAGGAAGCCATAACAGAGGATGAGATCAACGGAATGGAGCTTCCCAATACAAAGGCGGGCCCCAGGAATGCATGTAAGTGCCTTAAGCTTGCCAGCCTTGTTCGCTCCTCATCCTCATTCTCATTGTTGACAGTCACAGAAATCATGTCTAAAAAGCCCATCTATCCAAAGTATTCTGAAACAACAAAGCATAGTTCGAACCAGAGCTTTCCAAACAGAAGAGATGGTCTAGCTGCATACACAGCCGACCCCTATGCTTACAAGGCCGTATTGTTCAACAATGACAAGGCGGTCATCATCGAGGATATGTTTCCAAAGTCATCAATTCATCTGCTCGTTCTCCCAAAGTCCGAGCGCAAGGTGCTACATCCATTCGATGCATTCGAGGATCCCAAGCTCCTCGCGAATATCAAGGTCGAAGTCGAAAGAGCCAAGAAGATGGTGGCGAGCGAGCTGCGACGGAAGTACGGACAGTTTTCAAAGTCAGAACAACCACGTATCGCGGCCAGAGATGCAGACGACGCGCCGGATGACCTTCCAGAAGGTCGTGATTGGATGAAGGAGATCATCACTGGTGTCCATGCAGTACCGTCCATGAACCACGTTCACGTTCATGTGCTTTCAAGAGACATGGTGAATGAATGCCTCAAGAGAAGCGCGCATTATAACAGCTTTACCACATCCTTCTTGGTTCCGTTGGAGAAGTTTCCCTTGGCAAAGGATGACCCTGTTCGAGAGATTGGATATGGACCCTGGCATGCTGTCGATCTAATCTGTTGGCGATGCAAACAGAACTTTGGTAACAAGATGTCCAAGTTCAAGGTGCACCTGGCGGAGGAGCACGACAAGTGGAAGAGGGAGTAGAACTTGATGAGTTGCCAGTGGGCGACCAGGATAACGTTGACTGGTCATCGAAGATCCCAGTAAGTGGCGAGTTCCTGGATTGCTCCAAGCCAAGTCATTGACAAAGGATTGTATAGACTAAGGAATTTGCGTATTAATACTTGGGTGTTCCCTTACGTCAAGGATGGAGAACAACGATCATGTATTCGATTACTGGGACGCATGATATATCATGCAAGTCAGGTGAATTGATGCATATCGTATCAACGCATTGGTTGTGGTTGACCGCTGGACGCGGGTTGCCGAACGTGCATGTGTCATTTGTGACGAATCGAGATATGCAGCGAGTACGATCTTCAAGGGAGCCGGCATCGTTTGTAGCATTGTGAGACTTGACGGGCTGTTGTTGCTACTCCAGAATTGCCAAAAACGAGGTCGAATTCGAGATTCTTTTTTAGTCGAAACTCCCTCACACCCCGTCAAACGGACGCCGAAATTGCTTGATCCGAACCGCCGCTGCTCGATCCGCCAACACTCGGGTTCCTGCACTTACCTTCACTCGTAGCTTCCTTGTTGACTTGCCAGTTTTCGCCTTGAGAATCTGCACCATCGCGCATCAATTTTCCGCTCGATTACTACCCCATCATCACTCATTCACTTTACCTCCTGACCTCCACTACCCGCGATGGCGCCTTCGCAGTTTTTCAATCCAGCCGAGTTCGTTGAAGATGTTGCTCTTGCCGAGTTGGTCCGACAGTACGACATCACCAAGATCCTCGACGGCCAAAAGGCGAGCTTTCTCGAGGTAAGTGACTAAAGCCAGTGATCATACAAGCCTTGAGCTAAGGATGGCAGACCGTGATGGAACGTCTAAAGCACACGACGAGCGAACTGGCGCACTCTCTTGTCGCGCATGATAGGGAGATTGCATACATGCAGCAGAAACTCAACAGCCTTGGACGCGATGGCGACTGCAGCTCCTCATCCTTGGAGAGTAATCCTTATGTTCTGGTACTAATCGATGGGAACGAACTCATATTCCGAAACGACTTCTTGAGTCGAGGCGATAATGGCGGTCGTCGCGCAGCCCAAGCCCTAAGCCAGGCTATCAACGAATATACCTTCTCCACCATCGATACGCTGCCCATCAATGTCAAAGTCGTCGTTCGTATCTATGTCGATTTGGAAGATTTGTGCAGTGTTAGTCTTCGTGCTGGCTTGGTCGGTCACAGCAGCCAGATCAAAACATTTGTTCGTGGACTGTGCCAAGACAGACCTCTGTTTGACTTGGTCGATGTCGGCATGCAGGGCCACGCAGTCGTATTTGACAAGATGGAAGGTTCGTAATATGTCCTTGGCCAGTACTTCTGCGCATCCTGACGAGCACACAGAACATCTAAGGATGAACATTGCCGATACCCACTGCAAGCATATTCTCTTTGGCTGTGAGGACGGTGAGATCTATGCACCCATACTAAGAAGACTCCCGGAGACCCTTGGGAACCAGCGTCGCATTACCTTGCTCCATGGTACGCAGCCCGACAGATGGCTTGCAGCGCTCGGTCTTGCTTGTACTCAGATGCAGGACATCTTTCGTAACACAAAAGTGGACACTCACATGGTAGTCGGCCATGTCCCCCAGGCAGATTCTTTGCCAGCTCTTGCCAGAGGAGGTGTTTCACCTCCATCGTCATCGCCCACGACATCGCGATCTGGTTCACGCACGGCAAGCGGTAACTCACGCCCAGGCGTCCGGCAAATCCATAGTCGTCAGATCTCGGATAGCTCAGATCAATCAACCGATGTGTTAGCAGTTCCGGGCACACCAAAGATAGGCTCATGGGCCATGGCGGCAAAGAAGGGAGCGGCAGTCAAAGTGCCACCCAAAGACACGATCAAAGAGAAAGAGCAATTTCCGACCGACTACGTACCTCGTAACAAGGCAGGTCAACGAATCGATCCACCTACGCCGGAGTTTAAAAAGGACGAAGTCAACCGTCTGAAGAAGCTGAAGCTGTGCAACGCATTCCATCTCCGTCATGGTTGTCCATACCCCAAGGGCAAATGTGAACACGATCATACATACAAGTGTAACCCAAAGGAAGTCGAGACTTTGAAGCTTGTTGCACGTATGTCGGCGTGTATCCACGGTAGTGAGTGCTCAGATGTTAGTTGCATCTATGGACACCGCTGCCCATTTCCCGAGAGCAGAGAGGGCAGTATGAGAGGAAGAGCTTGTATCAACGGCGAGAATTGCAGATTCCCGGCAGAAATGCACAACATGGACTTGACTATCGTCCGTCGTCTGAAGATTACTTGAGAAACAGCGTGGGACCGGTTGAGCAACGGTATCGACTGAACAGTGAAGGACCAGCTGTATTGATAGGGAAGACGTCAGATAGCACAGAATCAACACACTCCTTCATTGACGGAATTGGCAAGTGATGGTGCGATTGGTGCTTGGTATGGAATACTCGAGTGTCAAGGGATGGAGGAGGGGTCAAGGCCTCAGTGAGCTGGTGCGCCAAGGAGAAAGCTCGAGCCGAGTGGAACGGGGCCACCTTGCACTTCGATACATCTGTCTTCTTGTCCTGCCCCTCTGTGATCTTCTCGAAGACATTGTATACCACACATACTCAAAATGGTGTCTATGAAGCTCAGCGCACTTGCGCTCTTTGCATTGAATGCTTTCTCTGCCTACGCTCAGGTTGGTCGCATGTCAATGACAGGCGCATGAGGATTCACAGCTGATGACGTTTACCAGGCCGCCGAAGTCGAGCAGGAGATCCAGGAGCCTACCCTCCAGCAGTCGCCTAGATTGAACGTCGATGTCTCTGTTTCATTCCCCAGCTCAGAGGTCTTTGGTGTCAAGCTCGTCAACGGCCACGCGACCAACGCCGTTCTGTCCATTGCCAACCATGAGACGGCACCCATTCACCTTCGCTTCGTCGGCGGTTCTCTCTTGACCCCCTCCGGAGCACCCGGAGCTCCCGACCCACCCAAGGCTCTCAGCAACTTGACCAGCACCAAGTACGACTTGTTGGTTCCTGCTGGCGAGAAGGAGACTGCCACTTACAGCTTCGCTGTTGACATGCACCCCAAGGATGTCAACCTTAACCTGGCAGCTGTCTTCCAGGACCAGGCTGGCATGCTCCACACCTTCCCTGCTTACAACGGCACCGCCTCTGTTGTTGAGGCTCCCACCAGCTTCTTCGATCCTCAGATGTAAGCCTCTTTGCGCACATAGTCCAATGAGACGAGCTAATGGTGCCACAGCATCTTCCTCTACCTCGTTCTCACTGGTGTCTTCGCCGGTACCGTTTACTTCATCTACAACACCTGGGTTACCACCTTCTTCCCCCAGAAGAAGAGAGGCGGCAAGGGTGGTGAGCGCGCCAAGCGCTCATCCGGTGGCACCAAGAAGGTCGACCCCGCTGACCAAGTCGCCGTTGTCGGTGCTGATGGCCCTGCTGTCACCAGCGGTGCTATGGCTTATGACGAGTCTTGGATCCCTGCCCACCACTTGTCTCGTCCTCAGGCCAAGCGCGTCGCATCTGGCGCCAAGCCTAGATCGAGAAGCAGACCTGCCGCATAAACAATCAGTTCAGGTCATTGAGCATCTCGTGTGAAGAAAACGAGAGCTTGGAAAGATTTGTATATTGCATGGAGAGGATGTATTCTAGCACCAAAAAGGAAAGGGCAAATTTAGGATAGCACAGCTCATTTCGAGATGGAGCGAATGGCAAAACGATCATTACGCCTTTTATCCCATAGCCTCAGTCGATTACGCCAGATGTTTCGTGAATAATGGCTCTCGACCTCTCACATCTGCATTCATGCCAAGTGACCCCAGATTCCTTATCTCCGCCTTTCGCCGCCATCAAAGTGAATTATTTATTGATCGCGCAAGATAGTGGACCTGTCCTGAACAAGAATATGGTCAACAAACCTCACGCTCCCAGGAGCAGTACCAAGTCAAGCAAGAAGACAGCTTCGACCGCCGCGACCGCAAATGGCGAAGATACGAGCTACATAGTCTTCTCCAACGGCAAGGACTCGAAGAAGAGCAAGAAGAACGATCTCACACCACCAGCCGCTGCCAGTTCTGCGGCTCCTGCTAAGGGCAAGGGAAAGAATGCTGCTCCTGAACTGGATGTCGCAGGCGACCCTGTCAAGAAACCCGACACAAGGACCCTGATCGGTGGACAATCATGGACAGGAAAACTACCCGTCAACATGCTCTCCGAGCACTGTCAGAAGCAGAAATGGGAGAGGCCTGAATACACTATGCATCGCTCGTCAGATCCGCCAGGTCAGATTGCATCCGTCATCCTACGCTGGAAGAACCCAAAGACGCAGGAAATGGTTAGGCTACCACCCATGTCGCTTCCTCCGGCGAAGAGGTCACTGGGTGTACAAGAGACAGCTGTGGAAGCCAGACACTTTGCCGCTACCTATGCGCTGTACCGAGTCGCCAACGCGAAGAACTTACACATGATGATGCCGCCAGATTATCGCGACTTGTGGAAGGGAGAATTCGCAGAGATGAGAAAGGAGGCCACGAAAGAGGGCATGGGATGGCTGTATGCTGCAGATCCTTTCCAGGCGCGAAAAGAATGGGATGATGAAAGAGCTGCGAAAGAAAAGAAGAGACTTGAGAGGGAGAAACAGATGGAAGCCGAGAAGAAGGATAACAGTACGCCTGGCGTGAACAAGAACCCTGGAAAGGGCTGGACAAGAGCCCCAAAAGTCGAAATGGGCAAGAAAATGCGCAGAGACGTTGAAGCCTTGGTCAGACAGGCTGCTCCGTGGAATCCTCATGGTGTCACTCTATCCAACGCCGAGAAGAAGCATATTGTCCAGGATCTGTCAAAACTCGGCTTCCGCCCTGCTCACGTTGAAGAAGCGACGGAAATCTGCAAGGACCGTGAAGAGACTATTGAATGGCTGCTGATTCACGTTCCGGAGGACGATCTGCCGAAATGGAGTTTGCCTGAAAACTATTCTGCTGGTGTCTCGATGGCTAGTAGCGATCTTGCACGCGAAGGCAAACTGAAACGTCTTGCGATCACTGGCTATGCAATGGAGCTTTGCGAAGAAGCGCTCGACGAGGCCTCGGGCGATGAAGCCAAGGCAGCTGGGGGACTACAACACAGACTTCTGGGCAGCCGGGACTCATCAGCCCTTGCCTCTACTACTGATAGCCTGAATCTCTCGCACGATATAGAGGTGTGGGAGGAAGAGCAAGTCATCCTGGCTTCAATCTACAGCGACAGATATAAGTCAACCAAGACTTCCTGTCAGATTGTCTTAGAGGTTGCCGACAAGCCGAAAGAGCGCATAGTCCTCCATGCTCGGAAACCAAGCGCTGGATATCCAAATGTCGTCCCTGTTCTGTCCATTGAGGCCGCTTTGCCAGCATACATCCGTTTGAGTATACTCAAGCAAGTCCTACTGCAAGCTCAGTCCGACTTCCTCGGCGAGCAAATGCTCTTCAACCTTGTCGATTGGTTGGAGCATGAGATCCCAAACATCATTGCCAATCCTGGTAGACTCAGCAGCATTGCTTCAGTCTCTTCAACTTCAGCTGAGCCCGACGCCGAGATTGCAAGCCGTAGACGTCAACGTCCAAGACGTATGCCTAGACCTATCAACTGGCAACCTTCATCACAGCAAAGTCAGAGAATGCTATCAGACTGGCAGGCCAGACAGAACACGCCTGCACAACAACGTATGATGGTGACAAGACAAGGTCTGCCAGCCTGGAAATTACGGAACACTATTGTCGAAGCTGTCACATCGTCACAAGTCACCATCATCTCTGGTGAAACTGGTTCAGGAAAGTCTACACAGTCTGTTCAGTTTGTCCTTGATGACATGATTAGACAAGGGCTCGGAGAAGCGGCGAACATCATCTGTACACAACCTCGCAGGATTTCTGCTTTGGGATTGGCAGATCGTGTCGCTGATGAGCGTTGTGTCAAGGTTGGTGAAGAGGTTGGATATTCCATCAGGGGAGAATCAAAGCAGAAGCCTGGTACTACGAAGATCACCTTTGTTACCACTGGTGTGTTGCTCAGACGACTGCAGACATCTGGCGGCAAGCAGCAGGATGTTGTCGATGCTTTGGCTGATGTCAGTCATGTAGTTATCGATGAGGTCCACGAACGCAGTCTCGATACTGATTTTCTCATGGTACTGTTGAGAGATGTGTTGCAAGTTCGCAAAGATCTCAAGCTTATTCTGATGTCTGCCACTCTGGATGCAGAAATCTTCAAGAGCTATTTTGCAGGCAATATGTCTGTCAGTACCGTCGAGATTCAAGGCAGGACCCATCCTGTTCAGGACATCTATCTGGATGATATCCTCCGCATGACTGGCTTTGCCGGCGGCATCACAGAAGAAGGTGACGAGGATGGCGGCAAAGAGCCTACTATGGGTGCAGCTCTCCGCAGCGTCGGCATGAAGATCAACTATGACCTCATCTCCGACACCGTACAAACCATCGACGAGCAGTTGGGCTCACAAGACGGCGGTATTCTCATCTTCCTACCCGGTGTAGCAGAGATCGACCGCACGCTCAAGACACTACAACATCTCCATCACATCCACGCTCTGCCCCTTCACGCTTCCCTCCAACCAGCAGAGCAAAAACGTGTCTTTCCTCCTGCACCAGCTGGCAAGCGCAAAGTCATCTGCGCTACCAACGTTGCAGAAACCTCCATCACAATCGAAGACATTGTCGCCGTAATCGACAGCGGTCGTGTCAAGGAAACCAGTTTCGATGCTGCAAACGGCATGACCAAGCTCGAAGAAGTATGGGCTTCTAGGGCGGCGTGTAAACAACGCCGCGGTCGTGCTGGTCGTGTTCGCGCAGGAACTTGCTATAAATTGTATACCAAGCAAGCGGAAAGTACCAAAATGGCTGAGCGACCGGATCCTGAGATCCTGAGAGTGCCGCTTGAACAGTTGTGTTTGAGTGTTAAAGCTATGGGCGTTTTGGATGTCCCTTCTTTCCTTGCGAGGGCCATCACTCCACCTTCTACACTGGCGGTTAGCGGTGCTTTGACGACTTTGCATCGCATGGGTGCTTTGGATGGTGCGGAGCTTACGGCTCTAGGTCGTCATCTCAGTTCCATCCCTGCTAATCTCCGCTGTGGCAAGTTATTGATATATGGAGCTGTGTTTGGCTGTTTGGACGCTTGCCTCACCATCGCATCCATTCTCACCGCACGCTCGCCTTTCGTATCACCTCCAGCACGTCGCGATGAAGCCAAAACAGCTCGTTTGACTTTTGCACCCGGCGGCCAAGGCGATCTCCTCTGCGACCTCCGCGCCTTTGAACTCTGGACCCAGAAACGCGCTGAAGGCATCCCCTCATCATCTCTGCGTCAATGGTGCGATGTAAACTTCCTATCCACACAAACACTGTTTGATATTCAGACCAATCGACGCCAATACATGTCTTCTCTTCAGGAAATCGGGTTTTTGAATAACGCTACCTCTGCATCAAGCTCTACAGATCACAATGCCAGAAACAACAACACGGCACTCATCCGCGCTTTGGTAGCCGCAGCCTTTTCACCCCAAGTCGCACGTATAGAATTCCCGGATACAAAATACGCGGCCTCGGTCTCTGGAGCCATAGCTCTAGACCCGGAAGCAAAAACGATAAAATATTTCAGAGAGCCCAATGCTATTGCTGCTCCTTGCCTCCCTGGAAAATCCACACCCTCACAACCAGAGCAGGGAAATTCGAGATTGTTTATCCATCCCAGCAGTACCTTATTCTCCTCGGCGCCGGGAACCAATTTCCCACCGTCCACGGCGTTTTTGGCATACTTCTCCCTCTTGTCGACCTCGAAGACATTTATTCGCGATCTTACGCCTTTTAACGCGTACACTCTGCTCTTATTCTCTGGGGATATTGCTTTGGATACACAGAATAGGGGGTTAGTGGTTGATGGCTGGATAAGATTGAAAGGGTGGGCGAGAATTGGTGTGTTGGTGGGGAGATTGAGAAGTATGTTGGATGCAGTGTTGGAAGGCTTGGTGGAGAGACCGGGTGAGCAGTTGGGAGGCAGGGAGAAGGGGCTGGTGGATTTGGTTGCTAGATTGGTTGAATTGGATGGATTGGATAGGTAGGTCTAGACCCAGAGACCTGCTGGAAGGGAAAGGGACCTTGCTGCATAGATATGCATACAGCACGTTCTTATCCTTGATGGATGCGGTATGCTTCGGTTCTCTAAACTTGGCACAGAAAACAAAACACACACTGATCAGAAAAAAAACTGCAACGAGATGGCAACCCGTATACATGAAGCCAGGGCGAAACAGGCACCAGAAAAACCAGACTCTGCTGATCACAAGCCGTGCACACAACAAAGCTGTCAAAATGCAGTATATTCTCGAGATACTTCGACACGCTTGGGCCAAAGAGACTGACAATCTCATCACTGGCACGCAAAATTTTCGATCTTTTCCTTGATCTCCATCACTCCTGCTCTCCAACACTATAGTACCCCCTAAATCTTGCATTCCCCTCAACCCTACAATCTTTGATCGCCCAAAAACAAGCCATAACCAACATCGGGAACCTAATAGTAAAGTACCCCAGATAACCCTCAGGCAAACTTCCCACCCTCTTCTTGACGTCCGCACTCATGTCCTCATAATGATTCTTCTTGTTGCGTAACGCGCGGAGAAGATCCAGCATTTTGGCGCCGTTGTATTTACGTTGCTTGCCGAGAGTGTCCAGGAACATGCGGTCGAGTTTGCGTTGCCAGTCCTTGTCCTTTTTGGCGTCGATTACCATGTCGGCGTAAGATTCTAGGTAGCAGAGGTGTGGGGATGGTGGGTCGCGGGGTTCGTGCTCGAAGTGGTCGGATACGTCACAGAGGAAATCGAGACGTTTCTTGGAGGACCAGAAGAAGGGGTGGCAGAGCACTTGTTGAGCTGAAGGACGGTCTTCGGGGTTGTGGGCCAACATCGCAGTGATCAGCTGGCGTGGCTCTTCGGTGTCGGAGCCTAGGTCGAGCTTGTGCATGTTTTGGAGATTGTTCTTCTTGATGTTGAGTTCACGCATTTGCATCCAGCCTTCTTTGTCGTCGTAGGGATGATCGCCGCCAGTCAAAACCCAGAAAAACAGGCATCCGAGAGAGAAGATATCTGCTGCTCGCTTGACACCTCCCATTGTTCCGCCGGTGGAGCTTTCACTAGTACCAGGATGTGAAATGTTACTGTGGCCATTATTAGAGGCTGTATCCTTGGGTTGCGAGATGAGCTCTGGCGCCTTCCATCCACAGGTACCAGCATTACTTGTAGGGTCAATCAAAGTGCTGACATTCTCTGGAAGAGTCTTGCACAGGCCGAAATCTGAAATGACCAGACGAAGCTCGTTGGGTCTATTTGGCTTCGGGAAGGCAATGAGAATGTTTTGGGGCTTGATGTCTCGATGGATGATGCGAAGATCGTGAAGGTGGTAAAGTCCTTTCGCAAGCTGATAGAGAGCGCCACGGGCGTCGCGTTGAACAGCTTGAGCCAGTGACTGAAGCTGTTGGTAGCGGATTTCATCGCGAGTATCAGGGAGATTGAACAAATCCCACAGACTTGCTTGGCAAAGTTCAACAGCGATGTACAGGAAGTGTTGATCCTTTTGCTGACAGTAGTAACGGATCACGTTCTTGTCATGATCGCTCTGCTGAAGGAAAGACACCTCCTGTGAAGCCAGCTCGTAATACTGCGAAAGCATACGTTTCACCGCCACCTCACGACCCTCAAATTTGCCCTCAAACACGCATGTTCCTGCACTTCCGTGCCCGATGATCCGATCTGTATCAATGGTGAGGTTGTTGATTTGAATCTTGCCAGATACGTTGGGGCTTTCAGAAGCGTCAACACTGATGACGTCCATACCATCAATTTTCGAGAGAGCCTTCGGACCAGGTGTTGCGATGACGCCATTGTTTTCCTTGTCGCTGTTGCTTTGACTGTTTTCACGGCGACGTTGTTGTGCTTCGAGTTGTTCCGCTCTCTTTTCCTTGGCTTTTCTGCCACCTCGAACACCACGGGTGGCCTTCTTCTTGGGCTTGACAGGGGTCTGATCTTCTGCAGGTGTGTCCACTTCTGGCGGTGTCGGAGTTGAGGCACGGGCTGGCGAGTCGACTTTGGCCTCAACCGGCACTTCCGCGACAGGTTCCGGCTCCGTGATCTTTTCTGCTTCACCTTCTCCTTGAGGGAAAATGGTCTCCTGCGCAGGTTCTGGGAATCGCACCTTGCGATCTAGGGGTTCGACTTGAGAAGAGCTCTCATCCACAATCTCGCTGGGTCCGGAAGTCACAGGAATAGGCGCCTCTTTCATCTTGATAGGCTCGGGAGCCTGACGCTGTATGACTTTTTGCACGTCGACCCATCGAGACACAATAGCGAACAATCCCACAAGGGCAAGCAAGGCGATTAGTCCCGATGACGTGAGTCCCGCCCAAGCATTCACTGCATTGGGTAGCATTACTTGGGCATTATCCGTGTTGTAGGCATTTGGAGATCCGAGGACCGATTGATCAGGACCGCCAATAGTGAGTATTTCGCTCTGGTCCTGACTCATTGGGTGAAGAGGGTGAATACCGACCAGACTTGCTCTTTGCTTAGCCGGATTGAAGATGCCCGCTGGAAGCGCATATCCCTGCGTGTAGCAAACGGCGTTCGAGGCGCCGTCGGTGACGGTAGGATACCTGAGCTCGGACATTGCGTACCAACTGCCGGACTCGGTGCAGTTGACGAAGACCTTGTCTTGCTCAATTGTATCATCTCCAGCAGGACCGATGGGCTGTGGAAGAATGACAAGCGAAGCATCTAGATCTTCTTCGTCAAGCGGTCTAACAATGTCGTACACGCGAGCTACGGGTGACGAGAACTTTTGCTTGTATAGGATGGAGTTGCCGAAGCGGCTTGTTTCTCTGTAGTCGACAGCGACGACACTGCCATCATGCTGTGTGTAGATGTATTTGCTGTCCATGGTAGAAGCGTATTGGTTGTGCAAATCCTTGTCGCGGTTGTTGGGACCCCATTCAAAGTAACGGATGGTGCAGATGGGGTTGCCAGTCATCTTATCTGCGATCGAAACGGTGTATTCTGTTCTGCCCAAGGTAAGGGTTCCGATCGTCTCGCATTCGTTGTCTTCAAGTGAGCCAAGACCGTCAACGCGGCGACAGTTTTGATCGTTGCTAAAAGTGGAAGCGCTTGAGCTGAACATCTTGAGGATCTTTCCATTGGATGCGTCGACTGTGTACAAAGTATTCTTCTTGTCGGCGGTGTAAACCACGGGAGGGTCTTCGCCGGCGTAGGGAGACAATTCTTCAACGAGCTGCTTGACAGACAAGCCTAGTTTCTGCATGCCGTTCTGTGGCTCCGAGGAGTAGACGTACAGGCTTCCGTCTTGAGAGGGCTCGACGATCCAGATGAGACTGGTCTCGGGTTGAGACTCGGGATCAGAGTCGTTGTGATGGTAGACGGTCTCGATCATGGGCCTGTCAGCCTCAATCTCCCATCGTGGGGCGCCGGTTCTGCGGTCGCGTGCGTGTAATTTTCCATCAACGGTCGCCAGGAGAATAATATCCTCGACTTGCCAATCCTGCAGAGACCGCGCCGGGTGTCGCGAAGAGAGAGCACCGGACGAGGCCGATGATCGTGCAGGAGGTGCTCGGACGGCCGGGAGTGAGTCGGCTGGAGCAAAAGTCGCAAGGGCGCGCTCGATTGAAGGGTCGATTGCGGTGTCTTTAAGGTGTTTGTGGTTGTGGGTAGATCTCAGTTCTGGCGAGGAGCGCGAGTTGCTGAGCTGTGGGCGTTTGCGGAGGTTGGCATTGTTGCTGCCAGACTGCTGCTGCTGAGCAGTGGCTATGAGAGGCAGCCATACGAAGATGCAGATCAGAGCATTGCCGAGACTCAGTGCTGGAGGTCTTCGACGAGGCATGTTTCGAGAATCAGGTTCCAGCCTTGTCGAGCATAGGACGAGTGGTCGGGGGTGGTGTTTAGACCTCAGTGGCTCTTCGCACCCATGGGAGATGCCAGGATGAAGAGAGAGTTGATGGAGTGTAGGCTGATGGCGGCAGTGGTGAATTTGATCAGGGGCATGCACGTCGTGTGCGAGGATGTGGGCTTGATTCCTTTTTGTGGAGACGACGACTTCGCGCGTTCCGAGTAGCGACCGTTGAGTCCTGACCGCGCGACTGGTGGGGTGAGTTGCTGCGTGACGATGGAGGCTGGCTGAAGGGAAAAGTGAAAAAGACAAAGGCGATGATGGTGTGTTTCGCGACGTCAGAAGAAATAATCCTGTGAGATGATTGTGTGCACACAAGCGAGGTGAAATGCAGTCAAGCCTGCTTATTGACCCAAGTCTGATGCTCTCCCCGACGCTGCCTCTATTCGAGACGCTTCGACCACGAGAATCCCTTACCGCAACGCCTGGAAAGCCCTTGCCGGCTGCTCGTATGCCCTCGAGACTCTTTGAAGGATCCCCTCAACACTTTCCTGCCTCCAACTGACTTTGATATCTATAATGAAGCACGCGTCTTGTTAGAGGCCAACCCTACCACTGCTTTATCAGAGTTAAAGTCTAGGATCCCCCGATGTGAGCGACCTCTTGCCGTCTGGGGACGATCGATGCCTTTTTTCCCAATTATCGTGCTCCGGGTGCTCCCCGCTTGGACCCTTGTTCCGAGTCACGCGGAGATTCTTCCGCCCCCACGCTCTACTAACCGACCACACCTCACCATAGCAAGTCATCACATCGCAACCTATAGCAAAGATGGCCCTCCCAGGACGTGAAGTCGAGTAAGTCTCGCTCTGTGACACAGCCCAGACAGCATTTAATCACAGCCGAGAACAGCTTGCCCACGCTTGCCCGCCATCTTGTTGAACACGGACCACATAAGACGCTGTCCACAGAACGACGCGTCAGAGTCCTGATCAACGGCGCTTGCATTGCGGATTCTCTCGGCACAACAGGAGCACTCTTTGTCTGGGAACATCCACACTATCCACAGCTCTACTTTCCAAGAGATGCTCTAGTTAAGAACGTATCAGGCTATAACATTATTTATGAGGATCATCAAGACGTGAAGAGTGCTCAGGACAAGGTCATCGCAAAAACACTCAAGGTCAAGGTCCAACGTAATTCTGACAATGACATGAAAGAGATAAAAGATGGCTTTATGGTCTTTGATGACAAGCTTGACGGCAAAGCAAGTGCACTTAGCGGCATGCTCAAAATCAACTTCAGTGCTGGTGGTGAGTAGCTTTACTTCTCATCCTACCACACCCCATGCTGAGCCCTTCAGACCAGTGGCTCGAAGAAGACACCCCCATGTTCGTCCACCCAAAAGACCCCTTCAAGCGCCTCGATATCCTTCAATCTTCTCGTAGTGTAAGAGTTGCCGTGGACGGCAAAACCATCGCCGAATCCCAGACTTGCATGCAATTATACGAAACAGGCCTACCAGTCCGCTACTACATGCCGCTCACCTCAATCGACACCTCACTCCTCCGACCCAGCGACACCATCACAGCATGCCCCTACAAAGGAGAAGCCTCCTACTACAATGTAGTCGTGGGCGATAGAACCCATAAAGACATTATATGGTACTACAACCACCCTATCGTGGAATGTGCAGCTATAACGGGTCTATGTTGCTTTTACAATGAAAAAGTGGACATGTGGGTTCAGAATGGTGATGAGTGGAAGAAGCTCGAAAAAGCGAATTCGATATTTAGTTGAAGTGGTTGGGTGGCTAAGATGTAGCTCGTTATACTTTGATGTCAATGCTAAAACTGCCTCGCTAATTGATGCTTTGTGAAACCATTTCTGGTCATCCCCTGAAAACCCATGGATCTCTGCCATCGTAATCGGCGCCTGGGTAATCGAAAGGCAGATCTTCAGCATTGAAGATGTCCATATCTGGAACTTCTTTCTCAATTGCTGCTTCTCTTGCTCCATTCTCAATAGCTCCAGTCTTTCCAGCCTTGGAGTCTTTCTTGCTCGCATGAGCAGCCGTGCTCTGAGGAGTGTCTTCCGCCTCGCTCTCCGTCTCTGCATCTTCCTCTCCGCTATCAGTCTCTGCGTCCTCGTCATCGTCACTCAAGACCACAACCTCTTGCATCTTCTTTTCCGTCGTCTCGTCATCTGCCGTATGAGTCTCAGTCTCCACAGGCATGATGACACCACACTCCCAATTCCTACATCCAAGCTTCCATTCCTTCTTCTTGCGATCCCAACTCAACTTCCCCCAAGCACTTTCGCTCAAGTTAGCACTTCCCAAATATCTCCACGCCACTTTCTCGCCTCTTTCATTCCTTCCCCTGGCATAGATAATTTTGTTGTGAGAGAGCATACCAGGACGCTTGGAGCGATAGTCTCGGAAGCAAGATCTGGGAAATGTGGCTGCGTCCCACCACTTCGAAGCTAGACATATTGTACCGCCATTGTCTGGGCCGCCTGTACTGCTTGCTACCGTGGCGTGAGTGGGGAAGTAGATGCGGAAGAGGTCTCTGATGTTCTGCGTTGATATGGTGTTCTGAAAAGGTTTTGGTGCTGTTCGAGAGATTGATGTAGGCGTTGTTGTCGCATCTTCCCCTCGGGCGGCGTTGTGGATCACTGTGAGGAAGTCGTCGGTTAGGGAGCCAATGGACGATGCTGCATAGTCGATTTGTAGCTTGGCAAGAGAAGCAAGTGATGAGGCTGATGAGAGTTGCAGTTCTCGGACTGCTTTACTGAGACCGGGGTATCCTGTTCGTTCTCTGTCTTCGCCATAATGAGCACCGCCCACCGAGTGAACCAACGCAAGATGACCAGTGTTGCTAAAGTCGAAGTTCAAGACGCCTTTGCGGATATCATCGTCGCAGCCCATCTTCTCGAGAAAGAAGAGTAGCTCGCGTCCGAATTGAGGCAGCGAGCTCTCATCTTTGCTGGATGGTGGTTCGTGACGAGGCAGATCGATGAGAAAGACAGAGTTCTCCATAACCCCAGTCTCACCCCAATCATAGCTCGTCAAGTTTGCCGAAGGTACCACGACTCTCAACTTGTGTGGATGGAAGAGCAGCATGAGTTTAGAGTGCATGCAGTTGATATTGCCCTCCATAGATGGAAACACTAGTCGTAGGATCTTACCCAGATATTCGGTTATCTGCCTGTATTGCTGCTGAACATCCTCATTCTCCGCTTGCATGACCATGATGACTTTGGTCTGTTGCAGGTTGAGCTTTGCCATGATCCAGTTAGTGTCCCATTGGAATGCTGAGAGTAAAGCTGTGCGCAGAGTAGACTTCTCGAGCACCTCCTCGATCTTGATGTCAGTTTCTGTGCGAGCATGACCAAAAGCCCATGTTCTCTTGATAACACCACGAGGATAGTGACAATTTCCTGGTGGATTCTGTTGTTCCTTGACTTTCTTGGCTGGTCTGGAAACCAAAGGTGGAGAAATGGATCTTTGCCTTTTAGAAGATGATGCTTTCGTCTTTGTAGTGTTTGTGACTGTACTTGTCTTACTTCTCGCTTGCATACGTGCCAGACGTTCGGCTTCCATGGCTCGGCGGTCGAGACCAGGTATACCTGCCATGATTGCCGAAATATCTCGAGTAAGTTTCCGCTGACTGAGTGAGAGGATAGACTTTAAGTGAATAGCCTGAATCACTCTCATACGATCAATCTCTAGAACAGTGTGCGCAGCGAGATGCTAACTTGAAATTGTGTTTGATGATATCCAAAAGTTGTGTCAAGTGGAGCGGAAGATGAATATGTTTGTTATGCAAGCAAGCGGGAGCTGACTCGGCTGCACTTGCCGAAACAAGAAGCCAACGGTTTGGATGACCCTGTCTGTCTCAATGTAGCTAATTTCAACACCGGCAGAACACTCAAAGGCCACTCTCAAGGCTAGCGTGGTTTGAGCTATCAAACCGTGAAGGATTGGGTTGATGGAAAGCGTGCAAACATGGACTCGAAATAATGAGGTGCGTGTGAGCTCATGGTGGTATCTATAACTAGTGGTACAAAGAAATGGGGGTGCCTTCCAGAACATCAATACAAGCGTCGCTGTTCTCTAATAGTCAACGCTCCAAGGAAGAATTACTCAGGGTCGTATTCCTAGAACAACCCCCAGCCTCTCTTCCTTCTATCGCTGCTATCATCACCTCCACGATCGAGTTCGCTGAGGCGACGGTTGGGTTCTCTACTTCCCCTACCTGCTCTCTTTTCTCTGGCTTCCAATGCTTTGAGAGCTTCCATCTCCTTGAGTACGTGTTCCAGAAGTTCTTTTCGATGCACGACATCAAGGTGACGGCGGATTTTGGGATCTTCGCGAGCGAATTGATCGAGTTGTTGAGGACTAAGTGAACGGAATTTTGAGTCTAGGGCGCGGGGGAACTGGTAGATGTTAGTATTCCTTGTCTTCTTTGACATTTGGTGGACAGTCTCTTACTTGATAGTAGAACTTGCTGAGCAGTTCAGCATCTATAAACAAATCCGCGGTTGTGGTAAGCTTATCTGCCACTGCGTCGAGGAAGACTTCTGGACATATGTATTTGTTGGTCTTGTTGGCGCAAGTCTTGCTTTTGACCGCTAATAGACGCATGCGCAGGATGTCGGCGCGGTCACGAAGGAAGACTGCCTCTCTTCCCTTTGCGAGTAGAGCAGCCGAGAAGCCGCCAGCGCCTCCACTGCTGTTGCCTTCCAAGTTAATGTCTCCCTTTCTGACCTTGTCAATGAAAGTCACAACATCCTTGAAGCGCTTCTTGCCTCCCATCTCTGCTTCGACCGTCTTGACGGCATCTTCGCAGTCTCTAAGCTCGTCCTTCAGAGCTCGCTGAACATTCTCGCGTCCACGAGTCCATTCGGAATCCTCAAGATCAATGCGGTGTTTGTAAGGCTTGACACAGATTTCTAGCTCATCGCTGGTATCGTAGGCTAGGTCGTGCAGGATGCCTTGAGCAGCTTGTGTGATCGCTGTTTGAGCGAAGGGATGTGCGTTGAAAGTGGAAGAAGAGATGAGGCGTTCAACATGTGCTTGTAGACATTCGGCAGCAACCGTTGTGGCTAGACGTCCGATGCCAAGCTTTGTGAGGGAAGCGGAACATGCGTCAAGCTTTAGGCGCCAGAGTTGCTCGTTAGGGTCTGCTTTAGGCAGAGCAGAAAGACTTTCGACAAAGCCTTCGCCTTCTTGAGCGGAAAGGTCTTCGAGAGGTCTGTTCCAGTAGCGTGAAGCAAGCAGATTGAGGACTTGCTGGTCGAGCTCGTGCTTCAGGATGTCACGCAGCTGGTGACGACCGAATGAGTCGGAGAAACCTTTGAAGGAGTGCTTGAAAGCATCAAGACTTTCGGCCAAATATGATTCGGCTGACAAGGGACGCTCGTTGTATTGTACCTTGAACTCGTAGGTGGCTTCGGTGAGTTCGTGGTGGATGGCCTCTGCAGTAGTAGCGAGGGATGCCGACATGGTCGATTCTAAGACATGCATAAGTTTCTTGCGGAGGTTGGTAGTGCCGACTGTTACTTCGCTTGTGGGTCCGAAGCTTTCGGGGTGGGAGGAGAAGTAGGCTTTCTCGTTGCGGGTGATAGCCGACGTGATATTTGCATTGCCACGAGAGAAGAGAGAATTCGATGCCTGAGGAACACGGCAGACAACACCGACGTAGCCAAGGCGTAGTGGGTAGTTCTTATCTGTCAGCATAGCGTGACCTCTATGAGCGTCGACCAGATCCATCTTTGTAATGACTCCGATCGTGCGCTCACCTCGAGGGTCGACTCGACGACTGGCTCGAAGGGCGGTAGAGTTGGCCAAATCTACATCTGCAGCAGAGATGGCCAGGATCACATTAGGTGCTTGAATGTACTTGTCACACAGAGCAGCAATCTTCTCCTTAAGTTGAGTTGGCTGGTCGAAGCCCGTGACTTGGATATAACCTGGCAAGTCGATCAAAGATAGGTCGGGCACGTTTGGCGAGTATATGCGGAGTTGAATTGGGTCGTCGGAAACACACTCTGACTCGGGCACGGCCAAGTTCAAGTCGGTAAGCGTCCTCTGAATCTGAGCAAAGTCGGTAACCTTTCCCAAGCCAAGAGCAGGAAATTCGCCGTATTCAGCATGTGCACCAGGAGTGTTGACCAGAGTAAGCTCGATCGGGCGACGTGTGACCATATTTGAGCCTTTGGGTAGGAACTCGTGACCAACGATGGCTTCCAGCACCGAGCTCTTTCCTGATGATTGGGAGCCGACTACGACAATCGAGGGTAATGTGAGGGTCTCGGACTGGCCGACAGTCTGGAGCAGACTTCTGATCTCGATCATCTTGCGCGTGAGGAGCATCATCTGGTCGTCACGAGCTGCTGCTTCTTCTGTTCTGTCGTCTTGTTCGTCATCATTCAAAGCAAAGGCGGCGGCTGTTGCGCCACCTGCTGCCGCTCCTCCTACGCGCGCCTCTTTCGGACTTGGTCCATTTCCTCCGGGTCCACCGTCCCCTCCAGGTCCAGATGAGTTTTGTTGTGGTAGCAGCTCTTGCAGGTCCTTCTTGGTCTTCTCCCAGCCAGCCTTTGTTTGAGCAAAAATGCTGCCTGCGCCCTCGAAGATGGAACGCGCTCCAGTAGTCGTTGCGTCGGATGCTCTGCCAAACAAATCGATGGCGTAGTTACCAGCTTGAGCTGCCTGATATTGTATGTAGGCAAGGCTTCCCACCGCCGTCGCGCCCAGGAGAGCAGGCAGTCGGATCAACTTGAAGGCAAGTTTCGGTATGGCGCGAGCGAACGAAGCATGGCGTACTACTGCAGTGTTTGGTCCAGATGATATCGGTCGACTCCGCGGGATGCTATTGCGTGTGATTAGACCTCCTGCCCGTTGGTGGGCTGTGTGGTATGGCGAGCGAAGGGTCAAGGGAGAGCTATGTCGGGCAAAGGTCGCATAGCGCGACGATAGCAGCCTTCCACTCATAGTCGCTGCATCAACCTGCACTTGTGTTGTTTCTCAGCTATGAAATTCTTGTTGACAAGGTTGCGCCCTGGTCAGCGTTGCTTGTCTGCTTTCCAGCCTCGCTGACGTTGTTTCAAGACGCCCCGCCGCCTTGGTAGGGATTCTAGCCACGATTCAGGCATCAGCCACACTTCCAGGCATCAGCCACAGCTCGTGTCTCACCTCGTCGAATTGCTTTTGTAACTTCCACTTCAACATGTCATCCGTCATACATGATGCATATGCGTGAATTGTTTTACTGCTATGCACATCAATCCCGGATGAATCCCTCCCTTCCTGCGTGATCCATCTCCTAGATTATGACTGGCGACGGTGCAAGCCAGAACAGACGACCTCCACGTCTTAATCACAAGAAATCGCGTGCTGGTTGTCAAAGATGCAAGGCCCGTCGTGTCAAGGTGCGTTTTCCTGATTTCCTCCTGCCAAAGCGTTGCCAAAGCATGCGGTCGGGTCCTCCCAGTCGCAAATTCTCCAGACATCACCGACTGAACCTTGACGAACACGCCTAACTCAACAATCTAGTGCGATGAGGCGAAACCCGCTTGCGGAGGATGTAGTCGCCACCATGTGCCTTGCATCTATCTTACCAACGAGTCCCCAAGGGCCGCTAGCACAGAAGTGTCGCTGTCTCCTCATGCACTCCCGCAGACAGACCAGGTTCAATTGAAGACTGCCATCAACCAGGTCCTCACGCCGCCGACTAACAATGACCCGGTCACGGCGGATGACATCCTGGATCTTCCAGAGTCACGCCAACGTCGTATGCTCGAACTCCGCCTATGGCATAATTATGTTACTGTTGTAGCAACTCCCTTCCATACGCAGGCTCCGATATCTGCACTCATACAGATCTGGAATAATCATATGCCGCATATTGCCATGCGACACGATAATCTGCTTAACACCATCTACGCTTTCTCTGCTACAAACTTGTTACGAGATGCTCCTGATGACGAGCAATTGCTCACTGCGCAGAGGATATATCTCAGTCTGGCCCTCCGTGAGCAGCGAGCGGCCGTCATCAAATTCCATACCCAGGCGGAAGAGCCAGACTCGCTCTGCTTCACTTCCATCATGATGACCATGAATGCGTTCGGCTCTTTGCAGGAACGTACGCGACAACCTTACAAGCCACCTACGGACATGCTACGTCTAGGCATAGGAGCATGCGCTATGTTTGAAGAAGCTCTCAAGAGTGCTCGCAAATTTCCCGCATCCAAGATAGTCACTTTCATCGAGAATCAGCCCTTTTTCTGCAGTATACCTAGAATGTTCGATGAGGAGCATCGCGGCCCATTTGTTGGCATTCTTGGTCCGAGAAACGCCCAAGGCGTGTACGAGGACTCCGAACTCTGGAACGCTGAGGTCCGGGAAGCCTACGAATATACACTGAGTTATATCGGTACCATGTACACAGCCGTGTTGAACGAGGAGTCGTTGCATCAGATCTGCACCCGAATTTGTGCCTTTACACTATATGTGCCCAAGAAGTTTGTTGACATGGTCGAAGAGCTACGTCCTAGAGCGTTGGTCATCCTGGCGCACTTCTTCTCGCTCGCGACAAAGGGCAGCGCGCACTGGTGGGTTGGTCAGACTCCAATGCGGGAAGTTCAAGGGCTGCGACGCATCGTGCCACTGGAGTGGCAACGGCACTTACGATGGCCATTGGTCATGTCTGGACTCGAGCCTGTCTGAGGCATATATCACCGACCTTTCTAGGACGAGTGCGCACGGCTGCTGCAAATCAAAACAAACCGCCACCACCAGTAGCAAAAAAACCAGAACTTAATCTGGGAAACATCTTTGAAACCAAGTCATTATTGCGACCAACCAAGGGGTGAGTCGAACTCACACCCTCTGAATTCTATTTATGCTAGACTTGGAGAGGTTTGACGAGTGCCTGTGAGCCACAGGACTGATCTCTGATGAGGAGGAAAAGTGACTAGATTATCATACTGGACGCTGAGTGGTGGACGAGAAACTAGGCTTGATCAGGACGCGTGCAAAAGTGATCAACGCGCTTCCCCTGGCTTAGAGGCTTATCACCACCGAGAGCTGGTTTTGTCTACATATTTTACGCGCCTATGCTCGTTTTGACAAGCAGCACGGGTTGGCGGTTCGCAGGAAGCTACACCAGGTCAGCCCGAGTCACAGGCGTGCATCGAGCATATGAACAGCTGAAAAATGGCTTCGATGAGGTTGAGGTCAATTTCGATTTGGATCACACGCTACTATGCAAAAGCAACTACTCACCGATAGTATACGTCCGTCGTCGAGCTCTCTCGACAGCTTCAGGCGATTGACGTCCACGAAACCACGGCTAGTCACTTGCCCAGAACCAAGAAAATCATACGCATCGACCTTTGCCATATTCACGCGCACGCGTATAGCGGCAAGATCGACACAGATAAGAAGCGAGATAGCGACAGTTTCAATAGACATTAACAAGATGATACTGAGAAATTATATACTTGACGCACAGTTCACTACGACCCTGACTTTCAAACATCTCGTTGATAACTCAAGTCTCTCTACCCCAAGCAGGGAATTGAGCACCCAAAGCGCTGTTGCAGGGGTTTTGCACAATATCCACACTCGAAACACCAGAATTTTGACCCGCATTGCTAGAAAGCACAGAACTGCCATCAGGAGCGTAGATGTTGAATCTCAAATCTCCTTGACCGCCTCCGTTTGCCCACATGACTCTGACTGTTTCTGTGCGTTAGTGTTTTGTTTCAAGATGTAGAGAAAAAGGTGGGGGTGGAAAGGGTAACTTACTGGGAAGATACGATCCAACAGTGAGATAGTAGGCCAAAGTCTGAGGCGTCTGTGTAGCAATCTGACTACTCCAGAATTGAATGATATCAGCATTAGCCCTGTTCCATCCCGTGACTGCATTGTTGCCAATCCAGACGAATTGGATATCATCAGTATAAGGAATATTCAGACTGTAGTAACCAGTCTGAGAAGCGAAAAGGTAGAAAGTGTGATCCAAGACAAGGTTAGTGCCATCCACGAAATTGTAACCGTAAAGATTGATCCAATTTCCGTATTGATCGTTGGTTTCGGCAATGTAGGTTGTGTCGTCGTTGAAGGTTGGAGAGACCTTTTTGTAGGTCTCGGGGATGAAAGAGGGGTAGCCGTAGGTTGCTTGGCCGCCAGAATATTTGTTGGAGTAGGCGGCGAAGTTTATGCCTTGGTTGCCGCAAGATGTGACAGGGGTGGGGTAGACAATTGTAACAGTGGTGGTTGCACCGGCCAGCTTAGGGGTTGTGGTAATATAACCAATGGACGAAGCAGTACCGGAGTGAGTCGTTACGGTTGTGTAAGAAGCCTTGGTCGAGGACGACGTGCTGATGACCTGGCCCTTCGCTGCGGGCGTCTGGACGTAGACAGTAGCGACGAGTCCAGAGACTACAGTTCTGGTTGAGGTGGACAGACCAGTCCAGGCAGTTGTGATTGTAGTGAATGATACTGTTGCAGGTGCAGTGCTAGTAGGTGCAACCACGGAAGTCGATGAGGAAGAAGTGGTAGAAGCGACCGAAGAAGACGAGGAAGAGCTTGATGTGGTAGACGCCACTGACGAAGTTGACGAAGTTGACGAAGTTGACGAAGTTGACGAAGTTGACGAAGATGACGAAGTTGAGGCGACTGACGAGGACGACGACTTGGTGGAAGAAGAGACGACAGAAGCAGACGAAGAACTCGAAGAACTCGACGACAGAACAGAGGAAGACGAAGTTGACGACAAGACTGAGGAGGAGGAACTGGACGACACGCTCGACGAGGACATCACACTCGAAGAGCTTGATGAGACACTCGTCGAAGAAGGAGCGATGCTTGAGGACGAGGACGAAGCGACAACAGCAGGACAGCTACTGGGGTTTGCACTGATGTTGTCAGCAACCGAAGTACGGTTGAAGTATGCATCGATGCTGCGAATTCTCAGGATACTGTCTGCGGAAGGGGGTCCTTGGGCCCAGGCATTTCCGTTCGACCAGTTGTTCCAGATGGCGGCGCTACCTCAAGTCAGTCTCCCTGCAAGTCGAAGAGTTGTCGGGCACTAAGACTTACCCTGGTGTACTCGGAGAGTTATCTGTGATCGTCTGCACCAGTGCTCCATCAATGTAGAACTTGCTAACACCGGGCAGCCAATCAAGTCTGTATTCGTGATAGGCAGAGCTTGCATCTGCAGGTGCTCCCACACTGTAAGTCGAGTAAGGAGACCCGTAAGAGACTTGCTCGTTAGTGAGCCAGGCCTTGGAGACATCAGAAGTCAACCAGGCAAAATCGACTTCTTGAGTATCGTTGGCGTAAAAGATGAAGCCATGAGTAGTACCAGGCACATTTGAGATCTTTGCTACAGTACGAATTGAAGCATAAAGAATGTCGTTGAAGCTTGTTGCCAGTTGTGCACTGGAGATGGGGCCTGATGCAGTGTGAGATGAAGATCTTGATCAGCTGGCATGTCGGCCTTACCATTAGTCTGCCCGCCAGGGACAGTAAGTGTGAGGGCTTGTTCCTTTGCATCGAGACCAATGTTTACTAGGTCGAATCTACGAGCAAGAGGGTTCACACCGGCATTGACTGTGTACGTGCTAGGCACGAGATTATCAACTGTGCCGTAAAGGTCGGCGACGAAGTCATGGCCGAAACGAGTGTTGAATTGACCGGCATCAGTATTCCAGTAGCAGCCGCTCTTGGTGCCGGCAGCAGATGGTGTGTATGCATAGGTGGCAGAAGCCAAAGCCAAGATGTTGGTAACAGTCTTCTTCATGATGACGAAGAAATATTAAGGAGTGTGAATATGATTAAGGAGAGACGCAAATGGCGAAGACGAGACCTTCTATCGCAGACGGAGGCTTCTCTATATGTCTCTCGCGACAAGAGACATTCAAAGCTCGTATAGAAACAATAGCATCGTTAGAGCACAAGGCTTACACTGCCTGACAAGGCAGCTCGCTACATTGGGGTCAAGCGATTTGTCTGGGCTGCAGCCAAAGGCCTCGACCTGATTCAATGTCTCGATTATCGATATATCGTTATCTTAGCGCCGTCGAAGCGGCATAGAAGCAACAGAGCTGTTGGAAGGGATGACAGAAGTGCCGGTGGGAAGGGCTGTTGGCCGTTGGATACTTGACCGTTTCCTCATGGAGTCGGTAACCGCTTGTCCAGATGCGAAGATCTTGTTGGAAGCTCACGTTTCGAAGGCGTATGCAGGCTTCAAGCCTCGTGATACAGGCGGTGGATTGTCTTTCCTTATCATCCTGATCGCGGTATAGATTTGGGCTGAGGCGCAAAGTCGTTGCCGATGAGTATTGGTGGAGGCTCGGGACAACCGACGCGACTCAAAACCTGGTTGTGTCCATATATTGCTGGTACGTACATGCACAGGTAGACAACACGATGTAACACCGTCTAATCGCTTCTTGCGGGAATCACGGAGAGGATGTCAAAGTCTTTACAGTGCAAAGAGAGAGCGGTGATGAGTCGGACCCGATCCCGGAGAGGAGCGGGCGTGGTCCAAGCGTTGAGATTGCCCGTTGAGGAGATTCCGTCCTACAGGCTTCAAAGAACCAGTTTCCTGCGTAGCAGAAGTCGTATCGACAGCCACGTCAATGGGCTTCATATGACTGACGTATCTCTAGCTGACCTCTGCCTGACATCTCGAACAAGCACAGTCAAACTTCCAATGCTCCTTTAGCTTGTCCCTCCTCTCCTGCCTGGTCATGTCCCTCTCATCACCTCCCAGGTAACTGATACACAGCGCCTCGCCCTCTGCCACATCTCTCTCAGCCCAGAACTTCCACATCCGACCTTCGCGTCTCTTCCATATATTCGGCCCACAGCTGTGATTCCAATAGCTCGCTGCTGTCCACAGACCGTAGCCCAGACACTCGCTACCACCACTTCCACCATCGTCAAGATCTTGCGACCATATATTGAAGACATTATGCGATGACTTTGCTGCTAGGGTACGGAGATTTTCAGCAGTGATGTGTCCAAGCAGAGGAAGTGGTGCGCAAGCTAAGAGGTGGTGGTAACTGGTGATCTGCAGCTCAAGGTCTGCTGGTGAAGTGTATGGCGCAGACTCGGATTCGAGGATCAGCACGTCAGCCCACAAAGACGGTGAATTTGCGATTGTCAGTAAGGCTGGCAGTTGATATAATATCAGGTCGCGTGTGGGCGGTATAGCGAGTATCTGTGTCAGAAGACGGCGCTCTGGTTTTGACGGTTTGGCGGAAGATCTTGCAGTGCGAATCCTTGTCGCCGTGTCTTCTGCTGCTGCCCACGCGGACTCGATCTCCGGTATTGTTGGTCGAGGGAGGTCGTATGCTGGATTGTGATCGTGATCTGACGAGCTGGATTGCCTGGGCTTTCCTAGTCCTTCAATGGCCATTGATGCCACTTCATCAGTCACAACATCATTCTGCCAAATCACTTGACAATTTTCGCTGCAAAAGGCGTGTCCAGTCTTCGCATTTCTGATTTTCCAATTGCGACCTCTATCATACTGAAAGCATTGCGCGCAGACTTCCTTCCAGTATTCGCGATACACAATACTGGCTGCAATCTCCGCAGTTTCGAAGAGAAGCGTGCCTTTTGGGATGTATTGAGTTGCGTATACCCCTCGCCCCGATTCTGCTGTTTCGCGAACTGCGAAAATTGGCGATGCGTGAAGAGATGCTGGTGCGGACATTTCTATCGCTGAATGAGGTCAATGGTCCCTCCTCACAACGAGGGAGATTTTTCTACGTGAACCTTACCGGCTGGCAGTCTAGGCCTTTGTTGATGACGGAATGGAATTCAAAAATAAGAAATATTCAGTGGTTACCCTGTCGATCTGCCGAGGGAAAACAATTGCATCCCCAGCTTTTCGGTCTCTTCACTGAATCCTGCCTCAGATCCCACGAATATCTCGCTTGGCATGTCGTTCGCAAAGATGGATGACAAGCACACATGGCAGAGGGATAAAAATGTCCTTGGAAACGAATGCATTAATTCATTATAGTGTATGGCTGGCTATACCGTGATCCTGCGACTTTTGCTTTTCTGCTTACGACTGACCAGCACCAGGAGTGTCGGCAACCTTGAAGACGTACTTGATGGCACTAGCCTTACCAGATTTCAAGTTGGCAAGACCCTCCTCGACACCGTTGAGACCGCCAGCGATCTCCTGCTGAGGCTGAGCCTTGAACCAACCCTCATCGACACCCTTGGCGATGTAGCGGAAGAAGACTGAGCCAAAGTCCTTGTGCTCATTGTGAACGTCGCCGACCATGGTGATGGACTGCTTGACGTGCCCGGGGCAGTCGGAGAAGTCTCTTCCGGGAAGGACGAGAGTGATGTGACCACCGTCTGGCATGACCTTTGCGACGTTTGTGTACGAGCCTTTCTCTGAGACACCATCGAAGCAGTGGTAAAGCTCGGCTCCCTTGAGAGCGTCCTTGATACCCTTTTGCACGGCCTCATCACCGTCACGGTAGTCGACAATGGTGTCGCCCTTGCTAGGATCAAGGAGCTTCTCGACGTGCGATCTGGCGCGGCCAGCAACTCCGATGATGGGGTGGATGTTCGAACGGACAGCGAACTGGGTGGCGTAGTAACCGATCGAAGATGAGGCTCCATAGATGACGAGAGGAATGGGCTTCTCATCGTCCTTGCGGGGAGTCCAAGGCTGGGGCAGTCTTAGGCGATCGTAGAGACCAAGGGCAGAGGTCAAGGATGCAAGAGGCAGAGCAGCTCCCTCCCGGAACGAGACATGGTCGGGCAGGTAGGCGGTGGTGTGAGCCCAGGCAACAGCGTACTCGGCGTAAGAACCACCAGGTGCGAGCATCTGATGGAATGCAAACACGCGGTCACCCTTCTTGAACTCGGACACACCGTCACCGACCTCGTGGACGGTACCACAAATATCATCGCCCTGGTTCATCTCGCCCTTCTTGGTCATGTCGGGGTACTTCCTGCAAGCTGATTAGAATTGATCCTTATATATACACAGCTCTGATTCTTACCAGTCCTTAGGGTTGCTACCAGAGTAGACAACCTTAATGACAACCTGACCCTTCTCGGCCTTAGGGACGGGCGAGTCAACGATCTCGACCTTGGGTCCAGCGCGAATGATTGCTTCCTTCATCTTGAATGTAGTGTGTGATGCGAAAGGTTTGAGTTGGTAAGAAAAGCAATTGAGTCTTGCGAGTGATCTGTACTTAGCTCGAAAGATTGAGGAGAACATACAGTAGGTTTTGAGGCGAGATCAAGGTGAAATGAGAGCTCCACCTTCGACTTACAAATCCATGAGACCCCGTTACGTCAGAGTGTTCTCAAAGTTCTGTCAGCACCACCAGCCGGACTCATCGGCAGTTGTACAGGAGTGACTTATGTAGTGAAAACGGATTCTTCTTGACCAACAGATATCCACCAGCTTGATTCCATTCTCATGCTTAGATTGAGAAATCCTGCGAAGACCATCGCAGTGCTGTCGTAGAGCTGTCGGCCGCGGGGTTCGTCGGAGTTTTCGGTAACTTCTACATCCGAAGAATCCCCTCTCTAGAAGTCGTAGAGGGGATAACCCTGAGCGTATTGATAAATGATATCCAACAAAGACACCATCCGTCGCATGTTTTCGTCAGCTGGACATGAAATCCAGACGAACGCTAATTTTAACAACAGATCATCTAAAGTGCGCGTAGCCGACACGTGTTCTTGCAGGATCGCTGGAGTGTAGTTGCTCGGAAAGAGTCCTGAGAACGCCGCAGCACCTAAGGGTAACACCATGTTCTGAAAATAGTTGAATACAAATTATTATTGCAGGGTACAGCCTTTGCTCTATTATCAAGTGGATTCCAAGCCTACCTGATCCCATGCCGTCAACACCAAAACTTTTACAAGCTGTATCCACTGTTTCTGGTCCGCCTCTGACACTCTCGTTTGAATACGGGTAGTCTCTGCTGGATGTTCGTCCTTCATCTGAACATCCTGGATCCCAGAATCGACCATGTGATTACGATCTGCATCGTCGCCTTCTGATGTCTGCTCTCTCGATAGTGCGAATGCAGGATTGTCAACACCACCGACACCAAGACAAAAAGACGGCACGCCGACTTCTGCCCAGAAGCGAGCATGTGAGCCGTGCGCATGGCCGGTCTGAAAGTCCGGAATGCTAGGCCGACAACCAAGAATTCGCTTGCTGTTATTTGATAAGGAAGTTGCGATCGGATGCATCGCACACGTTGTTGAAAGACGCGAAGCTGTGAACGCGTTCGTCGGCGGTTTGTCAGTCCAACGCAAGGTATTGACGTCGAAAGTGGCCGAATCGATGGTTCTTGTACCGGTTCTGAAGATTGATGTATCTGGTGAAGATATCGGCGAATGTGAAGTAGATCTCGAGGCTGCGGTAATCATGCAATCGCCTTTCCATAGTGCGCTCCTCTCATCCGTGTGTAACAGATGGTGACAAGTGCCTAGATGGCCTTCCTCAGTATCGGAGATAGCTTCCAGGACGATCGTGCCGACGAGATGTTCCCGAATAGAGTGTAGATACGCGTAGGCTGCTACGATGGCTGCTGTTCCTGCTGCATCTGCTGGTAAAGGTGTCATACACGGATGCTGTCCGAGACCTTCGTTGAATGACCGCGACAGTAATAATGTCCGTGGAGTCAAGAGTCCATTCAGTACCAGACAAGGACCTTCGCCTTCATCAAAGATACTGACCATAGAAGGAAACTGTGGTGAGCCTAAACTTATGCATTGCAGTTGTCTGGCAGATAGGAAAGTGCCGATGACAGCCGCGACTGGAGCCGTAGTAGCATAGTCATTCCAGCCCTGTTTTCCAGGTGGTGGCTGTAGCGGAGGTTCCATGGCTGCCGAAAATTCGTCCAGGAATTTTGTCAAGTGATTCTCTTGTGCATCGATAGCCATCTCGATGACTTCCTTCCAGTTTTCCCTTGGCAAGTCTGTGACAACATTCTCCTGTTTAATGTGCTGTGGAAGGATCTCGCTCAGAAGTGACTGTCCGACTGACTGATTCACGCAGTATTCTTCGTTCGGCGGCGTAGGAGGAGGTATTGCGACATGCCTGCGATGTCTCATCATCTCACGACCCATCGCGAAGCGGACCATGACTTAAGGTAAGGTGTGGAAGATCGTATTGATGAGTTGATCTTTGACGTGGGCTGAGGGTTTGTTTCCGTAGTCTGTTGACAACAACAACAATGTGCGAGATACGGAATGTTCGCAGCAGGAAAAGAGAGCAAAAGAAAGGAAAGAGAAAACCAGCGTCTCTAAAAACAGAATCTTGATCAAACTTGCCTGTGCCTCGTAGGTTACACGGGTGGAAGCTTTCGGCGAATATTCGACAGGCTCCTTTGGGTGATGATTCAGATCAGACTCTAACCCACGAGGTAGACCACTCCGCGATCGCGTGAGAGGCTTGATTACAGTTGAGCTCGCTCGAAAGTCAACAGGTCGACATGTTATTCAAGACTGCAAATGAGATGCATCAAGCGCGGCACAAAAACAACGCAACCGAAAGCGGGCGCGCACAGTATCGAAATCTTGACACGCAGATTTGTTGCGACAACAACACAGATCCGCATAACCTCTCAGCAGCTTAGCCATGGTAGATGGAAAAGCAGATGACTTCACCGCGACGAGGAGAGTCGCAACCCTTTGCGTAAGCGTGCCGTGTCCTAGATGCAAGACAGACGACTTATGTTATCGGGTCAGTCACCTGAAGTGAGACCAACAGTCTAAATTCTGTATGGGCTATGGCTATGTAGGATGGACGGTGTGGTGATGCACGAATATGACGATGTAAAGATCGTCAGGTGCTGCGGCACTTGGGCCTAATTGCCGTGTTAGCTTGTCCGGGGAAGAGCGTAAGAACGGCCAGTCATCACAGGGAGTAGTCCGAGCTCATAAGCTGGCCACGGATTTGAACGAGAATACCGGCTGCTTGTCAGGAACCAGCGGTGCGACGGCAGGAGACACTGGTAGTGGATAAACTGGTGATAAACTGGCAAAGGCTCAGGGGAAGGCATCTGGTACGTCGCCGAGAATACAAGATTCAAGGAACCTAGACGAGTCCAAAAGTGTGTCGTGCACTGGCTCAACGTGGCCCTTGAGCGTGTAGCTTCGTACTGGCCGAGAGTCGCGTGAGATGCGATGCTGTGAGCTTTCCTGAGCGAATCGGAGGTATGATGGACCGATTCCTACTGGTTACAAGCGCCCACATCAGAAAGTATCGCTCCGCCAAAGACTATGTGGGCCGAAATTGGGACTCCAAGCCTGCGTTGTGACCATGTGATCTCGCAAGCCGTCAGAGCGTCTTGCAGATATTCGGAGTGCGTTCCTTGTTGGTAACGATCCTTCCTTCTCTTGATATGTACGGCCACCAGCATGTCTCGAAGGTATCCGAAGGTATCCGAAGGTATAATACGAGTGATGGAAATATTACAGTAAGCTAATCACACGATATCGTGAAAGCTTCGATGATGATTAAGTTGTGTCCAAGACGAGGCTAGGATATGCAAGCTTGAAAAGCACTGTTCAGGCGGCGGCTTGAATGAGCTTTTCGGGAGCAGCATCTAGTGAAGCACCTGCCATCTCGGTAGTGGTTTGACCCTTGGTCTCGGCGAATTTTGAACTGCGCTTGAAGCTGGGTGACGGGTTGTAAAAGTCGTCGATGATAGGATGGATGAGGACGGTCTGATTGTGAATGGTGACAGTGCTGTTTGTGGGAACGGTGACCCAGTTGTCACGTTCGAAGGTCAGGGGTTCGCTGGCGACAAGAACAATGTCGGCACCTCTGTCGCGTCTCTCCATGGTATAGTCGGCCTTCTCTGCCGAAGTACCGCTCTGCTTCTTCCAGCTAGTGCCGGAGCTGAAGAACAGACTCGCAGCCTCGTCGGTCTTGCTGCTGACGTAGCGGGTGCAGACGACGCTCTTGCCGTCGGTCACGGCAAAGTTGAGCAGACTACGCGTGTCGCCCTCTCTGACATGCTCGGGAAGCTCCCTGATGTAGCCGTTGATGCGTTGGATTGTCTTGAGGATTGTCTTGCGTAGGACGCTGTGGCCGAAACCATTGTTTTGAGCATCGTGGTTGTCGGGATCGTAGCCAGATTTCTCCAGGCTGTCGAGAAACAAGGCAAAGCACCACTCCGAGTCGGTGCTGCCTGTTACACCTCCGAACCAGCGGTCGCCTACGTCACTGACCAGCTTGCGTTTGACACCGCTGTTCCAGCTTCCTACTCCTCCGTTGTGCATGAACATCAAGCAACCGCGGCTGAAAGGGTGACAGTTGCTCTCGGCCAAAGCGCCCTCGGTGCTTGCGCGCACATGGGCGAAGATGAGGGGCGAGACGGTCTTGCTGGCTAGACGGGTGAGGTTGGTGCAGTTCCAGGCAGGGATGGTAGACGTGAAGATGCACGGGTCTGGGCCGAGCAATGCTAGTAATGAAGGAGGGGTGTAGTAGCCAACACCAAAGCCGTCGCCATTGTGAGGACGTCGCGTGTCCAAGCGAAGGCGGGAGTCGTAGGACTGAGTAAGAATCGAGTGCGCAGGGTCGAGGATCAGGGTGGAAAGAAGGATTGGCTCCTTGCCCTTGTACACCTGGAGCTGTTAGCCGTTGTTGCGACTGAAGTCCGACCTTGATCCTACCATGAACCGACACATCTGTAAAATATGCTAGATCGAGATGGACAAGCACACGCTTCTCCTCTCTCTGACTGGTAATTGTGCTTAGGACAAGTCGAGTTGGTTGAAGCAAGAAACAAAGACCGAACAATCGCACCTTCCTGTCATCGCAATTGCGCAATTGCGCTTGGACCCGATGTTGGAAGTGAACCCTTGTTTCATTCTTCGCGACTCCTTCTGTTAACAGACATTATATATTGCCTCTGCCATACGGCATAGTCTTGTTTATCCTTTCGGGATCCCACTCTCGAGATTGACTTCTTGCCCCTCATCTTTCATTCCATCTCCCAAGTTCTGTGTGCGGTAGAAGATTAGGTATACTAGGTCGGCCTTAGGCGCTGCAATATCCCCGAACATTCCCATTCTACAAACTTCCCCGAGTCGGCGACTTTCACAGTCGCGGCATGGTCACCATCTTCCTACAGTGAACGCATTCGTTGCACTTCAGCGTTTTTGATCAGAGGCACAGTAATATACTCAACCTTCTAGACCCTTGTCTGTCATGCCATGAGTGCCCCGGGCGCAGAACAAATCATGACTACTCATCCCACTGCTCCGTCTACCGTCACCACTGTCAAGCCTTCTCCACTGGCTTGCACAGAGTGCCGATCCAAGCATCTTAAATGTGACGGGAAACAGCCCATATGTTCGCGATGCGCTATCTCTGATATCTCGTGCAACTATACACCTTCGCGACGAGGTTGCAAAGGCATGCCCAAAAAACGGAGAAAACTCAATTCTCCGACCACTCGAGAGACGTCGATACAATCACCTACAACCCCGGCGTCAGTCAATCTCACTACGTCGGACCCTTTACCCTGGCGGGACGACGTGACCGATTCTGTTCTGAATCACTCCAATGTCACCACACACTCAGTCAACGTCGCATTCGACACATCGCTAGCGGATATCCAACCAACGCTCCTACTGGATAGTCAGACCGCAACTCCAGCATTGGTCAAACTGCAAGGGCGAGGTCACTCGCCAGTCGACTCAGACGTGGAGCACATCGTAAACCTTTACTACGCCAACTTCCATCCCGCTCATCCCGTTCTCCTTCCTCGACATATGTACGGACAGAACTATCCCTCATACCTTCGGCTTGTCGTTCGGTTCATTGGAAGCCACTACTCATCGTCCCATTCTGGAGACTCCTTGCGGGTACGAACAGCGATAGCTTTGAGCGATGAATCACAAAGAACAGCATTCATGGTTCAGGCTCGTCTGGTTTTCGCTATTGCAATACACGCTCGAGGTGAGGCGAATGAAGGGGTAGCGATGCTCCAGCTCGCAATCGACCTGGCGATTGACCTTGGTATGAACACCACGGTATTTGCCACATCGAATGCCAATTTATCTCCATGCCTTGCTGAGAGTTTTCGCCGAACATGGTGGGAGCTTTTTGTGGTGGAAGGTATCATGTCTGCTGTACATCGTCGACCAAGTATGAGGACCGCATCGGTCGTTTCAGGAGCGTTGCTACCCTGTGAGGATTTTACATACGCCGATGGGGCGTGCTTCTCGGGGAGTCCTTCACTATCCCAATTCTCTGATCGTCACTTTGCAGAAGAAGAAGTCGACTTCTCTTCATCTTGCTACCGCATCGAGGCAGTCCAGATTCTCTCGAGGGTCTTGTCAATTGCGAACGCCGAAGCACATCCGGACGAAGTGCAAGCAATCGATAACTCACTTGCCGCTTGGTCGCATTATGTCCCACCCGACAAGCGTGACCTCATCTCCAACTCTGGTGAAGTCGATGAGTTGTTGTTCCAAGCACATATGATCATTCACTGGGCAACAATCCTGCTACACATGCCCCGCAGTGAGCTTCTTTCCGTTCACCCTGCATCCGCAGATATCTTCTGTGCAAAAGGCGACAAACAGATGCCATCCACGGACACCAAGCATGCTCACGCAAGCAAAGCGACAGATGCTTCGAAAGAATTGTCAAATATGGCAGCTCTCCGCAGCCCAGTACAGAAACATACACCTTTCTTCATCTGTGCTCTGGTAATCGCATCGGTGGTACAACTCGCAGCATGTACTCTCCACAACTGCCGTTGCATGTATCAGCATCGCGATCGAATCACTCTTGTAGTTGGTCTGTTGAAGTCACTCAGCTTGCATTGGGCATGTGCTGGCTCTGTCCTTGTCAAAATCAAGAAGATTGCAGCCAAGGTACTGAAGTCAGATAATTGTACCATGACTGTCACTTCCACACAATGTGACAGCTGCACAGATAGCGGTCTTGGGACCAGCATCGGTGCTGAAGATGTGCCTTGGTTGGAGTTCTTTGATGATCCGACACTCATGTCTTTTGACAGGTTCGCACCTAGTCTTTCCTTTCCTGAGCAGAGCACATGACGACAATACCGGAGTTGACGCTGTTCGTCATTATATCATTCTTGACTATATATAGACTTGACTCGACTGAGACGTCGACCTATGATTCGCCGAATGCGCAATTTTTCTCATATTATAAGCGGCTCTAAGATCGACTTCTCCTTCGATCCTAGATCTTGGAGCCTCTGGTCATCCTGGCCCAAATCTGATGGCACAAAATCTTTGCCATGACCTTGCCAGTCATGTAGACGCAGCTTCCGATTTGAAATTGCAGGGCGCTGTTACAGGAGATGGTGATCAGAGAGAACTAGATCTTAGGATCCTCTTCCGGAGTCGTCATCCTCTCACAGAGAGCAGACACTCCTTAGGTTCCTCAGATATTTTTTGGGTTACAGATGATCATTAACCCGAGTCGCTTATTTGGAGCCTGTCTTGTCTGCATAACCTCGTAGCAAGGCAGACATTGAAGTACGCTTATCGATCGTATCGTGTCCGGTCAGTGATCAACTGACTATAAAGTGTCATGTATTGTTTCTAGTGTTTCTAGACTCATGTATTTGAGATCCAGAGATCTTGACTACGGGCGAGATATAGGCTAGTTCGCAAATATGTGTCCAAACTAGACGATTGATATACTACATTAGATATTTTCGCGACTCATTTCTCACTTTTGTTCCCCATCTGAATTCGGCCCTCTCACGGAAATGAGACGATATGTTTTGTGTTTAAATCCCATCAGCAGTGTGATCTGAGGGTCGAGCTCATCGAGTGCGAGAAACGATGGATTGCAAGAGAAAGGTGTACCTTGCTGGAGAGTCTTTCGAGAGCCGATTCTCACATTTGTTGCCTATTCGGGACTCGGGCCATCTCGGAGTCATCAGACCAAGGGCGTGCATCACGACGAGAGGCGGAAGGGTCCCGCGTGATCTCCAGAATATATAGTTCGCGTGTGGAGCACCTTCCCACGATAACAGGACAGCTTGATGCTCCTTCCACGTCGACTTGGCCTAAGCAAAATATTGAAGTTTGCGAGAGTGGCCAATATGAGCAGTCAATCCGTCTCCACTCGTGGACTCAATGGCAGCGGTAATGGCGAAGCGCGTACAGTCCGCGATGAACGTACCGTCCCGCCGATGGGCATGACGTCTGGACAATTCAACAGTGCAGCAACAGAGGCCATTCAGGATATCACAAACTACTACGACAACATTACCGACCGTCCCGTGCTCCCTTCTGTCGCTCCTGGTTACCTCGCCAAACTCCTACCTACATCACCACCAACGGAAGCTGAGAGTTGGGACAAGATCCGTGCCGACATGGAGTCCAAGATCATGCCCGGCATGACACACTGGCAGAGCCCTGACTTCATGGCCTTCTTTCCTGCCAGCAGTTCATATCCAGGCATGATGGGCGAACTTTGGTCGGCAGCATTGACTGTTCCTGCCTTCAACTGGCTCTGCTCGCCCGCCGTCACCGAACTCGAGACGGTCGTCATGGACTGGGTCGCCCAGATGCTTGCTCTACCTGAGTGCTTCCTTTCAAAAGGCAAAGGTGGTGGTGTCATCCAAGGATCGGCGTCCGAAGCCATCGTGACCTGCATGGTCGCTGCTCGGGAACGCTTTGTTACAAGGACTCTTATGAAGGACGACACCGTCCTCACAGAGGAGCAAAAGGAGGATCGATCGGCCGAGATCAGAAGTAAGCTGGTTGCACTGGCCACAAAACATACCCACAGCTCTACCCACAAGGGTGCGAATATCGCTGGCACGAGGTTCCGTAGCATCGACACCCAGCTGTCCAACGCTTTCGCCCTGCAAGGCCATGAATTGCGCGCCACTATCGAGAAGTTGAAGTCGCAAGGCCTGGAGCCATACTTCTTGACTGTCTCGCTCGGCACGACGAATACTTGCGCTGTGGACGATTTTGCTACTATCGCCGAAGTTAAAAAGGATTACCCAGACATCTGGATCCACGTTGATGCTGCGTACGCCGGTGTCGCTCTGGTGCTGCCAGAATACCAACACTACTGCAAACACTTTGCCTCCTTCGACTCCTTCGACACCAACATGCACAAGTGGCTGCTCACAAACTTCGATGCCTCTTGCTTATTCGTACAAAACCGTCGCGATCTGACTGATGCCTTGTCAATCACACCTGCATACCTCCGCAACGAATTTTCAGATCAAGGCTTGGTGACCGACTACCGTGACTGGCAAATCCCCTTGGGTCGCCGTTTCCGCGCCCTCAAGGTCTGGTTCGTCATCAGAACTTGGGGTGTCGAGGGTCTGAAAGCACATATTCAGCATCACCTGAAGCTTTCAGATCTTTTCAACAGCCTCGTTGGGTCTCGCAGCGATCTCTTCACCATCATCACACCACCAGCCTTCGCCCTCACAGTCCTCACTGTGAATCCATCACGCAAGCAGCTCGCGCCAAAGCCTGCCACCACAGCAGGAGAACCGGATGTTCAAGATACCGTGCCCTACCAAGATTCTCACCTCGCTGTCGTCCCTCAACAAGCTGATTCAAAGACGCTGGAAAAGGCAAACGCGAATACGAAAAAAGTGTATGAGATTATTGATCAGGGCAAGAAGGTCTTTTTGACAAGTTCGCTGGTTGGAGAAGCTTATGCTATTCGGGTTGTTAGTGCTAATCCATTGGCATCTGAGGAGGGGATTAGAAAGGTGTTTGGGCTTTTGGTGGAGGCCGCTGAGCAGGTGCTTGAGGACAAGGCATAGGAATGATATTGATAGACTATCCCTACTCAAAGCCTAGGATAAAATTACATAGATGCCTATACGACCCTCTTCTCATCATATGCCTATCACTTTCAGTCTGCGTGAGAAGTTCTCTAAATCCACTTTCTCTTGTCATTACCACCACTCGTTTCGCTGGACTTTTGCACCCCCTTCAACGCAACAATCAACTTCATCCCAGCCTCTCTAGTGCCCGTAACCTCCTTCCTCTGATTCCAAAACCTCTCTCCTTTCTCACTCTTATACTCACTTCTCACACACTCGACCTCCACAACCTCAGGACCAGGATACAGCGCCTGTTGCGTCTGTGTAGACGTAGAAGGCGCAGAACGTCGAGATCCGAGGTATGTGTGAGAAGCTTGAGGTAAAGATGTCCCAGCTAGTTCTTCGGAAAAGGTCTCGAGATAGCGTTTCCGTATCAAACGACGTGTTGCTTCTTCTTGTCTGACGGCTTCTGAGCCAATTTTGTCAAAGATGAAGTGAATCATCAATTTTGTGGCGAGATAGGCTTGTTCGGCGAGAAAGACAGTGAGCAGGAGTCTAGAAAGCCGTACTTGTGAGATGTCGCCACTATACATATGGACAAGAGCAGCGGTGGAAAGAGTACCGAGCCAAGTCAGAAATTCAAGGGCAGACACTAAAGGGCCAATGGAGTCAGATCGAATCGGAGGGGGACGTTGGCATTCGTTGATGAGTTTGAAAAAGTCGCCGCGGAGTTCGATCCAGTTGTTGATGAGAAAACCAAGAGGCATGAGTGGGTATGCGACACCGAACATTGTGAGATAGCCGAACTGAATACACATTTCCATCGTGTCCTCTTGTACGTCGTAGGGCGGGGCGGTAGCTTCTGCGCGCAGACGAGCTAAGAGGCTTTGCTCTTGAGGTGCATCTACGAGCAACGCTTTGGTGTACTCCGAGTGCATGCGCTGGTGCAGAGTGGTGACTTCTTGACCATCCTTGTATCTGCGATGAGCTTCCATCAAGTGTCTTTTCACATATGGCAGAACAAATTCCTCGCCAAAGTTGATGACTTGACCTGCCATGGACAGAGATATGACTTCTTCTTGCAAGCGGTGTGCATCCACACGGAAGTCCTTGGCTGAGATGTGAGACTGCCACGAGTCCGGTATCAAGTGTGGTAGGAGTTTCGGTCCGTATGGCACATAGACATAAGCGGTTAGGATCATCGGAAGGAATGACGTGATGAAGTTCAGAACAAAGGCCTTCTGAACCTGGGCCAGCTCGAACTCGTCATTTGTGCGATGATTCTCGTGTTCGGACAGACGTGCCGCAATGGACGTCAAAGTGCCAGTGACATATGGCAGAGACACTGCCAGGAGGATAATCGGAAGGTACTGCACAGCCTGGTCCATTAGTGAGCGCACAATAATACAAGAGCGTATGTCCTACCCAAAAGCCACTTAAATTGTTCCCAAACACGTCCGAGATAAGAGCCTCAGCCAAGAAGGTGACCACCAGGATTCCACCAAGTGCCGTGCTGGCCAGAACGGCAAACGGTATAAAGTACACCTGCCTCAACAAACGCTTGTGTGCTGGGAACATCTTCTGAACCTCACCAGTGATCGGGTCGATTTCTTGCTTTTCCCAAGTGTACTGGACACGGTTGACTTTGAGTGCGCCGACACCGTTGACGTTCCATCGGATGCTCAGATCGATCTCTCGTCTTTTCCACCATTCGACAAAGATGATGCTCCATAAGCAGACAGTCATTCCGAAAATCGCCGAGTATGGTGTTGAAACAATCCAGAAGAGTGTCCCAAGGACGGCAGGTAAGACAAGGAAGAGAGAGTATGCTTGTAAGAAGGCGAAGTAGAAGCCGACCTATGGGTGCGTCAGATGGTTTTGTGAAGATATGCCGACCCTCTTACCTTTTCCCCGAACAACGCTTTGATCTGATCCAGGTCTTCTACACCAAGGACAGTCTTGGCAGCTAGCTTCCTTAGAAGTTCTGTGTTCGCGATCCAAGCATGTGGTGAGAATGACGCTGTCACGTTCTCCCATTGTCCAAGATTTGCCGTGATTCCCGCACCGCCCTGCTCTTTCGTCCAAGTGACTAAGTGGAACACAGAGCGCATCTCCTCCGAAGGTGTATCGGCATCAACGATGGTGGCACTATCTCCCAAGGGTCGTGAGTGAACAATGCCAAAGAGCCAGTCCTTGACTCTTGAGCGATAGACCTCGTTGCCGAGCTGATTTCGAGGGACTCGAATAAGCACGAGTAGCGCAGTGCCATGCCCACGTCGGACTTCAGTCTCAAGCCCAAAGGCTTCAATGTCCCGTATCAGAGTCTCGTACTTGTCGATCGCGTGGTGAAGCTCTGGAGAGGACTCAGCGAGACACATTTACCTGTACAAGACAGCCTCGACTTACCTGTATCCCCAAAGTCGTAGAGAACCACCCAGTCGATCTCAAAGTCCTCGTCACTGTCGTTGTCCGTATGATCACTGAAGAGTTGGCTTCTCTTACACTGCATGGTAGCGAGTCTCCTGTTTAGATGAGGAATTTCGTCTCAGAAACCCGCAAATGTTTCTCTACAATCTTGTGGCCTGTGTGCCAGACGTCCACGTAACATTTTGCTGCCAAGCATGACCTCCGATATGTCCGTAGAGTCTTCTCCGTTCTACCCATGCCGCCGCGTGGATACGGGGATTCTGCTCAATCGAATCGTTCGAACACCTGGAGTAAAGAGATTGGCGTGGCTTGGCGTTGACGAGTATGCCGACAGCCGCGTTCGCTGACCTGACGATGACCAACAGGCGTCAAAGGAGGGAGGAGATTTGAGACTCGTGGTGTTGTGTTGTGCATGTATGATTAGAGATCCGACGAGAATCAAAGCAATGATAAAAGCGAAAAAGGATGACGAGTCTCCAGCTCGACCTACCGGCTGTATTGATCAACTCGATATGGCTCTACATGTGACCCGTCCTATACTCAGACGAGCGTGTCGTGTTTGATTGTACGCATGAGCCAGACTCTTAAGGAACATGGATGCGAAGTGTGCGGACATTCGACAGGTGTTGGTGTTCAAACTTCAGAGCTATCTCACATCGATGTTGCAATGGAGCCAAAGCTCAAGAATTCCACGAAGGCAGGGACGTCACAACCAGACTTTTGGCCATATACTTGGCGGGATGATCAAAGGCTTCAATAGGTAGTGGCAGACGTGATAGTGGCAGTCACATTTCTTTTGTACTACACCATATTGTCTGTGCGTCCATGGACGAGTTACACAGCCACCCCCAACTTCTGCCATCAAGGAACTCTCGAACGCGTTGGTCGGCCACGACATATTTCACGAGTTGCGACAAGTCTAGGAGCCACCCACACGCGCGAGACAGCACGACCTACCGCTGGTGGTGAGATCTTCTGCAGGCTCTACTTTCTCCACGCAGGATCAGCACACACGCTGTTATCGCTCCAACCCATTTGCCTAGAAAGGCATTATATATGAGAAACGGGTCCTTCATCGTCAGCCAAGCGTCGTTAAGCTCTTTAAGCTTCGCTACCATTGACTTCTGTGATCCTTACTCGGGCCGACATCCATCACCACACGGCTCGTCATTGATGAACAAGACATCAATCTTCTCATGAAGTAACGCCGAGCGCGAGGTCAGAACCATCCACGACTTAGAAGGATTCCGAGGCATATAAGTTTACATCCCTATTCAACGTTTTGTTGCTTAGCTGCTGGTCATTGATGTGGCTTCCAATATGCACGCGGTTGGGAGAGGAAGAAAACAGCATCCTTGCAAGAACCAAATATAACTTCACGTCATTTCAAGCGTTTTTCCTGACAGCTCTCGCATCTTGATGGCAGCCGAGCCCAGACAGCGACCTGGCTTCTCCCGAACCGATACTGACATGACCTCGGAGATAGAGTCTGGTGTAAGGGAGAACAGTCGAATAACACCTCCTAATGGCATTGGGGTCCATGCAGAAGACACCAAAGCTCGGTCCTCGAGCGAAAGTATCAGAGAACTTCCTTCATATCAAAGCAGCGACAGTTTAAGTCTTGAGGAACGTACCACTAGAGATTATGTTGCCGAAGAGCACAAAATTGTCGAGACCGCAGAGGATATTGTCCATCAGGTTCTCAGCGTCGAAGACGATCATACGCTCAATCCATGGACCTTTCGCATGCTTTCCTTGTGAGTATATCATGGCTTTGTGGCTACCTCATGACAGCACTGACAATCGCCAAGAGGACTCGGACTGTCTATCTTCGCCTCTGTGCTCCAGGAGATCTTCTACTTCAAGCCACAGACAATCTTCGTCTCGAGCGTGTTCTTATGTGTCATTGCGTATGTGCTTGGTGAGACCATGGCCAAAATTCTGCCCAGTAAGGGTGTCATTGGAAGCTACCTCAATCCCCATCCTTTCAATATGAAGGAGCATGCGTACGTATGAGAAGTGTGACTTTTGACTGCCTACAATGCGCTGACTAGCTACAGCGCTATTACGCTAATGGCTTCCGCGGCTGGGCAAGCTGCCTTGTCGACCGAGGTACTTGCAGCACAGGAACTCTGGTATGGCGGATATCCGAGTAAGACCCTCGGCGTCTTCATTACATTATCAAGTCAACTCATCGGCTATGGCATCGCGGGTCTCCTCAGAGAAGTACTCGTATATCCTACTAGAATGCTGTGGCCAAGCAACCTGCCAGTCTCTACTCTGCTGGAGAGTCTCCACAAAGACAAAATCGGGGCGAGACAGAAGATGAAGTTCTTCTACATCATGTTCATCGCGATATTCGTCTGGGAGCTATTTCCGGAGTACCTCTTTCCAGTATTGGAGGGAGTCTCGATCTTCTGTCTCGCCAATCAGAAGAACATAGTATTTACTAATCTGTTCGGCGGGGCTAGTGGCAACGAAGGACTTGGTTTTCTCAGTCTCTGCTTCGATTGGCAATACATTGCTTCGCTTGGCAGCCCACTCTGGTTACCGTTAGAGACACTGGCTAACGCTTTTGTTGGCTACATTGGTTGCATTGCACTGTTCATAGGTCTCTACTACGGCAATCTCTGGCGTGCGCAAGAGTAAGTTCTGTCTCTTGACCACTTCATGCAGATGCTTACACGATTTCAGCTTCCCGTTCTTGGCACAAGTTTTGTTTACTGGCGAGAGTAATGGCACTTTCTATGATGTGTACAACCAGTCACTCATCTTGAACTCGAAGATGGAGATTGACCCGGCGCTGCTCGATGCTCAAGGCCTACCTCATTTCTCTGCAACTTACATTGGCTTTCTCATCACGTCAAATATGGGATTTACTGCTACCTTCATTCATATGCTTCTATGGAACTTCGACGATATCAAAGCTGGATGGACTTGGGCCAAACTAAGCAACCTTCGGAAAATGTTTGAGCTTCGGACCTACAAATTTTGGCAGAACCAAGAATCACCCGAAGATCGCCTAGCCAGGAAAGAGGCAGATCCCAGTCTCGATCCTCACTATAAGCTTATGCTTCGTAACCTCTATCCAGAGACTCCATTATGGTGGTGGGGTGCCGTTGTGGTCATATCCTGGGCAGTTGGACTCGGTTGTCTCTACGGCATGGACTCGACGCTTCCTTGTGGGTCAAAGCAAATATCACGCAGAAGTCTAGTATGCTGACAAATGTATAGGGTGGGGTTTCTTATTGTCGACCGCCCTAACATTTATATTCGTTTTGTTCTTTGGCGCTCAAATGGGCATCACTGGGTTTGGGTTCAATCTTCAGCCCATGTGTCAGATGCTTGCTGGCTATATGTTCAAAGGTCGTCCTCTAGCTAACATGGTAAGTCAGAGATAGACTGTATTTCGAAGGAAGCTGCTAACCACTTCCTGAGTAGTATTTCTCTGTGAGTGAATGGACTATTGCAGCTCTTCCTCCCAGTATGCTAATAACCTCGTTGTGTTTCAGCTACAATGCTTTAATGCAGGCGCAGGTTCTGGCCAGCGATTTGAAACTTGCGCAGTTCATGCACTTAGCGCCCAGTAAGTGCTTCCACAAGGACCGAAGCTCGAAGGAGATACAAAATTCAGCGGGAAAGAGAACAAAAGAAACAAGAGCTTCTAGTTAATCGATTGCTGCAAGAGCACCATGACTGATTTACTTCCTAGAAACGACCTTTTTCTGCCAGATTTGTGGGTGTCTAGTGGGCGCGCTGTTCAACTATGTCATGTATGGTAGATGGTTGTCCCAGCTAATACCTCTTGCTGACTCAACGCACAGGATGATCTCTATCGTTGATAATCAGGCTCCTATTCTCAAATCTATACAGGGTAGTAATATTTGGAGCGGACAAAGCGTCCAGCAGTGAGTGGCAACCCTAACGCGCGCCGAGACTATCTCACTCATAGCTTCCAGGTTCAATAGTCTCGCCATCGCCTGGTCCATGCCCGCCGAGCTTTTCTCCATCGGCGGCAAATACGAATGGGTTACCATTTCTCTCCTTGTGGGCGTCATTGTTCCCATACCCTTCTGGCTGGCCTACCGATACACCAAACGCCCCTTCTTCAAGTACATGAATCTATCCATCATCTTGTGGTACATGGGTCTCTTATGTGTCGGTATCAATGCCAGTATCACCATGTCCTTTATCATTGGCTTCTTCTCCCAGTGGTACTTGCGTCGACGCTACCCTGAGCTGTTTGTCAAGTACAACTACACTGCTAGTGCAGCACTCGATGGTGGCACTCAAGTTCTGGTCTTTATCTTGACATTTGCAGTATTTGGTGGAAATGGCAAGAGCAGACCTTTTCCTACCTGGGCTGGCAATCCGGATACTACAAAGCACAACTTGGACTACTGCATGGTCAATCCTGCGACATCGAGCTGAGTGACGATGCTGGCTGTATCTACAAACTCCCGTCTCTGCTATCATGTCATGGGTTGCGGCATCAGCATCAATTATCGACGTTCATACGCAACCATTCATGAGTACCACTGGTCTTGTGTTGACCGTTGGTCTTGACCTGCTTGACTCGAACTCGCAAACCTCGAGGTACTGATGTGGACCCAAAAAGCTGCATGGTAGAAGCACAACATCTGGCGCCGCGAACTGTCTTGGGCTGCGCCTCTGCAGCCATGCCTCGTTAGGGGTGCACTGGTTGCCTTCATCATACCTCTACTAATCAGCGGCTACGTCACATTACTGCATGGACACTGGGACACCGAGGTCGTGTCTGCATTAAATTTGGAGAGCATGGGTAGAGTTTCAGGTCTACGACACCTCATCTGTCATGTTGATGCCAGTATGAGTAGCCGAATGTGTCATTGATCATGGGAGCCTAGACATCGTATGAGGATACATGGACCTTGATCCTTTCGCTATCCATCCTATTAGTTGTAACTCCAGGTGCCCGAATTGGACGTACGCTTTCGGACTCATTGGGGCCAGGATTCGAGCTCAGCACAGTTCCACCAGTCCGTTATGGCGCAGTGTGAAGGAATACAACAGGGATGGGGATCAATCGCTTTTATACGGGGCTTATCACGCAGCAAAATTGCAGTGTACATGAGACCAGTAGACAGCGGGAAATTGCAGACAATGTGTTTCTATGGTCGTTGATAGTCATGCAAGTACATCACTTTGTCACCTGCGCCACAAAGTCTTTGACAGCTTTGCCAATCACTGTGCTTGCTTCTTCGGGCAGATAGTGGCCGACGCCATCACCGACGCTCCGAGCGGTCAGCAGAGAAGCATCTTTAACCCAGTCCTTCCAGATAGCTCCGACATCATTGTGCATCTTCGCTAGCTTTGCCTGGCTCCACATCACGAGGATGGGAACTTCGACTTTCCGACCTTCGCGTTGATCTGCTTCCTGGAGAGGTGGCTCATCAAAGCAGCCACTTGCATAGTCTGCACAAGAGCCTTCAATAGTTTCGCGCTTCGAGTGCAGAGACTCGTAAACCTCCCAGGCTTGATCGGATTGCATGGCTTTGCGACCTTCGATATTATCACCACAGATGCGATCCAATCCCATATGCGTCCACTTTGCACCGCCAAAGGCTTCAACCATATGGGGTCCGAGGGGTGAGGCCAGGAGAGGCCAGTGAAAGTAAGTAGTGCTGGCAACAGGTTTGGCGAAAGCCTGCCATTGAACCAAAGTAGGTACAATGTCGAGACAGACCGTACCTAGGAGCTTATAAGAGTGCAGTTTAGCAGACTCATCTTGAGGAGGATGAGCGTTAAGCACGGCAAGGCGATGACAGACGCGAGCACCACGATCATGACCGGCTAAAATGATAGGTCGGTTGGGGAATAAATCATTGCTCGCTTCAAGCAGTGCAGCGCCGACGGTGGCGATTCCATCCTTCTTGGGACGAGTACTGAGGCCATAACCCGGCAGCTTTTTCGGACGAAGGATCAGTATTGGTCGGGGGGATGCGGAGGAGGTGGAGAAATATCGCACGAACCTCAGGTACAAATAGAGAGATTTTGTCCTGCAGTTGAGGGATAAGCTGATATCAGGTTAGCAATCACACGGCGAGAAGTGCGACTTCTTTCACAGCGTACATGGCGCCAACTAAGAGACCACACGTCAGCTACCTGCAAGATCCAAGACTATTCGGTCAAGCGCATACATGTAAGCAGACTGAGGATAGCCGTGAACGAGCCACAGGACAGGGCCTTCCCCCAGGTCCTTAGCGTAGCTTATCACAGTGGAACCCGAGGCAGTTGTGGAGACATGGCGTTCAACAGAGAGGGCGGAGAGAGTCTCCAGATTTCTAGTGTCGGCCAACATGTCTACAAATACAAATGATGATGACAACGGCGCGAAACAAGAAGACAAGATGTTTGGCTCGCAACAGCGTTATATAAGACTTGAATCAAGAATAAGGTCAACCTCGGATAGAGTTAGCACGCAATGGAGGGAAACGAGGCAAACTTGCTCACATGTAAGCCCTCCGCTTGTGCCGGTTGGCAGCGGGCACGTGCGGAGGATGGAAGCTACTTAAGATTTCTGCCAAGAAGGGCGCCCGAAGACAGCGAGGCTCAGCACACGGAAGGAGCGACTCGCCATCCCACTGCCCAGTCAGTCGAGACGGTCCGGCTCATCCATCTGGCAGCTGTTTCCCATACTCACCTAGCCCGCGCGACATGTTTTTCAGAGGAGAGAGGACGCATTCCCGGCCATCGTAGACATCAAACACTCGACATCCTATTCATCGCGTTCGCCCATTCGTTCGGCCGCCCGCTGCGCGTCGCAAAATCTCCCCCGGGCCCGGCCCCGTATCTCGCGCTCTCACGCCCTCCCCACGCTGTAGTTGTTGCTCTGGACGCGACACTTGGCCCTCGGGCATGTCGCGGCATGTTGCTCGACAGTTATGGGGGCTGCCGACCACTACGGCGTCGAGTCTTACTGCTGTATGTATTGATGGACCCTGAATGTCATGGCTAGGGACGCGCCGGCTGACTCGATGGCGACCAGACGTGCACGCCATACACACTCCCCTCCGACGGCGTCCTTAGTTTTGCCGAAGACAACATCGTCACCCTCACCGCCAATGTAGTCTTCTCCCCTGCCTGCACCCCAGGATATGTAGCCCCCGGAGCCAATCAAGACCCTTCCAGTGTGGCCGACCTCCGGAACCCCTTCTATGCCTCGACCATTCCTCAGACCTTTGTTGTCGCATGCGCCACCTCACTTGCCTGGGTCTTGGTTGTCATGCTGTTGATCAACTCGCGCTCCTTCAGTCCTGGATTTGGTCTCACGAATTTTGCTTCTGGAAGAGGTCTCATAGGTGGCGCTACTGGTGGTACCGCTGCTCCGGGTGTTGGTTCACGGCCCTGGCTCCAGAAGGTGGCTGCTCTTCTTACTGCAATCGCCCTCACAATCGCCACGGCCGACACTTTCAAGGTCGCACACGAACAATATCTGACTGGTTACATGGACGGAGATGCTATGCACAGCAAAGTCGAAGGTAGCATGGAAGTTCGTGTCACGCGTGTTATCTCCGACGTCTTCCTCTGGCTTGCTCAAGTTCAAACATTAATCCGTCTGTTTCCACGTCACAAAGAGAAGGTCGTCATCAAATGGGTCGGTTTCGCGCTCATCGTTCTGGACACAATCTTCTCCTGCCTCAACAGTTTTTTGGTCGACAGCTTTAATCGCCCTCGTCATTTTGTCGACGCCATTCCCGCGTTGAGCTACCTTTTCGAACTTGCTGTGGGATTGCTTTACGCCGCATGGGTCATTTTTTACGGTCTCACCAAGCGTCGCTACGCCTACTTCCATCGGAAAATGAAGAGTATCTTCATAGTGGCCATATTATCACATATCGCAATTCTAACACCTGTTGCCTTCTTCATCACCGACGTCGCTCAGCCAGACGTTGCTGCTTGGGGTGACTACTTTAGATGGGTTGGAGCTGCCGCATCCAGTGTCGTTGTCTGGGAGTGGGTTGAACGAATAGAAGCTTTGGAGCGAGATGAGAAGAAAGACGGCATCCTCGGCCGTGAAGTTTTTGATGGTGATGAGATGATCGACATGACCCCCGGAGACAACATGACATATACGCGGAAGCCTAGGGACAACTACCGCCCAGCCGACAGTGACAACGATCGATCTGGTGGCGCTGCTCACAAGTCTGGATCGCAACAAGACTCGGTATCACGTTTACCTTCTCGAAGGCGGAAAGTAGTTCCCCGACGGAGCACCCATCTACCTCTCGGCAGAGCACATTCCGAGAACCGGACTATCACATTTGGGAATCTCCCTCGTCCTGAAACCGCTTTAACCCCAATAACTAACCCAACACCACCTCCTCCTCGAATTTCACCACCAGATAGAGCGAACACAACGAGTGCCGCTTCAACTGTATATGTCATCAATTATGGCGAGTCTCAAGAGCCCGAACCTGTACGTCGTCGTACGCAAGATATACCCGAGCATCCACCGCCAGACGATCTGGAAGCCCAAACGTCGACAGCTCTTCGAGAAGAGATCAAATATGGAGACGCGACTCTGCCAGGCGGGAACTCATCACGCATACGTCAAACAAGCAACGCACTTTGGAACACGGTACAACATCCATTCAAGCGAAAACGAATGAGTCCCCCGGCGGAAGTCCGAGCAGCACGACGTGATAGTGATACTCCTGCTCTGCCTGCTCACTCGTACTCGAAATGGGATCTCAAAGGTCGACTTGGTGCAATCGCGGCTGAGCAAGGCGAAAAGTATCGTGAACGAAGACAAGAGAAGGCGAATGATGTTGATCTGCCCTATACGGTGATTCCGGCGCCCACGAGAGGTGCTGCGGCGTGGAGTCCACACGCGCTGAAACATACGGATAGTGATTTCAGTAACAAAGACACTCCACCGGACTCGCAACATAATACTGTGCGAGACTCGAACAGTTCACAGCATGTCACGTGGGCTAGTTCGACAACAGCTGGTAGTCAAGGGGACAATGTCGTCAACGAAGTCCTGAACAGACGTTCTGATGACAATGAGACGCCTCGACAGGGTCCTGTCTTATCGCTAGGCACGAGTTCCCCGGAAAGGAGCACATCAGTAATCGGCCCAGAAACAGCGAACGCACCACGAGTGCAACACGATGACGATGAGCGCGGAACGCCGAGACCGACCTAGCATTTTGTCGACAAAGGGCATTCATTTACGAGGAATTTACACGGCGTTTTGGATTAGAGAGACTCACAACGAGTCCTTGCATATGGTAAAGGAGAGTACGGCAATTTGTTTGATTTAATGTTTGGGACTTGCTAGATTACTTCTCTCAGATACCCCCTTCTTTTTCTTTCCCTTTCTCGTTAGCGAAATTCTTCATGGAGGAAAAAGCATGTCATTGTTTTTTTGAATTTCGATCATTCGACAATTGTTCATATTTTAGTTGCGATCTGTATATACAATTCAGCTACCTTTTGCTTCCTGCCGTTTAGTTCGAATGTTTCCCGCCAAGAGAGCGTGCGTGATCTTCACGTTGGCAGCTATTTGTCTGATCAGTCAATCTTTTGTTGCGTCAGACACTCCATCAAACTACCACCTGGTCTGAACCACCTATCACATATCATTCGCCTTCACCGCATTTCTCTTTCGCATCCCAAAAGGCGATGTTTGCGGATCGGGCCTCAGGTTCTCACAGGCGTTGGTGTCCCACTTCTATCTGGTAACTCTGTTGAGCGGAAACTGTGCATCAACGTCTGAACGGCGTGTGTGCGATCATGCAGCTGTCATGACGAATGTTCCAACAATGATGGTATAAGACTGAAATGCAGCTTGCGTCATTTCTCGACTTAGAGCATTAAGTCAGAGGCCGATTGAGTGACTGCAATGATGCATCAGATGATTGTTGGAGTCTGACAAGGTCAGGGCACCGATGATGGTGAAATTGCCAGCGTTTCTGGATTCCTTGACACCACTCATATGATCGGATGTACGGCTCTTTAAGTATGCTTCCGCGGCTTCATGTATACACAGTATTTTCGTTCGAGCACTCTCAGAGCGTCAAATCGATTATATCCATACAACAAGCACACGCTGAGTATAGATCAAGGACCAAGGGTGTTGCGATGCAGGAAAAATGGGATGCAGGGTCACCCCACCTGCCCCCACATCTAGCGGCCCGCAGACCGCCAACCCAGCTGCAAGCAACACTCTCGAGAGCCGTTGTGCCCCCTGAAAGGCCGTTATAACAGTCTCGTGAAACCAGGAGAGCAGACAGCACGCGGACACAAGGAAAGACGGCGCAAGGGGTTCGGTGAGGAGCACCACACAAAACGGGCAGGCACAAACTGGCTCTTCGCCCCTGGTACCTTTCGGTTCGCATCCTCTTTCTTTCCCATCACACACACACTCTTCTTTGCACAGCATATCTTGTACAAAAACACGTCTTTGCAAAACACGATTCTACACGTCTCACGTTACGTACACGTTCTTACCAAAAATGATATCAGAAATCGAAAGAGGCTTCAACTATACATTGACACGAGACAAATTGGCAATGAATCTTGGCTCCCCACCAAGAAAACCAAAGAATGTAACACCAGGACCTCCACCTGCGACAGTGTCTCAAACATCAACAACAACAACAACAACAGCATACCCAGCAACTACGACATACAAATCGACAAACCCAGCTCTGACGCCATTTCCTCCCTTCGAGTCTCCTGCCCCGACAAGATATGAACTATCTGCAGAAAGCGACAATCGCGTCGCGACACTCGAAGCCCAGGTCGCTAGTCTGACGCAGAAAGGCGTGGAAGCAGGTGAGTTTGGCTGCTATCCCTGCCTATGCTCCTCGTTCCGATGCATGTGCATATGTACATCTCACCCTCACCCTCTCTCCTCTCCTCTTGTCCTCCCTACTAACCCACTCTCTCTTCTCGTCGCACAGCCGATCGTCTCGCCGATTACGAAGAAGAAATCCAAAACCTCAAAATCGCACAAGCCCCTCGCAACGACTCTGCTCTTGACTTTATCTCTGCGCATCCGTTTCCTGCTCCTCCGGCATCACTGAGCAGGAACTCGTCCATCACTTCTGGGAAATTCAGCTTTCTCACTCGCACCTCTTCGCTCACAAATACCACAAAACCCCTTCCAAAGACACCGCCAAAGAACTCTCCCATGGCTCCTGTCGCTGCAGCTCCGCCATCGCCAGCCATCTCGGAAGTACAAGCTGCCCTTGCCAAAGAGACTTCTCGTCGCATCGCTGCGGAGAAAAGGTACAAGGATCTGGAGACCGAGCTTGAGGATCTATCGGCGACGTTGTTCGAGCAAGCGAATGAGATGGTAGCCACAGAGAGGAAGGAAAAGGCAAAGCTGGAGGAAAGACTCAAGGTTCTGGAACAGAGGGACGTGGTGGGGCAGAAGAGACTCGAGATGGTGGAGGCTGCGTTGACGAGGATCGAGAGGGTCAAGAAGTTGTTGGATGGATGAAGCATGTCGATGACATGAGAGACTCATGACAACATCGACACCCTCAAACTGTTAGCCTTGTGCTACTTTGAACCTGTCACCACCGTGCTCAGACCGAGACATCCATGCATGCGATCCCTCGCCATCGATTGCTCGTTGCTGCAAGTTCAGCACTTGCACCCGACCGCCCGATAATGGACACGCGACTAGTCGTGACTCCCAGCTCGCTTCCACGAACCATCGACATGACGCTAGCGTTAGTCTGTTCGAGGCAGGCCTGATGGAATACCGCGAGTCACCTCCCCACTCCTGCACCACGACTTTGTGAGCCCAGCTCATTGCAGAGATGATGGCCAGAGAGAGGTGTACAGCTCATCAAGCCATTCGGTCTCGGATGTGAGTATACAGAGACGAACATCAGAGCTGCAAACCATAGATGTCACGGGCATGAAGTAGCAATGGAAACACAAATCAACTTTTACAGAATCACAACTCTCGGAATGGTGACTATGCACACACACATCGCATGATCACAAAGTTGCATTAGAAAAATTCTTTAAATTGTCACTACCCAGTCTACAGCCCACGGTACCCATCTCAATGGGGTTTCACTCAGACTCGGAGAATTGAAGCCCCTCAGGAAAGTCCAAGAATCCATTGTGAAAAAGTCACAACCTCAGCGTGCCACCAAAGCCTCGAGTTTCAACGCTCTTCCCGTGATCAATTCGAATATAGCTCGGGTCGGACGTTCGCGTGGTGTGGCTTGTCGTCAGGCGATATGAGATACAGCCACAGTGGGTGCTTTCGTTGTCTCTGCCACTGTCGCACGATTTCTTGCCAGCTCATACAGCGGACCTCGCAGGGCAGGGAGAGGATACTCCGTCCGAGAAAGTCATTGGCCATGGTGTATCGAGGAAGTGCTTGTGACTGGGTGTGGAACAAGTTTCTAATATGTAGGAAGAACTTGTCAAGATGAACATCTGCGAAGTCAGTGAGGTGTAGTCGGATAGGTTGAGTCAGTTGTGAAGAACTCAAATGACCTCTCGAGGCTGCGAACCCCTCCCATCATCTTGGACACTTGAACGAAGCATAAAGACACTTCTTTACGGTCTCGAGTCAGCGATCATCCAGAGGTGAGAGAAGGTCGGGCGGTGTCGTCACCGGGATGAAATCGAAGTGACCAGAGCTGCAGCCTACGACATGCTGCGCTAGCCTAGCATATATTTCTCAGCGACACTATTCGCAGCATCTCTCGAGTATATCGGAACATCTCGACAGTGCTGCTTTCCGCCGTAAGTGACGCCGGTGATGCATTGAATTTAATGCCTGTGTTGTTGTTGAACATCAAGGTGAAGATGTCATCGATCAATCCCTCCGCGGTGGCTTTCCGGAAAGGCTGTGCCGATTGCGCCGCGGCTCCCGCCTTATTCCCTCCTGCTAAGCCTCATCCCCCCATCAGTCCTATAACTTACAAGCCTGCTGCACCTGATCAACGCGTTTGAACACCTATAGACATACCATTCCACAAACCGCGCAAGCATGGGTAGAATTTCAGCAGAAAGCTCGCGCTCAAGCACGTCCCTCGGCGACGTGGAGAACGGCGAAGACCTGCCCCTCTACTCCGACATCAGCGTCACCACACAAGGCAACCTCACTGCACCAGGCGAAAAAGCAACACCAGATGAAGTTCGCGAGTTCTTGGTGTCGCTACTTATCAAGAACAGAGGACTGCATCAAGATCACGCAAGACGTGTCGCTGCCAAATGGACGCTAGGCACCGGTCGCGAATTGAGCAGCTACCCCCCACTACTGTATGCGGAGATCTTCGGCTTGGAAGATGCGTGGATGGTGTACAAGGAAGCAAAACTGTTTATTCGCACAGAACAAAAGAAGAACTTGAAATATGGCAATGGTAAGGTATATTGAGTTTCACGATCGAGAGTGTATGCTGACTAGGACAAAAGTGGTTTTTTTCTGCATTTTGTCCGTGTTCTTCGGAGCTGCACTCACAGTGGCTATTGTGGCAGACTTCAACACGAACACGATAGTAAAGGTCGCCGCTATCTATATCAGTGTCTTTGCAGGTGTTTTCTGGCTGATTACCACGCTAATCGCCATATTTGACAAGACCACGGACGAGTCTAAGATTGAGGCCGAGTTGACCAAAGGCCTTGTTACCAAGAACAAAGACTAGATGTGGACAGCTAATACAATTTAATCCTTACCATGTCGCTGTTCTCGTTCTCGCTGCCTTGCTTGACATTGCTGCCGACAATGGTCTTGTGACGCGTTGTCGAAGGATTCTTGCCAAGTTGGCTTGGTATACCATAAGCCACACTAAGCACGCCTGTTTCTGCTTCCACATCGCTTATGGACGATCGACACGAGGAAGAAGGCAGACGAAGAAAAGATCATCGCTATCACAAACCCCGGATTCCTTTTTTCAATCTGCCTTCCAGGCAGAAGGATGGTGAAGGTTTCGCGGACTGGGATTCAGCCATGTGGGGGCGCAGCCAGCCACGAGGTTATGTGTGGTATAGGGACGCGCTGATCTATCAAAGGGAGCCAATTGTCGTCTCTGTTGTCATGTCATGCGAGGTACACTGCCAAATACACAGTGAAACGCCGCCGTCCTGGAGGATTGCTTGGTATTGGGATCTGCATATTTTCAGCTGAACGCTGAACAAAAAAATGGCCATTCGGTTACGATTACGGTGCGCCAACTTGGCAAGAAGAATACAGGAATGAGGCTATAAAGTCTTCTCATCAGCCGGGCGATCTGAAGACCTGAGGTTTTAGCTACCATCACTACTTGCAATCAATTCTGGAAATATCATCGAGAAATCATCAAACGATTTACAATCATACCGCAGTTTCACCATGCGCGCCTTCAAGACCACCGTCATCTCCGCTCTTCTCATCACCATATACTCTCTCGTCCACGCTCAAGATTGCGACCTCGTCAACGAGCAAGCCTGCTGTTATGTCGATGGCGACAACGACAGCACAACCTCATACTGCTGCAACGGCTCCATAGTCGGTAACCCTTCCTCCTCAGACGCCTCCGCTCTCAACGACCTCACCTGCTGTCAAGATGATGGACGCACTGGTATCAACGTCGGCTTCGACATCACCACTTGCCGTGCTGGTTCTGCGACACCCTTGACGGCCAAAGGCACCGCGGCGAGCTCTGTGGCAGATGTCATCAAGAGTTTGAGTGTTAGTAGGAGTATTAGTAGGGAGAGCTTGTATAGTGCGGCTTCTGTGTCGAGGGCGAGTGTTGCTGGTGCTACGGCTACGGCTACGACGACAAGTACTGGATCTTCGAGCCAATCCGCTGGGTCGTCTTCTGCTACTGTGTCGAGTACGGCTTCTAGCGCTTCTGGATCTTCCAGTACTGCTGCTGCTGCTGCGGGCACGACTTCTTCTTCATCTGGATCGGCGGCTGCTGCTGGTTCAACTTCTTCACCTACTGGTGGTGTTGCTGCGATTACTGTGGGTGGGTGGAATGCTGCCATGGCCGGTGGACTTGCCCTGGTTGCAGCCGCATTGTAAAACCGTAAATTGGGAATATTTCAGTAATCATCTCAAGTGATGGTATCAAGGTTGTAACACGCCTTGCCTCAGTCTTGATACTCTGCACGGTCCAATACTGTTCCAGTTGAGTTGAAAACACCTCATACATATTCCATTGCTCTATATATATTTCGTAGAACACAATCCTGTAATGAATACCTCAAAGTCTCTACCCACTCTGCAAACCCATTGACGACCAGTCCACTCCGCTTAGATCAAGCGTTCCCACATCAACATCCATAAACCCATTTCCATCCATACCATCACCCCCACCGAATCCCAAATCGCCTTGCTCCTCAAAACAATCAAAAGGCCCTCCAGATCCAATCATCGGAAACGGCATAACCTCATCCTCACCCTCGAATCTCGATGGTCTAACTTCCTGCTTCTCCATCCCCTGCTCAGTCTCCGCCCAACCCACTCTCTTCTTGAACTCACTCACAATAAACGGTTCCTCCTCCTTTTCTCCTCCATTCTTCTCCAAAGCAGCGACTCTAGCATCCCAAGCTTTTAGTATAATCCTCGTAAACACCCTAAAAATGGGTGTCTTATGGAACGGATGTTCATCTTGTTCAGGATCCTTGAATCTAACCGCACAACTCTCCGACAAGGCTTTCCAACAAGTTTTCGCATGAGAAGCTAGGGGGTCTCGCTTTATGGATTGTAGAATGTGGACGTAAGCAGGAAAGGGAAAGTGAAAGTATAGGAACCATGTGTGTCTTTTTATGGCCGCGGAGGTGAGGATGACGGTATCGCAGGACAGCATTGTTAATGCGTGAGAAACTGCAGAAGAGCGTTGAAGGGAGGTTTGATGGGAGGGTGGGATGGAAAAGTGTTGGAAGAGGAGGTAGCGGGCGATATGGCCGCGTGCGAGCCAGATGGTCATGAATTGGTATGGGTTCTCTGGGTTGCAGAGGGAGAGGTAGTCGGCTTCGAGGTTCTTGGCCAGAAGTTCGAGGTTGTCGCCGTGATCGCTGGGTTTCGCAATGGCTTTCATGGCTGGATTTGTAAAGTCGAGGAAGAATGTGCTGTGACGAACCAAATCTGCGACTTTGTAGCGTAGAATTGCTAGGGTTATCTCGGTGGGCCTGTCGTGGCTTTGAGGTAGTGTCTGCATTTCTGGTTGGAGATCAAAGTCATTGAGATTGGCAGGTATTGCGCAGTTCCAGGATGGGGATAGGGTGGATGCTCTGTAGTCGCCCATCTCGCAGACACGACTGTCGAAAAGAAGGAGAGCCCACCATAGTCTTCGTCGCATCTCGCCTTCTAGAGGGCCGCACCTGGCGTTTGAGGACTCTGTATCTAGACCCATGCGTTGTGCTATGCGAAGAGTGAGGCCAAGCAACGATGACAAGGACCGAGGATCGGTGTCTGGTCTCACAGCAACCTGAGAAAGTTAGCAACCAAAGCTCAGATGGAAATATGGCCCAACATGACTTACCAGATATAGAAACAATGCGGTCAAGCAATCTAAATCATCAGTCTGTAAGAAGCCACACTTGAGCAGCGCCTGTTGACATCCAAATCGATATCTTTGCATCAGATCCTCCTTCTCACAACCAAACATACCTCGACACTCAATCATCGAAAGACTCATGACGGCCGCACAATACACACTAAACATCAAAGCCTCCAAATTCGGCTCCACGCCCTTCAAATGCCCAACCGCATTAACAAACCTCATCTGCAAAGTCGGCGTATGCGTAACCTTGAGCAACGGATTCACATTCTCCAGATAAATCTGCCACAGCTTAAAGACCTGGCCCTGGTCCGGATGCAAAACATCCAACTCGACATCTGTGATCAAAGAGCCAAAGAGCAAGAAATCCGTGCTTTTCTTGTACATTTGATCCCAAGTCTTCTTGCCTGCAACATCACGCAGATCTTCGGTATCATTGTCTTCATGATCCTCGTCCGAGTCGTGTTCGGTGGGGTGAGGAGACTGGTGATTGGCAATCAGCACTTCTTCCATCAAGGATAATCCGCGATGCGGTTGTACTTTTTGATTCATGGCGTGCCAGAGGTTTCTGTACATCAAGTCAACAATATATCCCTGTCAGTATTCACGAACACAAACTTGGCTTCAAACTCCGTCTCAGTCTTGATTTCCGGACTTCCTCCCTCTTTCTCTCCAGCCTTCTCTCTTCCCTGCACCGCGTTCCCATGCAAAGGCTCAAAAGCTATTTCGTGTTTTCGCAACAGATCTTCCAGCCTTCGTACATGTAGTAATAACTCTGCTTCAGGGAAGCGTCGACGACGTTGTCGAGGAGCAGCGATAGGAACGCATTGTATATTACTCTTAACACATGTGTTGCAAGGAAATTTCCTGTCGCACTTTACTTTGCGTTGTTGGCATGCTGCACAGGCGAGGGTACGTTGTGACTTTGTCGCTGCAGTGCGGGATGGTGCCGCTGGCAGGACAGGGTCGTGTTCTGCATCAGACATTGTTGTGGGTGAAGGGCATACAGGACCATGTAGCTGAAAGGTAGATGGGCTTGAAGTTTAGATGGATGAAGTTGGACTAGTAGATAGATAGGAGTGGCTTTTGATAATTATGTACATTGTCCGAAGGATGCGGATGCGTTAGACACGGCTGGTGATAGGTGGAAGCCTTGGTCACAACACCCCCACCAAAGCAGCGAAACGGAAAGGGGGCGTTCGCAATCGAATCAGACACCAAGAAATTGAGAACAGAATTAAAAGAGTATTTCGTCTAAAAGCTATATGCAAAATAATCAACTACAGAAAGCTGTCCCATACGCCTCGCTGACTTTGCCCCAAAGAATCGAAACACAAAATCATCCAGAAACAGAAGGTAGAATATGTGCAGACCCCCCCACCCTTTTGTTATCAGTAAAAGAACGACTCCACATACCCATATGCATATGCCATGAACCATTTCCATGTAACCACGTACTATTCTCTTCACTTCCTGTTTTTGCCCCATCTCAGACGACTGGTTGGGCTGGTGGATGATGTGGCGGCTTGTTGAGGCTTTTGGGGCTCGGCGAATCTAATGTTGGTCGGCGGCTGGCGAGGCGCGTTGTCTTCATCCTCGCTGTCGCTGTCATCTTCTTGGTTGAGTCCAAGAGCGCCTTCTCTACGCCTGCGCTCTGCAGCAGTCTCACCGTCAGTGTCGAAGTCGATACGTGACTTGTTGGGGCGCACAGCACCGGTGGCGACTCTGACATCGCGTGGTGCAAAGTAGTCGGCCTCTGGTTCCTCAGCCATACCAAGTGCTCCTTCTCTGCGACGACGCTCTGCGACAGTTTCGGTCTCGAGGTCGGAGTTGTAACGTTCCTCGGCTTGGGGACGGGAAGGAGGTACCCTTACGCTGCCGTCATCTTCACTGTCTTCCTCGATGGGTGATTGGCGGGATTGATCAGCGCGTTCGCGTGCTTCTCGGCGTCGCTTCTCAGCTGGGGTTTCACCGGCTCCGCTTGATCTGCGAAGATCACCAGTCACGCCGTGGAAAGGAACGACCTCATCGTTGGAGTCGACCAAGGTCAGACCCTCAGGTCCAGCAGGAGCGTCGGTATGGCTAGGCAGTCTCTTGACCTTAGCACTATCGCTCAAGCCTGATGGACGAGTCTCGGCAGGAGACTCTCCTGTGAGACTGGCCTCAGTGTCCCTGCTAGGGAGTCTGACTGGTCTGTTCTCAGGCATTGACTGCAGGCGGTGGGGGATCGAGTCCGAGTCACCCCTCTTGGCATTCTCTCTTGCTTCCCTCTTGATCGCCTCAGGGAGATCGCTCTCTTCGACGATAGAAGCACGTTGCTTAGGGTTGAGACTCGAGATTTGCCTGACAAACTCGGCTTTGCTCATCCTTTGACCGCCAGCGCCTATGGTAAAGCGTAAACGTTCGTCATCTTCCGCTTCCTGCTCAGCCTTCTTCCTTCTCTTGTCCTCCCTGGCCTTTGATGCGCCCTGCTCTCCTTCATCTGCCTTACGTCCAGTGACGCTCAAAGCAGTTCCCATGCGGGCCAGACCTCGTCTGGTAGCTCCTGCAGGCTTTGATTCCTCAGTCGATGCGCCACCTTCTTCTCCCTGCTTGTTCTTCTTTGGTGGGGCTGGAATGTCGTACTTCTTGATGACCTCACCGTCTTCGTCTTCCACGATGATAGTGTTGCCAAACTGGTAAGCGCGTGCAGGACCTCTCTTGTTGGCGGATTGCTTGGTCGAGGGTTTCTCTTCATGGTCCTCCTTCTTACGCAAATGCCCAAGATGACCCATCTTCTTCATCTGCTTGCGCCATTCCTTCTGAGGATGCTCTACTGCTTGCACTCCTTCTTCGCCGGCCTTCTTGAACTCGTGGATGACATTCTCGCCTCCCTCCGTATGAGGATCGTCCTTTCTACGGGCGACGCCGTGATGAACGTCTTCCTTGTGCATCAGTCCACGAAGCTCTTCTCTCTCACGTTCTTGTCGTTGCTCTTCAGTGTCGCCCTTGTGGGTCTTCCTAACAGCAAGAACATTGCCTTCTTCATCTTCGTAGACGGTCTCGCCGCCCTCCTCGTAGACCTCGCCTTCAGGCTCACCAGGCTGGTCGGGCTCATCATCATCGTGCTTGGCAGGACCAGTTGGTGGCTTGTGTTTTGTAGAACCCGGCGAAGCATCCGACTCGCTGCGGGAAGTACTCTCGTCCAACTTCTCACTATCAGTACGCTGTGGCGTAATTGCAGATTGACTGATAGGTCCGCCAGCACCATATTGGGACTTGCGCGAACGTCTTCTGCTTTGGGGACGCGAAGAATCGTCATCCTCGCGCTGGCGTCGAAGGAAGTTAGAAGGCACCGCTCCGTATTCGCCCTTCTCCTCGAGCGACTCGTCAGTATCATCGGGTCTACGTGCAGACATAGAACTCTTTGAGCGGGATTGGATGCGGGGTAGTCGATCCATCCAAGAGGGGTCGTTGGCTTGAGTATAAGACATTGTCAATGTAAGAGTGTTAATATGCTTTCCAAGCGTAAAGACCGCGATCGATGAACCATGTACAAGGATCGAAGTAATGACCAAGAATGTTGTAATAGGCCAAATAAGCTCAATGAGGGCAACATGGTCGCCGGTGGTAGGTAACTCGGCGAGCGGAGTTGTGGTCTCGGTCTCGAGCTCTGCTCTGGCCAAGATGGCAACGAAGATGGCGCCTACACCGATAGGACCGAAATGGCCAGCAAAGAGAGCCTCTCTCCAAGTCTTGATATCCGGAATGATTGGTTTGAGTGCAAGCATAATAGGTATACGTCGGAACAACAGTACCAAGATCGCCAGGACGACCAATCTCCAAGCACTCAGACCGATGATGGAAGCATCGAATTGAGCCCAAGGGATAATGGTGCCGAAGTATACGAAGAAGGCCAAGTTGATGAGCAAATCAATGACGTTGGAGACATGAGATTCCTCGGTCTTTTCCGTAAACCAACCATCGTTACTGAAGCCAACACCACAAGCGAAACCAACAAGCAGATCGTCAAGGCCAAGGATAGAACCAGAACCGGCGCAGAACAGGGCCAGGACGAAATAGAAGACCAGGAACGATTCACGATCGATCAAATCGCGTTCGTGTGCAAATCTAACAGCACGACGGGCAGCATAGCCGATGGCCACACCGAAGATGGCGCCGAAAACACATTCGTACAGGATCGAGACGCAGAACCATTCGAGAGCAACTTCATTCGGGTGGTGATGATAACGAATGATGTAGACAGCCAGGTAGAGGAAGGGGAAGGCCATACCGTCGTTGCAACCAGACTCGGCAGATAGCAAATCTCTCAAATGCTTAGGGACTCTCTTGGCGAACTTTCCCTTACCAACAACCGAAGAAGCAAGAACAGGGTCAGTGGCAGTAACACAGGCGGCACAACACAGACTATCGAGCCAGTTGAGCGGCGGAACCAAGGCCCAGATGAATAGACTGGTGATAAGCCATCCGAAGGTCATGACAGGGATAAGAAGCAAGGTGACGGATCGCCAATGGCGCTCCATGTAGAACTTTGGCAATTCGACACCGACGGCAAAACATTGCACAACCAAGACGATACGGGCAAATTCCAGGGTGATGCGGTCCTCGTTTCCCCATGTGCGAGGATCGATCAGGTTGGCGGCATGTGGACCAAAGATGATACCACAAATGGTGGCGACGGTGGCTTCACCAATGTATAGTCTTTCTTTGATGAGGGACGAACATAACATGAACAGACTGGTGAAACCGCCGAGGATGATGTAGACCAAGTGCGGCTTGTCTATGCTGAGGTGTTCCCAAGCCATGTTGACAGGCTAGATGTGTGGTAGGCGGGGATAGAGAAGGGAGCACGAGAGCTGGTACTAGGGTCTCGTGTCGGAGTTGTCGAGGTCGGGGGATTTGATAGATGTCGACAGTTGCATGCGGTCGTCGGTGCGCCCAGTCGCCGCTCCAAAAGCTATGGAAAAGGGTATCGAGTAGGAGAGTAGCAGGATCGTTTGGCGAAAAGAAGGCGGACGGGTCGAAAGCACGACTTCCAAGAATGCGACAAGACTCGCTGACTCTTTACCGACCTTGGCGATGGTGAAGCCAAGAAAGCGCGTTGAAGGGTTCAAGATCGAGGTGAGATTGCTGTCGTCAGAAGATACCTGCGACTCCAATCTTCAAGCTGTGGACTGCCTTGTCCGTGGTCGTAGTGTTGACGGAATACACACGTATTGCGACAAGCGTTTGAATTAGAAGTCGAAGTTAAAAGAGGTGTTCAACGAATTTCCAAACAAGCGGCGAAAACGTCACTCTCTCTCCAGGAACCCCACAACAGACGCAAATGCCCTTCCCCCTTGGCTGAAATTTCACCGTCATAGCTTGTCAATTCTTGGTTTAGAGTTATCTCGTCTATCCGATATCTCGTTTGCTGTTCATGCGGTGAGGCTGCTATTGACTCCAAGTGACACGCTCGTCTAAGATCGCTTGGTATGTTTTGGCAGGCTTCGCATTCTTGACCATCGATTTGGCTTTCTTGCTTGTCCGCAACTTCCGAGTGGGGCAAGAACTGCCTGCAATCCATCCCGCAGTCTCCGTTCAAGAATGCCCCAGACCGGCGGCTGAGGACCTAATTTCCTTGTTATAGGAGGCCATCAAAGGTCATTCACGAACGCCTCAATGGTAGAGACTGTTTTCTGAAGTCTTAAGACGATGACCCCTGTGAGGTGTGTCTCTCTGCTTTGTCAAGACGCTCAAGCTCATGAGAGGGAGATTTGTTAATGGGAGTTGGTCGCCTGAACGAGAAATTGCACGATTTGAATTGCTAGCGTGCTCAGATGCCGCGGGACCCTTTATGCTCTATCTTCTGTGACGCGCTGCGCTGCTTTTGTGAAACCTTCAAAAGGACAATTCAGAAACAAAAATATGACGCCTGCCCATATGCTTGCTCTGGTTGATGAATATGATGGGCTCTGCCAGCAAAGCCAGACTCTAGATTCTCTGTCTAGACCTTCAGACTGGCAATGTCAGGGGTCTCGTCAGTGACCTTAACACCAGTGGTGTCCTTTTCTGCACCTCCCGAGAGATCGCGGAGACTCTTCTGCTCACCTCCTCGGAGGTAGTCTTCATATTCTCCGATGTTCTTGCCGGCGTCGACCCAGCGCTGCTTGTATGCTTCTCGACGTCTGTCGCACTCCTTGTTCAATGCGGGCCAGTAGGACTTGTGGTCGTAGCTGAAGTTCAATTCACCGCCATAGTCCTTCCACAGCTGTTGTGTAGGGACATACTTTGTGAGATCCTCGTTGAACTTCATCTTCTCCTTGGTGACGGGATCGATGAATGGCGAGATGAGCTTGAAGAAGGTGCTGACATACCAGGGCACTGTAGCAAGTTAGTGGCGTGCATTGGATCGGATCGGACTCGACTCACACTGTGAGATCAGAGCTCTGCCGAGTCTCTCTGGATTATGGTTCTGTAGGATATTCAAGACTTGTCTAGCCTGACCAACACTGGGGGTGCTGCCGCTTGAAGCACCCTTAAAGTTAATCAGGAGGGCAGTCGTCTCTTGTCCAGGACCCATCATGTCAATGACTCTATCCAGCATGAATGATAGATGGTGAATCTGGCGATCACTGTTTTTTGTGTTTTGCTTGCCGGGGTTGAGGTACAGACAAGGGCGTGCGTTGATGTCGTAGCCCATGATGACCTGCTTGCCCGTCTCATTTTCGGGAGAGATGTAATCGGCGGTGAAGGTGTCGGCGCCATATTCGCGTCTCCAAGAAAGGGTTCCTTGCAGACGTTTGAGAGCACTGGGGATATCCCACTTGGTCGCGCGAAGGTAGCGGAGGAGACACTCGCGGGTCAACCACATGCGCTCATTGTCTGTGATGGGCTCGTCGGTGGCATCTTTGAGCGTGCTACTCGGGATGGTGGTCCATTCCGAGACAGTCGAGAGTATCGAGGCATACTTGGTCTGTTGATCCGAAGTCAAAGCCGCGGGTGGATTGGGCTTGCATTCGGGCAGAGCGATGGTCAACGGAGTCGTGATGGGACCGGTCGGGGCAGGGTCAGTGGTGGGCTCGGGACCAGTCGATAAGGAGGGAGCTTTGCTCGAGACCTTTGCTTGTCAGAATATGTCTTTGGGGAGCACTTGGTCTCTGTTGCAGTACCTGAGATGCCATAGCCAGTTCTGTGTAAAGAAGCTTTTGTCGATGGAGGGATACTTTGTACAAGCGGATCAGGGACTAGATATGAAGAAACCAGCTGTGTAGAAGCTCCTACAACAATACGCAATACGTTGGAACACGATGTATGAGATTGGAAGAAAAGATACAGTGATTGAACAACGTACGACTTCTTAGCTAAGTAAATGCCCAGCAGCGAAGGCGGCGAGGATTCCGACCAGCGTCATCTCACTATTTCCAGCCCGCGACGGCCGACCGGTGCATACGCCGTAACACGCCGTCGACCGGACATAAATTGTTTCAACTCTTCTTCGTTCGGCTCCGGCTAAATGGATGTCCGATATCTACAATGTCTCCTGTGATACCATGCCTCAGAGAAATGGCATTAATCGTCTCCATGTACTGCCTGCTAATACAAGATGACCCGGCTGTAGAGATTTAAGTGTGCTTGGATTGGCTTTTGCGATAAGAACAGCGTCGGTACCATGCAAGCTTGATGATCAGATAAAGCGGACTTTCCAGTTTAGATCATGATGAAAGCCCGTGCTCGACGCGACTCTGGTGGAACGAGCGACGCGTCTCTCCATCACGTCCGAAGACGAATTGTCTCGCTCCGCCAACAATTGTGCAACTCACATACATCAAACTCAAAATGGACGACCAAACAAATGAGATCAACGAGATATTTGCCGCACCAAACACAACACTCGAGCGCGATGTCCTCGGCGAACTTAAGTCCATCCTTCGAATCCATTCGCTCAGTCCTCAGGAACTGTTCTTCAAATGGGAGGCATACAGCTTGAAGATGGGTTCAGACACTCAGATGAGCTACAAAACAGCAAGAGAATTTAAGAAAGATCTTCAAGATGCACTGGAAAGAGAATCAAGAGGCAAAGCACATATGCAGAGCGCACAGAAACGAGGCACAACTGGCACCCCGAGGAATGCCAATACAGGGGATGTCTTTGGAGTGTATGTCAATGCAAATTGGAGGAAGGACCTCATACTGATCACTTGTGCAGTCTGGACGGATTGGTCGCCGGCACGCCATCTCGAGGATCAGTCATGAAGCGAAGAAGCGACTTTGGGACTCCCTCTGCCAAAGCATCCAAGCTCAACAACACCAGTTCTCCGGCAGGTGACAAGACTCCGACGCTCGGTGCTTCCGCTACCGAGGCTCTCCAACTAGGGTACTGTATCACATATACGCCTTGTTCTACACAGAGCTAACATTATGCCAGAGCGATTCCCTTCGCCGAACGCCAGAATGCTGGACAGATCATCGAACAACTCAACGGCCACATTGAAATACCTCCCGCCCCCTCATCCGCACCTACAGAAGCCCGCGTCAAGCTGAAAGCGAATACCGACATGGCCAAATTCAGCTATAGACCAATGGCTATGAAGCTCTCAGAGGCTTCGGAATTCCTCGACGAGCGCATCGACGAGTTTGTCGAGATCATACAGAAGAATCACCAATTAGAATACTCTGCCTTTGGCAATCCGGCTGCCATGAGTCCTGCTCAGATTGTCGCTGTGGGACGAATTGCTTCGGACACTAGCGAAGGAAGGATGAATGCAGCTTCGATGGTCCTGGAGACCAGTCGTCGCATGGGTGCGGGTCTGCGAGTACCTCTGCGTATGGAGAAAGGAGGTTATGACTTTTTCCCTGGCAAGATCGTCGCTCTCCGCGGTAACAACCCGTCTGGAGAGTACTTCAGTGTTACGGAGGTGTTGTCTGTGCCTTCGTTACAACCTCCTGCCACAGCACCTACCGGTATCGATGTCCACAACGAGCGTCTACAGAGTGATGACGGCACAGAGAGTCGCCCTCTGAACATCATTATCGGAGCCGGACCATACACTACAGACAGTGAACTGTCGTTTGACAGCTTACACGAACTCTGCTCGCAAGCTGCAGAGACCAAGGCTGATCTCCTGATACTCAGCGGTCCTTTTATCGACATTGAACATCCAAAAGTTGCAAGTGGTGACTTCTTGTTGCCGCCGGACAGCAAAGTTGACCCTTCCACTGCAACACTCACAGATGTCTTCCGCGCCCTCATCTCTCTACCACTCACTCGTCTGGCTCAAACATTACCTGGAATTACCATCATACTAGTACCCTCAGTCCGGGATGCCGTGTCGAAACACATTAGTTGGCCGCAAGACCGTCTGAACCGCAAAGATCTCGGCCTCCCGAAACAAGCGACATGTGTCACGAATCCCATGACGGTATCCTGCAATGACTTCATGGCAGCAATTAGCAGTCAAGACGTCCTCTTCGAAATGCAAAGACAGCGCGTCGTCAGCGGCCTCAACAGCGACGCCCTAGCATCTCTTGCAAGAAACCTCCTCACCCAACGCCATTACTTTCCTGTCTTCCCGCCACTGCCACGAGACGAAAAGGCTATGACTGTGGGCGCTAGTCTGGACATTGCGTATATGAAGCTGGGTGAGATCTTGACCGTCAGCCCGGATCTGCTCATTTTGCCGAGTGTGTTGACGCCGTTTGTCAAGGTTGTGGATGGCGTGTTGGTGATTAACCCCGGTCAAGCTAGTAAGAAGAGAGGTGCAGGCACCTATGCGAGATTGATTGTTGGACCCAGAGAGTTGACTGAAGATGAGAGGGAAAAGGATGAAGATGTTGATCATCAGTTGTTCAACAGAGCTCGTTGCGATATCATGAGAATCTAATCTATGTAAGCAGACTAAAATTGCAGCCACACACTACAATTTCGCCTTTTGCTCAACAGGGGGATCAATATTCGTCTTGTCATGCTCACACGTACTCATCACCTTTCCCGCTGCATCCCTAATAACACCCCTCAACGCAGCAGCCTGCCTCCCCACATGCAAAACCTCACACTCAACCCTAATCTCCTCACCCACTCTACAGCCCCTCACATATTTAACATCAAGCACCCTACTAACCCCACCCAACATCCAAAATCCCGGTGTGGCGATTGCAGCCAAAGCGAGGGTCGTACAATTGTCGTAAATCAAAGCATGAGCTGCTCCGTGGAGGTTCCCAAGTGGATTTGCATAGAACGAGGGGAGTGTATATGTAAAGATCACCAGAGAGGTTGTGGGTGTGGGTGTTGTTACGGAAAGCAGTTTCAAACCCGGAGTTGTTTCTGTGCCGTCGTAGAGGGCGGAGGTGAAGCGCTGTTGGTGGGGGGCGTTTTAGTATGAGACACCTCAGGTGCATGTTGCTGCAGGATATATGTATGCATTCATTGATTCTTTCTCTGGGGTGGAAGGGAGATCGCTTGAAAGGTGAGGGATCAGGAGATGACGTTTGAAAGGTGAGGGATCAGGAGACGTACTTCTTCGCCTTCATGGCCGCTTTTATGTATGGACATCATTCGTTCTACTTTTTGATGTGGTGTGAGGTTCTCCCAGCCGTCGTAGCCGCGATCGGCAAACATGCTATTTGGTGTCTGAGGCATGACAAAGATTCGATCTTGAGTCTCGATGAATATTGTCGAAATAGAACTGTATGTGAATCAAACCGGTAATTGTGTGAGAAAGTGATTCACAAAGAGAAGGCGTCGATTGGAAGTTGTGGTTGCTTAATCGAGGTCTAGGATCACCAATGGATGCGGAGAGGGTCCAAAGAGCCTCGGCTCAAGTTTCCACGTTGAGGCTCTTGGAAGGCATTCTGGTAGCTGGTGCGGAACAAATGGTATCTCTTGCATTTTGCTTGTAGTCTGGGAGTATGTGCTAGACTGCTGATTATAAAAAAAATATTGTCTATGAAATGACGGTGGGGAAGTAAATGTGTCAAAACACTGTTTAGATGGTGTTGCCGTCCTCATCAATCAGGCTCTCCTCGGTCTTGATAGGACCAGGACCAACAGAGGTAAGGATGATTCTGCTGATGCCCTCCTTCAGACGGTCGGCAGCAACTTGTGAGTCCTTGGGAAGGTTGGCAGCCTCGACAGACTTGCCGCGAGCACCCTCCCAACCTTCCTTGTCGCCCAGAACAGACTTGAAGACACCGGCAACCTTGGCCTCGTCGTGAGCCTGGTAGTAGACGACAGCGTTCGGGCCAGCGTCGAAAGTGTATGCAGCAATAGTGTTTCCAGCCTCGGAGTTGATCATGTCGACCATGCGGATGGCAGCGCGAGAAGTGTCGTTCATGTAGAAGATTGGGGGTTCGGTGTCGAGGCAAGTAGCGTGGAAAGAGTTGCTGTCCTTCATGGTAAGGCTGGCAAAAGCAGCAAAGTCCTTGTCAGCGACCGCCTTCTCCATCTCCTGCATGCGGCGGGGCACGGTGTTTGCGATACGCTCGGCGAAGAGAGTCGAAGTAGCAACGGTCTGTTGCATACCGGAAGTGCTGCTGACGTCCTTCTTCTCGGCAGAAGCAACGAGGATGACGGCGCGCATGTCGGACCAGTGCTCTGCAGGGGCGACCTCAACAGCCACACTGTCGCTTCCATCCTTCTCCTCACCCATTTGCCATGCGACGTACCCTCCGAACAGACTGCGGCATGCTGATCCTGAGCCCTGTCTTGCGATGCGACTCAGTTCCGTGGGTGTTGACTTCAGCTCGTAAAGGTTGGCGATGGCGCGAACAAAGGCAGCGAAACCAGCAGCTGACGAGGCAAGACCGGCGGCGGTGGGGAAGTTGTTGCGCGAGACGATCTTCAGGGACAGCTCGGAGAGCTTGGGGAGAGACGAGTCGGACTCTTCAAGCTGGCGACGGAGGGTGCGGAGCTCGGCCAAACAGGCTTGTGTGCGAGCGCCAGAGATGTCCTGGTCGGAGCCATTGAGTGTGAGGGAGTCCTTGGGGTATTGGCTGCTGCAAGAAGCGGTTGTATGTGTGCGGAGGTCGTCTTGCGACAGTGTCACGGACAAAGAGCTGTTGGTAGGAAGGTTGAGTTTGGCATCGCGCTTGCCCCAGTATCTGCCCCCATGTTAGCCATGTACTCTTGCTGTTTGGTCTGTTGAGTTGGTACTCACTTGATGACAGCGATGTTGACGGGCGCAAATGTGCTCGCACGGTATATCTTGTTGTCGGCCATTGTGTGTATGATGTTGTGCAAGATTCCTACCCTCGAAGATGCAACAAGAAGGCTTCAGTTGGCGTGAGATTGCTCGTACGACTTGTCGAGCTCTCAATAATTTCCCCCTCTGTCTCGCGTTCCTGCCGATCTGCACCCTGGCGCCTTTCCTCTTTGGGTCAGGGCGGTGAGCGGCAACTCTCCACACCACTACCCCGGTTAAATCATCGTCGTCCCCGAGGTCATCCTCTTCCATCAACATATCATGTAGTCCATCTAGCTAGCTCTTGTCATCTGTGTCTCCCAACTTCTGTCTATACTCCTGCTGTTATCAATCATGTCCGATCTCGAACTGTCATACGTCGGTGCTCCTCCCCCATCTCTTCCTCCTGCCAATATCTTCGACTTCATCTTCTCAAATCCTCTTCGAAAGGATGGTCCAGTCTCCAAACATGCTCCGGATGCCCAATGTCGAAACCATGTCATTTCTAACATAGCTCCCCACAAACCTCTGCTGGTGGACCCCCTCACAGGTATGTAATCATCATACGACTCTTGAACACTCTTGACCAACATCATGTAGCCGCCCAAGTCAGTTGGGATCGGGTACGAATCGATTCATTGCGCATCGCAGCTGGACTGCATGCCCTCGGTCTGATTTCTGCTCCTACTGTATCTCCAGCGCCCACTGGTCACACTCCCATCATCTCTCCTGTGGTCTTGCTACATTTGCCCAACTCTTTGGCCTTCGCTCCTCTTCTCTTTGGTGTCCTTGCCTCAGGCTTGACCGTCACTATGGCCAATCCTGGTCTTACATCAGGCGAACTAGCCTGGATTCTGAAGTCATCTGAGCCACAAGTCGTTGTGACCACTCCGGAAGGCTTACAAGTCCTCAATGCCGCCATCAAGGAAAGTGATAGCCCGAAGGTCAAGGCAAACCTGATAAACACACATCGTGTGTATATCGTAGATCCTGCTCATGATGAGTACGGTCTGCCATCCTCGTACTCGAAAGGCACGAAGCTAGATCAACATTCTCAGGATTGGAAAGCGCTGCTGGCCTCTACGCCACTAAAAGCCCCTGTCAAGTTCAAGTCAGACGAGTACAAGTCACGAACAGCAGTCATCCTCTGGTCATCCGGAACTTCTGGAAAATCAAAGGGTGTCGTTTTGTCTCACCAAGCTCTAGTCAGCAATATGCACTCGCTCTGGCACATTAACCAAGCGTTCGACGACAACCAGCGCTGGCTAGGCTTTGCTCCGTTCTATCACATCTTCGCATTGTGTAACGTCTTGCTTCTTGCAGTCACCTCAGGAGCTACCATCTTTGTCATGCCGAAATTCGATCCTAAACTCATGCTTAGCCATGTACAACGGTTCCGCATTACCTTCTTACATATGGCACCTCCGGTCGCCGTACTACTTGCTAAATCACCGATGCTGGATTCATACGACATGACTAGTATCCAGGGTGCCGTTAGCGGAGGTGCTCCGCTACCCTCTGAGATCGTTGAACAGGTATACCGTAGGCTGGGCATACTGATAAAGCTGGTAAATATATCAAGAGTGATTATCGATCTATGATACTGACACACGTATCCAGGGCTATGGTCTTTCGGAAGCTGGTTCTGTTTGCAATCAAGTAGGCGAGACTTGGGATGTCATTCAACCACAACTTGGCAACACTGGCGTGCCATGCTTCGGTATCGAACTGAAGATTGTGTCTGTAGATGATTCTTCCAAGGTCGTGACTAAGGGCCTTGAAGGCGAGATCTTGATTAGGTACGTGGCAGTGACTCATGCTCTATCAGCTAAGACACTAACAACGATATCTCAGATCTCCTACAAACATGACGTGCTACCTCAACAACAAGGCCGCAACCGACGAAGCCCTAGACAGTGAAGGCTGGTTCTATACTGGTGACGTAGGCAAGATCGATTCCAAAGGCCACCTCTGGATCACCGACCGCCTCAAAGATGTCATGAAAGTCAAAGGCTTCCAAGTCTCACCATCTGAGCTGGAGAATATCCTCTGTGGCAGCGAATCCGTAGCCGATGCAGCTGTATGCGGTCTCTTCGATGCTGGACTTGCGACTGAATTACCCAGAGCTTACATTGTGCCTTCGTCTAAGCACCTGCTGGCACAATGTACGCCTAACGGCCCTGTCACTCCGGATCTGCAGGCTCTAGCACAGGAGGTCAAGCAGTTGATGGAGAGTAAGACCGTGAGATACAAGTGGTTGACCGGCAACGTGGTGTTTGTACCTGCGGTACCGAAGTCGCCTAGTGGCAAGATCTTGAGACGGATGCTTGTAGATGTCAAGGGTGTTGAGGTGAAGTTGTATTTAAGCAGAGCAGAAAAGGCTAAACTCTAAGCACCGGATCATACTCAACAAGGTGGACCATATCCCGCGAGAGCGATGGTATCTAAGAAGTTCTGCTTAATTTCAGATGCTGGAGAGGGATGTCGAATTCCTGCTATCAAGGAAGATGCGCAGGCTTGGACTGAGAGTGGAGAGAATCAGAAGGTGCGCGTGTGAAGCAAGCTTACGTTTTGGTAGAATTCTGCGCGCGTACCTTAACGATTGAACAACACTGCCTTGGTTTTGAGCACATAGCAAACAAATTGTGTGGCAAATACACATCGAAAGCACAATCCCTCTTTGCAAAATCCTGCTCCAAGGACGTCACATCTCTCTCAACCCCGAAGTTGATATTCCACCTTCGCCACTCGCTCAGACTCGTCTTGCCAGTACCAGTCTTGACCAAGTCACTTCACACTTCCAGCCACGCCCTATTTCGACAAGAACACATGCAAAAATCTTACACTCAACATGTTCTGCTTAATTAGTCTCTTGCTCTCCTGGCGTTTGTAAGCGGCGCGCCTGGTGAACGACTGGCTGCTCTTCCAGTGCAACCTCCTGTTCCCGGAGCCCGCGACTCTTGCATTGAGGCGCTCAATATCTCAATCTCCTGCCCAGAGTTTCTGAGAGCTATAGCTGTCGAATATGTGCCCTTTTCCACCATGGCTCACTACCTAAGAACTGTGAAGTACAATTTTCTGACATCTTGAGCAGCAATCTACCTCTTGGTCTCGATCACCTGAACTCTCTTTGTACGCCATCATGCAATCAGAGTCTGCACGCAGTACTTGAGACGATTAAAAGTAATTGCGAAGCGCCTCAAGATGTGGTCGTTATGGACGGCGACACTTACCCTGGTAAGATTGGGTTCAGAACCACAACGATTGATTACTAGTAGGACTCATGTTCACAGCTTCTTCCATCCTGGACAGATTCGTGGATCAATGTTCTTCCGTATCGCTTGCTGACATTCTTCTGCCAGCACTACTGGCCAATTATGTGATGAGCCTTTCGCCTCCTGGTGGTCCGATCCTTCCAGCGCTCCCGACAGATCCATCGAGGATTGCTCGGACTCTCTGCGGGGTCTCGGTCAGATACACTCGAACTCACCTTTCGGTTTCGACGAAGACTTTGCAGAGGTCGCTGCTTCACAGACGTCTAGCTGTAGTCAGTATGGTTATGCTTTTACGGGACCTGGTCCCTATGCCTTGGAAACCTCGACACCTGGTTCCTATACCTTGACAACCTCGACACGCACTTCTACAGAGCTTTTCCACGCGAGTCCTTGGTCGAGACCCTCACAATTGCCCCTTGCGCCCGGTACGCTATCTGACTGCTGGGAGTATCGCGAGTATGCGTCATAGACAAGCGACGTGATATCGGACGGCTTTAACACCTTGATCATCAATTCATGTCGCTTTATTGAACTCCTCATCAAAGTCACGGTCTCTCAGCTCTTAGAGTGGAACCCCAGCTTGTCATCTGACGACTGCTCTTTGCAGCCCGGCTACCGCTATTGTGTTGTACATGAGTTGACAGACATACATGAAGGTACAGTTTGACTCTTTCTTTCTCTCTCAACCGCGCATTTGGCTAATCTTTCTATAGCTGATCATCTGTCCTCTCTACTTCTGTAAAGACCTCGCTAATGACTTTGATATCGAGGTCCCGCAGTTGCTTGAGCGGAATACGTGGATCAATGGTTCTTATTGCGATGCTGGTCTCTAGGCGAATCTTGATAACTATACCGATGCGAACATTGTCTGTGTTGGCGTCTAATTGCATGAGACGGCTTTAGCTGTATCACGGCGGCGATGTTCCTGACAGAAGGGTCAAATGACGGATAAGCCAAGAGGCGCAGCTCTGGGTTCCCGATGGCTTGATCAAGCAGTCTCTAGTCTTTCCGAGACAAAGGCCTAGGGGAGAGCTCTGGCGTTACGGTAATTCTACCCGATAACAGAACCGTTCACTTGATGAGGGCGACGCCATCCGATGGTCGAATGTAGTAGAAGTCCTAGGAGTCAATGTCGATCAGATTGCCATACGTCCGAGGCATCAGGCCTTCCGTCGAGACTCTCATCCATCCAGCATCATATAGCTTGCAGCCTTCGATCTCCTCTTCATTCTCATCCAGAGGGTTCTGGTCCTCTTCGTATCCTTCATCCCGACGATTGAATGTCGCTGTGTCGTACTCGTCCCAGGACCAGTTCTTGTCGGCTCTGGTGAGGTTGACATAGCCTTCCTTCAGTCTCTCATCACCGTCGACGGTAGCGATGGTTTCATTAAGGCTTGGACCGCGACGAATAACAGCTTCCAAGACATCGGCGTCAACGTGGATGCAGAAGTTGAAGCGAGGTGTTTCTCTCAACAGGGTCTGGAACTTCCCAGCACTGATGTCGGCGGTGTACTCGAGGCGAGCGTTGACCTTGACCCATTTCTGGAGACTGAAGCGATCGTGAGTGTAAACGATGGCCTCGGGAACCGCCCTGTCGACCAGTTCGTCCATCGTAGGAGGACTGGTGTGAGTACTTGTGTAAGATCGTGTGATTTGAGTTCTTGTATCTGAACGAGGACGGATCAGAACGCGTTGGCCAATGATAAGATTTTTGACACGTGTGAGGTGGCGCTGATCTGGTTTCGTGGAAACGTGCAATTTTGAAGGGTATAGGTCCGCAGACAGAGAGATGATTTCGATGTTGCTCTCGACAGTTGCTCCCCTGATCCAGGAGTGTTTGTGTGTCTAATCTGATCTGGCCATGTGTGTGAAAGTGATGACGACCACACAACAAAAGTTCCTGGATGAAGTGAAACTGCACACTTTTTCGCCTTCAATAGAGCGTCAGAAGAGGCACGTTCACTTTTCTTCCTTGTCTATCTAGTGAATAAGATGCGGTTTGGTTGGCGAGGTATATTGAAGAACAGGGTCACGCAAGTCGCAACTGTCAGCCTTCCCCCGCCGATATCGGCCGCCGGTGCAAATCACATTACCGCGTCATTGTCTACACGCTCCTGCCCAAACATCTGACGACCACGACCACTGGCGTTATCAAATGTGCATATTGATCCAACATCAGCGCAGCTCGGCATGGTGTCAAGCATCATTGTTGAACATCTGAGCCCTTGCGCCAGGGTGACGCGCCTGTGCTCAGCAAGGCTGACCTTGCCTATTCAAGCGCATCAAGAATCACCTACGCAGACCTCCATTGATGTTGGATCTGATCGCTACAATGCAAGCAATTCGATGACAGTCTAGGCTTGAGTAGTCTGGACATTCCTCACAATGCCACTTGGACCATGAGACCAAAGCCTCGGGTCTTCATAAGTAAGTGAGCTGCTCATATGCCCTGGAATGCAGGTACCGGCCATCTGCATTCCAGAGCTTCCCTGTCAACAACCATCTACCAATATCACCATGTCTTCCCACTGCTTGTTTCCTTCACCTTGTAATCGCGTTTCTTCTAATCTTTCGCCAACATGGTGTCTCTACGAGTGACGACGCTCCTACTGTCACTGATTTCTCTTGCCCTTGCCCAGAATCAGAATGGGCTTTGTTCTGGAACAGCGGCTACCACTAGCTACACAGACTCTTGTGGTCAACAATACACCATCTACTGTTCGGCCGACAGTCAACCCGGCTCGTATAGTCAGGTCAACAATGTCGATTCTTTTGCGAACTGTATGGCCTATTGCTCCAACACTCAAGGTGTTTGCAATGCCGTAACATACGTTGGAACGACGTGTTATCTGAAAAGAAGTTTCTCCAGTCTCGTCCGACCTTCAAACGGAAATACTGCTGTGGTCTACGTTCCCACGCCTAATTATCCTCCGCCTGTCGCGGATGGCGCGTTTAGGAGTACAGGATGTGGCCGAGCAGTGGGCGCCGGGGTCAATCCCGGTGGATCCAGCACCCAGTTCACTGGAACTGGCCCTGATGGTTATTTGCACACTTACAATTTCCGCGTCCCGTCTACCTACGATCCGACCAAGGCAGCTCCACTTATCGTTGGTTTCCACGGGAGAGGAGACAGCGGCGCCAATTTCGAGAGCGCTTCCGGATGGTCTGTTGAGAAGATCAATCCCTATGGTATCACTGTATATCCTACTGCTATCAGGGACTCCGACGGCCAAAACACATGGCTAGGTGATCCAAGTTGGGTCAACAACGCCACAATCAATGACTTGACCTTCGTCCAAGCTTTGGTGGCCAACATATCTTCTCAGTATTGTGTCGACACCAGCCGTGTGTTTGCCGTCGGTATGAGTAACGGTGCCGGCTTCGTTAACGTAATGGCCTGTGATCCCGTCATGTCCACTGTATTCACGGCATTTGGCCCTCACTCTGGAGCTTTCTACACCAAAACGGGAGACGCGAACACAGTTTGTTTCCCAAACACCGTTTTGACGAACGACTTGGTCCACAATACTTGCAGCCCCGCGAGACAGAATCCCTTGATCGAATTCCATGGTGACAACGATGGGACGATATCTTACTTTGGAGGCGGTCGCAGAGGATTCTGTCTACCGACACTGCCTCATTGGTCTCAAGATTGGGCTGCACGCGACAACTTGACGACCGACAATGTGACTACTGTGCTCAACGGTGGAAACCTGACAAGATATGAATTCGGTTCTTCGAGTGGACTTCTTGGTCTTGTTACCCATTACCGAATGGCAGGTTGGACTCATACTTATTCTTACGGACCCAACGGTGGACCTATCGACTCGGCTGCATTCTCCTTGAACTTCTTCTACAGATGGACAACTCCTCAAGGCACAAGTCAAGATTATCTGGCGCCGATATACGCTTCGAGTTCGACCAAAGTGATCTCTTGTCCTTCAACCCTCACCAGGACAACGACCTATACCATCACCACCACGAGTTCTGCATCTAGCTCCTTGTTGATCACCACAAGCTCATCATCGACTGTGAGCAGCAGTTCGTCCAGCTCTCTAGCATCGTCTACAACCTCTTCAATAACCAGTTCTTCAAGCTCGACTTCCAGCCCTCTGATCAGCTCGACAAGCTCATCGACAAGCATCGCTTCTTCTTCTGCCAGCTCCCTGTCAAGCTCTGCATCGAGTGTCTCCTCGAGTGTCTCGTCAGCGCTGTCGTCCATCTCATCGGCTCTATCTTCCGGGTCTAGCGTGTCTTCCAGCGTCGTGTCTACATCATCAGCAAGCATTGGTTCTTCTTCCGCGAGCTCCTCGTTGACTGCTTTATCCACTTCTCGCTCGTCAAGCACCATTGGGTCGTCCTCGGCAAGCTCCCTGTCAAGTATTGCATCGAGCACTTCATCAGCTCTTTCTTCGCTTTTTAGCGCTTCAACATCAAGCCTGAGTTCGTCGTCTAGTCTTATCTTGAGCTCTTCATCCGCTTCATCTTCGACTCCGAACTCTTCGTCAGCTTTGTCGGCTTCGTCTTCAATTCCGAGCTCGTCATCGATTCTGGCCTCGAGCTCTTCATCCGCATTGTCACCTTCAATCTCAAGCTCCTCGTCCAGTGTCACACCTACGACTAGCTTATCAGTCACTAGCTCCTCATCGACCATTGGACTCACTTCTAGCTCATCATCGGCTGCCGTGACGCCAGGCTCTTCATCTGCAAGCAGCATCGGGTCGTCCACGCTGAGCTCTCTGTCAAGTGCCGCATCGAGCTCTTCGTCAGCTTTATCTTCAATCTTGAGCTCGTCATCTAGTGCATTGCCGAGTGTATCTCCTGCCCTTTCCAGTACGTTGTCCACTTCGTCGACATCTGTTGGACCTTCCTCCGCGAGCATTACATTCTCGAGCGTTACACCTAGCACGTCTAGCTCGTCAATCAGCATCGGATCATCTTCGGCAAGCTCTCTATCGAGTGTCGCCTCAAGTTCTTCGTCCGCACTTTCTTCGCTCTCGAACGCTTCTTCATCAAGCTCGAGTTCTTCGTCCAGCGTTATCTCGAGCTCGTCAGACAGCCTTGTTTCTTCCGTGAGCTCCGTATCGAGTGCTGCTTCGAGCTCTTCTTCTCGCATCTCTTCTAGCCTTGTCTCGAGTTCCTTCTTACAATATAGCTCGGGCTCTACAACTGCTAGCACCACTTTGTCCGCAACTCCTGCAGTAATATCGCAAGCGACATACTCTTGTCCGGAGGTGGATGGCCAGACAGTCGTGGACGCTACCGGTGGCATCTACCGAATCAAGTGTAATTCAGACACCAGCATCGGCGGAAATCTCTATGGATCCCCATCAGACTTCAATGGTTGCATGACCATTTGCGACAGCGTAGTAGGATGTGGAGCTTGGGTCTACACCGATACCCGAAACTGCTACCTCAAGATGGGCGGGGACAGCTATCAATTCCAGCCAGCAGCTGCAAACTTTGTCGCAGGTATCAGGAACGGGGTAGCTTCTGGTCTCCCGTCGTCCTCTTCTGTCAGGCAAACATCGACATCATCATCTTCGAGTCTAATATCATCTTCTGTCATCAGTAGCCTATCCTCGAGCCTCGCCCCCACAAGCAGCCCATCATCGAGTGTAACCTCTACAAGGGGACCCTTGTCGAGTTCGAGTCTTTTGAGCTCCTCATCGAACGTAATCCTCCCAAGTAGCTCTTCATCGAGTCCGGTCCTGCCAGGTAGCTCCTCATCGGGTGCAATTTTGCCAAGTAGCACCTCGTCGAGTGCAGCCATACCCAGCAGCCCATCCTCGAGTGCGATTCTATCAAGCAGTTCCTCATCGAGCCTCGGCAGCCAACAGTCAACTACTGTCTCCTCGGCCTCAGCAAGTAGTTCAACGGCAGCCAGCTCATTAGCCGCAGCCTCTTCGACCGGCAATTTACCAACGGCGATCACCACGGAAAGCTTATCGGCTGCTGCTTCGAGCCCTACAACTGCGACAGTCAGTGGTTCGTTCGCCACAATTACCGCCGGTCTGTCTTCGACATCCAGCTCGACTTCTACGACCGAAACCCGCATCCCCATCACGCCATCAGCCTACAGCACTTTCGACCCTGGACCGTCGTACTCTGCCACCGCCACATATGTTTCTCAGGAGGCTCCTGCCCCAGCTTGCACGCAACCAAGCTGTCCCAATGTCGATAATGTCACATGTACCGATGCTGATGGTAAGGCTTATGTCCACCAGTGTGATACTGGAGTCACAGGTGGTACCGTCATTGCGTTTGCCGGAAACGACAACACCAAGCGAGATGCTGAGCTTCTGATGTTCGATGATATGTTGGCCACCATGTATTCCGAGGAAGAAAGAGCAGGACTCAAGAAGCGCCAGACCGACGCCCAGCAAGCTGCCTTCCATGAGTGTCAGCTCCAGTGTGATGGTGTTGACTATTGTAAAGCCGTCGCCTACAACATCAACACAGGCGAGTGTCAGCTGTTTGCCCAGGTCTCTGGTACTGGATATTCGCCTGGTATCTTATTCGCCCAGCGTGCTCCTGCCCAGGACGCTGTCGATGGACCAGTCACCTCGACTATCTACAGCACGAAATTGACTACCGTGACTTCCTGCGCTCCAGACGTTGCGAGCTGTCCAGCTAGTTCTACAGTCATCTCCACGACATTGGTACCCATCAGTGTCACAGTCTCCTCTACGGCGACTGCTACGCCAACTGACTATTCAAGCTATTGTGGTAATTACTTCCTGGATTCGCAAAGTCCTCCCAACAATTATAGTATTGATTGCACGAATGACTACACCGCAGCCAGTATCTCAAGAGTCATTGCCAGAAACCTCAATGTCTGCATCAACACTTGCAGTCAAGTTCAGAATTGTTTGGCAGCTACTTGGATTCAGAGTGGACAAGAGTTCCAATACTGCTATTTACATAGTGCAGCCGATCTATCTTCGACCACTCCGTTCGCTCCGGGTGTCGTTGGGTACAGAGCTACGAGACTGACAAGTCCAAATGGACCTCTGACGATTACGGTTTACAGCACTGACATCACCACGGTCACATCATGTTCTTCAGACGTAAGTAATTGTCCGGCAAGCTCTACAGTGGTTTCAACCTCTTTGGTCCCGATCAGCGTCATCGTGACTAGTGCTTCGAGTACGATAAGCTCTATTGTGATTGGAACACCTATCGCCGCATCAACTACGAGCTCTGGAATCGTTGGTGTGGTAACGTCGACTATCTACAGCACTGGTCTTACCACGATAACGTCTTGTTCGCCAGGGGTGGTGAACTGTCCTGCTAGTTCAACAATTGTGTCGACGACCCTTGTGCCCATTAGTGTTACTGTCTCGACATTTTCTTCACCATCTGCCACAAGTTCTAGCGCCGTGGGTGTCGTGACTTCAACAATCTACAGCACTGATCTGACTACGATCACTTCCTGCTCGCCCGGTGTGGTGGACTGTTCAGCAAGCTCGACGATCGTTTCTACCTCCCTTGTTCCGATCAGTGTGACCGTCTCGACAGTGTACACCGAATTCTCTACATCATGGTACACAACGTGGTCCGGAACTCCATTCTCCACGGCGTACTCATCTGCCTTCTCGACTGGTTTCTCGACGGCTTACTCTTCGGCCTTCTCGTCCGCTTTCTCTTCTGCCTTTTCTTCGGCTTATTCTTCTGCTTTCTCGAATGAGTTCTCCACTGCTTTCTCGATTGCTTTCTCGACCGGTGCATCTACGGCTTCCTCGACCGGAGCTTCATTTGCAGCTTCCTCTGCCGCTTTGTCTGCCGCTTCGTCGTACGCATCTAGTGCTGCTTCTTCAGCTGCATCATCGTATGTGTCCAGTGCAGCATCTTCAGGTGGCACTTCCTATGCCTCATCAACAGCTGCCTCAGGTGTCGCATCGACTTTCACACAAAGTGGAACTACTGATGGTCGTTCCGGTACAGCTGTACCTCCTACATCGACCTACACTGGTCCTAGTAAGTCATCTTCTATCGCAATGTCTGAATCCTTGCTGATGACGTTTGTAGTCACTATTACCATTCGTCCATCGACTTGTCCTGCTTTGCCTACCTTGACCACGACTGTGTTCACGACTGGATATGTCAGTTCATGTGCACCTGACGTTGTTTGCAGTAGCAGTAGTATGAGCATCATGTGAAAGGAAACCACAATCTGGAGGGATTTAGGATACAAGGATTCTGTGGTATGATATAATGGTTGAAGGGCTCTTGTCATAAGAATGTTAGCGTAGTAAAATTTCGACGCTTTTTTCGTTTGTTTTCGCGGCATGGATGTAATACGCACATGTAGAGTATGAAGAGTCTGTTCCATTCCTCGTGCTTGACTCAAATCCACTGTCGTTGTTTGCATGATGTGCACTTTCCACATTGTCGTTATTATGCAATATTATGCTTGGTATAACTATGCATGCTTTCAACCCCCTCCTTCGTTACTGCTTTCAGGTATATCTTCCGCGAACATCCTGGCAAAACACCCCGCCTTCTCCACCTCTACATAGGTACGCCAACCTGCACTTACGAGAAAATTCCCTCAGCACCGATAAGGCAGTGTGCGAGTAGATTGAATGGCGTGCTGGGTCAATAGGAACAAGCTAGGTTGTCACATCCAGGGCATAGAAAAAAGCGAATAAGTAAACAGCAACTCCATCTCGCTCTTGCCAATCTCCTGTCTTTTTTTTTTCCACTTCCCTTACCCCAAGATCCGAATTCCCGACTTCAAAACTCACCAAGATAAAACCCCCCCTCATCAATCTCGGATTTGCAAAATAAATTAAAAACAAATGTCATTCAAACTCCACCCCTCAATCGACAATGGAATAAAACAAGGCTCCGACTCCTTTTCCGGCGGAACACTCCACTGCCACTGCCAAACCTCCCCAATAACCATAACACTCTCCAGCAATGTCCTTCACAACCACGCCTGCGGCTGTTCAAAGTGCTGGAAACCTTCCTCGGCAACCTTCTCCATCGTCGGTGTCATCCCCCGCTCTGCTCTATCCATAACTTCCGGAGCATCAAAACTCTTCATCGTGGATGAAGCAGCGGTGATTCAACGTCACGCTTGTAAAGAGTGTAAAGTGCACATGTTTGGACGTATTGAGCAGGAGCATGCCTTTTTTGGTTTGGATTTTGTGCATGTCGAGTTGAGTGGGGAGATCGGGTGGCAGGAGCCGCGGTTTGCGGCGTTTGTGAGTAGTACTATTGAGCAAGGGCTTGTTGCTCCTGAGGAGGCGGAGGCGGTTAGGAAGCAGTTGAGGGGTTTGGGGTTGGAGTGTTATGATAGTTTGAGTCCGGGATTGATGGATGTCATTGCTGCGTTTGTGGCCAAGAAGAATGGGACTTTGAGGGCTTCTAAGCTTTGAGGTGGTGGTGGTGGACCTTTTTTTTTCTTTTTTTCTCTTTTTGGAAAACTGGATGATTGAAATTGAACTGTTGAATGATGGGAAATTTGGGTCCTTGGTATAGCGAGGAGGATCTTGAGATAATGTCTGGCATGAAGCAAAGACACTGATCAATGTACACATCACCTCAACCAAACATTCCATTGACTCCACCCTGCCCAGCCAACTCAGGAAACAGCTGTTCGGGAAACAAATCACTCATGTCAACCAACATGTCTCCACCCAGCGCGTTCCACCAATCCGTAGGTATAGGCTCTTGTAAGACCTCAGAGCTAGCTTGAATAGTATGAATGTACTTGTCAAGTTGTTGGGAGAAGATGTTGGCGAGAGTGGTATATAGTGATGCAGCAGAGGAGTCTGGCAGGCTTCGTGCGATGGCTTCCATGTGTCTGGCGATAGCACGTACGGTTGCGGCTGCAGTTTCAATGATGTCGGGGGGTAGACAGCCGCGTGTTGTAGCCTGAATGGGTGATCAGTATCTCTAAGCTCGAGCTCGGGAAAATAAGGAGAGCGATGACTTACAAATAAGATCTCGCTCACTGCATGGCAGATCATGATGAACTGGTTGTTATGAGTGCCATACATATACTTGACCAGCACCGGATCAAATAGTGCAAGATTAAGTGATCTGGATGCGACATCAACAGTCTGTCGTGATATCTTGCAGGGATTGGCCAGAGACTCTAACGCATTCAATGCGTAAAGATCTCTCAAAGCATTGGCGTTCAGCACAAGGATACTATGATCCATGTAGTATGCGAGTATAGGAAGATAGGCCGCTGATGGTGAACCGTCTTGTAAGTCGTTCGACAGGCATCTCTCCATACGAAGGGCCTGGAGTGCATCGAAACCTCGCGCTTGCCAGTCCTCGACCGCTTCTCTGGTCTTGGCCATTCGTTCTCGTTCTTCGAGGTATTGCATCTACATTACTCCATGTCAGCATGAAGGTTCTGAGGATCTATCAGGTCAAGACTCACGAGAAGAATACGCATCTCCACAACGCCACTGATGACCCGGTCGAAGGGACATGCCATTGGCTTCTTCCACCACTCAGAGATGTTAGGGTCAATCTCTGATCGACCCACATTCATCACGCGTCCGGTCACAATGCCAAAGCTTTTTTCTGCAAAGAAAGCAGCAAGCCACGTTCGCTCAATGTTACGAAGGAACCTCTCTTTGAAGTTTTGGCTTGCCGAGGAAGATGTGTATGATGCGACGAGATCTGTCACGGCTTTATTCTTGTTGAGACCTAGCTCTCTTGCTATCAGTATGGCCTGTTGAAGACGAGTAATACATGTCAGTACGAAAGCAAGGAAAGGTATTGGTATCTCTTACGTGACTTAGATGCAACCAGTATGGGTCATCCTTTTGCGTTTCGTAGACTGGTGACCAGTATTCCATAGTGAAAATTGCCTGTATGGTCTCCACTGATTTGACGGATGTTGCTATCGACCATTTGATGTTGCTCTCTGCCAACGCTAGTAGAGTCGGATACAAAGATCTATCTCTGGTTGTGTCTGACATCGCACAGCCTAGTGCGCAGACGACCGAGAACAGGGTGAATGACAACGGCCGAACATTTTCCGAGGTATGAAGAATAGGATCTAGTAGACACACAAGCGGATTGCGGATTGTGAAAAACCTAGGAGCTCATGTCAGACGTTTGCTCTTGACAGTAGGAACCACAAAACACCGTGAAGACTTACAGCTCGAAGTATCTCTCCGCATCAGTATCATCAATCAGACGAGAAGCGATCGGATCACAGGTCAAGGAGCTCAGCCTCACAGGAGCATTGACTGACTGTGAGGCGAGGACTTGCCAATCTTTTTGGAAAGAGGCACTTGGCTCTGCAACATTTGCAATCAGTAAGTTTGCCACTGGTTGAGCTTATTACACATACTGAAGTACTTGATGAGTCGCTCTGTGGCACGCCGAGAGAGCCATGTGTCGTTTGAGTTGTTTAGCAGAGGCTCGTCTGGGTGATTGGAGGCTGGGGACGAATCTTGAATCTGAAGAGACGCAAGTCTCTCGGTCTCCACTGCGTCGGCGAGGATGTGTAGAGGCGAGACAAGAGAGCTTTGAGAGTCAGGCTTCGGAGGATTTTGATATGTCCGCTGGTGCTCCGATCCAGTATATGGCGAGGCGCCGAGCTCAGGAGTCTGCTCCGATGAGTTTCGTCCACTGTACGGACCTGTGGGGAAACCAGATGGTGGTAAGTTTTGAGAAGATGATATAATAGCGGCGATCACTTGGTCGCCAACAGGAGATTCATTGATACGCTGTAGCAGCTTCTCGACTGTATCTGGCTTGCTGGTCATATAAGAGAGAGCTGCTTCGATTTTAGGGCCGACTTACTTGACACTTCCTTGTTTACGACCTCGGTTGGAGGCTTGCGGGTAGTCGCAGCGTCTTTGCTGGGAAGCGCATCGCATACTACAGAGATATCAGATTCTGTAATCCTTTTGCGATAGACGGCAATACCAAGGACTTTGTCGATCGCATTTTTGTCTTGATGAACGACAATTGAAGCATGCTGTGCGATGTAATTGTATGCGTGCTGCTGCAGATGGCGCTGGAGGAGGGTCACTCCTTTGATGGGACCTGTCCGGATTCTCAGTCATGTCTGTAATAATTTCCGACACATGCCTCGATGACTTTGGAGGAAGGACTGATTGTCCTCAGATAATCACAATGCATCTTACTCAAGCATGTTCGACGCTAGCGACAATTAAAGGTACGATCAAGAACTCGGCTTAGGGCTAGCTGTTGACAACACGCTGTGACAGTTGAGAACGTCTCTGGCAGTGTGCATACGCGGCAAATACTGCTTCTTGGTACCTCATACTGCTTCTAGGTATACTAGAGCAAGTCGCGCGTGAGGCCGATTCAACACCACGAGGTACTTTCAGATTGTCGTCCAACAGGGCAAAGAAGGAAGAAGAAGGTTATTTCTCAATACTGTTAAAAGGGGTATCATGCATGCTTGGAAACCATTTAACTCCTCCCAATGCTACCGATAAACCTACAAAAATGCATCTCTATCCTCGAGGCTCCTGCTTCTCTTTGACCCAGACCAGCGATTTGACATGAAGTCCCTCTGCTTCATTCGACGTCCCAGACAACCCGTCTTGATCCTACCTGGCCTCGCGTGTCTTTGAGCGAGAGCGGTCTCGCTTGCTGCTACTTCCAACCTTCTCGCTGTCACGGCGAGAGGCACCAGCGTTGGCGGAGGGGACGTAACGGTCGGTCTTGGGGCGGTCGTCGTCTCGGCGGCGACGGTCGCGGTCTCTATCGCGATCACGGTCCCTGTCTCTGTCACGGTCTCTTTCTCGATCTCTGTCCTTCTCACGATCTCTGTCGCGCTCCTTGTCGCGATCTTTGTCCCTCTCGCGATCTCTATCTCTGTCTCTGTCTCTTGAGCGTTCTCTGTCGCGAACGTCTCGATCACGGTCTTTATCTCTTGAACGATCGCGGGCACCACGGTCGGCAGGTGTCTGACGATCAGAAGGGACCCAGCGATCACCTGCACCTCTGGGGGAGCGAGTACGAGAGCGTCTTCTGCGAGTGTCGCGATCCTGGCGATCGGAGGGGACATAGCGATCGCCTCTGTTCAGAGGACTTCGGGAACGATCGCGGCGCGGAGGGCGGCGGTCACGAGATGGAGATCTGCTCCGGCGGTCCTTGTTACGAAGTTGCTTTGCCTTCCATGCCTCACGTTCGGCACTAATTTCGCGCAAGGTGGATTCGCGGCGGCCTTCATAGTGGTCGTAGCCTCTTTCTCTTTCTCTGTCTCGGTCGGCTGGGCGGTAGTGGCGGTCTGCGGAGGGCGAGCGGCGGTCGCGATCACGGTCTCGGCGAGGATATCTTCTGTCCAGACTCTCACTCCTCTCACGTTCACGCTCGCGCTCGCGTTCGACCTTCTTAGGGGCAGATTTGGAAGCCATAGCTTGGCCTTCAGCGAGCAGCATGCGCATAGCCTCCTGCTCAAGACGTTTGGCTTCTTCCTCCTCGAGGATCTTCTTGCGCTTGGCCTTTTCTTCCTCCTCTTTCTTGCGTTTCTCCTCGAGTAGTTTTTCCTCCTTCTCACGAAGCTCGGCGGCAGCCTTGGCCCGAGCCTTTTTCCTCTCTTCCTCTTTCTTGCGAAACTCTTCTCTATCAGCACGTTTCTTGTGTAGGACTTCGAGACGTTCCTTCTCCTTCTTTAGTTCCTGTTCGCGCTGTTTCAGGGCTTCGAGTTCGGCTTTCTTTTGTTGGGCTCGCTCCTTCTTTGCGATTTCCTTCAATTCGTCAGCATAGCGGTCGAGACGCTGTTGGTGACGGCGCTGCGAGGCCTCGGCATAGACTGAATCGGGCTTGTTGCCAGCTTCCTCCTCTTGCTTTGCAGCTTCTTCGCCAATCTCCTCCCTTCGAATGTCCCGTAAAGCTTGTTCAGCAGTCTGAAGGTAGTCCTGGATAAAGTGTTCAATGTCGGCTTCGGTTTTGGGATAGATGTCTGCGCGGGCGGCAGCGCCTTCGAGAAGAGGAGCGGCGATGCGTGGGTTCTTGGTAAGGTATTTGATGGGGTCGCGATCGATCTCGGCGTCTGTGAAGGAGCGAATGGAGTCGACAAGGGTGGATTTGAGGGGCTTGAGGATGTTTGTCAGACGTTGTGAATCGTGGAAGGATTTGGAATAAACGTACACCTTGATCGAATTGGGCAAAAGTGTTCTTGCGAAGGTCGTCGAACTGACCCTTCTTCTTGAAGGTGTGCAGCAAACTGTCTATGGATGCGCGCTTGGAAGAAGAGAGTGGCAGATCAGAGACACGAGGACGCTTGCGCATAGGCAAATCTGCCTGAGCGCCGGCAGTCGTGTTGGCCGCCGCTGCCATGTTGGATGAGAGCACAAAATGTGCTGGGAACGTGTTGTCAGATTTAATTGATGGGTAGATGCGATGATGCGGAGGGAAGGTACTCGGACGCGGAGGAGAGACGACGCCAAGGCCGAGCTTGAGGGCAGGAACGAGCGTCTTCCGGCAGCGAGGCAGCCAGACACGACGAGAAGGTCAGCAATTGCCATCTGTCTATACAATTATCCGCTGTCTCTGTACGACCACGACATTCCGCCTCGCATCCTATCCTCCGACGTACTGCTGAGCCAGGAGCTCCGTTCAATTCCAGTGCGACCTCGAATCAACCTCCAACACTCGTCCCGTCACATCACCAGTCGCAATGTCCAAGATCCTTTTCTGGGGCGGTTTCGGTGCGCATACCCTCTCGTAGAAGCAGACTCCCTATCGCAAAGGCTTATGATATACTACAGGCATTGCCGTCCGCGTTTGGCAACTCGGCATTGAGATGCGTCCCATCCTCCAGCGCAACGCTCTCTGGGCCTACCCTCTCTTCGGCGGAATTGGCGCAAGCTTTGGTTACTGGCTCCAGGGTGTCGAGCACAGACAACTCCGTATCCTCCAAGAGACAAAGGAATCATTGCTCGAGAAGAGAAGAAGACGCGCCGAGAGAGAGGGCGGCATCAACATTGGTACCGATTACCAGAAGAACGAGGAGGGTCTTTTCGCTTCTGCCGCCGCCGGCCACGGTACTACCACCAAGCAACATTGAGCCATGAACTTCACATCCGAGTCGACATGTAGTGCGCTTGCTGCTTCTCCAACTTCTTGATATCCAGAGAGCTGCGGCGTACCATCGTCATGTACTTTCAGCCCGCCAATACCTCTTTTCTGCCCGCTCCACCTTTTTCCTAGTCATTTCAGTAGACGATCAAAACATTCAGTCCATATGACTTCCAATCATCTCCCCATCTTGTCTGCATCCCTGACTTATGTATCGACAAGGCATCGCGAGTGTCGAATTTTAGAGGCAGTCGTTATGTATCCAAGTGAATACCAAAAGCTTTCAGGCTTAGGACTTGTGAGTATGATGTTTGAGTGAGATAAGTGATCAGCAAGGCGCGTCTACAAAACCTTATGAAGCCTGGCTGCCATATCGACATCTCGGACCGGCATTCTCTATTCCACTTTCAATCACATATCGAGATCACCAGAAGACCTTGCATCACATTAGATCATACCAATTTTCGAACAAGTAGAGCGAAAGTCATTGGCTCACTTGACTGTTTGTTGCCTCGTCTGGCCACGTCCACACGCGGATAGACTTGGTGGCTTAGATCAACAACGTCTTCACACGCTCCAACAAACATCTGTCGTCAACACGATACCAAGCACCGATATTGCCAGCTGTCTATGTTGATTGTGTTCAAAGAGCTGGGCTCTCACGACCACTTCCACCTGCAATGGCTCTCACACCGCAACCAAATGAGCACGCGACCATGGAGAACATTCCACCACGAAACGCTTGGCCAGGGTCACTTCGACTCCCTTCGCCAAATCCGCCGAGGTGCAGACAGATCACTATCTTTGGTGGCGGCACAGGTGAGATGAAATTGGTAGATCACAGTGACGGGAGACTGACATCTGACACAAGCTACCAATCATCTCGTTGATGTCTTTACAAATCTTGCTCAAGCCAACAGCAGTGTGCTCAACTACGTCATACCCATCAGTGATAATGGTGGCAGCTCGAGCGAACTGATTCGAGTCTTTGGCGGCCCTGGTAAGTTGGAGAATGATAGTTGTTGCATAGAGGGGGAAGGCCTTTGGACTAATATATAGTACAGGTATTGGTGATCTGCGCAGTAAGTCATGGATACCATTTCACACGAGAGCAATGATACAACAAACATCCTACACTCTCTCTGTCCTTCCACGGTACTGATCAAAATCTCACCTACAGGCAGATTGGTCCGCTTGATTCCTGATAGTGGCGACCCCTCATCCGAAGCCTCCGCCATCAAAGAACTATTTAATCACCGCCTCCCTTCCGAGCCTAAAGAAGCACGTCTCGAGTGGCTAGAGATAGTCGAATCTCTTCACCCCCTATGGCGACAAATCTCTACGCCTAAAAAGGAGCTGATCAGGAGCTTTCTCAACTTGGTCAATCAGGAGATTGTCAAACGCATGAGACCGAGCTCGAGATTCGATTTCTCATCTGCAAGTATTGGCAATCTGTTCCTAACCGGGTCAGTATCACACTTGCAAACCACCAACTCATGGTACAGCGAATGATGTGACTAACAAGAGACGACAGAGCACGTCTCTTCTCTGGAAGCTTGGAATCAGCAATCTACCTCCTCAGCAGCATCTGCTCCGTCCCCGAAACCATAACAGTCCTCCCCGCCATAAACACAAATTTCTCCCACCACATCTCCGTCTCCCTCCAAGATGGCACCCACATAACAGGTCAAAACAACATCTCTCACCCCTCAGCTCCTTCCTCTCTCCCCGAAACTTTGCCTCGCTCTCCAACAGCCTTACGTCTCGAAACCGAAGAATCAGATAATGTAGAAGATGCCTCTTTGCCAGGCTCATTACCTTCTCTCCGCAAACCTGCTATCAAATTCTCGAAATCGCAGGAAGAAGAGTTATCAGCCAGGATTGAACGACTGTGGTATATCAATCCTTATGGACAGGAAATGTCTTGTCCGGCAAACCCTCGCGTCCTGGAAGCTCTGGCCAAATCATCGACGATAATCTACAGCATTGGATCGCTGTTTACTTCCATCATCCCTAGTATCATCTTACGGGGTGTGGGTGCTGCTATCTCTTCGCCGCATATTAGGAATAAGATTCTTATTCTCAACAGCAGTATCGATAGGGAGACTGGACCGCTGGCTCAGCCTTTCACGGCCATGGACTTTATCGCTGCTATAGCGAATGCATGTGCGGAGAGTAGAGGCTTGAAAGCGCCAGAGACGAAAGACTATTGGATGTATGTCACGCATCTTATTTACATAGAGGCAAAAGAGGCACCTAAAGTGGACAAAGATGACCTTGTTGGTGCGGGGATTGAGGGAATCCGAGTCTATGGTTTGGGTGGGAAATACGATGATAGAGGCCTGGAACAGACTTTGAAGATGATTTTGGGCAAAGGGGAGCAGGTTGGAGTGAGAAGTAGGAGGAATACGGTACAGAGGTAACTCGAGAATGACTTTCGAGGCAAGAGGCCATCACTGCGGGAGGAGCAACACCTTTGGGGAAGGATGGCTTATTATTGGGGACGATGAGAAATGGAATTTAGGAAACTCGACATTATGCTATATCCGTTACTGCATGCGCGTGGAATCAAAATCCAACCTTGGGGACTCCTGAACTCGACGAAAATGGAGTCTACTCCTCAGGGTCGCGACCGCCTTGCTTTCTCATCTCCTCTTGGTAGTGCTCTTCACTCTCAAGATCAAACTCCATAGGATGAGTGATGGGCACAATCGGTACACCCTTCTCCTCCAACACCCTGAGCCTAGCAGCAGTAAGCGGCTTACTCTTGTTGATACTGTAAACCTTGACACGATGACTACATCTCCCCATTAGCTTCTCCTGAGCAAAACCACAGCGTTTTGTGCAAAGATCTCAAAACTTACCAACTCGAAGTAACGTGCAAATCCCAATTCCAAGCCGAGCGAACATATGTGGGTTGGGTATTCATAGCATTATCCCAAGTCCTCACACAAAGCTCCAACCAACCCTCCGCATCCACAGGTAATTCAATCTCCCAAAGTCTCCAAGCGTGATAGTATTTCTTGCTCAGATTCTCATAGGGGACTTCGTACCAGATGCTTCCACCGTCACCACTGACTTCGACACGGACAGGCCAATGTCCACCTCCTGAGTATGCCCAGCCTCTCATCTTTATTTTTCCAGAGTGGACGATTTGAGACATGTTGATGGGTGTCATGATGGCGGATGACACGGGCATATCTTGGATGCTGAATCCGTTGCTGTACATGGCGTTTTGCTTTCCGATTTGGGGTGTGTAGTAGAGGTATTCTTTCGATTGGACGGGTGCGAGACTGGGTCCTTTGATGGCTTTGATCTTGTAGAGCCATTTGCAACTTCTGGCTCCAATGTCTGTGTCATCCTCTCGTTAGCATATTGGGCTTCAAGGGTGAGGGAAATAACCTACAGCCAAATACAACCGTTCTCAAGGGAAACCCATGGATCTTTGGTAATGGCTCTCCGTTCATCTCCCAAGCCAGTAGTACCTCGTTGATCTTGACTTTCCTCCATGGCACACTAACCACATAATTATACGCCTTGCCCTTTTTAAAATAAGTGTCCGCGCCATAGAACTCAAGATGCACACCTTTTCCCTCATCTTTAAGCCCACCACAATACTTGATCACTTTTTTCAAACTTACACCTGTCCATCTTGCTGTTCCAATGGCGCCTTCACCCCAAGGTGCATTGATAAGCTCGTCGCCATCACCGGGATATTCATGGATTTGCTCAATACGACGGGTTCCTGAGCATTGCAAGCTTACAACGTTACTTTGACGGGGAAACAAATCTTCGTTTTGAAGGTCTGCGAGAGTGAGGCGTTTGGGGCTGTTGACGAGGCCTTCGATGTCGAGGGTGTATTGCTCTGGGTCGATTTCTGGAATTCCGCCGTGGTTGCGGACAAAGTGGTCTTTGTTGTTTGTGATTTCGGTTTCCACTAGGCGTTCCTGGGTCCTCGTGTTAGTTATATCCTGGCTATGAGGTGGAGTGATGGTACTCTTGGTGGTTCTCCATTGTAGGGGAATTGTAGGACGTGAATCATGTCTTTGCTCTTTTCATCTTGAACGTATTTCCAGCTGTTCTTTATCAGACGTCTTCCTTTGTATTACGATGACTCGATATAGTACTCACCTTTTTTCAGGAAGATCCTTCAATGTCTCTCCCATAGCATAGTGATATTGCTTCCATCGCACACCTTCCAATATCGGATTGGTATCCGGCAAAGGCACGAGCTGAAACTCCGGCGGCTTTGAGAAATCATACTTGGCCAGGACTTCTTGAGCTTGCTTTGCCTTTTCTGGGTATTTCTGAATTGTTTGTCAGTACAAATCTCGTTGTCGAGTGATGCAGTAGAGCTGTTGTAAAATATACCTCCCACTCAACGTAACCTTTCCATCCTTCTCTCTCTTCTGCAAAGTAAGGTGCATCTCCCTTGACCTCGAAGTCCTCGATCCTGCCGGAACCTTGTTGAACAGCAGCAGCCATAATGATCTTGTTTGTCAACTGAACAAATTGCCGAATTCCTGTAGAAGTATATGCAGAATGGGGAAGAAGTTCAAGGACGACAAGCACAGTCGCGAGCTTGGGCACGGCAGTACTTATGTGGATAGCTTTCCGGCATGCGGTGTGCCTGACGTATTGTACATCCTGCTTTTTTGCCTTATTGCAGGGTTTCGCAACCGTAATCTTCTACGCGATGCTAATCAGTTGGGTCTGGATAGATACGATCGCACTAGCGGCGGAAGAGCGTGGAGGGTTAGCCGGACAGGTGCTTGTCTTGTGGGACTTTCTTGTGCTTCGCATCTTGTGCCAGCGAACCTGTCCAACGCTGTCAAAGTCTCTTCTTTGGCTATATCTACAGATTCCTCGAACCAGTCCTTTGAGACGGTCATGCTCCGAGAAGCTGTGTTCCAGGTGGGCAAGAAGGAGGCTCATTCTGGCGGAGCTTGCTTCCGACTCGTAAATACTGACGTCACGCATCCGGCAGTTCTTGTTCGTTTTTCGAGCACCACCTGTTGCTAGATTATCAATCGCTCTTCCATACGCCATGGAATCGCCGCTAACGCCGTGTGAGTAGTGCAGCATGTATCGAGTTTCGGCCTTGATTCGCTGCCAGCCATAGTTCTGCCCACGAACATATCAGCCACCACGGTGACAATCAGATATTGTCAGAGCCAGGTTGCCGCTGCTATGAGCAAGATCCTGCATATCATCTGCCTCGATGCATGTGATACTATAAATTGGCTCCCATGATGACGCAGAGTCACAAATGGGCTTTTTAAAGGCACAGTCATTTCTCAGACCGAGCACACACCAAGGGGAGCCGAGGAAAAGGCGACTCTCGGCCGGGTTAATACAGGCTCAATGGGCCACGTTGGTATGATTACTATTTATGCGGACGTAACGTTGCGCATTACAAAAACGTCAAATGGGTATTGTTGGACAAAAGAAAACAGAAAGCCGACGCATCGCTCATGCTGGTGCCCAATAAGGCTACAAGAAGAAACGAGAAGAAAATGATAGATGACCAGCCCCGGATCAATAGAGGCATAGGATGGCGAGGAAACCGCTCAGCAGTATCAGGTAGGACGCGCTGCTGTCTCTGTGGGCTGCTGATGTGTCGAAAGGTGAGCCATCGTTAGAGGTCTCTTTCTGTGTATGCTGAGCAGCTTGAGTCGATTGAGATTTCGATGACAGGGTAGGGTGCATGGTGGCTTCAATCACCGAGGACGGCGTGGTTGTAGCAAAGGCGAGGGAGGTGCCCGTGATGGTCGAGGTCAACCCAGTGAAAACGGCCTCGTCAGTCGATGAGCTTGTGTCTGGTAGTGGTTGAATAGTTGCTGTCGAAATGACGATGCTGGTCATTTCGCTCGACGTGTCGGTCATGATTTGGGTGTTGATTGAAGGCACAGTCGTAAGTATCATAGTGCTCGAGCCGATGGAGATGGACGTTGAGTACTGTGCTGCGACTTGCACGGCGTTGGGGCATAGCTTTGAGACGCCAGAGTCATCGAGGAAGGCGGTGATGATGTTGCTGCTGCCTTTCGCCTGGCTATGGCATGCGGCGTTGACCTTTTTGCTCACTGCGATGAGGGCTGAGATGCAAGAGGTAGAGCATCCTGCCTTCTGTGCAAAGTCGTCACCGGCACAGCCGTCAATCTCAGCGGTGTAGATGATCTCACAAGCACCTGTAAGCCCGCTCACGCGTGGCGTAAAGTCATTGAGTGTGACAGCCGATGCAAGCTGCAGGGTGAGGAGGAAGGCGATAAAGTAGAATACTTGGCGAAACATGTTGTGATGAGGTTGTTATGCTTGTTTGCGCGCGTGATGAAGCTCCGGCTATCAAGAATAAAAGTCGATTGCACCAGGCAAGCTCTCGATGGTGGTAGCGGTGAGTATTGTCGCGTGCCTTGTGTAATGTAATGGAGTGATGTGGTAGAAGATCAAGCTGCAAGGAAGAATCGATTTGAACGTGGAATCTGGATGGGATGCACGGGGGTAGGGCCTGCCTTAAGCGGAGCTGGTCAAAACAAAATCAAGCTCCAAGGATGATTTAGGGAAGGGACGAAGCGATTTGTGCATTGCGGCAGGTCAGTTATACAAGAGCTTTCGACCAGGAAGTAGCGATTGACAGCAGTGGGCAGATCGCCTTGTTAATCATCAGGACACGGGCTACCAGGCAACCAGGTCAAAGTCACACACCTACCTACTCTGGTCATGTTCTTTGACCTTCTCTACGAACTGGTACCCGTTTGATGAGGATGAGACGTGAGTCGACCCCTCTTGAGAAACTTCTGAAACGCGCTCTCTTGTCGATCCTTGCGCAAAATCTTGCATACAGCGTGTTTGATTGGTCGGAGCAGCCGCCAAGGGAGCACCTCGCACGCGAAGCGACCATAGCATCTTTGGACAGCTTTGGCAATGCCATCTCAATATATACATGCGTGCACGGCGAACGAGCGGAGTATCGAAGTAAGACACATGATATTTAGACAGGCAGATCTTCTCCACGACAAGGAGGCTTTCGTACTCTGCTCATGTTCTTCCATCAGCAGAACGAACATGCTTGACACCCCTTCCGTGTGTCCATTCCGGATCAGAGATCTTCCGTCTTCTTTGGCACGTTTCACGTCTCCTTCTTGTCGGGTAAGAAATCTGCTTCACGGTTGAACTATGAGACAAAATCCCAGCCAGCAAACAGTCAAGCGCCGAATGCGGATGTGACATGGCGGATCTTCCAACGTCTCTGAAGCACCTATCAAACTCCGCTCACTCTCACCCACACGAACCTGCAGTTCCGTTGCGAGAACGAAACATTTGTGGACGGCCTGTTCTCAACCAGGTAGATACTGGCTAATACTAGGCCTTCCCAATGGGCTTAAGCTTGAAGTCAGAGAGTCTGACGTCTGTCATTTGCACGCGACATTATACGTGACTCGCATCTCGACCAACAGCTGTCTGCCTCGTGAGCAGCACGTAGAAATGTATAGCTGCCGGCCGTAAGACATTGACTGCGATTGACAGTTAAAGGCTTGAAAACGGCAGCTAGCCAGTAAATCTATACCACCTTTGACGTATGTACGGCACGACAAGTTGGAAAGGGAGATTGATCAAACGATCTACTTCCCCTGACAATATCGCGGAATCAATTGGCTGATGGTAGCTTGGGAGATATACAGCAAAGATCTGCCCCAGGTACAAGTCAGGGGAAGTCCGCGCCGCAGAACGCGTCGCCGTGTGAACATGAAGGGATCTCCAAGGCATGCAAATGGCCAAAGCTGACAAGCAAAAGAGCGCAAAACACTCTCCTTGGCACATGTCTCCTCACGTTTCGGCGGCTCGCGATGATCTCATACAGGGTCAAGAATTTTTTGTATTTTTCTTACGCTCCCATAACAACCAAGCCACAACATACACTATCTCTGGATTACCATTCTTCGTCGTGTAAAAAACACTTCAGCAATAAATGACAATGTCGGACCAGAACTCGCCCTCGCAGTCGCCCGTGCCGTCGCAATCCTCTTCTACCATCCCAAGCACGATTCCCACGCTTCGTCCTAAAAACCAGAAGCCTAGCTTCGCGCGCCCCGCAGCATCAGACCTCCAGTCTCGCCTCCAATCGTTCCTGCCCCAAATGGCTGCTGCAAACGCTGAGCTTGAGAAGCTCGCGAAGGAAGGTGGTCTTGAGGGTAAGAGACTCGAGGACGTAGGCGAGGGTGAAGAGTATGTTGAGATGGAATTGGGCCTAGGTGTCATGGAGGCAAAGAAGGAGGGAGAGGACAGTAGCGACGATAGCTCCGACGAGAGCTCGGACGAAAGCAGCGAGGACAGTAGCGAAGCCGACGACGACGAAGCGGACACCGAGGAGAAGAAGAAACAGAAAGAGAAGGAACAAAAGGAGAAGGACATTCTGGGCAGACTGATGGGACACAAGCAAGGCAGAGAGAAGGCTGCTGGTATTCAGGAAGTTGAGTGAAGTGCTAAGCTCGCTCTTCTACCAGCTACCGTCTCCATCCCGAGTCTGCCCGTGGGGAGCATCTCATTACTAGCAAGTAGGTCCTATGCTTGTGTCAAGCCCGCTTCCTCGACCTCCCTCACGACTTCTGGCTCCTTCTCTCCCTCGCCAGATCTCAATGACAGTGTCGCTCTCTGGACGACATGCGCACTGCTGGACGTTGACTTGTCGGTAAACACGAACTCTCTGATCTCGCAATTCTTCCATCCGGTGCCTGCCTTCAGTCAGCAAAAGGCCTGCTTCTCAAAGAGATTAAAGCTTCTACACACCCATACCAGCATTGAAGCCACCCCAATCCTCTGTCAAGGCATGCAAGAAACCTCCATGCGAGACCACAATTACGCTTTCCTCTTTGCGATTGTACAGCCATGAACGTAGCTTTGCAGCACGTTTCTGCACCGTCGCTCTGTCTGGAGCCCACTTGCCTTCCTGCAGCAGAATCAGCATTGTTGATCGCTCTCGATCTGGTCACTTACCTTGCTGTTCCAACCTTCCTCGACTGCTTCAAAGTCGACTTTCTCACTGGGCACGCCGATCTCTGCGTCCCAGAGTTCACCCTTGTGGACTTGTCTTTCCAACTCGTCTCTGTCGGTCCCGATATCGCAGGCAAATGCGTTCATCTCCTGAGCCATTGGCTGCAACAGGAACTTGACATCATCTCTGTGCAAAGCAGGTGCAAAAGCATGTACAGCAGTCTGAAGTGCTCTGCGAAGAGGCGAGGACACAATCAATGCAATAGAGTCGTGGTTGGAGAATGAGTAGCCAAGCTCGCGGCACTGTGACTTCCCGAGTTCGGTCAAGATAGCATCGGGGATACTGTCATCATGCTAGAATAACATTAATACCGCATTACATCAATTAAAAATCCGGTGGCAATTTTACCTGTGCATTATGTTCTCCTTGGGCGTGACGCACGAAGTAAAGTGTTTTCGGTGGCATAATTGCAACTTGATGAGGTGTCTGAACAACAATCACTTGTTCGACAAATTGTTTCACGAGTGATCAGGGTCGATGATGCACTCGAGTAGCAGTGTTCGGCAGAGCTGCCTTGTTGAGTCACCGCAGCTCGGCTTGGTTGCCCATTTGCTTCACTATTCAACTTCACTTGCTTCCACTAACAACACGCGTCATGCGAATTAATCACTCTGTGCGGCGCATTGTCTCTTGTGCAGATATATCATACAGAGTATACATTTACACAAGATCAAATCAGGCAACCACGGAAGGTAACCGGATCTCAGCATTTGATGTGCTCAATCATGCTCATACAGGAAAGACTCGCCGCGCTTGCTTGCTAACAGAGGAGTAGACACACGGCTCTAGGAGATGACAGCGAGCCTTTGGAAGACGAGAATAATGACACTCCTCGATACTGACACGTCACAACGTATCTTGTAATATAAACCGCCCTCGAGTGAGCATTTCTGCAAGTTACTGCCTGCTCTTCTCACACATTTGCACATCAAAACTTGAGCTGCTTCAGATTTCTTCATGATGTGCTTCGATGATTCTTGCATCCTTGATTCCACCGCGTCCACCAAAGACACTGCAGCCGAACCCATCAATCAGAAAGAAGGTACCATAAATGGACTGTCCACCAAGCCTACCATGGAGCCCCCAGAGTCCATCACGAACTCCTCAAACACTCCTGGTCCAGCTCCTCTTCCCTACCTCACCCTCTGGACACGGACACGCATCCAGCTACACGATTGGATGTCCGGCCGCTGGGGAAAACATCACATTGGCGGCCTCATCCTCATACTCATAATATCAACACACCTCTGCATCTTCCCCCACAACGACTCCTATAACCCACTTCTCGCTTGTCTCATACCCGATATCTGGCTCCCAACTTTCAGCATTAATCCTGCTGATAATCGTACATCACACTCTTGAGGAAAAAGCCAGAGGGCCACCAAATTCTTGATCCTTGCTTTTCCAGACAAAGAGGAGAGGGATACATATGCCTTTGCGCTGGGGTGCTGTGACTTGTGCGGCATTAATTCTGAATGCTGGGTGTGTGTTTGGGCTCCTTGCGTACATGGGTCGCTGCGTTTCTTGATGGCAATGTTGAGGGTGAGCAGGGAGGTGAGTGCTTCTGAGTGGATGCCGACCATGGTGAAAGATTGCAAGATGTAGGAAAAGGACAATAGAGCATACGCTCCACTCTCATGGAATCAAGTAGAGAAATAGTGTATTGGGAAGGGGGACAAAAAAAGGTATAAACAACTCCAAAAATGACGCAACTGAAGAAAGAAAGAAAAAAACGCCGTAATTTTGTCTAACAGCCATCAACAAGACTGTGCTAATGCAACACTTCTACTCGTCATCCTCATCCTCTCCATTCTGCATCTTCTCCACAAAAGCCTTTGCTCTAGCCTTGACAGCCTCAACATGCTTGGCATCCCCCTGCTCCTCTTCAAACTCCAACCATCTCTTGAACACAAACCTCGCTCTCCTCTTCTTCATCTTGCCATTGGCCATTCTCTCGAACAAAGCTCTCACTCTCTCCGCATCTTCTTTCTTGTCAGAAGCTTTGGAAAGGCTGCGTTCAAGATCACACCACATATCCCAGCCCTGTGTCCATTTCGTCCATTGTGTAAGCATGGATTCGAAGATTGTGCGAGCGCGCTCCGGGTCTCCTGTGCTGGTGCGGAACTCGAGAGCTGCGAATTTAGAAGTCAAGTTGCGGTGATCGTGGGAAGCTACTGATTGCAGTGCGCGAGGCAAAAGCGCACGAGCCTGATCAGCAGCATCTCTCTTTTCGAACAAGAAAGTCGCATAGTTTAACCACAAGTTGGGGTTGGGACGGAAAGATTTTGTAGAGGCCATTTGCTCAAAGATCTTTTCGGCGGCGCGGAAGTCGCCGGATGATGTGTAGATGGCGGCGAGCTTTTCGTGCATGGTGAAGGAATCTTGGACGGCGCAGGATTCTTTGAAGGTGGCTTCGACGGTGTCGGCGTCTCCGTAGGCGACTTCCAAGTTCAGGAGGGCGACCCAGATGTTTTGCTTTTCGTCTTGCTCGCGGAGGTGGATGGTACGCAGGGCGCGTTGGCCAATGTCGCGGGCCTTCTGTACTTCGGAGAGACCGAGTTGGAAAGCCATGTATTGGATCCAGAGGGATGAGTCCGAAGGAGAGGTGAGGAGAATACGTTCAAAGTCAGCCACAGATTGAGGGCCGTTGGCGTCGAGGTCGCCGGTCTGGTCGACTTGGATGGCAGCCTTGCGCTTACGCTTCTTGAGTGGTGCAGAGGCTTCTTCGGCGTCTGAGATGGCGCCGTCGTTGTCGAGGGCTGCAGCACCGCTCCAATCGAAGCCGGAGGTGGTCAAGCCACCGAGGATAGACTTGCGAGTGGCAGGCGCATCGTCTTCGCTCATCTCCGCGTCCTCGTCGCTCTCCATGTCTTGCACGTTGGACATGTCGACATCAACGCCATCGTCAGACTCTGAGGCATCATCCTCAAGGGCCACACCCTCACCGTCCGACTCATCGTCCTCATCCTCATCTTCCATATCCTCATCACCGTCAAGGTCCTTGAAGTATGAGGCCTTGAGACCGAAACTGATACGGCGCTTCTCGCGATCAATGTGCAAGACCTTGGCCTTGACGAGATCACCAGCATCGTAGAGCTTCTTAACGTCCTCGACGGCAGAGTCGGCGATCTGACTCTTGTGGCACAGACCACTGACCCGAGGAATAGTGTTGTCGACATCGATGAAGACACCAAAATCCTCGACCTTTCTAACCTTACCAGTGACAAATTGACCAACCTTGAGGTCGGCGAAAGAGTTGGCAGGAACATAGTCCTTGTCGACGTGAGACTGCTTCAAGCTCATCTGAACGTGGTTGAGAGTTGCGTCGACTTGCAGGATCTTTCCCTTGACGAGCTGATCAATTTCGACAGCTGACTTCCAGTCCTTGACGAACTGGTCTGACAAGTCAGAGACACGAACGAAGGCATCGACACGAGGACCAAGGTTGACGATGACACCCTTGTCGGTGACGGCCTTGACGAAACCACGAACAACATCGTTGACAACCAGCTGAGGGATGGCGGTGATCTGACGGTCCTCAACGGGTAGTGCGGAACTCAGGACCTTGGAAGGACGCATGCTGAGGTAGACACGCTTGTTGGGGAGATCGACGGCAGAGACGCAGACACGAACAATATCACCTCTGGTATGGGTAGTAGGGTTGGCCTCAGTAAAGTCGTCTGACAACTCGGTCAAGGTGACGATGCCAGAGACAGAGTCGCTGAGCTGGACAATGACGTTGCGCTCGCTAACCTTGGTGACCTTTCCTGCAAGAATTTGACCATCTGTAAGAGTCTTGAGGGTGACAGGAGCAGTTGAAGCAGCAGAAGCGGCAACGAGATCAAGACGGTTGATGGCAGCATCGACGCTCTTGACCTTGACACGGATAGCAGAGCCGACAGGGAAATTCTTGGAGATGTCCTGAAGGAGAGAGACATCGTCCGAAACATCGAGCAAGTCAATACGACCACGGACGTTGGGAGACAAGTTAGCCCACAAGCACTTGTCACCGATGTTGTTGACGTATGCGATCCAGGTAGAGTCGACCTCGACCTGGTCAAGAGTCAGGATATCAGACTCTGACTTCAGAGATGAGTTGGTCTTGGCGGTAAGCTCAAGAACAGGGACGCGAGAGTGGCGGTGTGTAATGGGTAGGAAGCGGTGGTTGCGAGCATCGTGGATACCGAGGACCTTGACGGGAATGACCTGCTTGGCCTTGAACTTTTGCAGGGGCTTCTTGCGATCCTTGATGTCCTCCCAGCTGTTGAAAACCTCAGAAACGTCGATGCGACCTTGGATATTGTCGGCGAGCAAAACGTTGAGCTGAGTGTCCTTGATTGAGACGATGCGTGCTTGGGTCTCTTTACCAAGAGTGAAATCGGTGAGCGAGGTAGAGACTCCATCGACAGGGTTAGTAACGGTGGTGGGTACAGCGGCTTGAGGCTTCTCCTCCTTCCTCTGCTCAGTACGGGTGGTCAACACAAAGCGCTTGGAGTCGTTGTTGACAGAGAGAATTCTAGTGGAGATGGACTGGTCCTTGCGCAGACCAAAGGCGGGCAAAGCGAGCTTCTCCTCTGTGATCTGAGTCTTGGGCATGAAACCGACAAGACCAGCAGCAAACTCGACAAACACACCATCAGGTGTAATGTTTCGTACGAAACCGCTGACCTCCTGACCTTGTGACAGACTCTTGAACTGGTTGACAAGAGTCTTTGAGTGGGCGGCCTTGACCAAGCTAGGCTTGTTACTCAGGATAACCAAATGTCTTCTGTCTAGCTTTTCCAAGACAACAAGCTCGTTGAGCTTTTGGCCGACTCTGATCTGCTTCAAGGTTGACTTGTTCTTTGCGTCTGATCCGTCGGTAAGGTGTGCCAGACGAAGCGTTCCCTTGAGGTTTGAGCCTTCCAGATCAAGCATGACGCTCTCACCGGTGACCTCGGTTACAGAAGCATTGATGAGTTGGGCTTCCTTCAGGTCGGTCCAGGCAGACTCCTCGTCCTTGCCGAAAGCAGAGGCGTCCTTGCAGGAGACCTTGAGCTCGTTGGCCTCAGCGTCGACAGAGATGGCATGAACCATGACAGTTTGCCCTTGTCTGAAGTGCTGAGAGGGATCTGCAATGTATGCTTCGCTCATCTCGGCAACGGGGAGCCATGCTCTGATTCTGCCGTAGAATTGGACAACTGCACCGTTGGGCTTGATATTGATGATGGTACCGGGGGCTTCGTCTCCAACGTTGATGTCTTCGTATGCTTTCCAGATCTTGGCATCAGCATTGACGAGAGTCTTCTTCAGAGTCAAACGAATTTGATTTCTCTCGGGGTCCACTGTGAGGACCCGGGCAGTGACGGGGAAGCCCTCTCTGAACTTCTTTTCGGGATGTTGCAGCTTTACGTCGGCCATGTGTGATTCGGGAACCAGACCGTCAATACCATCAGCAAGCTGAACAAGGACACCAGTGATACCCTTGGCTCCCAAGATAATCTTCATGACGGTAGCCTTGACAACTTGACCGACTTCAACATCTTCGATACGAAGGAAGGGTTGGTCCAAAATCTTCTGCTCAAGAGATACGTTGTAGACACCATCGACGGGATTGAAGCCAAGGACTCTGGCGCGGTGGGTAGATTCGAGCTTGTATTGGCCAATGGTTTCGTTGAGATTATCAACCTTCTTGTCGGAGATTCTGGAAATGTGAGCGAAACCAGGATTCGAAGAGCCTGTGAGCTTGAAGAACAGACCCATGGCAGGCTCAACGTGGACAACCTGAGCATCTTCAACGATCGAGGAGGCACCGATCTTATCGGCCTTCTTCTCGCTACCAAGAGCGAAAGCCTTCAAAGACTTGACGTGATCGAGGAAGGAGATGCCGATCTTCTTGGAGTCGTTTGAGTGGAAAGTGCAGATGACACGAGCCTTGACCTTTGAACCAATCTTGTACTTCTTTGACACATCGTCTACGCGGGCACCAGCACCAGAGTGGATGACATCGGCGGTTGCATCGAGCATACCCATAACCTTTGTAGCGATACCTCCGCGGCTTGATTCGGTAACCAGAACCTCAACAGCAGTACCAGGCAGGAAAGCATCGATGGTAGGAGCATCCGACAGACAGTGCTTTGTGATGTCTCCCATCTTTGTAAAATCAGGAGCCAACTTGATGACCTTGTTATCCGAAGCCTTGCCAGTGACAACACAAAGCATAACCTGACCCTCGTGCATCTTCGAGATGTCGAAAACCTTTCCTAGCTCTTTCTTGGACACGAAGCCTCTGACAGACTCGTCGTCCAGGCCCAGATCCATGACCAGACCGTGGTCTTCAATACTGCGAACCGAGGCCTGCAGGGTCGAGTGAACAGGAAGATTTGAGGTCGAGAGACCAAGGTTTGCTTGTTTCGGGTCGACCGACAGTTCGATTCTCTTCTTTGATTTGCGGGTTCCGTTGGCGGCTGTCTCATCGGCGGTCGAGGTGACGATGGCTCGGAGCCACTGTCCAACGTGGAATAGCGACTTCAGGTCGAGGTCATCGTCGTCTTCGTCTTCGCTCTCGTCCTTGACATCCTCGTCGGCCTGGGCCAGCAGAGCCTCAATCTTTTGGTTAACCCTGTCCGAGATTGCCGTCAAGGGGATAAATCCTGTGAGGTTGTTGGGTAGAGCGAGAGCAACGTCGCGGGATGTGATGTCGGTGACTTGACCGAGTACGAGAGTGCCTACAGCCAGGTTCTTGTAGCTCAGACCGTGGATCTTGATCTGAGGCTTGTCGTCTTCTGCAGCTTTAGCAGCTCTCTTGTCGGCCTTTGTCTTTCTCTTCTTCTTGGGTGCGGCTCCACCTTCGGCACCACCGGCAGCATCCTCATTCTCGCTGTCTGAATAGTCGTCGGACTTTTGCTTCTTGCCTCCGGATTGCTCGAAAAGGACGTCGCGTTCGGCCTGGATCTTGATCTGCTTGTGTTCCAGAGGGGTCAAGACGCTCGCACCACCACGAGGAAAAGCGCGCTCTTCTTGCGACAAGATCGAGGCCTTGACTGGGTTTCGGTCGCCCTGTTCCTTAGACTCTGTGGGTTGCCTCTTTTTCACAGGGGCATCCGCTGTGCTATCAGCCTTGGAGCGCTTCACATCGCGCTCCTCGGTCTGAGCCTTTCGTTTAATGGGAGCCATGGCGATATATTCGACCACGGAAATAATGTACAGAGTTGAATTTATCTCGCCTTCCCAAAAAATCTGGAGCTTCCGGAAAACTTGTCGGCCTTGGCGGAAGCCAAACGCCGACAATTCCGCTGGCCGAACGTCGACGCGCTAGTTAGATTGAATTGCAGCACGCAACACGAACTTTGCCCGTCAACGCGTCCAAGTTCGTGACGCGGTCCTTTGCACCTTCCCGCCAACTGCTCAATCAATTGTGTTGCCACATTTGCTCCAGTATTGTTATCGCTGTTGCTACATCATGTCCGGTCTGGATATGCTGCCTTCGTCTCAATGCAGTAGTCTACCAACCTCCCCCACTGCCGCATCTTCCTCGCTTGCCGCCAGCAATAAACCCAAAGGGCAACCTTCCATCACACCTCGACGCTTTACGAGGTTCTTCACACCCGTCACAACACGTTCATCCACAACCTCAAAGTCGTCCAAGAGACTCAAGGATGTCACCAAGAATGCAGTCAACCAAGTCAAGTTCGGTGGCTTCCACGATGTCCCTCAATTCGAGACGCCACGCAAGAAGAGGAAGGTGCTACCCACTCCAGAAAGTTCTCCTGTCCAACCTCTTGACTCCTCACCCTTGAGGCCGCTCAACTACCACTACCACGTTCCGTCCAACCTTTCTCACCACCGTGACTTCGACTATGATGCTTCGGACATTGAGGAAGAGGATGAAGAAGAGGAGGAAGAGGAAGAGAAGCATTTCCCGGAACTCATCACACGCCTACCGAATGTCGGAACAAGTAGTCGCATCCTGCAACGGAGCTTTGGTGGTGGTAGAGCCATCAATCGTGGCAGGATCAACGACCACTGTGTGCCTGATTGGCATGCCCAGACAGCCGACTTTTACAGCCGCCCTGAGGACTGCTATAGCTATCGTGGTGACGCTCTGCCGTTCTGTGTGACTCGTTGCAACACCAACTCTCTTGTTGCTATTGGCGACGAGGAAGGCGGTGTTAGGCTGATAGACTCGGCCTACACAGACAACTCCTTCTTCCAGCACCATGTCAGCTTCAAGCCTCACCACAACGCCATCATGGACATGGCCTTCTCCTCTGACGACTACTCTTTCGCCACTGGCTCGGGTGATCAGACTGCTCGTATCGTCGATATGCACACCCAGCAGACGCGCTACGTCATGAAGGCTCACAAGTCATCCGTGAAACAGGTTCGCTTCCAGCCTGGAAACGACAGCATTGTCGCCACCTCTAGCCGCGATGGTAGTGTCATGATCTGGGACCTACGCTGTCGCGGCCAGGATGCTCCCGTTGCAGACTTTGTCGTCAACTTCGAATCTAGCAATGGCATGGCGAACGCTGCTCAAGCTCAGAACAATGTCACTTATGCCTCCTGCGTCAATAGTATGCGCGATGCACATGGCCTGCAGCATGACCGTTCTGACGTTTCCATTACCGCACTTTCATTCCTTCCAAACTCACGCTCTCACCTACTGCTAACTGCGACTGAAGCAAACGCTAGCATCAAGCTATGGGACCTGCGAGGCAAATACACGTCTCGTCGTGGAGGTCCTTCACGCGACAGCTCGGTCCCTGTTTCCAGCACCCGCGAGCCAGAAGCCCATATTAAGCACCGCCAGTTCGGCATTAGTAGTCTGTCCTTGAGTGGTGATGGTAGCCGCTTCTACGCCCTATGCCGCGACAGCACTGTTTACGCTTACTCCACCAACCATCTCATTCTGGGCTCTGCTCCCGAGCTTGATGTTTCGATCAACACACAAGCTTCAAAGTGGTTCCGACCCCGACAAGGACTTGCCGGTATTGGTCCTCTGTACGGATTCCGTCACCCCATGTTCAAATCTACATCGTTCTACGTAAAGTCTGCCTTACGACCCGCCACATCAGCCCACCCAGAGATGCTTGCTGTTGGTAGCCGCGAAGGCTGTGCTGTCTTGTTCCCTACAGACGAGTCTCTCTTGCAAAAGAAGAAACCCAAGCAAACAAACTCGGGTTGCTCTACCCCTATTAGCGATCGTGAAGAGACGTCCGGTCTCCGCTCCCGCAAGTACCAAGACACATCGCTGCCTATATACACTCAAGGCACCGCACTCATCAGGGCTCATGGTACGTCCGAGGTCACAAGCTTGACATGGAGCACCGAAGGAGAGCTGGTCACTCTTGGGGACAATTTCAGTGCAAGATGCTGGAGAGAAAAGGACCGCAACGCCGCGAAAGACATGCGGATCTGCGGTGAAGGTCAAGGCGCTCGCTGGGGTTGGGGATGGGCTGACGTTGAGGGATATGATGAGGAGGAAGGATGATGCGACACTTGTGTACTCGCATCAACACGATGAAGATGCGAGGGGCGGCTGTTCGATGGTGGACTGTTATGACTTGCTTTTTTTGTTTGCTCCGTTTTGAACAAGAATATACCCACAGCCTCTATGGCGTAGCGCAGCAATTGAGATGGCTCTTCTCTTGCTTTTGTACTTTAGAAATGTTAGACAGCTAATAAAGAATGACATGGTTCTTACACCAAAACGTTGTTTTTGCATCATCATCTTCCAGATGTGTCGTGGATCCCAATCCTTGGCTTGCATAATTATGCAATGCTATGCGGCCCCTCAAGCCAGGGTGCGCCTCTCAACTAGTGTCCGCAGCAATAAAATGAGCGCCAACGACGCAACTTCTATCTTGCGTGCCTTATAGTATAGCCAAAACTACGATGATACCTTGAAGGTCATATCAAGAACTTGACAAATTCATTAGTGTCGTCTGGGATCGATAACAGTCGAATTAGTGCGCTCATAGTTAATCATTCACTAATTCAGAATGGTTCCGTGTGGTCTCTTACCAATGTCTCGAGTAAAAGTCGTGAATTTGGTATGTTACTTGGATAATATCGGATTACTGCAGATTTAAGTAGATTCCATTATTATGCCTCTATGTCGAGTTTTGTTTGACAGAACTTGAGGTTGTGTCGTTGCCGTATTGTTCCGGACAAGCATGAGCCCATTGGCAACGTCCAAGTCTCGTTGGCAACCAATGCGGAGCGACTCGATTCGTTGCGTTTGGTAGCCGAGATGAACCCCCTGGTGGAGTCAGCTGAAAGAGTACTTGAATCTATAGTAAACGTCGACGATGAGATCCTGCAGGATTGCAAGTGCAGAAGTCTCGTATGTGTGGAAAGGCTCACGGCGAGCTGAAAGCCGTTGGGAGCTGAAAGCCAACCGGCGGCCAAGTGAATCCCAGTTGTAGTTAAAATTGATGACTTCCTCCTTGCCCTTACCACAGCACCGTCACCACTGCGAGCTCGCAAATTACATCGCCGTCATCTGATTTAGAGATAGAGAGACGCCCCAAACAATAATTGACCGAGTCGGGTAGACGATCCACGTCCTTATTAGACACCAATGCCCTTGTATAGTACCAGCGGAAGGAACCCCGCTCATCAAGATGGCATCTGATCTGAAACCATTGTCTCGGCCGTCGTACCTGTATAGATGATGCTAAGGAGGACGTTACCGCACGACCGCTGTCATGCACTGCGCAAGAGGATGCTGCACTAGGCTCCCGATGGGTAAAACGACCAAGTCGAAAGGAGTCATGGCTCGAGCCTCGGTGTGACGGTTGTATGCTGAAAGAAACCAGAAAACGGCGGTCTTGAATCCTTCGCGGGCACTCCGACTCAGACTACGATGTACGACGATCATAGATATCAGTTCCAGTGCCTTATAAAATATCTATTTCTCACTCCATCTCTGCTTGATCTGGCATATCGATTGCTTCCATAGGCAAGATGCTGGTCCCTTCTGGATTAACTATGGTCTCACTCTTGACAGTTGCGTCAGCACTGGCTTCCAATAGCACTGTTCATACTGTCACTGTCACTCAAACGTTCTGGTCAACCATTGTGTCTACACCTTCGTGCCCTGCACCCACCACTGTCACTTTGTGCAACCCTCTAAGCACTGCCTCAACTTCAACCATCGCTGGAAATGCAAACATCATCTACCAGACACTGTCCGAATGTCATGCTGGGCAGGTCATCACCATCGGTAGCGAGGTCACCACTCTTGCACAGGCCACCACTTGGACTGTAGAGAAAACCATTAGCGATCTTGTCTTTATCCCGGACTTCGCTACTGATATTGACTATAGTGCAGTTGCGACCGTCACGAACATCATCCATCCTTCATCTATGACCGGCATGAGCGGTCAAGTGGTTGTTTGCCGGACCGGAACTACAACTGTCGGTAGCGATCATGTCGTTCTTACCGACTGTCCCTGCACGGTGCAGTCGACTGTCCTCAGCTTGACTGCGACTGGTCTAGGAGCTGTACCAACGGCCCTGGTACCTTCGACCAACTACATTGTCAAGATAATCTATGTCTATGTAATTGAAACCATCGTGGAACAGATCTCTACAACCATGACGGCGACAGCTACCAGTATCCTTACGACGATACAGACAGGAACTGCGACGGATACATCCACGACCACGACTACGCGTGCTCCTCGGCCTACGATAGTGTCGGTGGACAGTGTTACCTTCCTGCTGGAGTACGACACATCATACGAGGGAGCCGGCATTGGCAATCTACGGAAACGCCAGGCCAGTATTTTGCCTGGTATCTCTGTGGAGCTCAACGCATGTCTGGCCCAATGTGCTCAGCAAGCGGAGTGCGTAGCTGCCTCTCTGGACGAGAATACTTCTTCATGTAGCCCTCTGGTTCGGTTTAACGCACTGAGCCGAAGGAATGCTGATGGCAATGTTTTCGCCATTGTCATCTTTAGACCATCAGCGTCGACAGGCCCTCCAGCCTCTACAAGTTCCTCAAACTCTGCAATGCTTCCAGGCTCGACTGATCGCGCAGAGTCTTCAGCGTCGACAAGGTCGCTAGTATCGATCAGTTCGGGAGTATTCACTGTTTCGAGTGTCAGCACAACTTCGACCAACCCGACATACAGTGGCACAACAGGCTCCAATCCTATCTCAGGATCGAGCAGTAGAAGCAGCTCGAGCAGTGCTCTGTATCCGATATCCAATTCCTCGTTGCTTTCGACGACCTCCGAATCAAGCTACCGATCCAACTCAAGTCTCTCCGTCCCTGTGTTCGCTTCGTCGAACGTACTCACGAGGTCGACTTCGATATCCAGTTCAAGGGCAAATTCGACTTCAACTTCAAGTCCGGATCCGAGCACCCTTCCGTCCATAATGAGCAGTACGTCTAGCCTGAGCACACTTGGCAATGCTACTTCCATCTCCACCACTCTCAGTCCAGGTACGACTTCGGTCAACTCCATCAACTCCACATTCAACAGTACATTCAGCTTGGGCAGCACATCATCTGTGGCCAACTCTTCAGCAGTCTCTACAACTTCAACATCATCCAGAACTAGTTCATCTGTTGCTCCATTTGACGGCTGTGCAGTCGCAAGCAATATCGCCGGATATGCGCCTGCCATGTCCTACTGTTCCTCGGTATATCCTCTGACTGCAACTACCACCTTTTTTGGTGTTACAACCATAGAGATCATCACGACGTCTGCTCCTGCGACAACACTCCTCAGCAATATCACTCTGACTACAGAAACGGCTGTGCAGACGAATGAGGCGACAATCACCAAGATATCCTACTTCCCAACCGAGCTCACAGTCACAGAAACTACCACAACGTAAGCCCGTTCTCACTGCGACCGGTCATGACGTCAATTACTAATCCTGTGCCCTAGAACCAGAACTCTAACCGATAGTACAGTATTTGTACGGAAGAGGCAAACGACGGCTACAGTCCAAGCCAGCATGTTTACCAGCATCTTGAATCGACCATCTTCTGATGTCGCAAACGTGTGCTCTTGTCTGCAAACACCAACGATCACTACAGTTACCAATACGCAGACGGCATTGAGCACAACAACCATTACACCGATCGTCAGTGGCAACTATACGATCACGCCTCCAATCGCGACTGTGCAAACCACCGAAACAATCACAGATATCATCAGCGTAACCACAATCACCGCGACAACAACAAGTACCGAGGTTGTAACAGCGACTGCCACACAGACTACCGCTTCAGGTTGTTCTGTTTCACCAGCGGCTGCAGTACGAGAATCCGTGGTCACGCTCACTTCGACGTATGCCAACACGTATACTGAGATCTTCACTACCACAATATCATCTACACAGACGGTTACAACCTGCACACCGAGTGCATTTCCCGCAGGTCGATGTCTGGAGGGTGTTTACACTCTAGGCACAAAATACTACAATCAATTATGTGGTAGCTCACTGGCTGGTGGTGCCACTGTTCTTGTACTACCTGCGGCTCAAATCGCCTATTGCAATCAGTATTGCAGTGTTTACTCCACACTATGTAGTGGATACAACTACAACACTGCTGCCAGAGTCTGTACCTTCCTCTCAGGGTCGGCTTTGTTACCTTCTCCTGCTGTTGCTTACCAGGCTGCTGTGGCCTACACAACGAACCCCTGTGTGGCCACTTCCACCGCTATTGAGGTCCAGTACTCTACTCAGATCTCCTCGAGTGATGTAACCTCGGTGTATGAAAGTACCATTACACTCTCGACATCTGAATCGCCTTGTGCGTCGAGTCCTGTAGTCACCTGACGGACATGGAACTTCGTTGTTTAATCCTGAGCCACCTTGGTCGGACAATTAATCGAGAACACATATTTGATGAGTTCACGAATTCCATCCGGCCTTATGCCGAGTTCCATAGTGATCCCAGAATCAAAGTTACTTCAGAACTCCAAACGAGATACCATGTGATTCCAAAAACGTAGAAATTCATATGGTTGAAGGGATCAAAAGGTTCAGAAGATGTTGTTGTACTTGATGAAGTGAACTGATGGCAACTGAGCTAGAAGCAGGTGGGACGGTTCGCGCCTTCCAATGGGCCAGCCCAGTCACGCTCGACTTTGAGGTCATGTCGTCGCCGAATTGTTCCAGACAGGGCTTCAGCTCGTTGGCAACAGCACGTGCTCTGTTGTCAAAACGTGTTTAGAGCCCAGCTTACCGACCACTTGTTTTCGTGTAATATTTTATTGACAACGATGCTACGAGTCCATCCTTCCTGCTACATATCATTCCGCGATTTAATCACGTCAGTCCATTTGTTGTCGACGCCTCGATTCTCACGAGAATGACGCGCCTCGAAGCATACCTGTTACAAGTAGTCAAGCGTCGTAAGCCGTGCAGAAGGCTCCCGCGACCATAAGACCATTCCACCGACATCACGAGGCAAAGACCCTAGAGGCGCGTCTCAGCCGAGTCTCCAAAAACCCGTACAGAGGCGACTGTGACACCGCCGAGCATCTATACCAGTCTCGAGGGTCATCATTCCTCTTCATCTGGCTAGCAACGCCTCCATACCAAGGCGCAACGGTCTTGGCTTTACGTTATGGCATCCCCGTTCCGCCTCCAGAACAATGATGACGTTCCTGGGAAACTTAGAAGTTAGAAATCACCTCGATGGTCATGTAAGTCAATAAAGAGACCCTGCGGCTCTTGCGTCTCTCCAGCATTCTCATGTCGTACTTCTTCACCCATTGCGCCATTCGTGCTCGTTCTCAATCATCTTCACCTCTTTTCCACCAGATTCGCAACTACGCTGTTGCCAGAACGCATCTCAGCTCACCTACACAAGCATATACGAAGTGCTTCACGCGTCATCAGACTAGACCATTCACAAATTCAGTCAGAACCATGCACGACAATTTCTCAGGCTCTGAGAGACCAAACAAAGTTCGCATGCTGGTTCTTGAGACAGACGAGCCGCATCCAGACACGATCGAAGAGAAGGGAACATTTGGAGAGGTCTTTGACAGGTTGTTCAAGACAGCAGGTGACAACCATGACCCGCCGCTTGGCATCGAGACGGCTATGAAGTTCGTTGTAGAGTCAAAAGGCGGAAGAGTACCTTCAGTGGATGAACTGGATGATGTCCATGCAATCTTGATCACAGGTAGCGTCGTCCACATGTCCAACTCCCATCAACAAGAGCGCTGACACCACACAGGCAGCATGTTCGACGCACATGGCGACGATGAATGGATCCAGAAGCTCATCAAATTGCTGCAAGGTAAGAGAATATGCATACTTCTACAGGGCTCAGCTGATGTGAAAAGACCTATGGGTACATCGTCCCGACATTCGCTTCTCAGGAGTCTGCTTTGGCCATCAAGTTCTCTGCCGCATGCTTGGAGCCAAGGTTGACACAGTGCCCGGTGGGGACTGGGAGCTTTCGCACACCCACATCGACCTCAGCGACATTGGCCAAAAACTATTCAGAACAAAGGATTCACAGCTACGACTACATCAAATGCATCAGGATCATGTTGTAGAGCCGCCATCTTCCAAAACAACGGATCTCCTCAAGGAAGATCAGAAAGTCCATGTCTGGGGTAGCTCGGAGCATACGGCTGTGCAAGGCATTTACGTCAAGGATCGTCTATTCACTAGCCAAGGTCACCTTGGCTTTGATGAAGACATGGTCAAACGACAGATTAATATGCGAATTGAGAGCGGCAGTCTCAAGGACTTGGACCATGCCGATGCCGCGAAAGAGACCGCTGACATGGAACATGATGGCGAAGCTGTCGCTGGCTCAATTCTGCGTCTCTTCCATGGCGAAGACAATGACATCCCTTGATTGCTCGTACAACAAAGGGGCAAATGCGACGAACGCGATTGAAACACAGCAAACGCAAGCTACGCGTGGACATTCTCTTCCTCTCTTTTCGAGCGTGCCTTCAGTATCTAAGCATCATGAAATCCAAAGTTCCATCTCGAATACAGGATTTTGCCACATTCGGCATTTCACAATGGAGTCCTTCAGCTGCAAGCGCTCACCTGGTCGACTGCACAGCAGTAAAAGACTCCTTAAGTGTTGTAAATCACTGACGCATGTGGTAAAATACCAAGCCAGGTGGTCGAGTTGACTTTTGGCCCGGCTGCGCAAGACCCAGCGCACGCCCAAACGTGACACCGCAACCCGGCCCACGACTCATTATTCAAACACCTCGACCAACGCAAGCGTGGGTATTGGCGACACTTATCTTAGATTTTAATCTACTTTTCGGTGTTTCTCCACAACTTTCCAGTCGTGAGGCAGAAGTCGCGATCTTTCTGAGAACAGACCAATTAGCTGCCTACAGGTAGCGCGACCCAATTAGGCAACCACTGCTGATCCAGACACCGCGACCCAATAAGGATTCGCCAACATTTGCTCTTGCATGCTCGTCAGTAAGACCTATAAGTCAAGGCGAGGTCTCCATCTTCTCTCAATTTGTTACTTCCTTTTCCACTCTCACTCCTCAGTGGTCTTCTGAGCACATCTCCTTCACCACTTCAATACTTCTTCCTTTTCCTCTTCCTCTCACTCACAACACTTCCAAATAATTACATCATTGCGTCATAGCACCATGGCGCCTTCACGTCTTAATGATGGGCTCGACACCCCAGAGCATGCGCCTGAGGTCAAGAGCCAGCCAGACACAACCACTGCTACAGATAATACTACCAATGGCACGAAAAGCGATATAAACCAGCATACCGAGAAGAGCAACAACGACACAAACGGCGCCGAGAGTGAAACAACAGATGAAGTTCAAAATGAAGCTAAGAGCGACAAGACCAACGATGTTGACCCCAAGAAGCAGGTCGATGCTACCGAGCCTATGAAAGCTGAGCTGAAGCATCTCGACCGCAAGTACAGTGAAAAGCATCAGTGGTACTACGCCGAGACCGTTGAGGACAAGGCTGTTCCTGATCAAGTTGACTGGTAAGTGATCCATAAATTCGATTCAGGGACGATTTGAAGCTGTCAACAAGCACAATGCTCTCGAGAATAGATGCTGAATCTCCTGGTCTCATTGTGCTTATTGGCAGCTTACAACGTCAAGATCAATACCTAAAAGATGAGCGACAACTTACACTACACCAGGTGGACCAAGTATGCCCTTTGTGTCACACGACACATGTCCGAAGATGGCAAGAAGGTACAGAAAGTCGTGGTTCAGATCAACTCACAACATCTCAAGGATCTGCTCAAGAAGGCTGTCGGCTCATACCCTGGGGTTAGTCTCGACACAAAGGACATCGCATTGACACAACCTTGCCGACTTCTTTACCACTACCTCGATGAGATCAAGGAACACGGTGAGAAGTTTGAAGCAGGCTCTGAGGCTGCAGAACACTACAATGTCCTCCTCAATCATATCCAGGAAGAGTTTGGAGAGACCATCCAGGAGGCACGTAATCTCCGCGAACAAAAGGTCATGAGTTACCAGCACCTCTGGACTGTCTTCAAGCCACAGACTATCGCCTTCGCGCGCGAGCTCGGTCAGATACAGGCTTATCGTGTGGTTGACAGCACATATGTCTGTGGCATGCAACCCGGTCTGCTCACCAATCTCCAACATGTAGACTTTGACGGCAAGCGTTTCGGTTACCGCACCGCGAGCATCAAAATCCCTCCCTACTTGGGTGATGTCGCAATTAAAAGCCTCGACGTTGTCCCTCGTCCCTTCTTTCCTCATATACAGGAGACCGAGAAACGTCTGATTGCACGCGGCCGCCATTTCGAGGGCTTTGCTGGCATTCATTTCGCCGAGCATGCTGCTGTTGCGCTGGAGCACGTCTACAACAACTATAGTGGTGGATACGACATCAATCGCGTCCATATCAGCGAGCGCGTTGTAATAGATTGCGCTACTCACCACCGTCTCAACCCGGGCCTCGCCAAAAGTGTTGCTGCATTCGAGAAACAGTCCATCGTATTTGACACCAGAAACCAAGAAGATGATGAGGATGAGGACGAGGATGAAGACGAATACGACTCTGATCCTTTCTACACTGATAGAGACGAGGACGAATGCGACAATAACAGAAAAGACAAGGAGCTCATACCAACCACAAAACTGGACTTCGCACCCTTGACAGACGAACAATGTCTCCTCGCCTCCGCCCTCGTACACGGCTTCTCCTTTACCCACAAAAAATGGATCGACATGTTCATCGACGAACTCCACCCTGTAGAATGGAACGACGAATGTTTCTCCCAGCTCGTGCTCCCTACGCGCGAGAAACGAATGGTTCAAGCCCTCGTCACAGAACACATTGCCCAAAAAGCAGAATTCGACGACATCATCAAAGGAAAAGGCAAAGGACTCGTCTTGGTCCTCCACGGTCCTCCTGGAGTAGGCAAGACATTGACCGCAGAATGTGTAGCCGAACGCTGCAAAAGACCTCTCTACGTCGTGTCTTCTGGCGATCTGGGCACAGAGCCTGATACCCTCAACGAAAGGCTAGAGCAAATCTTGGACATGGCAAGCACATGGCGCGCAGTACTTCTCATCGATGAAGCAGATGTATTTCTCGAAGCCCGCAGCTTGCATGATATGCACAGAAATGCTTTGGTCTCCATCTTCTTGCGTGTGCTGGAATACTATCAGGGTATTCTCTTCCTAACCTCCAATCGTGTCTCCACCTTTGACGATGCGTTTAAATCTCGCATCCACATTCCCTTGAAATACGGCGCCCTGGACACATCGTCTCGCAAACAGATCTGGAAGAATTTCTTGACAAAATCTGGACAAGGATGTTGTGATGAAGACACACTTGAAAAGTTGGCGGAATGGGAGTTGAACGGTCGTCAAATCAAGGGCATCGTGAGGACTGGAGCTAGTCTTGCGAGATTTGACAACAAGGATTTGGATCTTGAGACGCTGGAGCAGGTTATTGGGATTCAAATGGATTTTGAACGGGATTTGGTCGGAGACGGCAAGTGAGAATGAAGCCTTTGGGAGACCTTTTGGCATGAGACGGAGAGAGAGAGGGAGGCTACTATCGGCTTCTTGACTTTCACTTGAGCATATCCCAGAGCTAGAACATTGGCATAAATCAATTCCCTTATGAGAGCTGGCATAAGTTGGCTCAGCACGTCTCATAGAGTATGGAAAATTTGACATCTTGCATTCCATACACTGCTGCATCTTTTTAGTAACCCTCCACATGCCATCTTTGGGGCATGATGCCCTTTTGAACCCATAGTGATGCTGCAGAGACATTGTCTTGTTTCCTTCAACTCTTCTGCTCCGATCCCGCTGATGCTAGACATATGTCATGCCACTGCCTCTGGTTTAAATTACCTAGTTCTTTTTTGGGGCAACATTGGGTGTGAGAGATTAGGCACGTTGGGAATATGATCGCATCTGAGAACAGACAGAGCCCCAGTCTCGACGTTACAGCAAAGTGACGCTTACTTGTCCAGAGCCGCTCGACACAATCACACTTGATATTCACAGAAAGTCGAGGTATAGAGCAGTGAGAGGAGATGATCAAACTCTATTGACATGATATAAAGGCCCTTCGTTCTCCTGGGCGAAAGTGTGCAATCTGCAACGAAAAGAGAAAAAACAAAGGAGTGTGGAAGAAAATGAATCAATAATCAGGAAGAGGGATGTTTACCAGCTATATTCTCCGTTACCCCCAGAACCATACTGTAGAGCTTGAAGCTCCGATATTTGCCTCCCCCACACCCGACACAAGATGACAAGGGTATAATGTGCGCCGGGAAAACAAAAATCAGAACGCCAGGTTAGAAAAAAAGAAAGCCAATGAGTGGGTGAAGTTTGAGACCACTAGACTCTGGTGAAAAGGTCGGGTGTGTGCGAAGACATGGCCTCTTCGGTCAGTGCGAAGCCGCCTTCAACAGCAACTTCCGAGCCCAAGCTGGACTCGCTTGACACGGAAGTGGCCACTTCAGATGGGTGACCAGAGTAACACTCTGGATCTGTCATGGCTTTGGGGGAGTATTGTGCTCTGAGCTCATCAACGTTCTGTTCGCCTTCAGGTAGGATGGTGTATGAGGAAGTCGTGGGTGTGGTTGGAAGACTGATTGACGAGGTAGTAGTCTGTGAGTGCGAAGGCGAGTCATCGTTGCTGCTGATGGCAGGTGAAGCACGGAGTCCGTAGCCATGCTCGGAGCTGGGAACGAGTCTGATGGTTGGACGAGGTTTGTGTGCATGACGAGGGTCTCTGATGGTGACGAAGGGCATATCGCCCCCGGCGTGGGACATATTCTGTTCGCAATCCTGAGAAGTAATCGAGATGGCATCGCCGCAGCTTCCTTCGTCGTAGTCGACATCGGTAGAGAAGCCGTCGCTTGTGTGACCTGACGATCCAGAGTCCTTTGGTGAGGGGTAGGGAGGATTTGCCCAAATATGAGTGGGGATGAACTGAGTGGGAGGACGGAGACCAAGTTTTTTAACAGTGCGTGCATCCTTGATGGGAAGATCGTGTTTGGCTTCATACTTGTCGATGGGTCTGACTTCGTCTTCAAAGACGGCTTCGAAGGATGTCCAGCAGCGCTCTTTTCTCATGGGACCGCAGTGCTGGCAGACCTTGAAGTCGCAGCGTATGTCGTCCGAGGCGCCAGAACGAGTGACCTTCTCCAGGACGTACTGCAGGTGTTGTTTCTGCTTGACGAGAATCTGCACTTGCTCATTGGTGTAACCGCCAGCTTCGAATTCCTTGATGATTGACTCGCTTAGGCCCAGCTGACGCAGTTCCTCTCCAGCAGGGCTGACAGAGTGCCTCTCAGACTTGAGAAAGGCATAGTCTCCGACTTCTGGGACGTCGGAGGTGCATTGGTACAACCATCCAAAGTCTGAGAGGCGGTTACATGTATGACATAGCCAATTTCCATAAAGACGGTCCATTCTGATGTGGGTACAAGCGCTGACACATTGTGGCTGCTGGCGGTGGGTTGAACGACTGACAGGCGTCGTGCCGACCTGCGATCTCTGGTTAGCTGGTGTACTTTGACGCATTACATGAGGGCATGTTGAAATCGTCGAGGGACTCTTGAGCTTGAGGAGAGTACACGTCTGCTGGAGGAAGTGGAAGATAGGAAGGTCTTGTACGAGGAACTTACTTGCACTATCACACTCATGTTGGAGAAAGCGGGAATTTGTTGTTGATGGTTGGTGGGAACCATCGTGAAAAAGGATGGGAAGTATTAACGCCGAGAGGGACGAAAGAATCTAGCGGACGAGCGAGAGCAGATGGAAGGAAGAAGAAGTGAGTGACTGGAGCAGACAATGGCTTGCTTGATTTGCATCAGCATCAACAAGAGTGAAGGAAAACGCAGGTGCGCGTCGAGGAAAAGGCCGTCTCTGGCAAGTGCAACTCGCCTGTCGCTCTGAGATGAGGCAGGAAGGACGAATGCATTTTTCACAAACGAATTGGAGAGCAGACAAAATGGTCGAGGACAGATCAGATCAGGGAGCTGAACATGCTTTATTGCATCACGTCGATTGGTACAAGCAGTGCGACCTACGAGATGCATCTTGCCGGGCGAGCACATCTAGCAAAGAACAAGAATACGGCGATGCCTTTTACGATTGCATTGAGAAATGTCAGGGAGAGTAGCACGGTTGAGATGTAGAAGCTTTCCCCGCCTTTGTGACAGGTCTTGACCAAGGACGGTTGGCCTTGTAGAGCGGCGGCTTGCAGTATTTGAGTTTAGTGGAGCTGTTGCCTCGTCCAACAGGACTGTCTTCCTGAAGCTGTCTGAAGCTGGTAGGAGCTGGCGTAACGACAGTCTTGACAGATTGGAAGACAGGCGCTGTGACTGGACATTGACGGGCGCTGAGGGCGGGATGGAGTTGGTGAGGTTATGACAGGCGTTAAAACTCGGTGGTGTCGGCACCCCGCGAAAAGGAACCTCGGTCTAGATAACCCCCGGAGGAGGCCGTCTGCCGCTGCCTGTCGCGTCTGCCCCAGAGCTTTGTATCTCTTGTGTTTTGTCAGGCACGGTCCCAGCCACTTGGTCCGTCGATTCGTCTTCATCTGTCGTACAGGCTTTCTGTATAGCAAAAGCAACAACAAATCACATCATGTCGTCGGTCAAGTTCGACGTCAAGGAGACGGTGGCCAGCGTGACTGGCTCGCAGGATCTCGCCAATGAGGCCGGCATTGCTATCGCCAAAGGCGCCAGTGCTGGTGGCTACCTCGCCGTGAGTCTCTTGTGAATTGTGAATTCTCAATACGCCCGTGACTGACTGAGCTATGCAGTCCTACTTGGGCCAACTGCAAAGCAACCCTCTCCGTACCAAGATGATCACGTCTGGATCTCTGTCTGGTGCCCAAGAAGTTCTCGCCTCGTGGATCGCAAAGGACCGTAACAAGAATGGTCACTACTTCACCTCGCGCGTGCCCAAGATGGCTCTCTACGGTGCTTTTGTCAGCGCTCCCCTTGGTCACATCCTCATCAACATCCTGCAGAAGGCCTTCGCTGGTCGAACCAGTGCAAAGGCCAAGATCCTCCAGATCCTCGCCAGCAATCTGATTGTATGTTGTAATCAGTCCCTCTCACATCGTCCCGCCCTCTGACCGAGTCTCTACACAGGTTGCTCCCATCCAGAACACCGTCTACCTCTCCGCCATGGCCATCATCGCAGGTGCCCGCACCGGACACCAAGTCCGCGCTACCGTCCGTGCTGGTCTCCTCCCCGTCATGAAGGTCAGCTGGTGCACTTCACCTCTCGCTCTGGCCTTTGCCCAGAAGTTCCTGCCCCAAGAGACCTGGGTGCCCTTCTTCAACATCATCGCCTTTGTCATTGGCACATACATCAACGCCCACACCAAGAAGAAGCGTCTGGCCGCCCTGAGAAAGATGCAAGACCGTGATGCTAGAAGCACCGGTCGTCCTGGAGATGACAGACGTCCCAACTTTTAGATGACTTGGTCAATTGACATCTCTATGGTCTCATGTCGAAAGGGGAAAAGGTATAGCAAAGAGATGCTGCCACTCAATGCTTTCTCCCCATTACGTTTCTTTTCTTTGCGCACGATTTACTTTGCATATATCCAATCAGCAGCTGTCCGAATTCACTTTTGCTTTCATTACCGTCTACTCTTTTGAACATGTCACATACGACCGACATACAAGTTCACTTGTCCCTCTGCATGCCTCGATGACCGGGACCATAGTGGTGACGAATATCATTTACCATGCGACTTCGTATTGGCTAACGGCTACCAAGTTTTCAACACTCGGGGTTGTGGTCTAGTGGTATGACATCTTCTTAGCATTGCTCTTCTTGAGCATTACTGAGTGGAGAAGGTTCTGGGTTCGATTCCCAGCTACTCCATTTTTGCTGTTTTTTGTGACGTGCAGTGATCTTTTGTATCGGTATAGATGTATGAGGTGTTGAGTGGTCGACGTGAAAATTTCATTTCGCTGGATTGACGCCTGAAAGTGGCTTGGCGAGTCGAACTTTTCATTTTTGGAAGGAGAAATTTTTATGATTGATGGGAAACTTCATGACGTGTGTGAAAATACTGTGTGACAATTCTCTCTCCATTGATGCGTTGGGCGGGCATGATATATATACATGTAGACTTGACAATGTATTGAGAAACGCGTCATGCTCCCGTGTGCTCAATAAAATCGTAATGTTTATTCAAAGCTAAAAGCTACCACCTTATCCTACTCTACCCTGTTCCCAAAAACAACCATCTTCTCCACCATACATTTTCTACATTACAATCTCGCACTTATGCGCCGTCGGCGTGATGAGGAAGAAATTGACCGGCTTCATACTCTGATCCGTTGTACTTGCCGCTAATCTCGCACCCTTACATTCTCTAAAGAATTTGGCGGCTGCAAGTCTCAATTCCATTCTCGCAAGGTGCACGCCAATACACACTCTTGATCCAGCGCCAAAAGGTGAAAAGACTGCTTTTGCAAGAGCAGAGAGAGTGTTAGGAGGTAGCCAGCGTGTGTGGTCAAAGACTTCTGGATTGGGGAATGAAACAGGGTCGCGGTGGAGGGAGTATGACTGAGTGCCGACGATTGTGCCAGAGGGGATGTAGTAGGAACCGAGAGTTGCGCCGCCCGATGGTGTAAGGCGAGGGAGAGTTGCTGGTGCTGCGCCGTAGAGACGGAGAGTCTCTTCTATGACGGCGTTGAGAATGGGTAAGTGTTCGAGAGCGGCATCTGTGAGTGCGGCATCTGCTTCGCTGACTTCTTCCTCGAGGGCTTCTTGTAATGTAGGTTGCTTGAGTACACACCAGGTTAGGTATGTCAAGGTAATGCCTGTAGTGTCTGAGCCTGCTACAATGAGGTTTCCAGCTTCTGTCTGGATATCCTCGTCTGTCATTGTGCCGTCACCCTTTTCGACTTCGCTGAGAGCGGTTGCGAAGATGTTTGATGTGCCGAATTCTTGGGCTTTGCTGTTTTTGACTGCTAGACCGCCTTGTTCGAGAAGCACACTGTTGGCGTAAAAGATGTTTTTCATGGCTGTGAAGGGAAGTCTGCGGCCGATCCAGTAGACAAGGGGAAGCTCCCAGCTGAGTGCAGAGCATATGGTGGCTTTCTCCAAAGCGACGATGTAGGGCACTCTCTCGCCGCTCTCGAGCATGTGGAAGGACTCGCCGAACATGAGGTGTGCAGATACGTCGGTGGCAAGGTAGGTCCACCACTTTAGGACATCTGCTGATCCGCGTGTGGCTTCAGCCTTGATGCGAGAGACGGCCAGATCAACCTTCTCACGCACAACGTCTTCCCACTGCTCGCGAAGATGACGTTGACTGAAGCCTTTGGAGAGCAACTTCCTCCTAGCAGCGTGCTCTTTTGGGTTGGTCATGTTGAAGACGCCAGGACACTTCCCGACTCCATTGGTGTTGAGGTACTCGTACCAGTTGGTCTTGTGGAAACCGGATCCGATCTTGTGGATGTCTTTGAAGCTGGCAGGGTCGTTGACAGCGACTTCATTGGGTGCGATGCGTACGATGGGGCCATACTGTTGATGGAGAGCATGAATGTAGTCTGCTCGGGCACCGCTAAGCACTGCTATTTTTAACCGCCAGTTGACCAGAGATGCATGCCATGGACCTGGAATGCCACGAAGGGGAGTGAGGAAAGCTCTTTGCACAATCTATAGATGTTAGAAGGAAGAATCTGGAAACGACTAGTCGACTTACCTTGTAGGAAACAAAGATGAATGCGATCCCGAGATAGAGCCACGCAAGACTAGACGAGAAGAATTGTGCCATGGTCAGTGGTTAGCAGAAATACGATGACCGAAAACATGACAGAGCGAGACATCCAGTCTTTATATAATGTCAGAGCATTCAGGAGACACAACATCCAGCCTCAGAACAACATGATGCATGGTCAAATGGCATGTGGGCGCGATGCTATGTGGAGCCGTCGGAAGGTTACGAACCGTCTCCGAGTAGTATGATGACCTACCGTAGCCTAGGATCTGGCGTACAAGCACAACTGCCACCAAGCGGTTGTCAAAGGGTAAAGAAGTACCCCGCAATCTGAACGATCCCACGAAGTAAAGGCCATGCCCACCTTCAAAATCGCAAGGCTCTCTCATGGGGTCTCCACAAATTTGCTGTTTTCGTGGCTTGTGGGGACAGCGGTCGGTGTGAGAAAGCATGTTTCGGTGTATGATTCACGCTTGATTATGCCCGTCTTCGTCATGATTGAGATCACAATCTGATCAAAAGCGAGAAGAATTGTTATCAAGAGACATTGATTGATCAAATATGGCATGGTTGACAGGCGGATGCATGCTGCAGGTGCACGCAGCGGACAGCGGAAGGTTTGAATCAAAGCGCGAGCGAGCATGGATGCCAAGACGGCAGATGGTGTTCTTGTTGCCATCATGTGCCTGAAAATAGATTGAAATGGAGAAACACGAGGACGAGGTGTGCAAGTCGCGGACGTTTCGAATCATCGATTTTGTTACCCCTCGAAACAATCGTCCATTGTCGCCTCTCGCGTTCTGCATACCGCCCGCCACTCGCCCTCTTCGCATATTCACGAATCTCGAATACACGTTCTCTCGACTGCGTCCAATTACATCTCATCCGCTACAAGGCGAGGCAAACAAGACAAGAGCATCTGGACATACAAGAGCATGGGTTTCGGCGATTTCGACTCGATATGCAAGCAGGCGGCGCTGCCACTGTGCACAATGGTCGGTCGTAACATCGTCACAGGAGACAAGGGCATACAACCGGCTTGTTATTCGCGCACCATTGAGGTGGCCAACACGGTCATTTTCCAGGGCGCTGCAGGCATTGCCCACATCTGCGCTCTCCTCATGACTGTCATTATGATTGTTCATGTCCGCAGCAAGTTCACTGCTGTTGGTATGTCGCTGCCGTGAGAATGCATCTTCGCTTGCGCCCCAAACTGACACCATCAAGGTCGCAAGGAAATCATCAGTTTCTTCTGGGGCTACTTTTTACTCACAATCATCTCGCTACTCGTTGACGCCGGTGTCGTTCCTCCTGGCTCTGCCGCATACCCCTGGTTCGTCGCTCTACAAAATGGTCTGGCCTCCGCCACCTGTATCTCCCTGATGATTGCTGGCTTCGTCGGCTTCCAACTATATGAAGATGGTACCTTCTTGAGTGTCTGGCTGCTTAGAATTTGCTCGGCCACCATGTTCGCCATCTCGTTCATCATCAGCATCATGACTTTCAAAGATATTGGCGGCCTGGGTCCTGACAACACTGTTGGTCTCTTTGTCGTTCTTTACATTTTCAACGCCATCTTCCTCGCCGTCTATGTTGTCATGCAGGTCTTGCTCGTCGTTGGAACTCTTCAGGATAGATGGCCTCTAGGTCACATCGCTTTCGGCATCTTCTTCTTCGTCGTCGGCCAAGTCATCATCTACGCCTTCGGAAAGGCAGTCTGCGAAGGCATCAACCACTACATGGACGGCCTCGTCATTGCCACAGTCTGCAACCTCCTTGCAGTCATGATGATTTACAAGGTAAGCCTCCTCCC